CGGCCGCCTGCGCGCCAACGACGCACACCCCCAAACCACGGTTTGAAGCCATTACAAAAGCACCGCCGGGGGGTTTTGCTTACCCCCCCCCCCCCCCCCACCCACGCCCCCCCCCCCCCCCCGGTCCCCCCTCCTCCCCTGCATCATTACCCCCAAACTAAACTAACCACCCCACCTTCAACACACACAGGTTTCTCCTCGCCCAACTCCAAATCGACTTCCTCTCGCAAAAAACCAACCGCCGCGACATCCGCCGCGCCCTACCCTCCCTCCCCCACCAACTCCCCGACGTCTACTCGGCCGCGCTCCACCGCATCCGCACCCAGAGCCCCGACGACGCCCTCCTCGCAGAGCGTTTCCTCGCCCTCATAGTCCTCTCCAAGCGGCCCCTTACCCTGCTCGAAGCGCAACACGCGCTCGCCGTCGAAGTCGATGCCTACGACAACAGCAACAACAACAACAACAACACCCCCGACGGAAGCAGCAGCGTCTTCGACAAGGAGGGCATCCCGGACGAGGAGATACTCGTGTCGGCGTGCGCGGGACTCGTCGCCGTGGACCGTCAGGGGGGCGTCTGTCGGCTGGTGCACTACACGGCGCAGGAGTACTTTGAGACGGCGTTTGCGGATAGAATGGGGGGGTTCCGGGTGGACATGGCAGCGATGTGCGTGGCGTACTTGTCGTTGGATGCGGTAAAGGGGGTTGGTGGTGGTGGTGATGGTAGTGGTAGTGGTGGTGGCGAGGTTGAAGAAGGGAGGGAGAGGCTGGCGTTTGGGGAGTATGCGGCGCAGTATTGGGGGGACCATGCACGGGGCGAGCCGGAGAAAGTGTTGAGGAAGAGGATTGCGAGGTTCTGTAGGGATAGGGAGAGGATTGCCATGTGGTACCAGGTCGAGCACCGGCGCAGGCATGGGTTCGAGGTGGATGCTGCTGCCCTGGAGAAGGTGACGGGTTTGCATGTTGCTGCTGGTCTTGGGCTCGCGGCGGTCGTGGAGGCGCTTCTGGAAGTGCGGGACGTAGACGTCAATGCTAGGGATATTCACGGGGAGACGCCGTTGCATTGGGCGGCGGCGAAGGGGTATGAGGACGTGGTGAGAGTGCTGCTAGGAAAGAGGGATGTTGTTGCCGATGTTGAGAGTTTGCTTGGCATGACAGCGCTGTCGTCAGCAGCTGAAGGCGGGCACATGGGAGTGGTGAGGTTGCTTGCCGAGAGAGACGACGTGGCGTTGGATGCTCATGACAGCGTGACAGGGGTGACGCCACTGTGGAGAGCGGCGGATCGGGGGCACGATGGCGTTGTCCAGGCGTTGCTATCTTCTTCCAACCTGAAACCTGTAAACGTCAACGCACCAGACAGGCACTTCTGCGAGACACCACTTTCACGAGCGGTTAAGCGGGGATATGTGCCGGTGATCCAGGAGATTCTGAAGCGGCTAGATGTGGATTTGAACGCGGTGGATACAGGCTACGGAGATGGGGCATTGGTGTTGGCCAGAAAGATCGGCAACGAGGAGGTGATTCGGACGCTTGAGAACCACGTTGAGCTCGGCAGTGTGTAGATGGGGGACAAAATTGATGGCCGTCCCGCAATATACTCCTGAGACCGCTACTATACCTACCCAGGCTCGGCTTCCCGCCAACCTATCCCGCCAACCTACTAAGGTATACGGCGCTTACATGTGTACCAGGGGTTTAGTACCGGACGGGTACTGTTGACACCGAGAGGGACATGTGCACCCGCCCGAGATATACTTATAGGGGCGGCCTAGACTGTGGAAACTTGAGGCTACGCGCCCGCTAAAAACAGCATTTCAAACCGCGGCACATGTTGTCTGTGTGCAAGAGCTGCGAGGGGAACAGCAGGAAATGCCAGTATCAAATTCTTCATTTCCTTGGACTACTAATCTTCCTACATACAGAAGTAAATATCCACAGCCTCCCTACTTCCTCAACACAACAACGTCTCAATTTAATGAAAGACTTACTTTCGAATTTGGCCAAAGCAAATAATGTCTTGATAGAGATATCTAGCTCCCCTGCGCTGTTGCTCCTGCACCCCACAAGATTCAGCGTCTTCGCCGCGCCGCGGTCTTCGCCCTGCTAGACCAGCTCGGCCGCGCCGTCAACACCCCCAATGCAAGGGACCAGATCGAGCGGTGCAAGGAGCTATTCGACTCGCCCGCCTCCTGGTCCGTCCTGGTCGAGGATGCTGGTCTCGCTCTCGGGGCAGATGGCTATCCAGATGATCACGGACAGCCCGGACGAGTGACTTGGGCTGTCGAACTCCGACAACGAGGGTGACCTAGACCGTGGCCCACAGGAGGCGTGGATGGCCTTCAACGGGCATTCCAAACTGCCTCTCTGGGTCGGCGTCAACGCGGAGCAGGCAGATGCACAAGGTCGGCTACTGTTTCTTTTTCTTTTTGGGACCGTGACCGCTCCAGTTGGTTCACCTTGCTGGGCTCGGGCACGCATTTTCTAGTCTGCCCCCGCCTCTCTCCTTCTCCTTCTCCCCGCTCTCGGACTTCCTCGACTTCTTAAGCGCCGGTCCCGGCCCACAGGTCGAAGAAACACCAGTCGTATGAGGCAAGGACGAGCATGCGGTAGACACTCATATTAATAATGACTTCTTCGTCGAGGGCTGGGACGCTGTCGCCAGCGTGTAGCCCGAGGAACAGAGGGTAGTAGGGAGTCGTGGAAGGGAGGGGTCTGTATATCATACTTTGGGGGAATACTACAATAAAAGCAGGTGCGAGGTCTTGTCATTTCCTAGAAGTAGGGGATAAATAGAGATATAATAAGCCTTCTTCGGCTGGAACAGGCTGCCTGCAACCGAGGCTTCTCGCGACGATGATGGCAAGCCTCAGGGTCCCACCTCAATCCTACCTTCCTCATGGAGTAAGACCGAGAGATCCGCCGTTGCTGTCACTATCACCAATATTCACCATAACCGTTCTGTAGCCAGCTGCTAACATCGCCACTGTCACGGCTGTTCATTGTTGTCATCCTACTACTATACTAACCTTTGGGAGAACAAACAACAGAGCGGGAAAAGAAGAAAAAAACATCAAAAAAATATATGTGCGTCGGCCGGGAATCGAACCCGGGGCCCACGCATATTGGCTTGCCTATGGCAAGCGTGGATTTTACCACTAAACCACCGACGCTGATAATTTTTACAGCTCTATACAGTATGATAAAGTGAGGAGAAAGTAGGATTCAGAAGGTGAGAAAAATGAACAATTTTGACCAATAAGAGGCTGCGCACGGGGACGAGCTACCACATGCGGGATGCTGCATTGACCGGACACCTAGCTAATTCCAGTAAGTCCTCCCACCAGTCTTCGACCGGCCTTGTCCCACATGTCATATCTTGCGGTGTAGAATGCCAACATTGGGTACCCTGAAGGGGATCCTTGGGTGCCACGGAAGGGAGGGACCCTTCGGTGCCATGGAAGGGATTCTGGAGCAGGTCGTAGCTTGGGAGCTGGGGAGGAAGTATATAAGGGCCTGAGTACCTCCAGTTCAAATGCAGATTGTCCGGCAGCCCATTCTCCCAATATCAACTCCCAGTTCCCACCGTCGCCCCGTATCCCAGCATCCCCAATGCACTCCCTCCTCCGCACCCTGGTCGCCGGAGCGGCACTCCTCCGCTCATCGGCGGTGGCCGTGACGTCCATCTCGGACGGCACCATGACGGGCCTGCTCAACGCCGGCGGGGTGGACCTCGCCTTAGCCGCAGCGCCCATGTGGTTCTTCGGCCAGGCCCTCAACCAGCCGCCGTGCTACCCGACGTCCGCGACCGACAGCAGCGGCGGGCAGACCCCCGCGGCGGGCTTGTGCGCGTGGCCCAATGCCGGGTGCGGGTGCCGCAACCCCGGTGTCGGCATCGGGAACGCCGGCCCCAGCTTCCCCGTATACTACTCGTACCAGAAGTGCACCGATGGAGAGGTGCGGGTCGCGTACAACCTGTTCTACCAGAAGGATGGCTTCACACCCAATGGGCTCTTCGGGCATGGATAGTGAGTGTTTTGGATATCTACCCCCTACCTACACTTGTACAATACAATACATACCTTCACGATGAACAACAAAAAGAGCACCGCATGGCAACGCCCGCTGACCGCACTCCACCCACAAAGCGACTGGGAGCGCGTCATCGTCATCTGGGCGAAGAACGGCGACAACTGGGCGCCCTCGCAGCTCCTTCTGTCGCAGCACTCAGGGTACGGGCGCAAGTCGTGGGGGAACATCCAGAACACGTTCAACACGGCGGACGCGGGGCTGGCTCGCGGCGGCGACAACGGGCGGCGCAACCTCGACCACGCAAAGGTGTACGTGGCCTGGTCCAAACACGCCATCTACGACGACCGGAACACGGGCTGGAACGATGTGCTCGCGCAGCTGACGGACAACGCCTTCCGCAGCCAGGACTGGTGGTATTTCCCCACAGCCGGTGAGTGGCTTCCTCCCCCCCCTGTAGGGGATTGAGGGGGAAGGGGCGCTAACAAAGTATGTGCTCCAGGCGATTATCTTCGTGCAGACGGGTCGACGTCGCTTGGCCAGAAGCTGGCTGGCTTTAACTGGGGCGATGCCACTAGCCATCCAGCCCTTGTGCACCAGGGTTTGTGTTCGGCGTGAGTAAATGGGATGGGAGCAATAGGGAGGAAGGTCTTCTATTTTCGAGCCCAAGAGTTGATGCGCAGCCAAGACTCCCCACCCGCAAGACCTTGCTTTGCCAGACCGTCAAATTCGCTTATTGGTTGTTTGGTTTTTGTGGGGCAATTAAATGATTATATGATGGAAACCACAAAAATTTGGCGGCTTCTTTTCCCCTCGACTTTCTCCTCAGTCAAGTCAATGCCACAAATTGCGGTTCCCAAGATAATTGAATGTAGTGGTCTTCCCTAGATACTACGTCTACTAGGTAGGTGCGGTAAGTGACAATTTGACGCTCTATAATTGCAATCCCCGTCGCAGCTACGTCCTCCAACCATTCCCGCCGGCAACGGCGTCTGTCACGAATCTTCTCCGGAAGGCCTCTTCACCGCCGCCGCGTCCTGCGTCACGATGGAGAGGGGTTGGTAGAATGGACGCCGTACTCTGTTATGGCTGTCGTTGCAAGAACGAAAATCCAGGACCATCATAGTCCGCGCCTGCCTGCTTTAGACGTGGGCGCGGCTCCAAAAGCTCCAACATGACTGCTAAAATGTCGTGAATTCATTGAGTAGCCCCCCTCCTTCTCCACAAATTAGCAATGTGGATCAGTCATCCATCCAACCGCTCAGCTTGTCAAGTGCGAAGCTGGCATTGACGTCACCTGATGTCTCAGCCAATACTTATACTAAACCTACTTTCCATCCTCTCTTCTTGGTTGCTGCCCCGTTTCCTCTCTATCCTCTCTCTCTCCCGTGGCAGCTCTTTCTCAGCTGCAGTCTTGTCCGATACAATGCCAGACGAACAGAAGTCCAAGTTTGGGCATCTCCCTCTCAGCACCAAGGGGCCACTCGAATGTGCCCTCAAAGGTACCGTCCTGCTCAACCACCCGTTCTTCAACAAGGGATCTGCCTTTTCCAAGGAAGAGCGCCGGGACTTCGAGCTTTCCGGCCTGCTGCCACAGGGCATCCAGTCTCTGGAACAACAGGCTCACAGGGCTTATGAGCAGTACTCTAGCAGGGCTGACGATCTCGCCAAGAACACATTTCTGACATCGATGAAAGAGCAGAACCATGTTCTCTATTTCAAGGTAAGGTCTCCTGTGCGGTGGCTGTGACGTTCAATGGGCTAGATAGACATGTTTCCTTGAGATGAAAGGGCCCAGGCCACTGCCACTGCTCTCCGGATATGAAACCGTGAAACTAGCCTCCACCCATCTTCAGCCTCTGACCCGAGAGCAGCTATTGCAGGACCATTTGGACGAGATGTTCAGTGTCGTCTATACGCCGACCGAAGGCGATGCGATCCAGAACTTCTCTCGGCTCTTCAGACGCCCTGAGGGTTGCTTCTTGAACATCCACGACATTGACCGAATCCCCCACGATCTTTCTCTGTGGGGCGAGCCGGAAGACATCGACTACATTGTAGTTACTGGTTGGGACTTGTCTGAAACCCCCACTACCTTGAATATCCACTTACCGTTGGCCAGATGGCGAAGAGATCCTCGGCATTGGTGACCAGGGCTGCGGTGGCATCCTGATATCAGTGGCGAAGCTTGTGCTCACGACTCTGTGTGCCGGCATCCACCCAAACCGGGTCTTGCCAGTTGTTCTCGATTGCGGTACAGACAACGAGAGACTCCTGAATGATCCTCTGTACCTGGGGCTGCGAGAGAAGCGGGTTAGAGGGCCGCAGTACGACAAATTCGTCGACACATTTATCGAATCCGCCCGCAAGCTGTATCCGAGAGCCTACATCCACTTCGAAGACTTTGGCCTAGACAACGGTGAGCACACTCAGGTCTCAGGTGCCTCGTTACCGTACATGCTAACTCTGCTGCTTCAGCGCGACGCATCCTAGATAAATATCGGGACAAAATCCCGTGCTTCAACGACGATGTCCAAGGCACCGGCTGCGTCACCCTCGCCGCCATCATGGCAGGCCTGCACGTGAGCAACCAGAAGCTCAGTGACCTCCGGATGATAATTTTCGGCGCTGGTACCGCAGGCGTCGGAGTCGCCGACCAAGTCCGTGACGCCATCGCCACGGAGCGAGGCATCAGCAAGGAAGAGGCATCCAAGCAGATCTGGTGAGTCCCAAGTCTGCACATCCCGACCCCCCGGGTCACACCTCCTTCCAAATAACCTCTAACCTCCCCACCCCCAAGGCTCATCGACAAGCCCGGCCTCCTCACAACAGGGACTCCCCTAACCGAAGCCCAAAAGCCCTTCGCCAAACCCAAAGAAGACTGGACCAACAAGCCCACCGACCTCCACTCCATCGTCGAGGCAATCCACCCCAACGTCCTAATCGGCACCTCCACCGTCCGCGGCGCCTTCACCGAGCCCATCATCCGCGCCATGGCCTCGCACACCCCGCGCCCCATCATCCTCCCGCTCTCCAACCCCACCCGCCTCCACGAGGCCGTCCCATCCGACCTCCTCCGCTGGACCTCGGGCGCCGCCCTCGTCGCCACGGGATCCCCCTCCGACCCCGTCCGCGGACCGTGGGGCCCAGGGGGGAGCGAAATCACCGTCCGACCCGCCGAGTGCAACAACAGCGTCGTGTTCCCCGGCGTCGGGCTGGGGTGCGTGCTGGCGCGCGCGGCGAGGCTGACGGATCGCATGCTCGTCGCTGCTGTGGGTGCCGTGGCGGGGATGAGTCCCGCGCTGCAGGGGGAGGGGGAGGGAGAGGAGGTGCTGCCGCTGCTTCCCGGGGTTGATGTTGTGAGGGATGTTAGCGTCAGGGTCGCGGCTGAGGTGGTGAGGGCAGCGGTGCGGGAGGGGGTGGCCACGGAGGAGGGGATACCGGAGGGGAGGGAGGAGCTGGAGGAGTGGATACGGGAGCAGATGTGGGATCCGGTGTATAGGCCGCTGAAGCTTGTGGGGATGGAGGGGGCGAGTAGGCAGGCGAGGGGCGAGCTGAGGGTTGTGGGGAGCCTTGACACGGATGGGAGGGAGTGAGGGAATTTCTATTTCCGTTGCTTGGAGCGAGGAGGAGCAGAGGTGCAAGTTTGATGGACATGTGTATGCACTTGCGTTGTCTATTTTAATGGGGCCTGTCATGATATAACCCCCATTTGAAATGAGTGTCCGCATTCTGATTCTGACACCAGCACAGAGCTTGTATTCATAGTCTACCTGCAACGAGAAGGATTCCATTCTTCTCTTACGGCCTGAGAGCCATCGTGCTCCGCATGATGCTCCCGAGCCCACCGAATCCGAGGGGGTTCCAGCTTCGTCTCACATGACGAACAAAAGATTGGTATCTAGATTAGACCGCGTTAGCTGACTGATGTCCCCAGGTAGCAGCCAAACTTGCCCCTCTGACGTACCTAGCGGGTGGCTGCAGGACAGCTGTGGCTTCTGCGTGTACTTGGTCTCGAGCACGCCGCGGATGCTGTTGAGCAACTCGACGTAGCTCTGCTTGGGGTTCTCCGTGATCGCCGAGATGAAGGCCCAGGACATGGCGCCCGTAGCCTGCGATGCGATGGTAGCATCAGCACTAGAGACGAGGAAGGTCAGCACGCGATGCTTGTCGCGATTTAAACACGTTTTGCCAACTCACGAGGTCTGGTCGTCCTTGCTCCCGGACCACATGATGACGTCGGCGGGCGACGTGCGTGTCTGGACCGTCTTCTTGTACGCGTCGTCGCCGCTGTAGGCCGTCTTGGCGAAGCTGAAGAGGGTACTGGCGACGCTGCCGAGGTCGCCCCTGGAGTAGGCGGAGAAGGCCTCGAAGAGCCCCGAGGCGGCCTCCTTGGCCAGGTTGGGCTCCTTGAGGACGCCCTTGGTCGAGTAGATGTACGGCAGGTCCAGGACCGAGCCCGAGTGGCACGAGTCGAAGATGGCCGTCAGACGCACGCCCGGCTGCAGAGGCTTCACCACGATCTGGTGGATCTGGTCGTCGACGATGTGGCCCGCCTTTCGGAAGTCGACGGGGTAGATGACCTCGTCGTTGCCGTCGTCCTCGTCGCCGTCAAGATCTTCCGTCTGGCCGCCGTGTCCTACATGTCGAGCAAGGTTAGCCCTTATCCTTCAGGGATGCATGCATATTATTCCCATCCGACACTTGGTCTCTCTGCTAGCAGGTGGAGAGACGCACCAGAATAATGCAGGAACAGGGAATCGTTCGGCCGCGCATCGGTGACCAGCCACTGCATGGCGCGCAGGATGTTGTCCTTGGTGGGCTGCATGCGCGGGTCGGACTGGTCGTCGGTGAGCTCGATCATGTCCTCGCGGCGGTAGCCGTATCGCTCGATGAGGAATTTCGACACGTTGTGCACGTCGTTGATGCAGCCGCGCAGCTCGCCGTCCTGGCCAAAGTAGTTGATCCCGATCAGCAGCGCCCGCCGTCGGCCCGTGCAGTTGCTGTACTGAAAGGTGTAGCCCTGCGGGGCACCGTGGCCAAACTCCTGTGCGCCCGACGGCGGCGGCGCAGCGTTTCGCGAGTGGCCCGAGTACGAGGACTGGTAGCCCGAGCCGTGCTGGCCCTGGCGCGCAGGTGGGCCGACGGGATAGCCGTATCGATCGAGCCCGGGGGGCGGAGGGCCGTGGGGCCGACCGTACTGGCCCGGCGGAGGTTGGCTGTACTGGCCTGGCGGCGGTTGGCCGTACTGGCCTGGCGGCGGTTGGCCGTACTGGCCCGGCGGCGGAGTTTGGCTGTACTGTCCCGGCGGCGGTTGGCCGTACTGCCTCGGCGGCGGCTGGCCATACTGTCCCGGTGAGGGTTGACCGTACTGTCCCGGTGAGGGTTGGCCGTACTGTCCTGGCGGGGGCTGGCCGTACCCTTGCTGGGGTGGATAGTTCGGTGGCGGGTAGTTGTTGGGAGGGGGATGCTGATAGCTTCCGTGGCCGCCCTGGCCAGGGTATCCGTACCCAGACATTGCTGTGATGGGAAGGTCGAAGAATCGGAGACGGTGAGGAAGGCCGGGAATGCGGATGCAGCAGTGGAATGCGGCGACTTGGAGGATGAAATAATATAAAATAAAAGATGAAGAAGAGCGAGTGTGACCCTGGTCGGTCAGACGTCGCCCAACGCCAAGCTTGATTGCGGCATACGCGGTGCTCGGTTTGCAGCAAGGCTTGCGCATTCAATTTCTTACTGCGGGGACAACCGGGTCAGCTGCATTAACCCACTCACAGGCATCGCCCGCGCCCAGCTCCAAAAAGAAGTCCCTCGTCCCTGCCCTCCTCTTTTCTTCCCCTACCCAACCCAGCAAATCGTTGGGCACTGCCCGGGCCACTCATTGCAAAATGGCTTTCTACAGAGATATCCAGAATTTAACCAGAGATTTTGACGGTTTCAACGTCCGATCCGACGGTCAAGACCAGCCAGGTTCGCAGACCCCTCATTTTTCAGCTCACTAGCTCGTTTACCCCTCACCCCACCCCAGGAGACCCCTGCGATACCGGGATCTTCAGCTAACGATCATCATCCCAGCAAAACGCGACTACTACTACAGTGGCGGCGGGCCGACCCAACCCAACCAATATCCCGAAACCTACCAACCACCACCGCCGGAGAGGCAGTACTCCCCGCCTCCGGTCTACTCCCCGCCCCTCGACAGGCCGCCAATCCCCGCGGGCTGGGTCCCGCAGTACGACCGCGAGTACCAATGCTGGTACTACTTCGAGCAGGCGACGGGTCAGTCCCAGTGGGAGGCTCCCGGACAGCTCCCGCCACGCCCGCCCATGCCCGGCGCCGAGCGCGCCTATGACTCCGGCTCTGCGGGATACCAGGGTGATGGCGGCGGCGGTGGTGCGTATGGGAGCTACGGTGGGTACGGCGATGGAGGCCGCGGCGAGGAGACGAAGAGCAGCGGGCGCGGGAACATGTTGCTGGGTGCAGCGGGTGGTGCCGTAGCCGGTATGGCCGCTGGGGCGCTGCTGTCGCATGCTCTGAGTAAGTGGTTCCACTTCCCGGGATATAGAACATACGACTTTGCGCGTTTTCTACATGACTAACAGTGGGGTCTAGACGACGACAACCACTCATCCGACGACGATGAGCACCGCCGCCTGCCGCCCGCTCCGCAACCCGAGATACAACAGTCGTACGGCGGGGAGGATCCGTACAGCAGCTCGCGCGCATACGGTCAGGAGGTCGACAGCAGCGATGCCGAGTCTCTCCAGGAGGCGCGTGAGGACTACGATGAGGCTCTCGAGGCGGCGCAGGACTCGGATGCTAGCAGCAGCGAGGAGGAGGAGCTGGAGGAGGCTAGGGAGGAGTATGAGGAAGAGTACGAGGAGGCCTACGATGACTAGGTGACGATTTGCCTGCTCTAGGCAGCGCTGAGGTTAGACTTTGGAGATGCCCGCGATGTGACATCCGTTCGCTTGATGAATGAAAGTCGTTTTCTCGCGACGGCAGAGGATGGGAAACTATGAATTTGTGCTGCCCAAGAGACGCCAATCGTAAATCTGAGCCCAGCAGAGAAAAGGTTATCAGTGTTGATGAATATATTTTTCATGGGAGATAACGGTAGTAAACAATCTTGAAATCCCCGACCGCATGCCTTTTCCGTTTCCAGTTGTGGAACCCAGGAACTTTTCTGACGCGAACCACCATAGCGACTGATTTTGGCGGGTTTGCACATGGTGGTTCTGCTCAGGGGTTTTTGGCTCTGCCGCCCCAAATTAACCATATTTAGACATTCGAATTGGAATTACACTACCAGAGGAGCAAGATATGGACACAAACCCGACGCCTCCATGCTCATGAGTAACATCACGACAACTCGTGATTCGCAAAGGACAGGATTAAAGGACAGGCAGTCGCACTCTTGGCAAGAGGATTGAAGTTAGGCTGCATTTTGCTTATAGGAATGGTCCAGAATTTACCTGATTTACATATTAGCCATAGACATCAAGACCAAGATCCCCGCGTCGCCGAGCTTCAGTTGGTTATGCGCCTGTATTTAAGTAATGTATGTAGTGGTTGGGACTACTGTAATTCTACCTTATTGTGTGGAGCCTGTTGGCAAATAAACAACCTCTTACTGGAGCACATAAGTGCCATTTTCTTCTCACCACATCAGCCCTCTCCCATGCGAACACCCGGTGCTTTCAGCCGCCACTTTTGGTGTCGGCAGCGAATACCTCCAGGGATCTAGCTGGCACGGTCTCCGGTCTACCATTTATCCATAGCAACCTGTGTCTAGGTTTTTAGTTTAAATAAACGCTGTTTTTGTGTCAATCTGTCCGCAAAAAAAACATATAATGGTGATACCCCATCAAACCCTCGCACATCTATCTGCTAAGACTGTATAGTTTGCAGGACGCAAGAAATCAGCAACTTGAAATCCACAAGAATGCTGTTGTCGTTCTCATCCGTTGCCATATCCCTGCTCCTTGCTCCGGCCGTACAGGCTGGACCAATCGTCCCTCGGCAAGCGACAGCACCGTTCGACTGCGGAGAGGTACGCGTCGATTCGCCGAATACGACATACAGTGGCTTCGTAGCTGCTGATTTGGACACGGAGAGGAGATATGTGGTCACAAGAACCGAGAACCAAAAGAGACTTCTCACGAGGTTCGAGAATAATACGTTGTTTACTTTGGTGAGTCGGCCTTTTCACCTGGCTTGGACGAGACATCCTCACTAGTTGCAATAAAGAATAGTAATGGGAAGAACCCCACTTTCGGAGCAACCTTTGGATTCTACTGGGATACACCACCGGACAAACCGAACTTCGCGGCTTCAGCGCAGAACTATGCATACTTCAACAGCGTTGCTGCCTCGAAGGTTGGCGACAAGCCTGCCAAAATCGCGGCTTCGATCAACGAGGCTGGGACCGATCCTTCCACAGGAGGGAAGAGAGACCACGAGAGCGAATCGGCAATATTCTATTTGGACCTCACAAGCGGAGAGCTAACCTCTCAATGGGTCAATACCGACGGATGTAAGTGCCCTGAGTGTCCGATTTATGGAGCTGACGACTGATTCTACTGCCTAGCATTCGTCCCCGCACTCTTTGTAATCAACACACAGAGAAGGATCAATATTTCGGGAAATCTAACAAGGTATTTCCAAGAATGGCAAGGAGCGCCGGCAAGGATCTTCTGCTCGCAGCCGGCATAAGGCGGCACCGGATGCGTTAACTGGAGGGGTGATGGTCTGAAGAGGTGTGCGACTTGTTTCTCATGTCTGATTTTCCTTGCTGGATCGGATTCAGACCGAGCAGTTTCTGTATCATACCTCCTGTAGCTTTCCAAGAATGCTATTGTTCTCCCTCACCTTGGCTAAGGGGGGTGCAGTTCCCCAGAGTAGAAACTGGCCAAACCAACACCTACTCCTTTGCAGTGCCGTTGTTCTTCTAGATCGCGTCTGTCGCATAGGATTTGATGGCAGTTATAGGGTTAGACCCATTGAAGGTCATGTAGGTTTTACATATTCACCGGCTGCCGGAGATACCCAAAACGTAACTACGGATGTACTACGTAACTGTCTTTTGTATCCCTAGTGATTATATAATTAGTTAAACGAGAGAGAAATAATAGAAAGGAAGATGAAGATATATCCTGGAGCACGATGGAACTGTTGTTTGAATCCTACACTCGAGCACGGCCAGCCTAGATGTCTCTCTTCTGCTCACGTGTCAAACTGCGCTACATTGACCACGCCTTTTCCTACTCTGCTTTATTATTTCCCACCTTATATTAATAGACCAAGATCCTCTATTGACTAATGAGAGCACTCTATGGATGGACTGAAACCATGTACTGCATTGTTCTCTCGTTATTGGGGCGTGTAAGATAGGTATCATAGCCAGATAATCAAACTCGCACTTGATACTTAACCCTCTTTTCGATTCAACCCACAGGAATGCAGTACTCCCAAACCTTGCAACTCCACGCATCCCACTCTCCCGAAAAGTTGTTTTCGCCCACCTCCCAATGACACCCTCAAACTCTAGTCCTTGGGAGCTACCCCAAAAACGCAATTGGACAGCAGTTCCGGCCAACACCACCCCTATCCCTCAATAGCCTGTATACCCTCAGAATCCCTCTCCAGCCTCGCAGCATTGAACTCCTCATCGTCCGCCGGCAACTCCAGCACGACCCTCGTCAGCGCCGCCGCCCCGACATCCACCTCCCCATCCGTCTCAAGCGCGAGCACATGCCCGCCCCTCTCCCCGTCCTCGGCGATGAAGTGCAGATGCACCCCCGCAACACTGACCCCCTGCAGGAACGCCGGCGACCGGAACCCGACCGCCGCACCGCGCACCACCGCCCCACCACCGCCGCCGAACGTGTGCGTCACCTGCCGCGCCCCCACGGCCGCCAGGCCCTCGCCGCGGAACCGCTGGCCCTCCGCCGTGCGCACCGTCACGGACCGGAAGGCGCCGTCGATGCGGAAGGCGACGTACGCATTGCGGCTGCGCGGGAAGAGGCGGTCCAGGAGGTGGGCGAGGCTCTCCTTTGAGGGAAGGGCGGCGCGCACGGTCGCCGTGGGCCGGAAGCGGGTGACCATGGCGAAGGGGGTGACGTCGACGTCCGGGTCGGAGGGGGTGATGGTCCCGTCGACCTTCATCTGGTGGGCACGGCCGTCGAGGACGATCATCTCGCCGGCCATGTGGCGGAAGGTGCCGAGGCCGAGGTCGCCGTTGGCGAGGAGGGCCGATACGGGGAGGCCGTTGGAGGCGACGCCGTCCATTAGGGCGGATACTACCGAGTATTGGAAGAGCTCGTTCGTTGCCATGTTTAGGTCGTCGTGGGCCGGATTTTTTTTGTGTCTGTGAAGGACGGCGGCTGTCACACGGGATGTTGTTGCCAAGTTGGGCAGATACACAGCAGCGGGCGCTAACTCCGAACAGCTGCAGTCTTGGGTGGGGCAAAGTGAGACAACATTTGTTGTCTATGTTCTTCTCATATTTTCATAGACGAAAGAGTTGTGATGGATAGTCAGGAAAATTATCTGAGGCGAAATTCAAGCGACGTTGTCGAGCCGGAGAGGATTTTTTTCTTGTTACGAGATGAAGTGCCAAGGTTCACCAAAGTTATACTCTCAAGGGTCCAATTTACATACCGCCCTTCAGGTTATTAGGTAGGTAGGATACAGTAAGAATCTTGAGAATACTTGCTGACAGTCCCATTGGCATAGCCCAGTTTGTATCCGGGACATCCGATGTCTTCTTGACAATACGCTTAATTAAGGCAATGCCAGCCCAGTTGATGATTATGTCCGGATCCGGACTTAATCTGATGTATCAATCAGAGATGGTTTTGACTTGAATGGCTGGGTCACAACCCGTGCAGTCGCATCGCTTGGCAGTCTGATCAAGAGGTAGATGGGCGCCTGCGGTAGAGGGACGGAGATTTCCTCACAAAATGGACTACGGGATGGAGCGATATCCAGTTGGCAGTTACATAAGTTGGCGATGTGGAAGGACCCCACTCACACAGTAGGTGGGGACAGGGATCGAAGGTGGCACGTGCGCAGTGAAGCAATTCGCTTCCACGTGATCTCTCGCTTGTGGGTTCGGTAGGGCTTCCTCCCATCCACACTAATCCAAAATTTCGGCTGGCTTGAAATTTCGCGACAGCAACCTCGAAATTTTCTGAACGCAACATATTCGCCGTGAGATTCGCGTTTAATCAGTCAAAATGGCCAAGCTCTCGTAAGTTGCCATCGATTCACCATTATCTCGGACGTCTACTCTCGAAAAAGCCGTCCAGAGCAAGCATCTCAACTCCGCAGTCCCCTCCCGACCCGCATCGAGGCATCGCATTTGGAGGACCAGACGCCGGCCACGATGGGACAAGGGACTGTGAATGAGTCGAATGCTTCCGGATGGCTTTCAGGATGAGCGGAGGACCTCGAGCAGAACCGCCATTGGCAGCAATGCATCTCGAAAGCTATCGTGCTAACCCAACCTCACAGACGTGGTGCCCCCGGTGGCAAGCTCAAGATGACCCTGGGTCTCCCAGTGTACGTGCGATCCTCAGATCACCTCGATTACCTCTTCTCCCCACTTCCGACGCAATCCCTCGACCGGTCTCGAAGGGGGAAACATGGATGACCGCTAACGGGCCTGCAAAACAGTGGTGCGATCATGAACTGCGCAGACAACTCCGGCGCACGAAACCTCTACATCATCTCAGTGAAGGGTATTGGCGCGCGGTTGAACAGGCTCCCGGCCGGCGGTGTCGGCGACATGGTCATGGCGACCGTCAAGAAGGGCAAGCCCGAGCTCCGGAAGAAGGTTCACCCCGCCGTCATTGTCCGCCAGTCCAAGCCGTGGAAGCGATTCGACGGTGTCTTCCTCTACTTCGAGGACAACGCTGGTGTGGTAAGTGACTGATTCCCCTGCTTGTGTCGGTTCGGCAAAAGGAGGAGAGGGCTCGTCTATCGGACATGTGGGCGGGCGGATCGTACAGTCACCGGCTTCCCAACCTGGAGTTGCGGCCGACCAATCTGCGATAGGATACTCGTGTGGATGGGGAATTTTATGAGGGTTGCACGAAGTTGAGGACATGGTGCTGACACAATTTTCTGCAGATCGTCAACCCCAAGGGTGAGATGAAGGGCTCTGCCATCACCGGACCTGTCGGCAAGGAGGCCGCTGAGTTGTGGCCTGTGAGTGACACTACCGATTCGCCCCTCCCTTCTGCCGAAGCCAGGAACTGACCTCTCTCTCAGCGTATTGCCAGCAACTCGGGCGTCGTGATGTAAGAAGCTTTCTTGGCGGAGTTGACGGTGACGGATATGCTTGGGACCGGAGTCCCTCGCCAACGGGATTCCGGTTTTCTGGGTCTAGAGGAAGATACGAACGAATGGCCACAAAGGGCTTGGCTGGATTGGCAGGCTTTGCATTTCGGTTGCGGCGTGACATGGGATTCATACCAAATGCATGATATAAAGGTCAATTGAGAGATCAACTCCTTTACTTTCCGTTCCAACCTCCTGTCTCCGCCCGCCCCACCTACCTACCCGTGTTGCCGTCACGGATGCCGATCTCCGATTACTCCGGCTTTCGTCACGTGGAAGTGCCCCGCAGCGACTTCCCTTCCTACGACCAGGCGTCCTCCACCAGATGACTGTGTTTACTGTTTAGAACATCTCCAAGTCCATATCAGTGTCCGTCTCGCTTGGATACTCCTGCATGATTTCCTTCAAAATGTTCCACCACCAGTCGCGGCTCCGCCCGCGAACAATGCCTTCCTGTCCTGCCACCACTCGGGCCAAAACCCCGCCATCTCCCAGTCAAGTATCCACGTGACATTGCCCGTCTCAGGGTCGACGAGAATATTCTCCCACGAGAGGTCGGCGTGTGCAAATACTATGCTGTGGCTGTCGGGAAGCAGCTTGCGATATTTAGCTACCCACTCTGGCCGTGGGCAATTCTTGACCGGAGCAACGAGGAAGTCGTTGAATTCGATGACGGACGCGAAAGGGCCAACCGTAGACATATTGTTGATTCTGTGGTCGTATGACGGCCCCTTGGAGCAAGATCCAATCCATGCAGGTTTTGACGGGCGGAGACGGCGCAACTCGTCCAAATATGACCTGAGCTGGCAGATCGTTTGAGCTCGGGCATTTTCGCTCATGTCTGGCCAAGCTTCGCCAAGTTGGCGTCCGGGGAGTCGTTTCATGAGGATTGAGCCTTCGTCTTCATCCCCGTCTGTGCCAAGGTGTACCTCAAGGACAGCCGGGACGGGGATGCTGGTATGACCTTGTACATAGTTCATGGCTTCGACCTCTCTGCGAAGCCGGAAGGCAACGCCCCGTTTCCGAACCGTCTTGGGGGTCTCGTACACAACTCGCTCAAAACTGTGCGGCGCCATTTGTTCAGTTAGGAGATTCAAGAGCTGTACATAGCAGTTGTCGTTTTCATTCTCATTAGAAAGACAGGAGCAAAGAGATAAATAAGTAGAAAGGTGCTGTTTAGGCATGGCCTGCGCGGACATCACCCAATCAATATAAATTCCTAGCCGCGTGACAAGGCTCTTACATCTGGCGTGCTTCAATGCCGCTGTTTGCATTATCATTGCCATTGTAGTAGTCATCACTATCACTATTACTGCCATTGCTGTCAGCGGTCGAGCCATTGGACAGTGGCATGGATTTCACGCCCGCTGGTCCTGCAACCGGACACGTTTACCGATGCATGTGGAGATCCCCTTTGATGGGAAAACGTTGCAGACGTGCTACTCCCGTTTCCAGCGGCTGGTCAATGTGCTTTAAGTGCACACTACCGAGCCTCGTCGTGTGTACTCGGCTGGCACTCTGGGTCGTGGCCAACTTGCCCTATTTTCCACAGTTCCGCGTCTCGCAAGAAGTAATTCATAGACGATTTGCCGAGCCCTTTGTTCGCAAAACTGAGCGTTTTAATTTGAGGCTTCCAGTTTTGTTGTTGCGTCTTTGATGTAGATAGGAGACTGATTCCGGAATAACACCACCGTGAACAACTGGGGTTTCTGGCAAACGGGAAGTTGATACTTAGGCGGCAGTGTGAGATGTTCGATATAAACAGGGACAAGTCCACGAACAAGGACTTGGAAAATTGAAATACGAGGGCATAGATACTCGAGGCTGGATAAGGTCGGAAGAAAAAGGTGAATGACGGTATGGTTCGGGAACTCAAACTTCCATCCAATCTGCCGAATTTGCTTTTTGTGTAATTACCATAGATCACGAGGGTTCTTTCCTTGGTTTGTTGTTGGATGATTATCTAGGAAGCAGTTGACAATTATTTGCTTCTTCCCCGTCCCCCCAAGGGAAAAAAAGAAGAAGGGGTGAATGAAGGGTTGACCTCCACAGGCTAGAAGGCGGTCAGTGGTAGCTAGAGAGGTAGGCATCGGTGAGCTGGCGCATCCAAGGCAAGTTGGCCACGTTGGGTGTGAACTGTGTGCAACACCACTCGGCTGGGAAGTAATCCCGTCCGGCCTCAAGTTTAGATACGTCGAGGAGCATGTGGTCTAGCAGTCTAGCCAAAGTTCCTCAAGTCACCTGGTAGAGAAAATAACTTCTCCATTCTTGAAAATGTTATGTGGAACAAGTCCAACAAGGACAGTCACTGAATATCACGTCGCAAAATAAAAGAGGTCGATTTAAAAACAACGCTGATTTTATTTCCTTCGCTGATTAAGTACAGAAGGAGAGCTCCCCCATCAAGGGAGCTGATCGATGTATGATGAAACCTTATGTACGGGATTCCCCCTTGTTTGCTGGGGGCCCAGGCCAATATCATGGATGCAATATCCGGAATAACATACCGTGCAAATGCCAGTGTTTTTTTCCACGCAATACCCATGAGCAAACATACCATACCATGCAATATCCATGGAAGATACATGTCCCTCCTGGTTCCTATGCGGAGAAAATAGAGAAGGAAGGAAAAAGGAAAGAAACAAAAGGAAATAAAAAAAGGTACGATGCTCGCTGTCCTTGTAGTTTCCGCTGCGATGCTATACAAGTAGGGTACTCGGATAAAAGAGCAGATGACCCGGTCAGGGCGGAGAAACGTGTCTCTAGAAATTATACGAAAACATGGTCGGGATAGATGTGAGCCTCGCCCCCCCCCGCCGAGCGATTCCCGAGGTGCTTTCCTCAGGCCACGGGAGTCTGGGATGGTGGGGGAGGGGGAGGCAGATTCCCGTTCTCCGAAATGATGGGGGTGCCCGGGGTGGTGCCCGCGGGAGAGGCGGTCCCGGAATGGGACTTCGCGGAGGCGGCGGCCTTGTGCTTGCCGGTCTTCGCCGGCTTCTTCTGCTGTGCCTCGGTGGGCTCCGTCGAGGACTTCGCCTCGGCCTTCAGGGCCAGGGTATGCTTGCGCTTCTCGACAGCGCCCTGCATCTCGCCACGTGCCCATCGTCCTGCGGAGGAAGACCATGTTAGAACAGCTCTCTGGTGGAAGAAAAGGGGGCAAACTTTGGGTTGACTTACGTCTCATGGAATAACTCATCTTCTCCGACTTGCTCATCTCGGAGTATGGCTTCTCTCCTGGCTCCGCGGTGCCGTTGGTGGCTGTCTGAGTACTAGCTCCGGACTCGGATGGAGCGGAGTCGGCTGCTGCCTTTGGTGCCTTAGCGGCCGTTTTGATGGTGGATGGCGCCTGGGTTCCGGCTCCCGACAAGCCCTGGGACGCGGCCAATAATTGGGTGCTGTTGACGAACTTGATCTTCGTCGGGGGTCTCTTGGCAACCGGAGCTAGAGGAGCAGGTGGTGGCGTGGCACTGAATGTGGACATCATTGGTCCAGGTCCTGCTGCGATGTTGGCCGGTCCTGGAGGCAGGAAAGCTGGGACGGCAACTGGGGCGGCACCTTCTGCCGGTGCCATCTTCCGTCGCCGATCCCGCTTCGGAGGCGGTGGTGCTCCCATCTGGGCATCTTTGTTGGTAACCCCTCGGGTCCGCTTCTTCGGCCGAGCCTCAAAATCAGGGTCATTATCGACGGCGTAGTTGCGCTTCCTATTCTCACGCAACGAGTAGGACGAGTCCGCTGTTCCGACTGTATCAACAGTGGTGGCCGAGGACGACGTAGATGGCCTCGATTCCGGCTGAGTGTCCGCTGGAGAAGGATTGCTGTAGAAGGATCTCGGTGGAATGTCGGTGCTGAGGGATGGAGCAGAACGGCCCTTTGCGGTGCGTTGACGCTTGGGCTTCGGGGGTTCTGGCTCCTCCTCGACATTGTTGGCAGCATGGGGTTCCGTGCTGGCAGTTGCGCGGCCACGTTTTCGGGTAGCCTTGGACTTCTCAACAGCGATACGTTCCTCTGCCTGGATGGCCGCAGGGGTCTCGGGAGTTGCGACGGCAGACTCGTCTGGAGTCGCCTTGGCCTTCCCCTTTCCTCGGCCACGCTTCTTTGGTGCCAATTCAGCAGCCTGCTCGATGGCAGATTCCCCGTTGGCGAGCTCAGCTGTTGCGGCAGCGTTGCGCTTACGGCGTGGTCTTGTTGCAGTCGCGTGCGCAGCTGCAGCAGCGGGTTCAGGTGTCGACGCACGGCTGGGTTGCTGGCTCTGGTTGTCGAGGATGCGCGGCTTCCGGTTTCGCTTGCCTTCGATGATGACACTCTCCTCAGCGGCGTCCGCGGCCTTCTGTGTCTGTTTTCGTTCACGCAATCTGGTCTCGTTCTCCATGTCCTCTGTCTCATACCGTTGCTCCTCCGGACGCTGCTTCCCAACATTGCGGTCCTGGTTGTTGTGCACGAAACCATGTGCATTTGCCTGAACCCGGTCTTGAGCCCGTTGGTATTCCAGGACGGGATCGTCGACATACGGCGGCGGGGCACGCACGCCCTTGAGCTCGAATGCTGGGGGCAGCTTCTGGAATGGGTCATCGAATGTGCGACGCCACGAAGGTCGCTCATCCAACTTCTGCCGGTTTTCCCAGTTCTCCAAGGTTTTGTCGTTGGCTTGTCGGCGTTTCGCATTCTCTTCGTCGTCGGTGATTTTCTTGAGCTCGAGATACTCGTCTTGCCAGGTCTTGAGAGTCTCGGTACAGGTGGCGAGGGTATCCTGGAGCGCCGAGGTTTCCATGTCCTGCACGTCCTTGAGTGCGTCGGCAAAGTCGGTGGCCTCGCGGATCTTCCGGAACGAGTACTGTTTCTTGGGATATTGGAGCACCTCTCTCGGCCCAGCTGGTCCCTCCATCTCGGCCTCGTTTTCGGCCTCATCCTCAGCTTCTTCGACATCCTGGCCATCTTCTTCAATGTCTTGCTGGGTCTCGTTTTGCTCGGCTTCTCCATCACCATCGAGAAGCTCGGGAGAGCGTGCTGGCGTAATCTGCTCTGAATCTGGCGCTGGCGATGCTTGGGGGGTATCGTCAGGGGTTTGGGCAGCCAGTTCGGCTTCGGTAGCGGCTTGGGTCTGTGCCTTTCTCCGGTATCTGGAGGATCCAGCGGTCCGTCGTTGACTTTTCTTGCCTTTCTTGGGCGGCGCACGCTTGGGCGGCGCCTCGAGTGTATCCTGACGTCTAATGCTGCAAACGAATCGGAATTCCTGGAGGGTCATCGTTCTCTGGCCCTTCGTTTTCCGGCTCGCCATCTCGGCCCGGTAGATGTCGAAGAACTCCTTATACTTCAGCGGCCGTAGACCATCCCACATTTGTTCCATGGGACTCAGCTCCTGCTCGGGCAGTGCAGGTGCGGGAGTCAAGGCAGGGGTTGGTTCTGGCTGCTGGTCATCGACAACCTCAGTCCATGGCGATGGGTAAGCAACCTCTCCGTCCTCGTAGGGCGAAAAGCGATTGCCGGAGTCGGTTTGGCCATGCTCCTGGTAGATCGAGTCAAGTTGCTTGAGTTTACGCGGTTGAGGTCTCTGGGGCTGGAGCGACTCCGCAGCGGATGTTGCAGTGGAGCCGCTCTTATACTCTCCATCCGGCAAGTCTTTGATTTCCATGTCGACCGAAGGCAAAGCAGGCAGTGCCTGGGCGACATCAATCACAGTCGAGAGGGGCTCTTCCTCGGCCGGGGGTGCAACAGGTGAGGCGGGCTTATCCTGAATCATCGTGGCTTCGAGTGAGGTGCGGTTCTCCTCAACCAGTGGTGCTTTTTCAGGCGAGCCAAGCTTCTCCTGGATCAGAGAAGTCGCAAGTCCGTCAGGCACTTCCTGCATCACCGGAGTCGAAGGTGAGGCGGGCATTTCGTGCGTGATAGTGGGTACAGGTGATGATGGCTCTTCTTGTGTCACTAGAATCGTGGATGATGGAGGTGGTGCAGGTTCTTCGTGAGTGGGAGAAGGCGAAAGTGGTGCAAGTTCTTCCTGGGTGAGAGAAGGTGAAAGTAGTGCAAGTTCTTCAGGTTCTTCCTGGGTGTGAGAAGGTGAAAATGGTGCAAGTTCTTCAGGTTCTTCCTGGGTGGGAGAAGGTGAGAGTGTTGCAAATTCTGCAGGTTCTCCCCGAGTGCTGGGAGATCGGGGCGTTGCAGGTTCTTCTTCCAGCGCAGAAGCGGTAGATGACGGAGTCGTAGGTGACGAAGGTGGTGCAAGTTCTTCCTGCGGCACGGGGGTCGTTGATGATGGAGGTGGTGCAGGTTCTTCCTCGGTGGGAGCAGGCGGGAAGGGTGCAAATTCTTCAGATTCTTCCTGAGTTGTAGGATATTGCGGAGGTGCAGATATTTCAGGTTCTTCCTGAGTAGGAGGCGGTGCAATTCCTCTGAGTGCTTCCTGTGTAGTAGACGGTCGGAGTGATGCAGGTTCTTCCTGAACCGTGACAGCCTCGGATGGTGATGATGGGGGTTGTTTCTTGTCGAAGGGAGTTGCAGATGAAGTAGGAATTTCCTGGAGTAATGATGGGTATTTTTTCTGATCGACGGGAGTTGCAGATGAAGTGGAAATTTCCTGGGTTGAAATATCGAAGGACGCTGTTGGTGTTGATGGCTCGGGGGTAGGTTGGTCGGGTAGCACAATAATATCCTCGACTATTGTGGTCTCAGCAGTGCCCTGTATCCCTTGTTCAGGGGACTCGACATGGCTATTGTTGGGCACAGTATTGTTCGAAACAATAGGCTCCACAGCAGCGTGGACAATGGGCTCCGTGTCTTCGACCTTGGTGAGGTGAAGGTGAGGGAAACTCGGTACTTCCGGTACTTCCTCGGTCTCAAGCGAGGGTCCTGGGGGGTTTGATTTTTCACGCCCAGGACTTGACGGTACAACCTGAGAGCTGCTTTTGTTTTCTTGTAGCTTAGGAGCCGGGGATCCAGTTTGAATCTGGCCAACGTCTCTGTCGCTCGAAGCCGACCGACGAGATTCAGACTGCTGGTCAGACTGAGGAGGCGATGACTGCAGCTCATTCATCGACACTCCAACCAGGATAGTGTCCTGAACCTCATTGTCAGAGGGTTGATCCAGATAGTCTCTGATATCACCCATCGACTTTCGAGTCGAGTTTCTGCGGCGGACCAAGGTGGTCCGCTGCCCAACAGGCGACCTCTCACCGCGGCGACGCTTATGAGCAGCCGAGTCGATCTCATCAGAATCATCACCGGAGAAGTCGTAAGTGGCCCGTCTCTTGCGAACCCGGGCTCCAGGCGCACTGGCTAACTTGCCTGCGGGATCAGGCTTGGAGTCGCGAGACCCAAGATCGTCTTCGATCTGCTCCTGGGTATAGTCAACGCGGGCACGCTTTCTAAGCGAATGCCCGCCCTTTGACAGCGGCTCCTCGTCCGCCGAGCCATCGAAGCTAGCAGCGAACAGGCGCGATCGCCTGCGCAGAGCCGGACCATTGGAAGCCATGGCGCTTCCCGGGGAGTCTAAGCTAAATGACTGCTGCAGACCCGGAAAGCGGGCGGGGCCTTCGCTCCTTGGGGCAGACAGGACTGCGGACGGAGACAGGGGAGAGAAGGAGTGAGAGGGAGCCGGGTTCCTGGGTCGCCCTCTTTGCGGGGCCGAATGGGGAGGAGGGTAGTGGTGCGCTGACTGAATTGGCGTGCTGAGGTTTGCCGGGTCTGAGTGGCCGGGATGAGCAGATTGCTGGGTGCGCCGGGAAGATCCGCGGCCACGGCCTCGCCCTCGAATCATGGCCACCAGTATCTTACACAGCACTGCTCAGCAGAGGATGCAGACACTGCTGGCGTGCTTTTCCAGGACGCTTGCCGTTGTGGTCGTGAGACGTCTGAGACGTGAAAATGGTGAGGCGAAAAAAAAGGATCAACCGGACTAATAATCAACGTGTCAGGGTCAGATGAAAGAACGACGACCAGCAGCGCCAAAACGGGCGGACAGCACAACATGTATCGGCTCGAGAAGTATAAAACAAGTGAAGAAGTGACGCCTATCTACGGTGATGACAGGCAATAGGGCCGCAGCGACAATATCAGGTGTCGAGTTCATTCGAATCTGGGCCCTCCCAGCTCCTTTTGGTCCCTCATGTCAATAATTTTTAGAGGTTCCCGAATGAGAGAGAGGTACAAGGTACTTCCGACGCTCCGCTTCTCCGCCCGCCAGCTGTCGACAGCCTACTACAGTCCATTCCAAGACTCCTAACTATCGGATAGCTGTGGACTTGATTCGCTGCGGGAAATGCCATCCAGCCAATCATTCTGCACCCAGAACAGAAGCACACCTGTGCCAGGCTAGCTTGTTTCCAGCTTAGCCGCATTGCTAATTGCTCGTGACGCAGTGTTGTCGGGAGCTTGGATGCTCCTTCTCAACCTAGAAGCCACTTCCAACGTCAACTCGTTAGCCATCACCGACGCTTTACGCGCCGTCTTCGTCCTCTGATCCCAAGCACGCACTCCTCGGCGTCTTCTAGCTTGTCCCGGCGACGTCTGGACAGGTTTTCGGCACAATACTGTCTACTTTGGCCACGTAATCCGCCCATATCATGGCGAGCAAACGATCTAAAGCCGCCCCCACTGACGATGAGTTTGGCGATCTCTTCGAGGGGATCGGGGATGAGAAGACTGTTAAGAAGCCTCCCAAGTCCAAGGCCTCCGGCACTGCTGCCAAGGGGAAGAAGGACGAAACTGAGCAAGACATCCTCGCGGAACTGGAGAACCAGCTTGTGGACGAGAAGCCGTCGCGACCCCATACACCCCGCATCAGAGAGACTGCTCCCAAGGGATCTCCAGCCAAGCGAACCTCGACCAACACTCCGCCTCCCCATGCTGACAGACTCTCCGAGGAGAGATCTCTGAATGTGGCACGTAAGTCCGGAGAGAGCACCCGATCATACCACGCCAGCTTCACTCCCAGTGCCACCAGCTCCGAGCTCCACGAGGCCGAGAAGAAAGGCAGCACCGAACAGGCCGCCGCGGCCTCGGGCGGTGGCGGCTGGTGGGGAAGCATCCTCACTTCTGCCTCGGCTGCGATGAAGCAGGCCGAAGCAGCAGTGAAGGAAATCCAACACAACGAGGAGGCAAAGAGGTGGGCGGACCAGGTCCGCGGTAATGTTGGCACCTTGAGAGGCTTTGGTAATTCCACTCCTGTTTCTTCCAGTTCATAAGCATTATTTACCTCCCTATCAAACTACCAAACCGTTATTGTGAGCAGCGTCTAACACCCTTCGCTTCTCCAGGTGACGAGCTTCGACACCGCGCCCTCCCAACCTTCACGAACATCCTGCACACCCTCGCTCCGCCGATCGCCTCCCACGAGCGCCTCCTCATCCACATCACGCACGACATCGTCGGCTATCCGTCCCTCGACCCGCTCATCTACAGCGTCTTCAACCGCGTCATGGCGCAGGTCGAGGGCGGCGACCTCATGGTCATCCAGCGCGGCCACGAGTCCACCTTCCGCAGCCCGACGTCGGAGAAGCCGGCCGGATCCTTCTTCTCGGGCACACAATCCACCGCCGGCTGGCACGACGGGCCCTGGTGGCGCCAGGCCGACGTGCCGCGCGACCTCGGCCTCGTCAAGGGCCTGACCGAGGGCACCAAGTTGTGTCGCGCCAGCGCCGAGGCCTACGCCAACGACTACTTCGCCTCCCACGGCGGCATCGAGGGCGCGCGCCACAGGGCCCTGGAGCCGTTCAGCGAGAGCAACCCCGTGCGCACCTCGGATCTGTTCCTGGCCGTGCAGGCCGTGGGCGTGGACGTGGACGGGGCGCTATTCGTGGGGAGCACCGTCGACGAGAAGGAGAAGGAGGCGTCGGCCGTGCTGGAGGGCGAGGACGCCGACGAGATGGTCTGCTTCGCCATCTACGTCCTGGACCCCGTCCACGAGATCCAGTATTCCGCTGTCAGCCAGTCCTTCCCCGCCAAGTGGATCCGGTGGCTCGACGCCCCGGCCCCGCTGACGCCCGCGAGCGGAGACGAGGGTGACTTACCCGAGGAGGCGGACAGGGTCCCCGAGGAGATAAGGGAGATCGTCGACAGCGGCGGGGTTGACCCCCGTGAATGGGTCGCCGAGTGGGTCGAGGAGGCGCTGAACTTGTCAGTGGGGGTTGTGGCGCAGAGATATGTTGCCCGTAGAATGGGAGTCGGAGAGGGCGGCATCGGGAAGGGGAAGCAGAAGGTCGAGGCCCTTGTCCAGGAAGGCGGCGGCGAGGCTGCTCGGGCTGGGCTGATCTGATTCCCCGGCGTTCACTACTATGCCTCCATTTTTGCTCCCTGATTTGCTAGTTTGGTTGTTGTTTTCTTTCCCCTGCTGTTTCCTTTGGCTCCCCTTTCCCAAATACTCTTTTCCACCACCGCGTTGGAAGATGGAGTTAGATATGGTAATGATGGCCATTACTACGCCACTATGTGCTTGGCAAAATGAATCTTGTCCGACTTGACCAGCTTGGGAGCTCGTCTGTCACATGGGATTTTATCGCGCCGCACTATATTGGCTACAGAGGTTCAATGACAATGATTTGACTTTCCATCCTGTCAGGCAGTTGTCCTATGGAATATGGAACGCAACTACCAGGCTCTGCCCCGCTGGACTTGTAGCTTGAACCGAGTGGTCTTGTCATAGATCCGAGGATGGTTGGGCATACGTCCTATGTACGTGTAACAGAAGTGGGTAGTCACCCAGGCAGGGCCTCTATCCATCCCTGACAGCCAATGACCAAGTTCAAAATCCGGTTACCGGCCACCATACACGCTCATGAGCATAGGTAAACAGCGCAATGTTGGTCAGGAAGCAACTTGCCCAGGGGCAAGGAAAGGCGCCGGGTTAACGGACATGCCGGTTCCAGCACCCCAATGGCAACAATACACAGGCGCAATATCATAAAGAGGTTAATCTACAGCACCTGGGTAGCTCTCCAGATATTTGCTGCATATCTTTTAAGAGATTCCTCATCGAAAATGTTGTCTGCCTCGGGTGGGACTGGCGGTCCAAGAAAAAGGTCCGCGAATCCCAGTCGGAGACCGCTGGTAACCTTGTACGACGCTGGATTGAATCGATTAGGATCTGTATCGCCGATTCCAGATCATGACGCTTCCATCGTGGTCAAAGGTTGGCAAATCGCTCGAAGAGGTCGTTGACCCCTGTAACGTTAAGGGTAAGAGGATCTAGGAGAAAAGAAGGTATCGTTAGCTTGGGTTGTTTTCCTTGGGAGGAAGAGCTTACCTGGCGATACTGTCAGTGCCAACATAATGGAGCGAAGGCTCTGATCGTATCGTCATGGAGTGTTGCCGCGTTCGAGGGAAGGAAGAGAAGGCGGACGCGTTGGTGTTGGTGGGGGAAATGGGATTGGGCGGATAGGGGGTCTGTGCGAAGGTGCAAACACGTGGGGCCAGGTGGCTGTTGCTGTCAATTGGGATTGACCGGCCCAATAATTAGCACCTACAACACCCAAACCGCCTGCCCACAGCCAATGATTTCTCAAAGGCTGGATCAATAGCAGAACCTCAATCATGGATCTATTAGAAAATGGAGACCCCGAGTCAAGCATAACCGAGCATGGACCTGGGACAGATTCGAGAAGATCTGCGTACCTGCTGAAACGCTCCCTTGTAGTGTGGACACTATCGTTCAGCCTTGCCAGGGCAAGGTCTGTCTTGCCTATTCGCAGTCTCTGAAAAGCCAACAGCCATACCACGGTTGCCTTAGCCAAGCTGAAAGATCGGCTGGGCTTCGTCGGTCTGGCCAAATTTTCCAGGGTATCTATTTCGCGTCATTGTCCTCGCAGTTGTGGACAGAGCAGGTCAGCCATTGCTCTCGTCCTTCTCAACGGCCACGCTACTCAGGTATTCTACCGCGCTCTTTGGTAGGTATAGTCCTTCTTGCTTATCCCAGTGCTCTTTTTTAACGGTAGTTCTCCCTGGGAAGTCGGGGGTGCTGTGTGTCTACCTAGGCTTAACCGTCTCCAGGGATAGCTGTTTCTACGGGAAAGCTTTTCTGTAGTTGGTTGAAAAACTTGACTTCCTATGATGGGGAAATTTGGGTTATCATATTTGGTGTTGAGCTGTCACTGAAAGAGTCCCATAATTGGGGGTAGGTTGGCGAGTAAGTTCATAAATACTCGATTCTGCGATTTCCGCTCAATAAATCGGTCCCCTCCCTCTTTTCTCTCTCTTAACTCTGCTCCTAACTTGATGTCAAAGCTGCTGTTTAGTGACACAAAAACGGCATTCGTTGCTTGTATGTTGTTAACCGAAGTAAACAAGGAAAGAGTCAACTGGAAGTATCACAAGGTGGGCATCAAAGAATATAAATATGGAGAAGGCTATAGAAGGGACCTGTTCAGCAGTTAATCGTTCAACTCAAATATGAGCAAGATTATATCCTTCAGCCGCTACCAAATTGGACGGCCACATGGAGCATACATCGTCCACACCAGATCTCACGCTCTTCTCCCCTACAAGACACACCGACTGGTTCTCCCATACGTTGCACAGCAGGACCGAGGACAAGACACTCATCCTTTCGGAAGTCCCGAGCTCTGTGAGGGTGGTGGTTTTCGGTATATCTCGCCCAGCTAGTTTCAAAATCTCTCCGAGTCAGAGTCCGTAGCTCGAGGTTGAATAATCTTGGGCGTCTCAATTTTTGCTGCCATGTAACTAAAAGAACTTGGGTCTCCATAGGTTCAGCAGGCCTAGCCCCACTGACGACGGCCACAGCATAGGCAGGTACTTGTACCTACCTATTCATCACATTGTCACGATGTGTGGCTGCAAAGACCTGAACAGTGCCATCCTAGAAGGTGGCCTGTGCTCTGGGCTTCAGCTTTCGACCTCGTCATTTAATTAGAAAGACATTCCTTCTAATGGCGCAATGGAATCAACGCCAAATCACGACATAGCCCAGCCATGACCGCACAGCATCATGGTATCATGGTGATCAAGAAGGCAGCCAGCTTCGTGGATGACATTATCTACCAAATAGGTACCTAATAAGTCCGTACATCAGCTGTCACTTGGCATGTTCAACACTAGCCCGACTCCGGTTGGCGTCGGGATTCTTCTTGGGCAGGATTGTCAATGTCTGGCGAGATCGGAGTGGGGGATCCATCTGGACATCGCCTGGTACCACCATACTGCGCCATGATTGTGTTCTTGTTCGTTGTTCTACTCTATTTAGAACCAAAACGTGATCCATTACCGCATGCCTGGCAACCCGTCGTCCAAGTTGCTCCATACTAGCTTTGCTCCAAAGTCCATTGCAGGAACCAAGCCAGTAGTGGCTAGGTAGCATTTCGGTTGCCCAACCAATAGATCGCCATGGCGGGGAGCAGCAGCAGCAGCACTACCACCCTCTTCACCAACGGCAAGATCTTTCTATCCGGTGTCGAGCCCGGGACCAACCCCTTCCCCAATCAACCGCCGACCTTCGCCGAGAGCCTCCTGATCCGGGACTCGACCATCGCCTTCGTCGGAGCCTCCGACTCCCCCGCCGTGAAAGATGCGCTCGCGCTCGCCGCCGCGGGGACGGAGGTCGCGGTCGTCGACCTGGCCGGCAAGACCATCCTGCCGGGCTTCATCGACGGGCACATGCACCTGATGCTGCTGGGCCAGTCCCTTCAGAAGCTCGACCTCGGGCACTGCAAGGACCTCGCCGACATCCAGGCCACCATATCAGCCCACGCGGCGGCCAACCCGCACCTCCCGCGCATCCTCTGCCGCGGCTGGATGCACTCCATGACGCCCGGCGGCGTGACGGCGCGCGACCTCGACGGCGTCGACCCGCTCGGCCGCGCCGTCCTCGTCGACACCAAGGACCTGCACAGCACGTGGGCCAACACCGCCGCCGTGGCCGCCCTCGGCGCCGACGCCTGGCCCGACGTCGTCGGCGGCGTCATCCAGCGGGACGCCGACGGCCGCGCCGACGGCCTCTTCAGCGAGGCCGCCAACATCACCTACGTCTGGCCGTACCTCACCGCCACCGCCAGCCTCGCCGACCGCGCCGCCGCCGTCCGCGCCGCCGTGCGCGCCTACCACGCCGAGGGCTACACGGGCATGATCGACATGGCCATGGACGAGGGCGGCTGGGAGGCGCTGCTGCACGCCGCCACTGCGGAGGAGAGCCCCCTGCCCATGCGCGTCGCCGCCTACTGGCTGATCAAGCCCATGGAGACCGACGCCGAGACCCTGGTGCAAGTGGACCGGGCCGCCGAGCTAGCGGCGCAGTACAACGCCCAAACCAGCCCGGACTGCCGCATCGTGGGCATCAAGGTGATCTGCGACGGCATCATCGACGCCTGCACGGCTGGTCTGACGGAGCCGTACCTGAGCGGCGTCGGCGCCGCCAACGACAGCTCAGACCTTCTTCACCCGGCACCCCTCTGGCCCGCCGACCGCCTCGCCCCCGTAGTCCGGCGCGCCACCGAGCTGGGCCTCCAGATCGCGCTGCACGCTATCGGCGACGCGACGATCAGCATGGTGGCCGACATCCTGGGCGCGCACGCGTCGCCGGCCCGGCGCCCGCGCATGGAGCACATCGAGCTGCCGTCCCGCCACGACGCCGCTCGCCTCGGCGCCCTGGGCATCACGGCGTCGGTGCAGCCCGTGCACGCCGACCCGGCCATCCTGCGGGCCTGGCCGCGCCTGCTGGGCGAGGCGCGCTGCGCGCGCGCGTTCCCGTACCGCGAGTTCGCCGACGGGGGCGCGCCCCTCGCCCTCGGCTCCGACAGCCCCACGGCGCCGCACGCGCCGCTGGGGAACGTCTACGTCGGCACCACGAGGAGGTCGTACCGCGAGCCGGCGCTGGGTACGGCGGTCAACGCGCACTTTGCGCTCGGGCTGTGCGAGGCCGTCGCGGCGGCGACGGAGGGGGCGGCGTATAGCTGCTTCGATGAGGGGAGGACGGGCCGGCTGGTTGAGGGGCTCAAGGCTGACTTTGTTGTCGTCGACATGCAGTGGGAGAAGACTAGGCTGTTGGAGGCGCGGATCGAGCAGACTTGGTTCGACGGGAAGAAGGTCTGGGACTGCGAGGGTTGAAGGTTATGAGACACCTACCATTTTTGATCATGATGCCGATAACGACGACGATGATGGTCTGTGAACTGCGATGATCAACACTTTGGGCAAATCGAAGCGTGACCTGATGGTGTTTCTTTTCTTTGTGTCTTCTTCTGCTTCTCTGGATATACCCACCAGCTGCTGGCCAGGCTGCAGTGAATGTCCCCGTATCCCACTTTTCACCTGTAGTACCGCCGCGGCCAGATGTTCATCGCCGTCTTCAACCCATCGCCAAGCGGTAGTCCCGCGTGCATCGTCCTCATGTCCCCCGTCCCGTTGGGATGCAAGTTGACCCAGAAGATGGCATTCCCCGCCACCGGCCGGAACGCCAGCCCGCCGTCCTCGTGCGCCCTCCACAGCGGCAGCGACCGCCCCTCCTCCTCCCCCCTGCCCTCACCCTCCTCCACCTCGCCTCCCCATATCTCGTCGCCCCACGGGCTCGGCGGGGCGGCCCCCTCCACGAACGGGAAGTGCGTCTCCCCCCCGGTGCAGTTATCCTGCAGGATGGCGAAGAAGCTAGCGAGGCGGTTCCACTTGCGCGAGTCGCCGGTCCCCACCGACTGGCGCGGCGAGTCGTACCAGTCGTGGTGCAGGTTGAACCTCTGGCCGGCGGCGCTGTAGCGGACCAGCTGGGTGGGCCCCATCTCGTCCCAGCCGTCGCGCATCATGGTCCCCATGAAGCGGCGGGCGCGGGCCAGGACGCACTCGACGACCGGGTCGTTGCCCGGCAGGCCGGCCGAGCTGGACGTGCGGTCCTTTGTGCGCAGCTCGCGCCCGTGCTTGATCACCTCCGAGGGGGCGAAGAGGGGCTCCGCTGTCGAGAGGAGGGATGACGTCTCGACTGGCGTGAGGAGGGAGTGGATGTAAACGACGAGGGGGTCGAGGGAGACGAGCTCCGTCTTGTAGGAGTGGCTGGTATCGCAGACAAAGGGCGGAGGTTCGGTCTCCGTCTCGGCGGTCTTGAGGAAGGGGATGGGGAAGGCGTAGTCTGGCATTTGCAGGTCGGGGACGAGGGAGAGCAAGGGGGCCGACAGCTTGACGACGTATGGGAAGGAGATGGCGAGCAGCGCCGAGCCCGCCGAGAGCCCGGCGACTTTGGCCAAGTTGCTCGGCATTGCGATAGTGACAACGGAACGGGGTATAATCAACAACGGACTTGCAACTGCTTCCTCTTTTTTCAGGGTCACGTCATTGGATAGGTACGAGATGTGAAGGCAACCGGGCAAAGAACAGTTGAAGCAGGCAGACACATAGATAACAGACTAAAATTAAAAGAGAGAAAAGGAAAAGAGGGGAGGGAGGCAACGCGACAGACTGGCTTCCTCAACAAGCCCAGCAGCAAACTAAGGGGTGTTCCCATCTCCCATCCCACGCTGGAACTTGGGGTTCCGAGAGCCACCAAGGGTATGCATGGGCACTGGGGCAGCTCAAATGCCGATTCACGTTACACACACCATGAACGGCGTTTCTCGATTCGGGGATAAGAATGGAGGCTGCCATCTCGTTGGTTCGGTGAACATAGCCGATGTGACTGGCAGACGCGTACATACACACCTTAAATCATGCCCGCTCAGCCATTGGCCCATGAGAGTGATACCATCACCAGTTTAACATGCCAAGCTTCCAAAACAAATTCCTGGTCGCAATGCGCAAGGGCGGATAAATGCTGGGTGGGGTGATCGCTTAGCAGTGCTAAGCGATCACTTAGCACTGCATTTGCCCCACCCCGGGGGTCCGCAGTCGGAAGCGTAGCCGAGACGGTGGGCAAGTTCGGGACCAGCCTCGCCGTTGTCCTTCTCTGGTCAAATTCTCCGTCGGGTTGCGGCCCGCAAAGAAAGCGCGCCGGGAATCCTTCGTTTTGCGGCCTGCCTCCCGTGGATGTTGACTATAAAATGATTCACTCCCCGAAATACTTGACCCCCTTTTCGTTCGGCGTCGTTGCTTCGTCTTCGGACCCAGAGACTCTCTGCTTCCAGTAGCCAGCCTTGGCTTGGTTAGACAGACCCCGCTGGAGACGATCACAGGGCAAACGATGAACGCAGACAAGAAGACTGGATCGGAATTTAAAGAATTTTTTATATTCTTAAAATAAAATAAAATCAAGAGACAAAATGTGCCGACATGTCATGGACGACAAGGCAAGGCTATCTCACAAAATACCCAACCCAAACGACCGATAGCTGTGCGGGTAGCAAACGAAGAACAAGGGGAAATATAATTGAAACACGGTGACGTGACTGTAGGTAGTCCCTTGGACCTAATCGTCACAGTCGTCGCCGAGGCTTGCAGGCGGTGTCAGCAAGGAGGAGCAGGCGCCTAGGCCACAGACATGCAGACATACAGAAGACATGTGTGCCATTTTGCTGTTCGACACCTTGCCTTGTGACGGATCCAGCCTACACGGCGCTGAGGTGGTTGTCAGCCGCGCTGTCTTTCTGCCCCCGGCTCGCCCCGAGTCTGCGTTTCGTCACGACTCTTTTCTCCTGGCGCCGTCGCCGGGCGCTCCTATGCGACCCTGGCCGCACGCCGGCCGAGGATGCTCGCGTTGCCCATGTTGAGCTCGAACGCGCCTTTCTGCTTCTGCCTGTCCTTGACTTGTTGCCTGGCCGCGGCAGCGACTGCGGCCGAGTGCTGGCCGTAACCCTTAGTCTCGTGCCGTTCCCGGTCTCGGCCGCGACGCTGGTCCTCGTCGTCCCGCGCGGTTGCATTGTCTCGAATATTTGCGTTGCGCATCACCTGCTCGATCCCCGTGTCTTTCTGGGCGCCGAAATCCGAATCCGAATCCTCGTCTTCGTCATCCTCGTCAACCACCTCGCTGAGTCCAGTGAGGCGGGACGGTGCGACACCGGCAGCCTTGGCACCGATCTGCTTGCGAAGCTTGCCTTCCTCTTCTTGTCGATGCACCGCGTAACTGATATCGAACACCTCCCGCAAGTTGACGGCGGCAGGCGACCGGAAGTCGTACCGCTTCTCGCCATCGACGAGCTTGGAAGCGTCAAAGGCGCGAAGCATGCCATTCGGCCCCATCACGTCCTTCTTGTCCACACGGGGACTGGGTCCCGAGAAACAGATCCAGGGGTGGTTGAGGAACTCTTTGATCGTGTATCGCTTTTCGGGATCGACCGTCAGGAGGTGTGAGATGAGGTCCTTGGCCGAGCTGCTGATATCGTCCCACCACGGTGAGAGGAAGGTGAACTGGCCCTTGGCGACTTTCTCCGTCAGGACTTCGATGCTCTCGTCATAGAACGGGGGAAATCCGCAGAGGAGCGTGTAGAGCACGCAGCCGAGTGCCCAGGTGTCGACCGACTTGGAGTACCGCTCGTCTTTCACAATCTCGGGTGCCGTATAGCCCACTGTGCCACACGGTGTCATGGTTTGAGTGTCCCAGACTACCTTGGACAGGCCGAAATCCGCAATCTTGATCCGCCCAATCCCGCCTGCTCCGACGTTCGGCACGAATTCGCCTTCGTCGACCTTGTCCTCGTCTCCCGGCGCCTTGGGCTTTGGGTGCTTGGCCGGCACGAACGGTATTGGCTCGAACAGGATGTTCTCCGGCTTGATGTCCCTGCATCGAGTCGAGTTAGCGCCGACAGTCCCCTACGTGTCTCTCGGAGGGGTTTCAAGCTTACCGATGAACGACGCCCCTCTCCTCGTGTAGGTACTCCAGGGCTTTTGCCACTTGTGTAATGACATGCCTCGACAGCTCTTCGCTAAAGTACGTGAGTCTGACGATCTGGTGGAAGAGTTCTCCGCCGGGAGCCAGCTCAAGAATGATGTAATAGTATTGGGGCGACTCGGCGAAGTCGATCAGTTTAATGATATTGGGGTGGTCTAGTTGACGCATGATCTGCACCTCTTTGAGGATATTTGCCCTCTGTTAAAAGCAAGTCGTATTAGCAACTGCGATTGTCAATGCTTGCCAGCAGGTGACAGAAAAGCAAGCCTCAAACGGAAAGGAAAGGAAGGTCTCTCGCCTCTGCAGCTCTGGGAGCTTTTGGCTTGAAGTCCGGATGGAGAAGCTTATGTCCCTAGAAACGGTACCCAGTTGGTAAAGGGAAACTTAAAACAAATAAAGGAAAGGAGGAGCGAGGAAAAGGATAGACTATCAAGGAAGGGAACTCTTGTTGGGGAGCAAGGTTGCTTGCCCCAGAGTCCAGAGTTCCCCAGTCTGCCACGTACCTGCATGTTGTTCATCTCAAACTTGCGGACGACCTTGATTGCGACCTCCCCAGCTCCGCCTTCCACGTCGCGCGCGCGGTAGACGTTGCTGAAGGCTCCATCGCCCATCTTCTCGACGAGTTCCCACCGCTCCAGGCCCGGATACCTTGGGAATTTGCCTCGGCTGGCATTCTCTTCGGCAACCAGCTTTGCGATGTTGTGGTCGTCAAGCCGCTGGTTCTTGGCCTTGGAGATAGATTGGCCTGCCTCGACATGGTGAGCGGCGGCGTGGCCGGCCTGGGCGGCACGGTTCTGGGCACCACCGGGTGCCGCCGCGGAGAAAGCGTCAGGGACTGCTTGGTGGTGGCCAGCAGGTGCATGTCCAAAGACGGGTTCCGATACGTTGGGCGCAGTGTGTCTTTGCGGAAGAGGTTGTTCCTGCTGGGGTGGGGAGTTGTCTCGCTTCACCCGTGGCTGCTCATCGGGATTACCTCCTCGAGCTTGCTTTCCTGTCGGGCGAGGGTCGAGATCAGCCGATCCGAAGCAAACGGCGACACAAGGAGATATGCGCAAGTAGAACTGCAGGGGTACCCGGGGACGCAACAGCACATACCATGACGGATGAAGTTTTTGAGCTGCTGCATTGTCGACATGCTGCCGGCTGGATGCTCCGGGGCACGAGAGATACTCTGGGTGCTAAGAAGTTACGAGGCAGGGGGAATGTAGTGCGTTAAGGTACGTTGTGGAGGCACATATGAACAAGGGGGAGGAACAGAAGGTAGGGTAGGGAAGAAAGGTAGTGGGTAGTTGGGAAGGTAGATAGGTGAAGTGGAAGTGGGAAAGAGAGGCGATGTTTCAGAGTCGAGAGTGCAGGCCTATTGACGGCGATGACGGAAACCGTGGTCAATCCTCAGCAATGACGAGCGTCGGAAAAGCAGCGTTGAGGTTGGACCCCGGTGGAACCTGATGATAAATACGGGAGCGGGAGCGGCAAGTTGAGGTCACCGTGGCTGCACAATACCGAACCAAGGCACTGGTGGTCTTAGGCGGGTTGAGATGAAGGATGGAATGCTGACGGGTGTTGATTGCCAGGACGCCCTCTGTGGCAAAGAAAGCCGACAAGGTAACAGGGTGACAGAGCGAGTCGGCGGTCACTACTGCAGCTTCATTTACTTCCGATAGCTGACTGCTGCGACAAGCGGGCCTCTTCCACCTATTCGGATGGGATTGGTGATTTGCGGCTCACGCGGGTTGTGTCATCGTTCATCATAGGGGGGGAAATGAATGGTAAGTTGAGGCGGGGGCAAAAAAAAACGAAAAATAGGTTAGTTGAAGGGAGAGGTGCTGCTCGCTAACCCGGGAAATAGGTGGGTCTAGGTGTTTGTCCTCGAGGTAAGGCGAGAATCAAATCTGCGTGCCTCGCGACCGAGATGGAGTAAATGAGATGCGTGCCTGGAGGGTCGTCGAGGAGATGAAGGCCCGGCGACAACGGGAAGGAAAGTTTGAAGAGAAAAGGCACTTCGAAAATCAAGAAAGCTGGGTCAAGCAAGGCGCCTGGGAATCCCACCTCTAGCGCACTATGGCAGGTGGGTGCGACAGCGGCTTGGCAGGGAAGAGACGGGCAACCCCGGACGATAATGACGTAGTTTGCAGCGTCATCCCTCCTCTGGTGTCTTGGCCCTCTTGAGCGATGCAATAGCGCATGACTGGTTCACTGTTAGTGCAGTGCAGTCACGAGTACAGGGTTGTATAAATAAAGTACCTAGGCGCCTACCCTGATGACGGGTCGCCAATCTCAGGGTTTAGATAATCCAATGTGATCAGCTGAGGCAGGTACCACGGACAAGCTGAAGGGATCCATGCCGCGATCCATTACCTTCCAGGTTCCTTACCAACCTGACATGGAAGTGTGTACCAATGTAGAACTAGCTGAGCACTAGGCTGAGGAGGCTGAGCGCCTAACAAAAAAAACACCAAAAACCCAAGAACGGGCTCGGGGTGATGAGTGTGCCCGGATCCCGGCACGCTGAGTATGCCTAGGGTAGTGCCCGGGCGCTATCTATGACTCAGGTGGATACCTACAGATATGCGTACAGTCAACGGCGACTGGCATTTTGCCAAAGGACCCTATTCATTTTCCACGTTTTCGGCTTCCCTTTTGGAGATGGCTTGGCTTGGCTCGAATACCTACGAATACCAACAGAGTACACAGATGCCGCCAATTACTGATTGATCCTCATCTGCGACCCTCGACGGTGACATAATTCTCTTTGGTCCGACCCATTCCTTCTAGCTGAGGCTTTTGGTGTGGTCATCGCAGGATCCCGTCCATCGTTTCCGTTCCCGGCGCCCTGTCCCGTCGCGGTGCCTTGTTTGAAGGTCCAGGCCTGGGAAGAGGCTCCGGCTCCCCGTCCGGAGCAGATGCGCCCCTGCAGGTCGACATGGTGATGTGCAATACTGCGCACTATTGTAAACCTAAGGGTACTAGGTAATAGGACGCTGACGTCATAAGCCATCCCCGCCATTTGCCTTCCTTTACCACAGTAAATTGCTGCTTGTTATAGCGTGTCCTAGCGCGTCCTGCCTCGCGAGGCGAAATTTTCAAATTCCGCGCCTGGGTGCCCATCTTCCGCTGCAACCTGGGACTCGGGCGGAATTATCAGAAATTATCTAAAGGCATGTACGAGTTTAAGCGTACGCCTACCGACGCCCCCAACCAGAATTTGTGCCTTTTCCTTCGGCTTTTCAACTTCCAGCGGTCCATCGACAATGCGGAGATCTTCCGACGGCCTGAGATGCCTGGCCCCTTGCGTAGATAGTGTCCACTGGTGCACTATACATAGGTAGTTGTGCATAAGGCTACCTATCAGGTCTGCCGGTGCATAACTAGGTACCCAGCTAAGCAGCACCCAATATGGACTGATTTGTGGCGCACTTTCATGGATCTTTTTGACAAGTTTTTGCCCTCCCGCAAAACAAGAGTTGAGCCCAACCAGCCGCCATCGCGCGTGAGGACGAAGGAAGTCGGTCTCCCCTTCGGCAATATGGATTCGTATGACATAATCATCATCGGCGCCGGGCTCAGCGGCATCAACTCGGCATACCGGCTCCAGACCGAGCTACCCGGCCACAGCTTCCTCATTCTCGAGTCACGGGATTCCATCGGCGGCACATGGGGCTTCTGGAAATACCCCGGCGTCCGCTCCGATAGCGCCATGGGCGTGTTCGGCCTTTCGTGGTACCCGTGGCCGCACGACACCAACATGGGAGACGCACATCTGATCAGGGACTACATCGAGGATGCCGCTGCCTCGCGCGGCATCGACTCCAAGATCCGCTTCGGCCATCGCGTCGCCGGCATGTCGTGGAGCAGCGAGGAGCAGAGATGGACGCTGAGCGTCACCGCTTCCGGCCCTTCCGGCCTGGACGGTGCTGGAAAGAGGGAGTTCTCGCTCAGCGCCAAGTGGGTGATCAACTGCGGCGGGTATTACAACTACGAGAAGCCCCTGCCGGTGGTGATTCCAGGCATTGAGAAGTTCAAGGGCGAGGTGGTGCACCCGCAGTTCTGGGGCGACGAGATCGACCATGCGGGGAAGGAGATCGTCGTCATCGGCTCCGGGGCTACCGCCGTCACCTTATTGCCGGCCCTCGCCGAGACGGCCGCAAGTGTGACGATATTGCAGCGGAGCCCGTCGTATGTCTTCAGCCTCGACGGCAAGGATAGCACAATCACCTTTCTCCGGAGGTGGCTGCCCTCGCGATGGGCTTCGACAATCAACTGGTGGCGGACCATGATATCCGAGATTTTTTTCGTCTCTGTCTTGGCGAACTTCCCCAACCTTGGAAGGATGTTGATCAGGTATGCGACGAAGAAGCAGCTGCCCCCGGGCTTGGATGTGGACAAGCACTTCAATCCGCGATACAACCCGCTCGACCAGCGCCTCTGCCTGTGCCCGGACGGCAACTTCTTCGAGGCCCTCCGAAAGCCCCACTGTGACATCGTCACCGACACCATCGAGACCGTGACCGAGACGGGCATCCTAACCACGTCGGGCTGCACCCTTAAGGCAGACATGATCGTCACGGCGACGGGCCTGCTCATGGGCCTGCTCGGCGGCCTCGAGGTGACCATCGACGGCGAGCGCGTGTCGGAGCGCATCGCCGAGCGCTACTGCTGGCACAGCAGCATGCTCGAGGGCATACCCAACACGGGCACCGTGGCCGGCTACACGGCGTCGACCTGGACGCCCGGCGCCGACGCGCACGTGCGCATGCTGATCAGGGTCATCAAGCACATGGACCGCGTCGGCGCCACGTCCGCAGTGCCCTTCATCGACCCGGAGCGGAGGAAGTCCTTCCCGCAGAAGCCGGCGGTGACCAACAGCTCGACCTACATCGTCAGCGCCAAGGATAGGCTGCCCATCGTTGCGGACGTGGGGCCGTGGAGGAACGGCAAGAGCTGGTTGGCGGATATGTGGCAGCTGAGGTTTGGGAGCGTGACTGACGGGATGAGGTATACCGTGCCGGAGGGCAAGGCGAAGGGGGATTAAGAGAGGGGGGACCTGTTCGAATTAGGTGCTGGTCTTGCCACTTCTGGGCACGGATTTATCTAATTAATATTTACTCAAGTGCGTGGGCTGGTTAGAATAGAAGATAGCGCGTTATTTTGCCATGATCACCCCCGAGAAAATGACTCGGCGTCTAAATAATGGTCCACTATTCCCGTGTTCCGGTTGAGAAAGGACCGCTGGATTCCGTCACCCGAGGGCCACTTGAACGATCTCCGTGCAGAGGATTCCACAACACCAGAAGATCTTATCGGGAGGGGGTTGAGAACTCGGGGAGGCGGTGACGAAGTCAATAAAGCGCCTCCATCATCATCAGGGGAAGCAAGAAACAGGATTTCTCGATCAATACGTCATCTTCCGGGGCCGAAGGTGGACTCGGTAGCATCGTGAACGCGATGATCATCAGCGACCGACCACTCACAGCATCCGCGGCGGCGTGTCAAATGCACACCATCTCTAGACTTGATCTCGGTTAACAATTGATTCCCCCTTCTATCTCAAATGCTGTCCGAGTGAGTCTGATATAACTTGTGGCGAGACTCTAGAGCTTGGCAACTTGCACAGACACCGCGTTGTACGGGGCTAATCTTCCGGATTGAACAGTCCCGCAACTGGTAGCCGCCGTTGCCACTAGGTTGGTGTCCCGGAGGGATGTGCAGTATGACGCCTTGAAATCGCAAAGTTTAGAGTTACGACGGTCGTGAAATCAGCCCCCAACGCAAACAGCGTCTGAGTCAAAAGAAGAAAGGGCCATGAACGATCAGCCCGCCAGGTCTAGACCACCTTGAAATGCCGGCAAAGCTCCAGCCCGGAGATTCAGCCAAGTTCTTGTCTCCAAACAAGTTTGTTGTCGTGCCAAATTAATTACCACGTGTATCACAGCTCCCTCGTGCAGTCGATTTGCCCATTGTCTTGCCAGCCCGTCAAGACCCGCAGAACAGTCCAGACGCTCTTCCAAGTCAGTGACACAGCAATGGTCGAGCGCCTCCAGCCCGAACTCGGGAGGCGTTGCTCTGGTTTCAGCTCGCTGCTGGCCAGGAGGACCCTGTGGCTGTATGTTATCCACTAATTCTGAGGTTCTGCCAAGCTTCCTAAGATCCAGTATGACGACTTACACGAACGAGAGGGCGGGCCGCGAGATACGAGGATACGCTATCGGTGGTCCGTCTGTTGATAATTGGCAGACAAAACCAAGGCGCTGGTTTACATGTACGGGACGGAAACATTTGCGGGCCCCCTTGCCTGGCTTGGCAAGAGGTCTGGACTTGGTTCTGTCAAGGTTCCCCTGAGAGGTCGTTGGAGTTGGATAGGGCTCTGCATGTCTCACATGTGGGTTTGTGGGGTTTAGGTGGGGTTCGGTCCGAATCTTGGCTGCTTCGATACCTTTGTCAGCTAACAATTCTTTTTTTTACGATTGTTGCCCTTGCATTTACTTATCGTTGCTTCCTTTTTCCAAGACCTGCTGCATCATGGCGCCAAATAATATCAACCAAGGTGCGAACGTGTCCGATCTTGAGAAAATCCAAAAGACGTTGATGGGTTTATGATATGGAACAAGCTCAATGGGCAAGCATCATACTCTTCCCATTCATTGTAAAGGTGGAATATTTACTCCTTGTCATTGTTCTCCATTGCTACTATTTTCTCGGTTGCAAACAGAACAACCCATTGTGCTAGGTGGAGCGAAATGCAAGGGGACGGTAATGATAGTAGGAGACGAAAAGAAGAAAATCAGAGGGGGAAAATAAAAATAAAAAACAATTACCCTCCGCCGCCAGTTCGTTTAGGTTTGAGTGGCTTACACTATCAGAAAGTCCGGCTCACTTTCAGGACCACGAGACATACATACAGCTAGCAGCCACCGAGCCAGCGCTACCCTACGATCGACTGTTTCATTGCCGCAAAAAAACATCAATCTTGAGATTACATGGTGCTATTGCGGCTAGGCGACGATGGCCTCAAGCAGGAGGCAGGAGAAGGAGCTCCCTTCACGGGTATAAGAAGGCATCCATCTGCCCCGTCAGTGCAACTCTCTCATCCAGCAGCCAGCATCTCAACCAGGTCGATAAAAGTCACTCGTTAGACAACATCTCGCACTCTTTTACCACTGCTTTACCACAGTCGTTCTCGCAGCCTACCTCAGTCACAGTCACTCTTTCTATAACATCAATACTCTGCCACCTCTCTTCTTCTACAATGGACCCTATTTCGAGCGTCAACGTCTTCTGTGGCGATGGGACCACCTGCTACTTTGATAATATCACGCCTCTGTACTCTGACTGCGGCAAGATCATCATCCCTATCGGAACCTACCCCCACCAAGTCGAGGTCAACCCGACCGCCATCACCATCATCCCCACTCGTCCGACTGTGAGTTTCCCCGCCGAGTCTTGGGAGTCTCAGTTTCCCATGTCCCAGTCAAGGCCGCCTAACAACTAACGTCTGAAATCATGCAGCCCACCACGACCTCGTGCACCACCCTCCAGACCGCTACAACTACCCATTATGGACGTGGAGACGGAAACGGAAACGGTCACGGAAATGGAGACGGGCATGGACATGGAGGACCTGGAGGACATGGCGGATCCTACCCCACTCCACCAGCCTACTGCAAGGACCCCCTCATCGATATCGTCGTCAACCTTCTGGGCCTGAACATCGACATCGCCGCCTACCTGGACCTCTCAGGCCTCCTAGAGGGCGTCGGCGAGCTCCTGAGCGGCCTCCTCGGCGGCGGCGGCAGGCACGGGCGCCCGACCTCGATCAAGCGCCGGTACGAGGCGCACTGCGGCGCGACTCTGGAGCACTGCCGGGCCGGCCGCGAGATCAACCGGACGACGTCGACGGGCCACGAGGACTGCGTGTCGCGGTGCGAGCGGGCCGGCATCGAGGCCTCGGTGCGGCTCGGCAACCTCGTCGACTGCCTCGGCGTCACGCTGGACCGCGGCATCAGCGTCGACAACTGCCTGTTTGTGCTGGGCGACCGCAAGCACCTGCTCGACCTCGACATCGATCTGCTTGGCGGGAATGATCACACTGACTCGCTCATCAACCTCGACCTTAACATCGGATGAGCTGCTGCTGCGCCCGCCCGATCACTTGCCTCTCCTCACGAGATTTCGTGACTAGGCTGGGCGGATTTTCTGATTGCGCGGAGTGAACGTCAGACATATGATTCTTTCTACGGCAGCGTCACTTAGACAACTTTTTGGGGGTTAGAAAAGAGGATTGGGGACGGAGGATTCTTCTGGGGGCAGTATTCAGATATTTACCATTCATCTTAATTAGTATTATTAGTATTTGTTCTTAGTTGGTATCAATAAACTTCAATCTTGCTGCAGAAGTTTTGCATGGGTCTGGTTCATACTTTGACTCTGGGCTTCAGACTAGGTACCTTCCTCTAGTTAGTGAAACCGAGGTTCTCAAGGTGGCATTGTTGCCACATTGCTGCCAGAATCTTGCCCTCCCAGAGCTGCATATGCTCCACCACATCAACAGGCGCAAAACTGTCGTTATTAAGCAGGGCGTGCACAGGCAGACACTGGATGCCACACAGGAGCCTGGTGAATCTGGTTGGCAGTGCTCTGCAACTGAGAAGCCTTTCACTTCAAGACAGTCCGCGCACCGTTCTCAAGTGAATGAAACTGTCAAGGATTATATATAGCTTCTCCAATATGGCTTCCACTGTGGTACTCTACACAGCAAGGCAGCTTTTTCGAAAGCACGACCACTCCAAACTCCTCTCAACCATCTCGACTCCACCCCGCCCAACGCCATCAAAATGGACACGGAGGGCCAACCCCGACGATTCGTTGAGAGCGACAGCCCGGATGGCGAGTTTCTGGCACGGGCTACTTACGACCCGGCGGCGCCTCTGCGTAGCCCAAGGCACATGCTGCCTTCTTCGACTAGCCGAGTGGCCATGGCCATCGGCAAGCATCGAATCCTCGAGCCTTTTGACCTCGCGGATCAGGACCACGAGAGCATGCGGGACACTCTCTTGGGAATTCTCCAGCAGGACCAGTGGTCCTGTCTTGCTGTTGTCCGCGTTGGTTTCAGAGGTGCCGACGTGTATGAGTTTCCCGTCACCGTCCTGATCTCGGTCAAGCCTTGTGCAATGACTACTAGTCGAGCTGTCGAGAATGTCAACAAAGCTGCCGATTGCATCTATGGGTTCGTTCAGATGCCTAGACTCCACGCTCACCTTTGCCCCTCAGTTTATCCTGCGTCTTACTAACTTGCTCTCAGTTTCCACGAGCTTCGTGATGTGGCAATCGAAGTCGTCGAGGCCGGTTTCTCTCCTTCTCATGAGAAGTACACCATATTGGAACTAGGCTGCGCTTTCGAAGACTGCTACTCTGCTAATCCTGCCATGGGCGCAAGTCTCGGTCTGTCCGGCAGTTTTGGCAGCGGCTCCTTGGGTGGCTACCTCCGACTGCGAATCAGGTCCAATGCCGAAGAGAATGCCACATACCTGGCTCTTACATGTCATCATGTCCTGTCCGGTGTGTACTATATTCTAAATCTCCTGTTACCCCGCCATGTCCTGTTCTAACAAGTGTGCAAGATGGGCCAGACCCTGTTCCTCTCGCCAGCTCAAATGCAACCGTCGAATGTCCTTCCCCTGCCGACGACGACGTCTAGAAGACTGTGTTGGAGGACGGGAAAGACATGGTTGAAGATTCGCGACACCTTCAGCACCTTAAGGTTCTGCGAGACGCCATGCAGATCAAGCCAGCACAAGCGAAGGCTCTTTCTAAAGCCGAAGAGGAAGCAGCCCTAGACCGGGCTTTGCACGAGAAGGCTCTGGCCTTCAACACTCGTTTCGGCAATGTCTATCGTACCTCGGGACTTGGCAGAACGGCTGCTGGGTCGGATTTCCTCCTCGACTGGGGCCTAGTCGAGCTGGATGCAGAGCGAGTCAAGAACCCGGACGATTTATCTGCATATAATGTATTTGTCATTCCTGCTCTTGTCCCCATCTCCTTTTCATATTACCCAGCTGGCAACTGACTGAGTTTGAATGTAGGCACTCGACTTCGACGCCATTCGATACTGCAAAAAGGTGCTGCGCCCGCAAGCAAAGCACATTCAAGTCAATGCAGCAGATATCCAGAGTGGGACAGGTACCCTACGAGCAGAGGAGATTCAGGGTCTTATTGCCGACCCCGACAGCCCCAAGAAGGCTCTCGTGTTCAAGGTTGGACGAACACAGGGACGACGGTTGGCATGTTGAACCAGATCCATCCCAGTGTTCGCATGGAGTACGAAATTGATGGGAAGACGAAGATCGTCGTGGCCAAAATGCTTCTGGCCGTGGCACCCAAGGGAACCAAGTGGTGGGTTGGCAGGGGCGGCATCATCAATACCTTTGGCTACGATGGCGATTCGGGTTCCCCTGTCTACGACTACAGCGGCAAGCGGCTCGGTATGTACGTTGAAGGACAGACCAAGGACAAGCACGGCGATCCCTCTCCGCCATCCGTGAATGGATTGTACTTTGTCACACCCATAGGCCCTACCGTCAAGGATATCCTTACTACCCTGCGTGGGGACCCCGGCTGTGCTGGTTGTAACCTAGAGATCGACACCGAATGGGAAGCGCCGGACGAACCGTAGGAGCAGGACGGCCAGGCATCCAGCTTCAACAGGCTCTTTACCTGGGTGCAGCATCTGCTGCAGCTGCTGCGCCAGATCTGGTGCGTTGCTCCCCAGAAGTGCGAGGGTTATCCAGCACCACTAGGGCTGGAAGACGGAAGGAAGGATACACTCCACTCTCTAGATAGACTTTCATAGCTGGCAACTTTCTCCCATCATAATTCCTTGCCTGTGCTTGTTGGTTCAGGTAGCTATGTGGCATTTGTTGATGTCGTATGCTGTGAGGGCAAAAAAAATCGTATCTCTGACTGGTCCATTTGCGACTTTGTCATTCTCTTCGCCGTTTTCTAGTGGTAGGAGAATTGCCAAAATTTACGCGTTAAAATCAAATCGACGCCCCCTACAGCACCTTTCCAAAGCCAAGTTTACCAGTCTCAGAGAACAACTCCGCGGTGCTACCTGGACGGTACTCATAGCATAGCTAGATCGGCTACCGTCACGACTGAAATACCTATCCATCTCCTCTACGATTCTGGAAACGAAACTGCCTTTGACTGCGCATAGGGTGCTTGTAAGTAACGGGGCGATGTAGGTACATTTTGGTCGGCAATTGGTTTAGTTAGCTAGCAAAGTTTCTTTGGCTCAGGGCACATGAAACGTGAGAGTGCAGGTTATGGTGGCAAAGAGAGTATTGTATCTTATCTACCTAGGGGAAGCCCGATAGAGTCATGAACAAGTCTCTAAAGTCCATCACCAAAACTCGCAAATCTTGACTAGCAGATGCCAGTGTCCGTCCTTCTGCGGTGCCGGAATCAGGCATCGGCAAAGGGTGGCCACGGTCCTGCAAGCATTTGCCAGGGCCTTAGATGGCAAGTCTCTCGACCTTGTCCCTGAGCGCCTTGATCTGCCCCGCCAGGCTGCTGCCCTCGTTCGCGTTGATGCTGGCGGCGATGACGGACCGGCTGACACCGCAGGCCCTGCCGAGCTGCACCTTGCTGGGCACGTAGACGTACGGCACGTTCTTGTCCTCGGCGAGAAGGGGGAGGTGGAGGATGATCGCCAGGGGGCTGGTGTCGGCGGCGAGAACGGCCAGCTCGCAAACGCCTCGGTTCACGGCCTTGGTGACTGCCCGATGGAGGATTAGCAACTGGAAGACTAAACGGGGGGCGCCGCGACGCTGGGCTGACGAACCTTCGTTGGCACCTTTCTTGGCCTGGCGATAATGCGTGGCTGTTTGGAGAAGATCCAGAATCTCCTGGGTCAGGGCAGGATCGGCCAGCGGCCAAGCTGATGGTCTGGTCAGTCACGAGAAGCCCCGGCAAACGAGGCAGGAAAGGGCGGGATAAATTTACCTGCGGCATCGGAAGCGGGCTGAGACATTGTTGCGGAAAGCGACTCGCCTGTGAGAGGTTCACTGTCGTGGCTGTTGAGGGAGGATTTCGTTTGAAGGTGGTGGTGAGCAAGGAAACGAAAAGTTAGAAATTTTTCAGGTACCAGGGCAGAAAAACGATCACCAACCATCCATTCAGGTTTCGTCCTAATCAGGAAGGCGGTCAATGGAGGTACTTAGGTACACGTGCCAGTAGGTGGGTCCTTGTGTCTATCAACCAAGCAGAGCGGTCAAAAACAACAGTCCCAACAGGAGGAAATTCCACAGGGCATGTTGAATTATGAGATATGGTTGAACTTGCGTATAATCATCTGCCAGGCACGCAGGTCAGCTATTTGTCGCCTGTTTGTTTGTTCGTTCGTTTGAACAAGAGTTGGACAAGGACACAGTGAAGACAAAGGTTCCATTCTTTCAGGCAGAAAAGGAGGTACTCAGCTGGGTGCCTAGGCTTGCTCAGTACCTGACTTTTGCAAGGAGAGTTGGAATGGCTGTCCTCCCTTGACGCCAGAGTTGCGATTAAAGCAGCTAATTAAACCAAGCCAGGAGCAGAAGCCGGCGTATTTCTGATTGATGGTTGCATTGTTGGCTTCCAAAATGACCATCTTGACGACCGCAGTTGAGTCCCTGTGGTTCTAAGGTAGCCTCTGCTTGCGTGACACTTTGAGTTGCAGATATAACTGTCCTGATGCCTGTCCTGACGTCTAGAATATTTGATGAAAACCACATGTAATTAGAAGGAGTGCAACACACTATTATTTGATCTGGCTCAAACATCCAGGGCCAGGGCAATACAAGAGCTTGATTAACCGGCACTCTCCAGTCCTCCACTTCGCAGTTCCACTGTGCTCTGCTCTCTGTGATCTCCACTTCCCCCATGGCTTGGTCATGCAATCTTCGCCAGCTCAGGGGATGGGAGAGAGGGGAGTTGTTGATTACACGTATCCTCTCGCGATTGCCAAAACCCCAAGATGGCCCCTGGCCCATTCACAGGCACTCTTCCAAGTTCCCTTCACCGCATCAACAGCCCCCTTTGCAGCCTCGACCGCCAGTACCCCAACTCGGTATAGCCCGTAGGAGACGGTGCCAATGATGGCCGCAGCCAAAATCAAGCCAAACAAGAGGCCCGCAAAGCGACTCCAGTAGGACCAGAAGAAGGATACGACTGGTCTGACCCTGGACTGCTTGGAGATCGGGGACGGCGCTGTGTTCCAGATTGGAAGGCTCTGGGAGCCGCGGGGCAGACTCGCCTGGTGGCATACGGAGGTGCTCGGATCGGGGATGGTGCCGTAGGAGGTGCTCTGGAGGGCCCCCGGCTCGAAAGATTGTCGAGACCGACGCGCGTATTCGCTGACGTGATGCCACTGGATGCCGTGCATCAAGCCGTCGGTTTCGGTGGGACGAGAAGTCGAAGGGAGTGGTCGCGACAATCTGTTTTCCGAGGTCGGACTTGTAGTCGGGGAGATCGTGTGGGTGCGTTGGATGTAATCGGCCAGGTCTTGGTACGACGCCTCCGTCAGGCCGAAATCTTTGCCGCAGCGGACGTAGATCTCCAGCATGGAGAACGGTAAGGTGTACGGCGCCTTGGTATTGATGTAGGATTTCTTGGGTAGGGACCGGCCTTCTCGAAGATAAAGGAGGGTGCCATTGTCTGGGTGAGTCGAGGACGGATGGATGGGAAGATACTCCAGTCTTACTGTGCGGCTGTGCGCATGCTTCACAGAAAGATCCACTTCTCTGAAGGATGTTATCTGAGGGAGTAAGTCTGTCTGTTCATGAGGACTGGGGAGGGAAGGTTGAAGTACAATAAGGATGACAACCTTCCCGTCGGATTCCTCAGGGGAGAGAATCACGACGGGATGACCGTAACACCCGTCACTCAATCCGGTATTGTCCGGCTCTTTTTTCTCCGGCAGCCGCATGATATTCCCAGCTAGGGTTAAGTGCGCCGAGGGTCTGGAGCGGCCCGACCGCTCTTTTCTCGATCTTCTCGATCTTCGTCCTGGGAGGTTTGCGGCCGTTACCCCGGGCATTTTTGCGAATATTGAAACCAGATTGCAACCAAGAGGAGGAAATAGGAGGAACAACCACAATACAATACATGACCGACGAGTTTCCTGGAAGAAGTACGACGGCCTCCAGAGGTGGGGTTGAGATGGGTCGCTTGGAGTTGGGTCGCAGAAGCTGGCCAACAGACTGACATCTTAATCAGCCTTGCCAATCACCAACAGGCAGCCATTGTGAGGGCAATTTGAGTGGCTCACAACAATCCTAACACGATCCACGTGGGAACTTGTCGTCGAATAATTCTGCACAGAGGATGGCAGCATTTGTGACCAAGTCTGAATCTTGTCGCTCTTGTCACTTTCCTTTTGTCTTCCGACATTTTTGCCTTCCTTGCTTTATTGACATAATTGAGAGGTGTACTGACCTTTATGTGGGTTTTTGTTTTATTTTTATCTCTGGCTTGTTTCATTCCATCTTGACTTGCTTTGGTCTTCTCTGTCCTAATATAATTATATGTAGCAGTGGCTGTACGCTTGAAGGTGTTGTCAATTAGTTATAAGGTCTTACATACCTATATAATTTAGTGATGATAGGTACTCGAAGACAGGATCAAAGTTAATACCCTGAACCCTTTTGCATCCAATCCAAAGTTGCCTAGGGCCGGCCCGAAACACCCCCCAGACTTGCCCATGCAAGATGACATTCCCAACTGGAGAAAGGAGATTCTTCTAGATTTCGTCAAGCATCACAACTCCACATGCCCAAGCATGATATGGTAATTACATAATCTAGCACCCTCACCGGGCTCCAACGACCTAGGATCTGGATCTAGGGTAGATCATCTCCATCAGATACCCCTTAGAGGAGCGTGTTCTAATGGAAAATCTGCCGCAATCTACCGACGACTGCAACGCTCCCCTCAGCCACGCAATTCTCGTTTGCGTTTACCCAGGTTGCAGAGTCGTCTTCAGACAGCGCTGAACGAACTGGAGGGCGATCATGTCAACTTCTCCTCGTTCTCTTTAATGAGGCTAAATCAGCGCTCCCGCGAGCCGAACCATAACCACGTGTATTAGATTGATCTGGAGAATCTCCCACCAATGACTTTTGGATCATTAATAATGTACCAAATCGAGGACGGTTGCGCGAAATGGACGGTGCGTAAGACCTTCGCCACTTGCTAGTAGCCATCCAATTGGGATCTTACCGTTGATGTTGATACGCCCACTCTTATGATTTACGATTGGTTCATGGGGCAACTACCGCGCTTTTCACCTCCTTTTCAACTTCCTTCATAGTGAGGGGTCCTAATTAGATGCTTCCAGCCAGATGCAAGTCGTAGTTGTTATAATCTAAGCATTGTCTTGGCACATCCTCTTGTAGAGTTTGAATCTCTACACTATACCTCAGAGCCCTGATGCTGTAGCAAAATCAGTTGCATATCGATGCCCTCGATGTCCTCGACGCTCTTAGACAGTTGGATAGGAAGGCCTAAGAACCACGTGTTTGGTGTTAGGGAAAAAAAACCGAACAATCAATTAACTGATTAATTTCTCTTTCTTACAAGTTGATTACCGCCTTTCAGTTTGGAACTGCAAAGCTTGGCGTTGACAGCTCCGATCTCACCATATGATAGAATCCTAGTACGGCACTTCTTGTCGACAATGGTGCTTCCTGGATTCGTGCTTCCTGGATTCCCGGTTACAGAACCCGGCGTTCCTGCTTCCGTGTTAATATCTCCTCAGAATCTTCCAATGAGCCTTCCATCGCTTTTGCCACCATCCTGGCGCCCGGCCAGCTTGATCGGTTATTGTTCTTCAGGTGTAGGGAAGTTGATTTGACATCCCTGGCCAACCATGGAGCAGGCAATGGTTTCGAGATGACCATTGCGGAAAAGTTACCAGCGTCGTCCCCACTTGATCCGGTTGCCGATTGGATTAGACTGTCGAAACAATTTCTATATCGAACGCAAAAGTGTCGTTCCGCAGATAATTACGCGGACAATTCCTTGGGTGGCCATGTAACATAATTATAAGGTAATTATAGCGTTATTTCTCCCGGACCCCTGATCTTGACCGATTTCACCCCACATCCCGTGCCGATCGGGCAGGACCGTGGAGGGATTAGATGGGCATCTGCCGGGAAAGAGCCTCCTGGACCTGCCTTCAATATCGGTCCACGTAATGGTAATCGTAAGCCTTGGTTAGAGGAACGTTCCAACCGGCCAAGAAGACTAGTGCCCCAGTGCCCAATTACACGAGCAATGATCAATGGTATAAAATAGACCACAAGTGAACCGCTCGATCCCTTGCTGGTGATGTGGTTCCGGAAGCTAGCCGACTGAGAATAACGTTCGCAAGGCAATCCCTAGGCATCTCCACGACCATGGCAAAGCTCCAATCTTTGTTGGCTGCCCTCTTGGCGGGCTCGTCCATCCTCGGCGGTGTCCTGGCCCATCCGGGCGAGACCCACTCCGTCCAGAAGGTCAAGAAGAGCATTGCCGAGCGAGACCTTGCGATTGCCCATTCCAAGCGCGTCACGCAACAGTGCGCGGCCAAGCCCAAGCACCGCTCCCTCCAGGCGCGGTCGGCTGCTCGCCGGTCGATGACGGCTCAGCTCCTCCGCGAGAAGCGTGGCATCGTCGACAGTGAGTACTGGAGCCGATTTATCGTGGGAGCCTAGAAATTTGGACCATCTCGTTTCGTCATTGAACCTAAGGCTGATACACATATATTTTCTGTAATTAGAGCCCATGATTGCGCGTCGCGACCAAGACGCCCTCGACGCCTGGCTCAACACGTGCCACGACCAGGGTGCCTCGGTCGAGTATGAACTCTCCACTGAGGAGTCGGTCATCTTCACGTCCAACGCGACGACGGCACTTACGCCCGAGACCATCATCGGGCCGTACTTTGTGGCGGGCGAGCACATCCGCAGCAACATCACCGAGGGCCAGGCCGGGGTGCCGATCCACCTGGACATCCAGTTTATCGACATCGAGACGTGCGAGCCCGTGCCCAACATGCTCGTCGACGTGTGGCACTCCAACGCCACGGGCTCGTACTCAGGCGTCGGGGGCGCCGGCCAGGGCGACCTCAACACCACCTTCTGCCGCGGCGTGCAGTCCACCGACAAGGACGGCGTCACCCAGTTCGACTCGATCTACCCGGGCCACTACGTCGGCCGCACCATCCACATCCACGTCGTGACCCGGCGTGGCGGCAAGATCCTCCCCAACGGTACGTACACCGGCGGCACTGTCAACCACATTGGCCAGATCTATTTCGACCAGGTAGGTTGTTGTTATAAATTAGTTTCCACGGGCGGACAGGGGACCTTGAAATCAAACTGACTGACCCCCCCACTTTCTCCCCCTCTGCGCAGGAGCTCAATGACGCAGTCGAGAGCCTGGAGCCGTACATTTCCAACACGGCCCAGCGGACGACCAACGTGGGAGACTTCTTGACAGCCGACGAGGCGACGGCGGACTACGACCCGTTCCTCGACTACATCCGGCTCGGCGACGACGCCAACGACGGCCTGCTCATGTGGATCACGATCGGCATCAACACGACGGCCGACTACGACGACATGGCCATGGAGGCGGCGCACCTGTACAAGGAAGGCGGCAAGAGCAGCAACGGCGGCATGGGCGGCATGCCGCCATTCCCGGCCAACTTCACCGGCTTCCCGCCCGGCGTGCCGTTCCCCACGGGGGCCTTCCCGCCTGGCATGCCGTTCCCGACTGGTGGGTTCCCCGGGTTCCCGACGGGGGCGGGGGGCGCGCAGGCTACTGCTAAGCCGTGGGGTCCGTGCTTGAGGAAGACGAAGGATGATAAGAAGGAGGAGCCGGAGGACAAGCCGGAGTGAAGGGAGTCGGGTTGGGGGAAGCTTTTGGTGTGATATGTTCGATTCAACCGCGTTCGCGTGGGGTCGGTGTGATTTAGGTCTGCCTTCTTCAAATCTCTTCTGGGGCGGGGACAAGGTCTACGACTAGATAGTGGTTTTGCAAGTTTCTTGCCTCTTTTGAGGCGTCAGTCCATCAGACGATTCCAAAGTCGTATTATCCGTTTGCCAATAGGCTCGACACGCTTGGTATCCCTATCGTCTGGTCCATTTCTGAGGCCAGGGCTACTTGCATATATGGCCGTCTCGAATTCTGCGTTTGAAGCCGTCGTAGGCCGTGGTGGAAGATGGTGGGCAAACATGGTTAGCCCAGAAGGAGCGCCGGAGGGAGAGAGAGATGTCCCAACCCAGTCCTTCAAGGCTCGGGATACGATTGCTCGAGATACGATTGCTCGGGATATGAGGCTCACATGGGTTTTCCCAAATACCAGGTCTCGAGGACGGTGGCGTTATTACTACGTTAATAAGGCCGAGCTCCGAGCTGGGGAGAGGGCATCAAAACCAGGGGGGGCCCCACATCGGGCCTTCCTAGCCGTAATTGTGCAATTATTTTTGGAAACGGAGCTGGGGCCAAGACAACCCAACCTGGCCTTTCACAACTCTGGCTCGCTCGCTTAAATCCAGAATACAACGCTGGTGGGTTAGCTCCCCCAGCAACCCCGACTTTCTGCCAGACTATTGGAATCTGAAATCGAGCAAAGACTGCAATGTGGTCGGAACCCATGGAACAGGGCACCACACACTGACATTACTGCGCAGTAGTGCAGCAGTAGCATGAAAAAGCCTGGACCGGATGGGCTCGTTGGAGTGTGTGGCGCGCCCAGTCAAGCCTGATAAATCGGACATGGTCCCGGAACACAACGCCAGCCCAGATGCCACTGCCGCTGCTGCCCTCGCCCTCCTCCTTCCCCCCCCAGAGTCATCATTTGCTGTTCGAACGGCAGAAGCCGCTCTGTCGCGATGAAGTCTCACGCCTTCGCCCTCCTCGTCCCCTCGATCCTCGCCTGGACGGCGGCGGCCGAACTGACATTCTCGGCCACAGCCGTCCACGCGGGCAAGCAAGTGGATACCTCGGGCCTCGAGTTCCTGCCGATCCCCCCGAGATCGCACCACCACCGCAACTCGAGCTCGCCACTGTCCCGGTCCCGCCCCCGCCCCGGAAAGAGGGCCGCCGTCAGCTACAGCGACAACTGGTGCGGCGTGTCGCAGCACACCACCGCCGCAAACCCCATCACCGGCGTGTCCGGCGTCTTCTCCACGCCCTCGCTGACCATCCGGCCGTCCGAGTCCATCCCGCAGTTTGCCGCCGCCTGGATCGGCATTGACGGCGCCTCGTGCCAAAACAGTCTCTTGCAAGCCGGGACGAGCACGGTGGTGTGTTTACTCTCCGCCCTCCTGTGTTGCGACCGCTCAGTTTTGCTTACCCCGCCCCCGTTAGGTCAATTCCAATGGCGGACAGAGTGCCTCTGCATGGTGGGAATGGGTGCCGAATGCATCGTACTCAATATCCGGGTTCCCTGTGAAACCCGGTGACTGGATTGACGTCAACATCACGACGTCCTCGCCGACAAATGCCAAAATGTCCGTAGCGGCTTCTCCCCCGCCCATATTGGAACTCCCTTCTCCACTCCCCCTCCCCCAAACACCCGACCAAGTCACAGAACCAAGAAATAGCTAACCCGGCACAACAGCGTGATGACCAACTACAACCGCGACTACAGCCTCACGCTCGTGCTAAACAACGGGCCCGAGCTCTGCCGCCTGGACGCCGACTGGATCATCGAGGACTTTGACGACGCCGACGGCCAGGTGGCGTTCCCGCGGTTTGACGACATCTGGTTCGAGGACTGCGTCGCCACCACCGCCAAGGGGACCAACATCGGCATCGACGGCGCCGCCATGATCTACCTCGGCCACGACACCGCGAGCGCCACGTGCCGTGCCGAGCAGTACGACAATGAGAACTTTTACTGCTACTCGCAGAACTGAGCGAGCTGCCGTGGAGAGAGAGAGTGTGTGTGTGTGTGCCCCTGTACCACTTCTTCCTCTGTACCTTTTTTTCTACCAAGGAGGAGAGGGGCACGCGGTTTCAGTTTAGACGGATACAGCGCCAGCCTCAAGCTTAGACTAGGAGATCACCGGGGGAGTATGGGTTTGGACAGTGGATGCAACCCCGTCCTTGGTGCCATGGACGTGGAGCACAGATGATCAGAACCTTCAAGATCCCATCCCTCTGTTTCCCGGGTTGGTCGATCGCATATGTAATCATGTATAATAATCATAAGATGATGGTAGTGCCTTGTATATATCCCTTGATAAATCTGGCCTATTTAATACATGCCAGTCAAGCCAGAAGCCGATCTTGGTTGCCCAGATGTCTGATTTAACCGCCTGTGGACCGTTTTGAACAAACAAACAAACAAACAAGAGGGCGCCGAGGGATGGGATGAAAGGCTGGCCTGCCGGCTATTGTATGTATATATCGATAAAGGGAGATCTCTAATTGTATACAAATAAATGGTGACGGTGGAAGACGTTGGCAGCATCAAGAACAGTTTAGGGTTAAGACTAAATCCAAGAATATAATTAGACATTTACAAGTACTTCTCTTTCCGCCCCCGTTGTGACTACGCGTGTATCAAGTCGTATCATATCATATGTCGCCAATGAGCATAATTCATCATGAAATCATTACGAGTTAAGAGAGAGCTTTGCGCGGTTTGAGGCCCACTCGAAACTGGGAGCTTGAGCTCCATCCCTTGAGTCAATATGCTGAACCAACTCTTCAACCGCGCAGAGAAGAGAAAATGATATGTCGAATCTATCAACGGGTACTCTTGCCGTCGAGGTGGCTATGCTGCGTAACGGCCTTTATTCTCCGACTCTCCTTTATGCTCAGAGTTTCCTGGCATCGCGGATACAATGTACGCTCATGACAATACCTCCAAGTGTCTGATCGAAACCTTTTCTTTATCTGTTACACCAGATTTCGTGACTTTTTTTGTAAGCATTCTGAGATCTGATATGTAGTTAATAATTAGGCTGAGGTTACTCCATTCCCCCCATCCATCCAAGTGACAAGTCGACAAATTTGGTCATCCTCCTTTGTCTGGGTCAAGCTTCAGCAGTCTGCGATATTTCAAGTTTGCCCCCCCTCAACCCAGGCGCGGCTCCAAGCCTCCCCGACGTTTCACGGTCGAGCTGGCCCAGATGCCCCAGCCAAAGACCAGTCGATGCCCGAGTAACACGGATCACAGGAGTGCCACAGCATTAATGCGGCTGTTACTTTATCACAACGTCGACGCGGACGAGGCATGTAACTGCCCCCCAGCACTATAAATACTATAGATGCTCTCCCCTTTCTGAGCATGCATGGCAGCATGGCAACATCCTCCATGATCTACAGCACCTTCTCCACAGCCGCTCCCAATGAGTCCTCCTCGCTCAGGTTTATCATCCATGAGCACTCCCGCCGTCTGCAAGAACGAGTCTGAGTGTTTAAAATCCTATCTCCCGGGCCAAATCTTGTGGCTAAAAAAGTTGGACCAGTTGGCCCAACTGGGGTTAAAACCCCTGCCGAGAAATGATGTGAATCCAGAGAGCTACAACCACCCGGTTCTAGTGATTTCTCACGGACGGCTCAATGTGGAGTGCTTAATGGTCAGGAACAAACCCCCGTCCTCCGCGACTTACCGTGAAGGGATCTATCTGGCTAACCACAAGATCAACCAAACGCGGGTGCTCCCATCCCTCATTACAGTTGACCTCCTTCTCCAGCACAGATCTCGCAGAGAAGAGGGCGGACATCCGCGCAGGCTACATGCCCATCCACCCGACCCCGGCCAACCCAGACACCATGGGCCTCCTCAGGCTCGACGACGAGAGCAGCCCGCTGCGCAAGCCCTCGTACCTCAAGCTGGGCGCCACCATGCGCATCCCGCCGCGGTACCTATCGCCATTCAAAGACTTCCACTGGAACGACCCCATCCTGTCGGGCGAATCCTTCCGCGTCGTCCGCAAGATCCAGGACCTCCTGGCCTGCAACCACGACGTGCACGAGATCAAGTGCCTCCTCGACCACGGCCACGACATCCACGAGATCTACGACCAGCTCGTCTGCACCAACGACGCCCCGCCCGAGCTCCCCGACGAGGAGGAGGAGGGCTGGGAGCGCGTCGTCGGCGTCCGGCAGCTGAAGCGCCTCCCGCGCAACGCCGCCGGCTCGACCGCAACTTCGGCGGCGTACGCGCGGTCGTGGATGGACGCACGGTCCGTCGAGAGCTTGCGCGGCAGGGCCGCCGAGCAGGGGTTGGGACCCCCCAGCTCGCCCGCCGTCAAGGCGTCGCGGGTGTCGTTGGATAGCGGGTCGAGGTTTTCCGTGCTTAGCGATATGGAGTAGGTTGGGCGCGGGGATTGGATTGGATTCAGCTTGTTTTTGCTTTTCCTCTTGGGCTCTTAGCCCCTTTCTGTTGTTTCTTGGTTTATTCCCTTGGATAGTACGGTGATATGGTTGCAATGATATGTTTGTTTTTCCTTCCATCTTCTTTTTCAGCAAGTTATTGTATTAACAAATCTTCAAATCGAGAACAATTAATTATGTCTTTTATTCCCAGCCACTAGCTGTAAGAGTCCAGAGTAAACGCGGAAGGGGGAGCAGAAGAGGCAGAAACGGGGTATATAATCAGACGCCATGCTGCTGGTATCGTGAACCTTTTCAGGGGTAAGCCCGAGCGAAACATATTGTTTCAACAGCAGCCGAGAAACCAGCTGCTACTTGCATTAAGCCACCTGGCAAGCCTCTCATTCTCAAACGAGTTGGTTGTTGCCCATTTTCTTGGGCCAGCCCTTCCCTGATTCGAGGGCCGGGAAACTGTAGTCGCCCAGAGATCTGATAAGACGCGTGCTCATCAAGGTATGATGAGGCGAGTCGGAACCAACAAGTCCATGAGAAGATCATATCAATGATCGACAAGCACGTAATTCGTCGACCAGCCAATCCAATGCCTTGGAGGTGCGGCAGGCCTTGGTAGTAAAGGCAATAACAGGAACCCTTGGAAAAGCGAGTCTCACCCCTGACGCCTCCCAGACCAAGAGCAGCAGCCCCTACAAGGAAGGAGGCCTCAACATCGCACCCCACCTCGGCTCCTTGGCGAGTTCCCGCACAGCCCACGCCAACTCGGCATCCTCGCCCTGCCCGGCCTCCGCACCCACCACCTCCTCCTCTTCCTCTTCCCCAAACGGCTGAACATCAGGCTCGCATGTAGCGCCCCTCTCCGGCGGCAGGACGCCCCGCTGGAAGTAATCCCGCACATGCCTAGCCGTGCACGCCGACGCGGCCGACAGGCTGGTGTGGCCGTACGAGTTCTGCACCAGCACCGCCGACCGGGGAAACCGCGCCGAGTTGTTCCTCGCGCTGACCAGCGGGCTGACGTTGTCGGCGGCGTTGGCGACGAACAGGATCGGGTGGGCCGTCGAACCGCCGAAGGGGCCGTCGAACCGCCACTTGGGCCGCACGCGGCGCCCGACGCACGCGAGCCGAAACAGGATGTTGACGGCGCCCGCGGCGGAGCTGATCGCCTGCAGGCGGGCGGCGTATTCCTCGAGCTCCGAGACTGTGTCGGTCACTGGGTCGAGGTCGCTGCACATTATGGCGGGGAAGGCGTCCTCGGTTGCCTCCTCCGGGCCGGTGATTGGGATGGTCGGCGGGATCGTTTCCAGGGAGCAGAGGGAAGTTGGCGTCGAGCCCGCGAGGCGGTACTCGTAGAAGGGTCTGCCGTCGCCTGACTCTAGCGCGGCGAGGACTGAAGCTGTGCGGCGGAACATGAGCACGGGCTGGTAGAGGGTTGTCGAGATCATCTTCTTGACTCGGGAGTACGTGACGAGCTCGGGCATCTCGGGGCCGAGATCAGAGGCGGGGATGATGACGGGGTTGATCCTGAGTTTGGCGAGGAGGGTGTCGAGCCGGTCTTTGATCTCCGCGGGCGACGGCGCATGGAAGAGGCATTTCACCGGCCCCGCGAGATGGCAGAGGTCATAAAAGGCTTCCATTACCCGATCGGTATCGTGGAGGAAGTTGATGTATGACCCGTGGTACCATTCCTCGTAGTCCACGTTACCTAACACACGTCAGCAAGCTGCTAGAAGAAAAGGTTCGAGAGGTCGGCGGTCCTCCTCACCATCGCTGACCATCCTCTCGACCTTGTCGGGGTACATCGAGGCAAAAGTCCCCCCGAGAACGGTCCCGTAGCTGAACCCCCAGTACTTGAGCTTCGCCTCGCCCATCTGGTTCAGGATCTCCAACATGTCCCGGGCGTGGTATGCCGTGCTGCTGTGACGCAGGATACCCGAGCCGTTCACGTTGGCCTCGCAGGCCTGCGAGAGGGCCGTGGCACGGGCGTAGGCATCGTACAGGACGCCGGGGTGCGAATCAACCACGCCCACCTCCTGCAGGCCCCAGATCTGCCGGCTCTGGATGGTGTCCCAGCACTCTATCCTTGGCACGGAGGCGCCGATCCCGCGGGGATCGAACGAGACGATGTCGTGGTTGTCGCCGACGATGGTCTGCAGGAGCTTCCCGTGGTCTCTCAGAGACCAGATGCCGGAGCCGCCGGGGCCGCCGGGGTTGAAGAACACGGGTCCCCCGTAGGGCCTCCCCGTGGAGTTGGTCGCCTGCAGGCGGATGATGGCGAGCACGACGCGCTGGTCGTCGGTGGGATCCAGCCAGTCCATGGGGACGTCGAGTCGGGCGCAGTCGTACCTGCCGTCGAAACACCTGTGCCACTCGATCGACCGGCTCGGCTCGATGTCAATCCATCCCAGGTCTTTTTCCTGCGGTCCGGGCATGGGCGTCTCCGCCAACGAGGTCGGGATCCATCCCCGGGTGCTGTTCGTGAGGGATGCGAAGGCAACTAGGCCTAGCGTAGCCACGATAACCGGCTTCGTCCAACGTTTTCGGGCCGTTCCCGTAGCTACCTTGTCCAACCCCGGAGTCGGGGTAACCCCGATCTTGCTGTCCATGGGGTCGATTGAGACGCTACTATAATGAGGAATCCATAAGAAATGCGGCCAAGAGCAGCAGAACGAAAGAGGCTCGAAATTTCCAAAGACGAGGTCAGGTGTCGCTGCCAAGGATGATCCCCCATGTGGCAGTTTTGCCTGCCGGATACCTGCAGGCCAATGCTCGTGGACGGGGATAAAGATCTTATCAAATCAGATCGGCCAAATCTACAGATTACATGTAATCCGATTTCATCCTTGCGGGGATAGGGCATGAGCATGTCAACTCCGCCAGTCACAGAGCGCGTGGGGAGGCGGCTGGCGGCATATGCGCATCTACTACGGTGGGGGTGGCATTGCGAGAGATCGGGAATAATAAATATGGAACCCTAAGGGGATGGTGCTGCTCAATGAAAATGGTATACATAGTAGCTGAGTAGTACCTATCCTCATATAACATACGCTGTAGCAAAGGAAGCACGATCCCTTAAAAAAAGAAAGATTGAGAAGAAAAAGAGAAAGAAAAAAACCCTTGATGGCGCCGTCTCCCGCGCCCTTGGCCCCAGTCCTTGGAACGGCACCGTTTAACTCCGCAGACGCCTCTCATGCAATGGTGCTACTGGATGCACCCGAGCTAGATGGCATGGAGCCGTCTCTCTAAGACCTCTGCGCCTCGCTAGGACTGCCCTCGTCGTCGGCATCCTTACTGCCTCCCCGATCGTCCATTTCCATCTTATCGGACACCTCCACGCTCTCCTCTACCGCTTGGGGTCCGTCGCCGTTGGCTGAGGCCGGGGGAGACGCGGCCGCAGATTTATTATTCTCCTTCGGCGACTCCGCATCGGGGGATCCTCTGGACGTGTCGGCGACAGGTGTCCGCCTCCTCTCGAGCTGGGGGGACGGGAGAGCATCTACGTCCTCGCTCTTGATGGCAGTTTCTTGAGGCTCGTCGCCTGCCTCGTCCATGTCAACGTCCCCGTCGTCGTCATTGATGATAGCCGCTTCCTTCGCAACCTCATCGTCCTTATCGGCGGTTTCGGTCTGCGGCTCATCGGCAAGGTCGTCATCCACCATGGTCTCGTCCGCTTCCTGTGCCTCTTCTGCAGGGCCATCGCCGTTTCGAACCGGCGTTGCCATGCCGCTGTCCATGTCCATGTCGGCGGCATGGGGGTTGCGGTAGTCGAGGATAGACCGCCGAGTGCGGCCATTGGTCTTGTGGACTCCGTTGGCATGCGCCATGTCTTCGTCGTCGCTATCCTCATACTCGTCTTGCCGGGCAATGCTCTTCTCCCACTGCCGTTGCGTCATGCGCACGTCCTTATTCTCGTCTTCGTTGAGGTCGTCGAGCTCGGCCTCCTCCTCGTCTGTAAGTCCTAGCCCGTGTCGGGGGACGTCCTGCATCTGAACGGACGGCACGGGTGCCGTCTTCTTGAGATTTTCTATGACTGCGATCTTGATCTTCTCGAGGTACTCGTAGCTGTTCGCATTCTCCATATTCGAGGAGCGTACGTCAAGCTCGTAGTCGGGCCCGTAATACTGTTACTCCCGTGTTAGTCGCTTTTGGAGATGCAAATCCACGATGGTCCGATACTCACATCGTAGTACTCATTGTATGGCAGCGTTGAGTCCATCTCGACGCCAACAAGTCGGCCGGTTTCGTATGCCCAGGTTCGCGCCACGTTTCTCATGGTGTAGCCGCCGCCGCCGAGGACGAGGGTGGGCAGATTGAAGCTGCGAACAAAATTGACGCAGTTCGCGTGGCCGTGCATGCTCAGGTTGAAGCATCCCAAGCGATCGCCTGAGAGACTGTCGCCGCCGCATTGCAGGACGACGGCCTCGGGCTGGTAATACTGCATCACGGCATCGATGACGGGCTCGAAGATGGTCTTGTAGGAGGCGTCGTCAATTCCGTCGCGGAGAGGGAAATTGACGGCGTAGTTCTTGCCAGGTCCGATACCGATGTCGCGCAACTCGCCTGTGCCAGGGAAGTACTCGCCATATTTGTGGAACGACACCGTCATGACCCGGTCGGTGGTGTAAAATGCTTCCTCGACTCCATCTCCATGGTGAACATCAATATCTATATAGAGGACTCGTTTCTTGAAACGCAAGAGCTCGATGATGGCGAGGACGATGTCTGAGGAGGGGCATGTTAGGCAACGCTGGAGACCCGGGGGGGTGGGGTGGGGGGGGGGGGAAGAAGTGGCAGCAGGTTTTTCTAACCATTGACGTAGCAAAAGCCGCTGGCTTCGCTCTTCTTGGCGTGGTGCAGGCCGCCCGCCCAGTTGACAGCGATGTCGCACTTCTGCCGGTTGAGTCTTGCAGCTCCCTCCATGGAGCCACCGGCGCTGATGCCACAGAACTCGAAGAGCCCGTCAAAGACAGGACAGTCATCACCGACATTGTACTTTCCTTGCTCGCGCATGAAATTGTCCATATTATCGGGGGTGACCTTCTGGAGGAAATCGATGTACTCGTCCGTGTGGAATTGGGTCATCTCGGCGAAAACGGCAGGTTTTGCGCGCTGGACGCGGCTGGGTCAGCCAGGATTCTGGAGACGATGGGCCGGGGCAATACGCGGGAATGAAGCACGTCTGTCTCCAGAGGGCTTGGGGGATTGGAGGTAGCGACTCACGTAGATCTCCAGATACTTGTAGATGTTGTAGTTCATCACCAGGCTGTGGGCCAGCCTGATGCGATGGGGTTTCATCGGATGCCCAGTAACGTAGGCATAGTTGCCAATGTCAGAATCGTAGAAGTAGGCAACCCGCTTCTTGTCATTGTTCACGACATTATATAGAGGCTGGCCGCGATCGACTCCCGCGGGATCGGTGTTGGACATCGTGAGGGCTCACTTTCACCGTGTGGTGGGGGTTGATTCGGGCGGGGGAGGACGGTTCTGTTCTGCTCGTAGAAGCGATTGTAGGGGAGATTTTGGTTACCAGTCAGGTAGAAACACTTTGTAACAGGTAGAAGATCACCACTCCAAGGGATTGGAGACAACTGACTCTCTCATCTGCTTGCTGTGGTGGGTGGGAGGCTGCAAAGCTGCTTGTAAATGTGTGTGAGTGGAAAGGCGGGAAGGCGGAAAAGGGAAGGCAGAGAAAGTCAAAACGGCTGCTGGGCTTACACATCCCTGGAAAGCCCAACTGACAATACCTAGGCGGCCCCTATTGATTGGTTATTGTACATGGGGGGGACAATAGGGACCCAATCAGAGTGTAGCCGCCTATGCGAGGCTGCGAGCTCCGTCTCTTCGACGGGAGGCATTGGTCACGTGCATATTAGGTAACTAGCTTTCTTCCGTTCCGCCACAGCGCCACAGAGGCTGGAGCTGCAGTCAGTCAGGCTGCTCAGAGCTTCGTCAACATCCGCCTTCTGCTGTTGGCAAGAGCTTTCCCAACTTCAGCTGCCTCCTCCACCCACCGACTCGTTTTTGCGGCCACACGTTAGACGACCACGATATCATTTACTCATAGGCCCTCTTTTCTTGAATTTCCATTACATCTTTCCCATCGCCCAACAACACAATGGACCGGTTCAGGAGCATGTTGTCTGGTGGTGCGGGCATGGGCTTAGGCGCCGCGCCAGGAACGGTATGTTGCATCGCCATCAGGAAGCGACGGCCTGGAACTGGAGGGCGGAGGCTGACTGTGTTTCATTTTGCTCGTTAGGATAACACGAACCTGATCGACAACTCCGAGACCGTGTACATTTCCTCCCTTGCCCTCCTCAAGATGCTCCGCCATGGCCGCGCCGGTGTTCCCATGGAGGTCATGGGTCTCATGCTGGGCGAGTTTGTCGATGACTTCACTGTTAAAGTGGTGGACGTGTTTGCCATGCCGCAAAGCGGTACGGGAGTTAGTGTCGAAGCCGTCGACCCAGTTTTCCAGATGAAGATGATGGACATGCTTCGACAAACAGGAAGGTGAGAGGCGTCCCCGGCGATGCGCTCTGTGGGCCCTGTCTTTGGCATATGCTAACTTGCCCGCCCTACTAGGCCCGAGTCCGTCGTCGGGTGGTACCATTCGCATCCAGGCTTTGGTTGCTGGCTCTCGTCGGTTGATATTAACACCCAGCAGAGTTTTGAGCAGCTTACACCCCGCGCCGTCGCCGTGGTCGTCGATCCTATTCAATCTGTCAAGGGGAAGGTTGTCATCGATGCGTTCCGGCTTATCAACCCTCAGTCCCTTATGCTGGGCCAGGAGCCCCGCCAGAGCACGTCCAACCTGGGCCACCTCAACAAACCGTCGATCCAAGCCCTTATCCACGGCCTCAACCGGCATTACTACTCGATCGGCATCAACTACCGTAAGACGGCACTCGAAGAGAACATGCTCATGAACCTCCATAAGCACGTGTGGACCGAGGCGCTGGAGATGGACGACTTCCGGACAGACGGCCAGCAAAACAAGGAGCACTTGGAGCGGCTGGTCAGCTTGGCCGAGGGCTATGAGAAGCGAGTCAAGGAGGAGACGGAGCTCACGAAGGAGCAGCTCAAGACACGCTACGTTGGCAAGCTGGATCCCAAGAAGCATCTCGAGGACGTCGGCCAGCAGCTGATCGAGGACAATATTGTCGCTGTTTCTCGGCAAATGATTGACAAGGAAGCAACAATGCCGAAGAAGGAAGCGCCAGCCGGGGCGACCGGGCAGAGCAATGGCGAACAGATGGAGATGGACGAGGAATTATGAGCTGCTTTAGCTTAGTTTGGGCACTGGTCAGGATCATGGGGCTGATTCCCAATATCAGACTTGTAGGATTAGGCGTTGGGCGATGCTTGAACAAGCTCTAGCTAGACCTATAGCCGTGTACATGTTACCCTCAACACTGCGTTTCCTGGTTTCTGACTGGTCCGTATCCCCCTTTGTTCAGTGTGGAAACTGACGGGCCAAACAGCGTCGATATTGAGGCGACATCCTCTTTGTGTGTTTGTTGTTCCCATTCTTCCCTCTAGAAGCAAGTTCATCATACACTAACAATGACCTTGTCCTGATGTTTCTGCTGTTTCCGCGGCAGATAAATAGGGGCGGGTGCCTGCCACTGACACCGCCTCCCCCCTAATCCACTTACTATACCAAGAGTCGCTTTAGATCGCAGCACCTGGACCATTGTTCTCAGGCCGCATCACTGACATAAACGAGATGGGGTTTAGCTCTCTTATAAGATGGCTTTGCGGCCTCCCAACCAAGTCCAGACATAATGATACCCACAACCGACGATCAACTGCCAGGCCGCGACCTATGGCAACCCAAAGACGTTCGGGCCAGTCTGCCAGGCAGTCGGTGCCTGTCAAGGCAAGCGCACCCACTTCCTCACGGAATAAGCCATCCAACAACCCTTCAAGGTCCTCCCGTGGCGAAGAAGGCAAGCAGCGGCCCGCAGTCCCTCCACACTCTCAACAACGAACCGCCTCGGAAATGACCAAGACCCAAAGTTCGTCGACCCCCAAGGGGGGAAATGACAATCTCTTGAGCACTAAAACACAGACAAGCAACCAGGCTAGACCAGGTCTGCCGGCCAGACCTTTGCCAACTGCCCAGCCACCATCTAACCGTCACCGACCTTCCTCGGAGCCACCATCGGAAACCCAACGCTCTCTCTCCCACGCAGTTACTCCCCAGCGCCCCCAATCCACCCAACCAGACCCCACGCACCGCAGAAGCAAGTGCCTCTCAGCGCCCCCAACCACGGAGCGCATGACCCGCGCCGTCCTAGCCGAGGTCCTCGACGCCCTCGACGCAGCGCTCTGCCACACGCCCTACGCGGTCTGCGGCCTCGCCGCCATGGCCGTCTGGGGCTTCGGCGGCCGCGCGCCCTCACACATCAGCGTCGTGTGCCCGACCCACTCGGCCGCCGCAATCAGGTCCTGGGCCGCCGCCGCCGGCATGGTCCTGTACCCGGACAGGCCCGACACAATCGGCCTAGCCACCGCCTCCGACGGCGTCGTCCGCCGCGTCAGGATCAAGTTCTTGAGTGACGGGTTTGATGCCCTACGAGCGGTGCACCCGTCGGGTGTCTACGATGGTGCTATGGGTCGCGCTGTGGCCACGCGCCGCACGAGGGTTCTGGCCCTGCCGTCGCTGCTGGATCTCATGGCTAGGGGGTATGTGCGCGCCGCGGAGGCGGAGGCCGGTGGGAATGGGGCGGCGGCGTGTGATCGTCGCGCCATCGCGCAGGATATGTTCTGGGTGCTGTTTCGGCTGATCGACGGCGGGTTCGTCGAGGAGGGGGCGATGCCGCTAGCTGAGGCGGACGTCCCCAGCGTCGTGGATGGTAGATTCTGGTGGGCGTTCACGGCTGCGTATCCCGGTGCTGCTGATACTTTTGCGCAGGCTGGACTAAATCCTGGGTTAGTTAGGTTTCTGCCAATGAGTTTTTTAAGATGAAGGTATGTTGCTGGTCTGGAGGCTCTGCCAGACGTACAGCTGACTGAAGCGAAAAGAAGTGGCTTGAGGGGACATCATGAGGCAACCCACCTACTCGATAACCAATTTTTCCCCAGGTAAGTAGGACTACCTATGCCCAATCAACTCGCCAATTCTAGCGGTGAGTATAAAGAGGAAAGGGGGGGTGGTGAGGTGGGAAAGGGGATTCTTTTGGTACAGGAATGAACCATCGTGGAGAACCCTCCCTCCTTCCTCTGGTCAGGATTTCCTATGTTAGAATCCTTTTACTTTACTAAGTGTGTTGCCTAGCGGGACATAATTACAATCAAGATACTCTGTCATCATTCTCTGACCCCATGACGGCGATTGCACTTATTGAGGTCCCCAAATAGAGATAGGGGCATGTATGTATGCCACAGTCAATTTCTAACTATTCAGTGATTTTCATCTAGGCTAGCCCAGTTTCCAGTCTCTTCGTTGACAGGTCTTGCGATCACTCAGGATTGTTGCCTTGCAATCTGAGCCGAAAGTGAATCGAACCACAACACCTTGACAGGGAGGCGCAGTACTAAGTGAATCGACGCTCTGGCCTCGACTGCTTCACTTGGTTTTATCCTGCAGTCTTTTCTATAAATCCCTAGACCTGTCTCTTCCAAAATCATTCCAAAACCTTCGCCATTTTTCGCGATATCCTCAGTCGCCGCACAGAAGTTTCTTTGACCCCAGCCTTAGCCCAAGGAAATTCGTTTTTATTCATACAGTCTAGAGGCATCTTATTCATCATTAGAACCTGATACTGCTCATGATGTTCTTGTCGTCTTTTTCTTCTGCAGCTATTGCTGCCATCACTTTTGGAGCCGTTCATGGCCACATGGTCCTGAACAAGCCGGTTCCCTTCAACTTCCTCCACGGGAGCAAGCTCGTCTCGGTTAACCCGCTGGGTGCAGACATCCCATTCCCCTGTCAGGGCCTCTATGATTATGTCGAGCAGGTCACCCCCGTCACGGCCGGGGAAACAACGCTTGTCAACTTCACTGGTGGTGCCCAGCATGGGGGAGGTTCCTGCCAGTTCGGCGTCACCTATGACTGGCCTCCACCAGCCGAAAAATCCAAGTGGAAGACCATCTACACCATCATCGGCGGCTGCCCTGTCAACGCAAATGCTGGAGGTACTGGTAATGTGCCATCTCTCGGACCACAGCCACAGTATGCCCAACGGCAGGATTCAGCCCATTGCGGCAACGACTATGGCAACGACTGTGTGCGCCAGTTCAACATCCCGGTCCCAAAGGAGCTGAAGAATGGTAATGCTACCTTTGCCTGGACTTGGTTCAGCAACATTGGCTTCAGTGAGATGTACATGTATGTTTGCTCCCTCAACCCCCCACTGTCTTTGATTTCGGAACAGGCCCCTATGCCACCCCCAGGTCACTCCCCAATGTGCTAACTCGGTCTCTTCTGTAGGAACTGTGCTCCCATCTCAATCTCCGGCGGCACTGAGGACAGCACTTTCTTCGACGGTCTTCCTGCCATGTTCCTGGCCAATATCGACGGCGAATGTTTGACCAAATCCGATGGTATCATCAATATCCCCAACCCAGGCAAGATCGGCCGAGTCATAGAGCCGCCTACATACGGTGTTCAGGGAACGTGTGAGAACCCGCCAGCGCCGAGCTTTGAGGAGGGAGACGCCAATGGCACTGCTCCGGAGGTTCCCCAGGGCAGCGCCCAGAGCAGCACTCAGGGCAGCGTTTCCAATCCCGTCTCTGTCGGGCTGACCTTTGTTACCACACCGACAACCAAGGCCGTGGCGACTCAGTCTGCTTCGGCTAGCTCTGATTTGACCCTCTCTTCCTCTCTTCCTACTTCCTCGACTTATTTGTCCTCGACTCACTCTACTTCAACCACAGCGTCTGAAGAAGCGTTGGCGACAGAAACAGAAGCAGCTGACTTCTGCTAAACCTTGCTAGCATGATGCGAAGATGGTGGACTGGTACCTATCACGGCACTAGCCGAGACTTGGTTTCCTATTTCGTTCACCAGGTACTGTTGCTTTCTCATCACGATACGTGCAGGTAGCAAGCCAGCAATGGGCAGGGAATTATGAGGGATCACGACGGCGTTATTCAAATATCCATCGAGTCTCGGGGGGACACATTACCAGGCTGTATTTTAGGTTTGCTTTACCAGATCAGAGGCGGGAGCTCATAGATCAATCCCGCTTTTTCTTCACAGAACGGTGTCTTCCTCTTCGACTTTCGTTGAGACAAGACTTGAATCGGGCACATCTGGAGAGATGACAGTCTATCAGGCCACGTAAGTTCTTCTACAGTTTCCTCCTGTACTGACTTTTAATGTGGTTATTGATTTCCGACTTCCTCTCCGTGAAGGGACGTCATGGACTCGGGATGTTCTCTGGTTGGCGACTTTTGGAACTCCAGTGTTCTTCTCGGCAGCACCTGTAAATGGTCTTTGCTAGGAGATCTTTACTCCGATCTCCCTGTATCCTAGACAGTAATTCCTTCTGTTGAAGCAAGATGCTTGGCAAAGGGTTGCCCCGCATGCCGAAAGCAACCCCACTCTTACAAGTCAGCCCTCCCGAAGCTGGACCACCACTTCTTTCCTAGAGAGGATAAAGGGGCACTTCAGGGGACAGCATCAACCACCACCAAACCCCCTCCGCCCCCAAAAACGATGACCCCCCAAATATACCTCAACCCCACCGCCAGGGACTGGACCTGGCACCCCCAACCCAACAACCACCCGTCCCCGTCCCCTGGCTCCCCCTCCCCCGCAACAACCTTCCACCAGTCCCTCCCAAACTACACCCCAACCCCCCTCCGCCCCCTCCCCGCCACCGCCCGCGCCCTCGGCCTAGGCCACGTCCTCGCCAAGGACGAGTCCCGCCGCCTCGGCCTCCCGTCCTTCAAGATCCTCGGCGCCTCCTGGGCCGTCCACCGCGCCGCCACCTCCGCCACCCCGCCGCCAACCCGCATCGTCGCCTGCACGGCCGGCAACTGGGGCCGCGCGGTGGCGCGCTCGGCCGCCGCTCTGGGCCTCGCCGCCGCGGTGTTCGTGCCGGGCCACATGCCGGAGGCGACGAGGCGGGCCATACGGGGGGAGGGGGAAGGGGTGGAGGTCGTTGTTGTGGAGGGGGGAAGCTACGATGATAGTCTTGCTGCGGCGAGGGGGGAGGTCGCTTGTCGGGAGGGGTCGGTGCTTGTTATGGATGTGGGGTTTGAGGGGTATGAGGATGTGCCTCAGGTGCGGAACCCCTGGGGAGACGTTGCAGGTGGGGCTGGGCTAATGCTATCCTGCGTATCTAGTGGGTTGTCGAGGGCTACGGCACGATGCTGGACGAGTCGGACGCGCAGGTGCTGGCGCACACGGGCGGGAAACCCGCGACGCACGCGGTCGTCCCCGTGGGCGCAGGGTCGGTCGCGCAGGCCGTGACGCAGCACTTCAAGGCCGCGGCTCGGCCCGGCGGTGCTACCGCGAGGGTCGTGGCTGTTGAGCCGACGACGGCGGCATCGCTGAGGGCGGCGCTGGAGGCCGGGTGCGTCGTCGCGGCCCCGACGGGGGATACCATCATGTGCGGGCTTAACTGCGGGACTATCTCGACGACTGCGTGGCCGGTGCTGGAGCGCGGGGTGGATGCTAGTGTCGCCGTGTCTGATGCAGAGGCTCACGAGGCTGTGAAGGAGCTGGAGGGGCTTGGGGTCGAGGTTGGGCCGTGTGGAGCGGCTACGCTGGTTGCGCTGAGACGGGTGGTGGGGGAGAAGCGGGAGGAGCTGGGTCTTGATCAGGATTCGGTTGTCGTTCTCTATTGTACAGAGGGCCCGAGGGAGTACGAGGTCCCTCGGTGAACGAGGACGGGCACTGCATCTGGAAACATACGCTTTAGAGTCACTCACTACCTACCTCTACTATGTAGCTCGTGGTGTCCCTAGAACACGTCAGGCATACCACTCGATACACGAGAGACAACGAGTCTTGGCGTGAGAGCAGTTACCAAGCCACGCCACGTCATGCTCCCAGACAGCTGACCTACGAATCTAGGTGTGGTTGTTGGCTGAGATCTCAGACACCAGCCCCAAAGATTGGCGAGAATATGTGCAGCTTGTGTTGCCCAGTGGCATGGAATGCCTCCCACCTACGATGGCGGGAGCGGATCACCTGCGTTTCCCCATTTCATGCAGTGGCACCTGGTGAGACAGTGCAGCCGGAATTCCATAGCAACCCATATGAAATGGTGCGGGCGCCTCGTGGCATATACGTAATGTCGTGCATCCCTTTCCACAGCACCAGACGCTTCTTGCCCAAGCCCCCCGGTCTCATCCTGCCCTTGCATTGCCGGCCTGCCGCAGGCATCGGCGATGATGTATCGAAACCCAGCCCCCATTCAAGAGCCCCTTCCCAGCGAGGTTGGGCCGTTCACATGCTCAACAGAACAGAAGTGGGAATAAGCTTAAGTCATCCCAAGCCTTTCCAACAGACCACAACAGACGGAAAGCAGGGGAGGACAAGCACAGCGAGCCACACGGGTGAAACGTAAAAGGGCAGAGGAGCATGGTCGAACCCAGTCCCCCCGTCGCAGCTGGCTCGCACGAGTTGTGCCCGAAAGTAAACAAACAAAGATGCTTCTCTGGTCATGCAAAACAAGGCACGCCTAATTAATAATAAAGGCTTAAATCTCATGTGCCAGGTTCCCAAACCTTCTGCCGATCCAGTCTGTCGGCTCTGATCAGCCAGATGATCATCATCCCATCTCATCCCGCGTCTCCTTAAGAGCGTCTGTTAAACCCCAGGCCCCACCCAGCCACACGGCACACAATCACGGTTGGATGGAAGTGAGAAACAAGAAAGGAGGAATTGTCGGGCGCAAGATCCGGGAAGCCATACTGCCTAAATAGGGGATACACGTTCACGTTTTCCAAGACGGCACATATCGCACATGCCCTGCGCTGCCCCCAGAGGAAGCGGCAGTGTTTAAGGCACAGCAAGGCTGTGATTTGTGCGAACGAATGACTTTTCCTTTTCTGAACAGAAACGAGTGGCATTCGATTAACTGCGCGAAACTAGATTTGGGGGGCTCGTAGATGCCGGGGGGTGGGTATCCCAACATGACAAAATCCTCCTTGCCCAAATGAAAACCAGGCTTCCCAAATTTTCGAAAGGGGGCCGTCTGGCCGAGCCCAGACTGCCTATTGTTCCAGGGAAACCGAGAAACAAAGAATAATAAAAAACACCAAAAAATATCCCTATCGGGTGCCTGTTTGTGCAACGGCGCCGTCGATCATGAGAAGCCCCATCGGGGGAGAAAGTAAGACCAAGTGCGCCCCGTGATAAGAGTCTAACCGGAGAATCCGACGGTGACGGAGAGGCGCGCAGTGCCGGGGGCAATGTTGAGGCCGACACCGTCGTCAGCCTCCATGCCCTTGATGTAGGCGTTGTCGGCACGGCCGCCGGGGTAGATGGTAGAGCAGGTGCCGGAGGAGCAGACCTGGCAGCCGGGGACGTCCAGACCAGCGGCCTGGGCGACGAGCGAGGAGCAGTCGGCGCCCGACCAGCCACCGTTGCTCGTGTTCTCAAAGTCGAACTCGACCCATGAGCCGGCCCACTCGCCGTAGTTGGTCTTGGGGAGGCTGCCGGCGTGGAAGGCGCAGGCGCCCTGGGTGTTGGAGTCGAAGGCGACGACCTGCTGCTCGCCGGGCGCGAGGTTGAACGTGACGGCGCTGAAGCCGAAGAAACCGTTGATCAGACCCTCGGGCCCGATCTTGTTGAAGCAGGTGACCTGGTGGCTCTGGGAGCCGCGGTTGGTGTACACGCTGGTGTACTTGTACTTGTCGGCGACGCTCTGGTCCACGAGCATGATGTTGCATCCCCACTGGCCAGCGACACCGGTGTTGCCCGTGTAGGCAATCTCGGCGGCGGTCGCTCTCTTGCTCGTCAGGCCATTGCAGAACGGCTTGTAGGCTGAGGCGGATGAGTCGCTGACAGATGCGTCGCTGAGGGAGCTCGCGGCGGCAGCGTAGCTTGAAGAATGCGACGGAGTCGAAACTGGGGGCGGGGCGGTGGTGGAGGCTGGTGCTGCGACCTTCACAGGGTGCCTGTGCTCGGCCTTGTAGAAGGCCAACCCGCGCTTGTCGTTGGCCGCGTGGAAGGAGCGGTGCTGGTGAGCATGGCCGGATGGGTGGGCAGCCACGCCGAGGGCGGCGGCAAGCCAAACGAGGTTCGTAAGCTGCATTTTTCTTAATCAAGTTGCAGTTGCAGTGCCTTGTGTTGTTGAAATGGCGGTGGTATCTTGTCTAATATCAATCGGCAAGAGGTCGTCTCGTTTCGTTTCAGTCGTCGAACGTTCCTGGTGGTGGTCCGTATCGTTTTGGGTGGTTGAAATTCCAGGTGGAGGTGGTGGAGAGTGTCCGTAAGGGGTGGTTCCTGGGGGTATCAAACCCGAGATCTATTGTTCCAAGTTTGGAAATGTGGTTGACTGTGTCGCGTATCACGACGGGTTAAGGAGCGGCAGTGGAATTGCAGGTGAATCGCCAAAAAATGAGAGGATGGAAGCAGAAAATGAAAGTCGGTTGAGAAAGAGGAACCGCCCAGAGAGATGAAGGAAGGTATTTGTTATGAGAAACGGGCCAAAGTGGCCCTGGCCGAGGAGGGAAATGATCCTTAATTAAATGCGCACAAAGGCCAAGGTATCCATGTACCGATTGGCGCTAACCAAGCACACAAAGGTGCCCAGCCCGGCCAGCTTTGTTCTCGGCCTTTCGGGTGGGACTCCCTTTGACAGCAGAGTGGTCCGCGCCACCCACATCCAGGGAACAACATTCAGGCACAGCCCTCTTATTGGTTGGCTATTCCACCGAGCTGCCCAATCCCGGGCCTTAGTTTCGTGGCTTTGTTTCTTGGTTCAATCAGGATTCAGGAACCGTCCCAGTTTCTCAACGTGGGCTCTGTGGATCATGGCCACGCAACACTTGCTGCGTGTCACTGCCCTATGAACTGCAGCGGACTGGTACACCCTATGCACCCAACGAAAATCTGGGAAGCAAGAAAAAAAAAAGAAGAAAAAAGCAGGCTCTAGAATCTCTTGTGGGTTCTGGCCCGCAGGTCTTGCCTGGCTAATGGCCCTAGCCCTGAGGAGGTTGACGGACAGCATTCCGATCATCGATGGATCGGCAGTTCTGTCGTCTTCCACCCCCCAGAGCCTACGTCTAACGGGGCTCTCGAAGTGTAGCGGGGCTCCGATAAGGAGGTCCCCAACTGCAGCCCGGTACATTAGAAGGGCAGCTGTGGATAGGAACTGGGTGCCATCGGCGATGAATTAAGGCAGTAGGGAGCTGCCCGCTCGACTTACTGGGTTGCAGATGCATACCTACAAGTATCTGGACACCTAATGAAAGGTAAGTACGGATGTGTACAGTGGTAGGCTCAGACAATTACAATACACGTAGATACCTACTTAGAGTCGTCGTCTCGTTCTTCAGCGGGTCGGGTCTTCCCCCTGTGCACAGACCACTTGGCTAGGAATCAGGAACCAAAAGCCAATATAGCGCCGCCTGGGGGTGTGTGGAGCTCGACACTTGACAGTTTTAGGAATCGTGCGTTGGCAGCTGAAGCCGAACACCTAGGTGACCTAGGTGTCTGAAGATAGTGCATGGGTATCCAGACACTGTTACTTGGTGAGGCAGTACTCTTGTTATAATAGCCGCTTCCCCCAAGGCGCATGACTCGTAGCAAACCCGCCAGTCTGTCGCACGAAAATCGCTCCGACCCGCCCCGAGTCCTCATAGCCAATCGAGACGGTGCTCCAGCTGGTTTTTGGATCCGGCGCGAAGCGTTTTTTTTTTTGCGGCCGGCGCTGGTGAGTTTCAGAGCAAGCCACAGACCGGGAGTATCCAAGTGGGTGCAGGTTGGTCCCGTCGCCGGTTGGTACGGAGTACTTCCGTACATGGCACGTGCTGGCGGGTGCTAGTCGCGGGGCAAAAGCTAAGGGAAAAAACGCCACTACTCATTTACGCCCACAACCAAAACAGCACAAAAGAACGAGACGCGAGACGGTGGCCTATCAACCAGCGGCTGAAAACACCCAATCCGGCCAATCGTAACGCATAGACCGACGAAGATGCCCCTCGACACTTCGGCGTACAGCCTCGGGCTGCTCCGCGTCGACGGCCGGCGCTGGAACGAGCTCCGCCGGCTGCACGCCCAGATTAGGACTCAGGCGGCAGCCGACGGATCCAGCTACCTCGAGATGGGCCACACCAAGGTCATGTGCGTGGTGACGGGTCCCACCGAAGGAGGGCTGCGGCGGGGTGGCGGAGCCGGAGCCGGAGGAGGTACGTCCAAGGATGCCGAGGTGGTGGTGAGCGTGGTTGTAGCGGGGTTCAGCTCCGTGGACCGGAAGAAGAGGGGCAGGAATGACAAGTAAGTATACCTACCTACCGACCTACCTACCCTTTATGCTCTACCCCCCCAGACCGATGACCTCCCTTACTTACATACACTCTTCCCACCCTCCAGGCGCATCCTCGAGCTCCAATCCACCATATCCTCCGCCCTCTCCGCCTCTCTGCACACGCACCTCTTCCCGCACAGCACAATCGCCATCTCCCTACACGTCCTCTCGCAGGACGGCTCCCTGCTCGCCGCGCTGATCAACGCCGCGACGCTCGCCTGCGTCGACGCCGGCATCCCCATGACCGACTACATCGCGGCCTGCACGGCGGGGAGCACGTCGACGCACGCCGCGGGCGACGAGGCCGCCGACCCGCTGCTCGACCTCAACCACCAGGAGGAGCAGGAGCTGCCGTGCCTGACGGTCGCCACCCTCGGCGAGACGGACCGCGTCGCCGTCCTCGTGTGCGAGAGCCGCGTCCAGGTCGGGCGCCTCGAGGGCATGCTTGCCGTTGCTGTCGACGGGTGCAAGCAGGTCCGCACCATACTGGATCGCGTTGTGAGGGAGAAGGGCCGGCGGATGATTATGGAGGGGGCGGTGGAGAAGGGGACTGGGGTTGGGATGGAGGTCGATTAAGATGAGGGCTTGGGTCTCTGGGGATTTGTGGTGGTTTTGTGCTTTGAGAAAATTTGAGGCGTGGAAACGGAGGATGGTCTAAAGGGAGATTATGTCGTCGGCGCCTACAAATATGATACCCAGTCGAGGTGAGAATCGATTTTGATTTCTGCAGTATTGTTTGTGTCGTTGTGTTGCTCCGGGTGCTGTGTGTGTTGCTCCGTTCTTTTGCTGACAAAGGGCTAGGAACTCAACGGTGGCAAGCATGCGGTCAAGATATATAGGTCCGTTTACTTGAGTGGCAGTCAACGTGGTAAGACGTCGGTGGTCAAGTTGGTAAGGGTGCGAGTAAGCAAAACCTATACCAAACGCACCGAGGCTCTCAGATACGGCCCTACCTCAGGTCTCGTTCGAGGGAGGCTTTGCATGTCCCAAGACACCATATAAGAGGGAACGAGGTGACGGCGCTCGCAAATAAATACCTACAGCCGAAAGGCAGGGGGTGCAGTAGCTGCGGCACGAAAGACCGCAGGCTGGACCTGAATAGGCGCAACGGCCGGGGGGAGTGGGACACAGGGGGACACACAGAGGGCAACTAGGGAAAACTGAGACAGACCTAAGAGATCAAAAAGTAATCAAAAGTACCAACTGAGGAGGAAGAGAGTTCGAGTCTAACTCAAACTTGTCTTCTTTATTTTTATTTTATTATTCATTTCCCACCTTTCCCTCAACACTTGACTAAAGGCAATACTATGTGCTAAACTTGCAAAATACTACAGAGGATTGTGCGTTGAAAGTAACATACATTTCAACATGGAGGCTTTGAAATTACAGTTCCTCGTGCTTGATGGGCTGCTGGGCTGCATCCTCCTCAGCAGCGGTCTCTGGCTCTGCGGTGGGATCAGTAGGTTTAGTCTCGGTGGACTCTGAGGTGTCGCTGCTCTCGCTTGGCTCAGGCGTAACAGTCTCAGGCTCTTCGGTAGCATTTGACTCTGTTGTGTCACTAGCCGCTTCTGCACTTGCCTCGGGTGCGGGTTCAGCCTTGGATTCCTCAAAAGCCATGCCGATGACACCTTCTGGCAGCTTGTTCTTAGCACCCTCGCTCATGCGGATCGCGTCAATCCAGCTCGCAACGCTCTCGTGGCTGAAGTCGGGACCCTCAAAACGCCTCCACCAACCTCGGCGCGCATTGATGGCGACAAGCTCAACCTCGCCAGATAGTTCGAGCGATGAGATGAGACTGGCCGCGGCCTCGTTCTCTTTCGCTACCTCGTATATGGGGAATAGCTTATGCTTGCCCTGGGTGTACCTGTGTGCGAGGGTGCTCAGGCTATCGAGCGCCTCCTTTGCACCCTCGCCGTGGGTCGAGGGGACGAAGGCGAGGACACAGGTGGAAGACTTCTCGCTCAAACACTCCTTGACCAGTTTCTCGGCTGTGTTGATGGCGGGAATCGGCGTCACCGAGTCAACGATCACTGGTGCTTGCTGGGTTTGGGCCGACTCCGATGGAGCAGCCGGTTCCTCTGAAGTAGCCGTCTCGGACTTCGGAGGCGAGGACTTCTTCTTCTTGGGCTTCGCAGTAACCGGGGCGGGGTCTGGGTTTGGCTCGCCGGCTTGGGATAGGAACTTGACAATAGCTGGCTTCTTGAGCTCTCCGTCGTAGACGACTGCTTCCTTGTCGCCTCCGGGGAGAAGAACCAGGGTCGGGAATTTCTCAATCCCAAAGGTCTCGACCGCCTTGGTCTCCTTGTCCCGAACCTGGCCGACAGTGATGACATCCAGGAAATCGATGGCAATGCTCTTCATAAGGGCACTCGTGGTGCCCTTGTCAGTGAACAGAATCGCCTTGGGCGACTCGTTCTTCTCGCTCAGGAACTTGTCGAGGTCCTTGTCGGTAACCTTCTGGACGTGGTTGTTGATCCGGTCCACCACTGCTTCGACAATCCCCGTGGCCGTACGTGCGCCGTTGTAGTCCTCAACCGTGGGCTTTCCCCCTCCCTTCCGTGGCCGCACAATCTTCAGGGTCGGGAAGCCCTTAACACCCATTGACCCGCAGAACTGTTTATTCGCGTCATCATCGCAATTCACAGCGGCAACCTTGGCCAGCCCGTCGAGGTTCTTGGCAGCTTTCTCATAAGCGGGCTGCAGGTTCTTGCAGTGACCGCACCAAGGGGCGTAGAACTCGACGATCTAGACGACGACGCAGAGTCAGCTGCTGGATCGTGCAGGTTCAGGAAGGGGGGAGTGCCCCAAGAAGGGGCGCGGAGTGGGACTTACAGAGGTTTGGTTGCTCTTCGCAATCAGTCGGTCATAGTCCTTTTGTCCCACCTGCAAGACGGGCGACTGTTTACTGTAAAGGCTGGCCTGCGTACCCGGAATGGCAGACAGGAGAGCGACTGCAACGGCGCAGAGTGTGGGGTGGTGCATGATGGGTGACTTGGCTCAGTGGAGATCCCAGAGCTATTGTGGGGTAGTTGACGACGTAGATAGAGTTGCTCTGAGAGAGGTTGAAGAAGAGATGAAGAGAAAATGTCCTGAGAACTAGGAGCAAACGCTACCTATATCATCGGGGCGAGTGATGTTTAGCAGCTGTCCTGCTTTATGGAGGTGTGTTGGTGGCACAAAGGCAGAAACATTTAGCTGGCATCTTTCTCTATTTGGCAAAAGAACACCTTTCCCTGGCGCCCCTCATGATCCAGACAATTCCACCAGTAAGCTTAAGCCACAATGTGGCTCAAGCTCCCCCCTCATTCCCATCCCCCACTGTATTTGCACCAAGACCCACTTCCTCCTCGAAGACATCATCGGGCTTGGAGGTTGCCTAGAAGTGCGTTTCAACAGTCCAAGACGACAACGGTACCGGACTCTATATTTCTCTTCCTTACACAGCTACCTCCTTCTTCTTCGCAGTGCAACGTATCCCCAAGATGGCGGATGATATTCCCGCAGCCCTGAGGCAGGCAGATGTGACCATCTTCAAGTGCGCAGCCAAGGCTGCGCAACTCCAAACGGTCAAGCCCATCGTTGCTTATTGGTGTATGTATACAATCCTCGTTCTAGCTTTGCTTAGGCGATCAGTTCGGTTCCTAAGAGGTCTAGGCGAATACTGGGTTGTCAACCAAGTCCTTGCCAAACAGCTACACTCCACCAGCGAGGAAGTGCTGACATACACGATGAATTTGATGGACAAACTAGAACAGGCATGCCCGCCCCTCGTGTAAGGTGTCTGACAGATCCCAAGTGCTGACGATGTGAACCACAGACCAAATCCGAATATGCGAACGAGGATGCGATCGTCGATGATGTAGCCGGTCAGGCATACATTGAGCAGTTTGCGCAGGAGACTCTTGACCGAGCAGAGCGAGTAGTAAAGGCAAATAGGGTCACCCAGTAAGCTCCAAGCTCTGCCTCTCCTCCTGGTTAGGCCTGGCCTTACTAACAGGCACACCTCCAGGCAAACAGCAACCACGTTCGATGCTGCGGCGACATTCTTCCATCTCGTCAATATCTGGGGTGCTCCCGACGAGGAGACACAGCAAAAGATCAAGTACGCAAAGTGGAATGCAGCACGGATAGCCAAGGCAATCAAGGAAGGAAGGGACCCGAACGAATCGAACCCAAAGCAAGAGGAGCCATCACACCCCGAACTGGACCCAAACGACCCAGAGGCAAGGTTGTTTAACAGTCCTCCGCCAGGGATATCGCCTCAGCCGGTCACAGTGGAGGATGCACCCGATGCCGACTTGGTGAGGGACGCGGCTGGCGTCTCACTGCCACATACTCCGGTATCAGCTAGTCGCCCGGGCTCCTCCGGGGAGCTGACCTTACCAGGGGTACCGACGGAGATTGGGCAGAGGCCTCCAGCGCAGCCTGGATATTTTGACTCGCAATCCATACCGCCATCGCCTATATCCCCTCCCGCACACGACCCCGACACCTACCCACCACCCACAAGCGCAGGCACCAGAACACCACCACAAACCTGGACACAGAACCCTCCACGCTCGCACTCACCTCCGCCTCCGCCACAGGACCAACACACGCTCGCCCCGCCCCAATCGACCGCCCCGCCCACCTTTGCGACCAACACCTCCCCAGCACCCGCCGTCGCCCCGGCCCCGTTCAACCAGCCCGTCAACCCGAGTTACATGGCCATGGCGCCCACCGCCCACAGCGCGGCGGCACCGGCGCCCCGTGCAGCTCAGGCTGGTGGAAATCTCGTCGCCGACGAGGCGGCCATGGTCCTGGCGCAGAAACACGCCAAGTGGGCCATCTCGGCGCTGAACTTTGAGGACGTCGGCACGGCTGTGGGGGAGTTGCGGAGGGCGTTGCAGGCTCTGGGGGCGACGTAGATGTATCTAATCCAGGTAGTTTGCGATGCCCAACTTTGGGGTGTCTTGAGTTTATGTAGAAACTTGTACAGCGATGTATTTCGAGCCTTTTGGGGCAGCCATTGCTTTTTCTTGCTAATTGCGCGAGCCTTGTCCATTGCTCTCGTCTTGGGGACGCCTTAGGTAGGTAGACTGGGCGGTTCAATCTCTCGGTGGTCAGTGATTGTCACCGAAACACCTTCCTCGCTGAATAGGGGTTTAGCATATCCACCGGGATCTAGCATTTCCTCCTTTGCGAAGTATTCTCGTCTTGATCTTGTATCTTCAAGTAGCTACATGTCACAATCTCAGAGTGACTTCTCGGTGATCACCCATTCAATGTTGCAGCTCCCCGCGTATGTGGATGCAGATGCTGTTAAGCTATGCGCGGGGGACGTGGCAGTCCCCCGGGGTGCCAGGTAAATATAGATTACGTATGGGTTGGTTCTACTTGCCTAAGTTTAGGAAGGTTATCTGCATCTATCGGGGCGTGCTGGTGAATCTGGGGGTCCGCGAGATACGCCCACCGACTTATAGAGGTCGACCGCCGGACTCCGGAGACCGACCCTATTATGCCATGTAAGTTTCGTTGATCGGCTGCATGTTTCCAGCAGGACAACGGGCATGAATACCTAGGTAGCTCTCGGGGCCGGACTCCTGCAACGGAAAGGAGTTTCTCGACATAAGTCGACACATCGGCCGAGTGCCTCTCCTGCTCAACCCAGAATCGGCTCGATATTGACTTTAGCTTTGTCATGCATCTATGGGACGGTTCTAATATTGGAGTCTTCCGTGTAAGCTGACATACTACACCTATTGGCTGCGACGTTGCGTGCAGCAGGATTGTCAAAGACGTACGAGGTTCTGAGACTTGGAGCTGCCGTGGGAACACACGTTGCATTGCCCAGCTTTTGCACTCGTCCCTTCCGGTCGCGATGACGACGAGCTCAGATGCATGTTTTCAGGTCTCACAAGTTCGTAGCCACGCTTGCTCTTGGGATCTAATGAGTGTCCTATTTACCATGTCTACATGGTCGCAGCCTTAATCTTAGCAGTCGTAATCGTAGTACCAGATTAACCCCCCCCCCCCTTGTAATGACTTTTAGCGCAATATATAGGCAGTCGACAGACCTTCAGTTCATATTTCACATCGATAGTATCACCTATAATTGCGCGGATGTGGTATAACTGTAGGGCTCCCCCTTTCACAAGTCATCCCACGACTCCTCCCGGGAGTCCTCCTCTTCGACGTAATCCTCCAGCCTCTCAATCAGATCGTCGACCTCGATAGGCCCCATCCTCTGGTCCCAAGCCCCGTGGTGCTTGTGCGGCGGGATAGGCACCCCGCTGACGACCTGGATGACGCCGTTCTTGGCGACCGCGTCGTGCACGCTCACGCGCACCCGCCCGTTCACCACGATCCTCGAGAACCACCTACCGAGGCGCGTGACGTCCACCGACACCGAGGTATCGCCCAGCAACGTCGGCAGGTCGACGTGGTACCGGCGGCCCTCGAGGATCTGGTCCACCACATCGTCCTCCTCGGCAGGCACCTCGTCGGCCTCGATCGCCTCCGCGACCCCGTCCGCGCGGTACAGCGCGTCCGAGTATAGCGTCGCGTTGGCGACGATCTGGTACTTGAGCAGGGCGCGCAGGTAGCCGCGGCCGCGCTCCGTGTTGAAGAGGAAAGCGTTTGCGCGCGGCCCCAGGCGGCGGAAGGCGTCGTTGTCCGGGGCGAAGACGGTGGAGCCGCGCAGCGTGACGTGGTGGATGAAGTCGACAAAGTTGGTCTTCTCGTAGGCCAGCAGCAGGGTCGAGAAGCGGGCCGGGAACAGGGAGAGCTCGCGGCCGACAAAGACCGGCGGGAGGAGCGGGCGGTTGATGGCGTGCACGACGCCGTTGCGCACCGCCACGTTGCCGCCCACGACGTGGGTGATGAAGTTGAGCTGCGTGGGCCCGATGATGCCCGTCCGCACTCGTAGACGCTGCGGCTGGTCGTCCAGGAGGCTCTCGTCCAGGGCTGTCGGGATGGTGAAGGCCCACCGCAGCCTGCTCGTCGGGTAGGCGCCCACGCCGATGTGGTACTTCAGCAGGCTCTCGATGAACTCCTTGCTCGGCTTCTTGTCGCCGTGGTGGGGCGCGTGCTCGAAGGCGTCGTTGGTGGGCACAAACAGCGTGTAGTTGGCCTTGGTGCTGTTGAGCAGCTTGATGATGCTGTCGTGCTCGTTGACAAGCTCGAGGAACTTGGTCGTGCGATTGCTGAGCGAGAGCAGCTGATAGATGGTCAGGTCGAACGGCCCGTGAGGGTGATGGCCATGGCCGCCATCTTGGGCCCAGTCAGCGGCGTCGCTGCTCTCCTCCTCATCCAAGACAGTCCCGCTATCGGAATGGACGAATTTGGCAGGAACAAACTCGACACGCTCCTCGTTCCGTTCTCCATCCAAGCTCAGCTGTTCGAAGACTTGAATGTCAGGGAGCACAAGGGCCGTGGCAATGGCCACAAAGGGAAGAATTGAGATGGATCGCATCTTGGCTCTAATACCCCGATTTACTGTTAATAGTAGAAGACGAGGGTGTCCATGAGTGAAATACGTTTGAGGTTGGTTAAATGGCTGGTCGACGGATGCGGCGGCGGTTGCGATCAGCTGATGTCATCGATGCCTACGTACATACACCTCCTAACCAACAAGACCGAGTACGAGGAACACGAAACACGGGCCGCTTTGATTCCTAAGCATCGCGCGTCCAATGAGAGGCGACCCCGAGGCACCCGGAGACAATTGCGACATAGTGCGAGACGCTGGCCAAGCGTTGCGATAGGCCCTAATCGAGAAAGAGGGGACAATCTGGTTGACAGGACTGGCCAATATTGCCTGATCACAGCTTATTATCGGTTAGACGCTGAATCGAAGTGGTTGTGCTTCGATTGTGTTTTTGTGTCTCAATCGTTGCTCATCGCTACATAAGAGGTTCGCTCGTCCCTGGTGCAACCTACAGGCCGACCAATAAAATCGTGCTCAGCCCCCTGCTCATCAATACTTAAGTCCACGCTGCTCGCAATACTTTCAACCCGTAACTAATCCGTAGAGATGGTCGGCATCTCTTCCATCAACGATTGCCGCCATCAAAAACAGTATCGGAGGGATGCCCCCGAGGTACGCGGTACGGTGCTCTGATGCTAGTGCTGTGGTTGTTGCCTAGGGGTTCGCTGCTAGTGTCAACCGAATGTGCTGCTGCTCTGCGCTGTAAGTGGTGACTGGCCAAACTGTCTCCTATCTAGGTAGGTATGAAGTAAGAAAGACAGTTGTGCCATAATGTCTAGCACGGCCCAGGACGGATGATTACCGGGCCTTCCAAGTTCCCGGCAGGATCCGGCATACGTGAGATGCAATGGCGACACAGCCCGAATGAAGGCCGCTTCGCTGCCGCCTCCTCTGCCTACCGGTCGCTATGTCTTCTGACAAGAGGAAACGGCTCCCCAGACCCGTAGACCTGCCGGATGAACCGATCAGCCTCGCCTATGATGCGCACGCTCTGGTCGACGCTGGGCGAGCTCGGATCGCCAGACACCTGCTGCCAGCCGTGGAGCAACTGTCGGAGGTGGTTGCCGGCAGCCAGCACCTCGGGACCTATCAAGCCCCTCAGGGCGGGCATCCGGCAAGCCGCGAGGAGCACGAGCATCGCGCCCGCCATACTAGTCGCCTCCGTGGTCAGTTTTCTAGCCCGTTTTTCGTGGAACACGAGACGACGAGAAGTACTCACGACAGCGAGCAGATCCACGTATCGACCAGCACCGTCTGGGCGAAACCCCTCAGGTTGAGTATGTGCAGCAGGCACGCGTCCAGGCAGGCCCTACAGTTGGCCAGCACCTCCTCGCTGACGGTCCCGCCCCCGCCGAGCCCACCCCCGTACCCTGCCCCGCCGGCGCCACTAAGCATCCACATCAGGTAGGGCCTGTAGATGACGCTCCGGCAGGTGAGGTACCTCTGCCTGAGGAAGGCGCCGTGCTCTGTCGCGGGCTGCGGGACGGCGGCAGCGGTGTCGGCGGGCTGCGGGACGGCGAAGGCGAAGGCGGGCGGGAGGACGTCGCGCCAGTCGTCGAGCTGGTGATCGAGCTCGGCGACGACGAAGGGGAAGCGCGCGCCGTCGACCGACGCGCCCGTGCCCCGCGCGTACAGCAGCTGGTGCACGCGGTTCAGCAGCCGCCGCATCGAGATGCATGCGAGGAAATAGAGCGAAGACTGTTCCTCCTCAGCCGGCGAGGCGTGCGTGTGGTAGGCGCCCGGGAGGGGGACTGAGGACTCGATGCGCGCGATGCCGGATTGGGGGAGGCCCGAGAGCTCGGCGAGGTAGTCGCTGGTCGTCGTTAGTGTTGGTGTATGTGGTGCTGATGGGTGGGGAATGTCATGGTTGGTGGCTAGCGGAGAGCACGAAGCAAAAGAAGAGAAAGCATACCTTTCCAGGATGTAGCAGGACCAGAATATCCGCCTGATCCTCTCCTGGTCTTCGAGGCTCTCGCCAACCGGCGGGTAAGAGAGCAAGAGGAGACACTTTGCCGCCGCCGCGTTGATGTACTCCCACGCCTGAAGGGGTCGACGAAGGAACGCGAAATACATGCTGCGCTCGTGGGATCCGTCAACAATTCATCCCACGGTGCTTGATGCCGGAAATGAAGAGGGATAGAGGGATCGGACTCACGCAACAAAGAACAGACAGTGAGTCGCCGTCGCGCTGACATCGGTGTGGGCGGTGTGCAGCTTCTTCATCACGCCGTCAAAGTACATGTTCCCCATCGCCCGCCTCGCCGCGCGCCGCTTCCTCTCCTCCTCGCCCAGCACCGCGCCCGTCGTGGCGAGCCCGGCCGTCACCTGGCTGGCGCACCCTAGAGCCATGGTTAGCAGGGCCAGGCACCCGCCCGCGCCATCGTCCTCGAAGGACCCCGTCGTTACCGCCGCTCGGGCCCGCTCCAGCTGACCGCGGGACATGGTGGGGTACCAGAAGTTGACGGCGTGCTCGAACGAGTCCAGGATGCTGTCCACGTCTTCGGCTGTCACGTAGGGGTACATGGCGGTGCTCCGTGTCTGGAAGGGGGGCCGCGACTGTTCCAGCTGGAAGATGGATACGTAGTCGAGGCGGAGGCTGGGAAAGACATTGAAGTGTGGCCACTGGAGGATCGACTCGGTAGTCGACGTGTGCATCGAGTCCAGTACGGCATTTTCGAAGTTGTTGGAGATGTGCGGCTCGCTCAGGGGGTTCTGTTGCTGAGTGTGGGAGTGTGATTCGGCCAAGGGGCTACAGGAGAAGCTCCCTCTTCCGGCTGAAGAACTGACAACCGGGGAGACAAGGGCCCGGGGCTGTCGTGGGCCATCGGTGAAGGAAGATGCGCCCTAGTTCCTAGGTTGAGCCTTTGGACTTGGGGAAATATCATGGTGAGACGACACTGGACACTACTGACGATGCTTGCTTTCATCTCGTGGAGAAACTTCTCCACTCGCAGGACTCCCTCGAGAATCATGTCGCTCTTCCCTCGCCTACAGGGAAGACGAGATGCGATCAGCAGCCATTCCTGCTCACTGGCGGAAGACCGCGCGGCTTACGAGTTGGCTTCAGATCCATAGGTGCATTCAGTCTCGGACGCCACGCAGGTCGCGCAAGGGTGGTTCCCATCGCATCTACATGAAACTGGATGTTAGCTGCTAGTAGCCCGTCTTGAGGCTCCGCGAGTGGGTGCCAAGCGAACCTTACCTTATTTTCCTTGATCGACACACGTCGCACTGAGGATCGCAGCATTGTTAGTGTTAGTGACACAACTCCTTGCAAGTAGCCAACCAAGCCTCATCCTCCCCCAGCAAAACCCTGACAAGCTATAAGCACGTCGGCAACTTACCGCGTGCGAAGCCCTCAACCTCTTCCTGCTGTGTTCGGCAGCAGTCCCGTTTTCCGTATCCATTATGACACCAATCGACGAGAACTTGCATAGAGCTTGTCAGTAGTGTGGAGATGGGGAGCTTGTGTCTCGATCCGAGGCGGACCGATAGTCAAGTAATTAGAGAAGAAAGTTGGGGGAACAGTGGGTGCCGTGGGAGATGTGGAACAACACATAAAAAGGTACCCGCATAGTGGTCCACTGCGGGGAAGGCTGGGACGTAACATGGGAAATTTATCCCCTTTTTATTCTACTTAATTTTCCATATGACCGTTGGCAATTGAAATTGCTGCGAACTGATGATGAGCCGTGAGCGGGTTGAAGAGTGTAGTAAGGCAATGTAGAGGAATTGGGCCATTAAAAGAGAAATAAAAACAGAGAAAGAAAGACACTGGAAGAAACACGTGACTGACTACATATGGTTGGTTCCTGCCGGCTCCGACACCCCCGGCAGCGTGGCTTGGCTATGCCGCGATTGTGCCGTAGTCAGGTACCGGCAGAGACCGTCGTGGGTCTTGCTACTCACCCGCCGTTGCGCTGTTGGCTGTTGGTTGTCGGAATCCCCCGCCCCACAGCGTCCCCCGTTAACCTGCAGCTGCCCCAACGAGGGGCTGCAACCCAGAGCTCACAAGATCATGGGAGCTCCAATTCTGCCCCACGTTCTACGGGGGCATGTGCGGGGGTCCAACCAGCAACAAAAGGCTGCGATTATCGGTGCGAGTTGATGTTTGAAAGGTATAACGACATCCGCTTGTGTTGAGACTCAAATCCCGTTCCATTCAACTGGGCCTTTATTCTATGTTGAGGGAAGCTTTAAGTCTACAATCAGTTAAAGCAACAGGATGGCTGCCAACGGAATCCCCCTGCAGGAGCGAGAGGGCACGCCCGATTATTGTAATCCGGCCGTCTTCCGAAGAAGTACGCTCCCTCCGCGCTCTTACTTCATTCCCGAGGCGTCTCTGCTGCTTAACGGCCGATGGGACTTCCACTACGCCGCAAGCCCGCTCGAGGCGCCGGACTTGAAACCGGAGGCCGCCACCAGCTGGACGACGATCCAAGTCCCCGGCCACTGGCAGCTCCAGGGCCACGGGAAACCACACTACACAAACACCCAGTTCCCCATCCCCGTCTGCCCGCCCCATGTGCCCACCGAGAACCCAACGGGCACCTACCGCCGGTCCTTCTACGTGCCTTCTTCGTGGGAGGGTGATTCGCAGCTGCGGCTGCGCTTCGACGGCGTCGACAGCGCCTACCACGTATGGGTGAACGGTACCTTGGTCGGCTATGCTCAGGGGTCGCGAAACGCCTCCGAGTTCGACGTGACCGCGTTCGTGGATAGGGGCGAGTCAAACGAGCTCACTGTCAAGGTCTACCAGTGGTCGGACGGCACGTATATCGAGGATCAGGACCAGTGGTGGCTTTCAGGTACGGCGACCCAGGTTGACCCCTCGTGAGCGCCCTCCGGGGAATCCAGATACTGAGTAATTTGTGGCCAGGCATCTTCCGCGACGTCCATCTCATCTCGTTCCCGGGATCTACAAGGATCGAGGATTGGTTTATCCGGACTGATGATTTTGACGACAAATACGAGGACGCCGTCGTCGAAGCTACGGTCAATGTTAAAACAGCAACAAAATCGAGTCTAACGCTCATCCTCCGGGAGCTGCCCAAGAATGGCGGTGGGATCATCTCCACTATCAAGAAGGCTGTGGTCAACCCGGGCGACGCTAAAGTCATTCTCGCCGCGGATGTACCCAGTCCAAAGAAATGGACAGCAGAGACGCCATATCTGTACACCGTGGAGCTGACAATCTCGACCGATGCAGGCCAGGCCATGACTGTTAACCAGAATGTAGGCTTCCGCAAGATTGAGCTCAAGAATGGGCTCATCACGGTCAACGGGACACCCGTAAAGCTACACGGAGTCAACCGTCATGACCATCACCCATTACACGGCCGCGCCGTGCCCTTGGACTTCATCAGGAAGGACCTTCTCCTCATGAAGACTCACAACATCAACGCCCTCCGCTGCTCGCACTACCCGTCGGACCCGCGCCTGTATGACCTCGCCGACGAGCTCGGCCTCTGGGTCATGGACGAGGCTGATCTGGAATGCCATGGCTTCTACGACGCCGTCGCGCGACCTCTGGACATCCCCGAGGAGATGGACTACGAGGAGCGCAAGAAGTTGACCTTCCCGCAGGCAGCCAAATTCACGACCGACAACCCGGCCTGGAAGGCGGCATATATCGACCGCATCGAGCAGATGGTGCACAGGGACAAGAACCACGCATCCATCATCATCTGGTCGCTGGGCAACGAGTCCTTCTACGGCCAGAACCACAAGGCCATGTACGACTGGGCCAAGGAGTTCGACCCAGGTCGGCTGGTGCACTACGAGGGCGATGCCCATGCCGAGTCCGCCGACATGTATTCGTACATGTACCCTTCTGTGGACCGGCTGGTCCGCCTAGTCAAGACAGAGGGTGTAAAGGAGGACGGCTCCTTCGACAAGCCCATCGTCCTGTGTGAGTACGCGCACGCCATGGGCAACGGGCCCGGCTGGCTCGAGGAGTACGACAGCGCGTTCCGCACGTACCCACGGCTCCAGGGCGGCTTCATCTGGGAGTGGGCGAACCACGGGCTGTGGAAGGAGGATGCTGATGGCAAATCGTATTACGCGTACGGAGGCGATTTTGGCGATTTCCCCAACGACGGCACCTTTGTCATGGACGGGCTGCTGTTTAGTAACCACGAACCGACGCCGGGGTTGCTAGATTTCAAGAAGGTGATCCAGCCCGTGAGGTTCGAGATGGCTAGCGATGACAGCTTGGCCATATCAAACGACTATAGCTATGTTGAGTTGGGGCACCTCGCGATGACATACAAGTTGGAAGAATTCGGAGACAGGTATGTGTCTGTGACAAGAAACTTCAGGAGTTCACTCGGGCTGGTTGATTAACACTCCTTTTTTATAGCGCTACTCTGCTGGCATCGGGAACACTCGACGTTCCGGTCATCGCCGCTGGGAAGTCTGCCAAGGTAGCATTACCCGCCTCGCTGTCCAAGATCAAGTCGAGCAAGGATGTCTACCTGACCGTGACACTTCGACTACGAGAGTCAACTCCGTGGGCAGAGCCAGGACACGAGATTGCCTGGTTCCAGCACCAGATCTCGAGAGCAGAGACTCTCGAGCTAACACCCGCCTTACGCCAGCTGACGTCGAAGCTGAGCGTCGACACTGCACAATCGACGGTCAGGGTGTCAGGCGAGGCCTTCTCCTTCACCTTCGACACCGCCCGCGGCTACCTAACAGACTGGACCGCCAACGGCGCCACTCTCCTCGAGGCAGACCCCGCAACCGGCGCGGCCATCATCCCCGGCTTCTGGCGACCCCCCACCGACAACGACGTCCCCATCTCCCTCCCCTACTGGCGCCGCTTCGGCGTAGACGCCCTAACAAGCCAACTCCGCTCCATCACCCTCCCCACCACCCCCTCCCCCGACGGCACTCTCAAAATCACCACCACCACCTACCTCTCCCCGCCCGTGCACGCCTGGGGCTGGGACGCCACGACAACATACACCATCTCCCCATCCGGCACCCTCTCCATCTCCGTCTCCCTCTCCCCGACCGGCCCACACCCGCCCACACACGTCCCCCGCGCAGGCCTCGACCTCCGCCTCCCGCGCGCCCTCGACGCCGTCCGCTGGCTCGGCCTCGGCCCGGGAGAGAGCTACCCCGACAAGCGCGCGGCGCAGCGCGTCGGCGTGTGGTCGCGCGGCGTGGCGGGCCTGCAGACGCGCTACGAGGTGCCGCAGGAGGGCGGGAATCACATGGATACGAGGTGGGTGGCGCTGGCGGGGGGCGGCGCGGGAATCAGGGCCGTCGCGGCGCCGGGCTCGGACGCGTTGTTGGGATCTGGGCTGTTCAGCTTCGCGGCGACGAGGTACGATGCCGCGGCCGTGGAGGCGGCTCGGCACCCGTGCGATCTTGTCGAGGGGGCGGGGACGTTGTTGAGGCTTGATGCTAGGGTTGCGGGGGTGGGGACGGGGGCGTGTGGGCCCGGGGTTAGGGAGGAGTTGTTGGTTCGGACGGGGGAGATGAGGTTTGGGTTTGTGCTGGAGGCGGTTGGGGGGTGAGATAGGGTGGCGTGATTTAACGATACATCAACTGTTAGTCGTTGAGAATCTCAGGCTGCAAATTGATTAAAATAGTTCGGCCGTACTTATTCCTTAGTACAGGCGCCAGCCACCTGCCTAGGCCAGGCGAAAAAGCAGTTTAAACTATCCAATGTTCTGGTTGGTTGAGAAGGTATTGCGGTTGCGTCAGTACTGTGTAAGTAAACGTACAAACGAAGATAGATGTACCGTGCTGCCCTCCTTGGGTAGGTACCTCTAGGATTTCAAATGTTAGAACTACAACGGCGAAGTACAAATTTGGAAGCCGTTCATGATAGATCTCGCAAGGTACCTATTTAACAATTGAAATGCTCGAGGAAGCTATGTCCCAGGCAGAACCAACCTAGTCAAGTGCCTCTATCACAACACTCGAAAGGAGGACTTTTATCACCTGCATAACCTCGTCTGCTCATTTCCTTTCCTTTTCTTTCCTTTCAATCTTTCAGCTGTCCGGAATTCGATGTGTAACTTATCTCGTCTTTCCTCGGGTTCAACTTGTTTGCAATTGGAAAATCTATTCTCAGTTGGTCTCTCAAAACTCCGTCCTCTTTTTACGTCGACTTTACTTCGCGTGTGTCTCTGACAACCATTGAGCATGGTTCTCGGGAAATCAATCGATTGTCTTAACGAAACGCAAGCATGGAGGGAAAACCCTGCGGATCCTGATCTCGTGGGAATCGGTGTAAGCACCATCATGTTTCTATGCCAAGAGTAAAATGCTAACAGGCCATGTGCGCAGGTCATATTGTCCTTCATATTGACAGCGTTTGCGGCCGTCTCCACACTGGCTTTGGCCTTTGTGAATCATGGAATCCCAGAAGAACAGTATAACTGTGTTGACCAAAAAATCATCTCCAGACTGGACAGCTGGCTAGGACACACCACCCGAGCCCTTAAAAAGGGACCTAGAAAGACAGTATACCAAACCTTCATTCTGGCCTTGAGCGATCAGACGCTTGTCATTGGAATTGCTCTTCTCATCACTATTTACGCCCAGATCTGTGACATCACCGCTTTCACTTTCCAGATGGCCAATGACCTCGTTTTCTTCTGCTCAACGGCTTATCTGGCAACACTTACGGCTCTTAGAATGCACTTCAAGCATAACAAATGGCAGAAGCGACTACGTGTCTCTCTAATGGCCTTCCACCTGGTCTTCCTCCTGTCAAGCACCTTCATCCAATACTTGACTTGGACACACGACCCTGGGACACTGGAAGTTTGCGTGATCGACGACTACGAAGACGAGCTTGGTTCAACAATCCTGGATTGGCTGGCTCTGGTTTTGTTCATGGTTTGGTGTTACCATGAAAGTCTCACGGCCGATCTGAGAAGCGACAGGCTTTATGGTGAGGAGGAGCATCGATACCCCCTTGCACTGTCCCTAGAAGCTCGTTTCTCCCGAGATCCGCACTTCAAGGACGACCTTGAAGCATATGTGCATGAAGAGAAACTTCGAAGACTTGGAAAATGGCAGAATTTGCAAATGCTTCTGAGGGGAACCCCTTCCGGATACCCGAAGCCGCTGTACAAGTTCTTCAAGATGTTCCAGATCGCGGGCCCGGATATATGGAAGGAGGTCGCCAGCTCCTTATTCACCGACGTCCTGACCACGGTCATCTGGTTCGGCCTGGCCATTTTATATCTCGTCCGACACTTGCAATTTGAGGAGGTTGATCTGTCACCACTAATGGAATGGAAGTTTGGCCAGGCGATACCGGCTATCCTTCTCATTGTCTACGCAATAAATGCCGTGGAGTCCAGGAATAGTACGTACATACATTCCCACACGAAAGCATCATGGAGGACAGAGCCCGTTTTGACATTGAGCACAGGTGTGGCACACGACACCTCTATCACAAGGGGTACAGCTCAAGAAGACGCCGCGACTCAGCTCAGTGTGCAGCCAAGTAATGACCTTGTTCATAATTCCTCGGCTGGCGCAGAAAGACTCGCCAGCCAACAAGAAGCACTAGAGCCTGCCGTCCAAGAGCAGAACCTTCCCCAAGATGAAGCTACTGGGTATTCTCAAGGAAACCCAGCCTCAGAGCCCCAACAGATGGTGCGGCGAAGAACAGCACAGCTTCAAGAAGCTTCAACCGCTTCTGCTACGGCGACAGCACAGTCACATACTTCCAGCCCCACGCAACGCAGAGTGAGCACCCTTGAGATGGAAGATGGTCGAGAGGTAATTATGCACCGCCCCCAGCCCGGGAATACAGTATTCGCTTACGCAACGCTCTTTTCTAGTCCGATGCCCAAGACTTGCCTGATGTCGACCTCGTTGAGCTTGTCATGAAAAAGAGCAGAGGCTGCGGCACCATTTATGTGCTAATCTTTCTCGCGCTCATTATAGGCTTCACGGCCTTCTTGTTCCTTTCCTTTACTATAGCTGTCATCGTTGGTGGTGAAATCTACACACTAGGCAAGTTGTTCAAAAATATGCAGGCGGTTATGGGTGTCCGCCGAGTCCGAAAAGAGCGACGGTTGCAGAGGGAAGCAGCGAGATTGCGAATTCCGAACTCGTATCGTTAAGTGGGAATCGTTCAATATGGCAGCTTGTTCGATCATGATCCTCAAATAGCATCAGGTCTCCTGCAGCCCGTCTCCTTGATTTGTGGTCCACGTATCCCGTTTCTCTTTGGCCATGGATGATCCCAGCCTTCGGGAAGCTTCTAACGGGCCGTTTCATGCATGGTCTGAGCCGAGCCGGGAAGCGAAGAGCCAGTAGAGAAAAAGAACGATTTGGCTGACATTTCAAGTATTGGCCGTCCATCGGCTTCAATGGTGGCGAGCAAGCTAATCGCCGATAGTGGACTCCGATCGCGATCGGTGCTAATCGAGTTGGCTGACCAATCACAGTCCCTTGGAAAGAGATCTAGACGAATCGCCGGATTTATCGTTCGGATTCGAGAAAGCCGATCTGTCTGCACGGCATTAATAAGACGAACCTGCCCCCTGCAGCTCCGATACCAACTGCTGAGACGGCCGTCTAAATCCGAACGGGCCCTGTGCTACCTCTGTCCTCGTATCTAATGTAGGTAGACCTCTGACGTTGATTACGGGGATCCGAATTTCTGGCTTGCTCAATTTGTGGGGAAACGTTTTTGACAATTTCGAGACGATGGAATTGTCCCTTGAAGACGTCTTGATGGCATGATAACAGAATGATCACTAGATTCTACCTCTCGATAGCAGTCTTCGCATAAGCAGGGTGCATTGCCTGCAGCACATCAATAGCGTAATGTTTATTTCCTTTTTCCCGCCTCCAGACCTTTTCTTTTGCGGATTGGAAATGCAAGACGGTGATGGCAGAATGACGTTTCTGTGGCTTGAGAGGCCCATGGCTGCTCGTTACTAATATATACGTCCTTGCATGTGCTCTCCCAACGTCAGCTCATATAAAACCCAGCTCTGTCCTCCTCCCAACTCCAGCAGCTTGACCATCCTCCAAGAACTCCACAAGAACATCACGAATATAAACAAAGCAAAGCAACCTCCCCACGTTTTCACCATGTCATCAACCTACAACTACCCAAAGACCTACAAAGCCGCCGTAATCAAGGAGAAGGGCGCGCCATTGCAGCTCCAGGACCTCCAGCTCAAGCGCCCCGGCCCCGGCGAGGTGCTCGTCAAGGTCCTGGCCTGCGGGGTATGCCACACGGATTCGTTTGAGCAGGAGGGCCACCTCCCCAACCCGTGGCCCATCGTGCCGGGCCACGAGATCGTCGGCGACGTCGTTGCGGTCGGCGAGGGCGTGACGCGCTTCAAGGGCGGGGAGCGGGTCGGCGGACCGTGGCATGGAGGTTAGTTAGTTAAGGGCGGTCCCCTGGCCGAGACGTGTTGTTTCTTTTTTCCCCGCGCCCGGTTTCCTCCCTTGTTTTTGTTTTTGTTGAACCATTCATGGATTAACAGTCATTCCCCAGGCCACGACGGCACGTGCCGGTCTTGCCAGCGCGGGCAGTTCCAGATGTGCGACAACGAGAAGATCAACGGGGTGAGCTTCGACGGCGGGTACGCCGAGTACACGACGCTGCGGTCCGAGGCGGTGGTGAGCGTGCCCGAGGACATGGACCCGGCCGAGGCGGCGCCGCTGCTGTGCGCCGGCGTCACCGTGTTCAACGGCATCCGCAAGATGCGCGTCGAGCACGGCGCCCTCGTCGCCGTGCAGGGCCTGGGCGGGCTCGGGCACCTCGCCGTCCAGTACTGCCGCGCCATGGGGTATCGGACCGTCGCGGTGTCGAGTGGGGACGACAAGCGCGAGTTCGCGGGGAAGCTGGGCGCGAACGAGTTCGTCGATAGTGGTAAGGAGGACGCGGCGCAGAGGCTGCAGGCGCTGGGTGGTGCGGAGCTGATCGTCTCGACGGCCCCGAGCCCGAAGGCCATCAGCAACATTCAGTACGGCCTGGCGCCGGGGGGGAAGCTGTTGGTGCTGGCGCCAGTCGGGCCGGTTGAGTTTGATACAGCCCTCTTGGTCTCCAAGGGGGCGTCGGTTCACGGATGGCCGTCTGGGCACGCGCTGGATGCGGAGGATTGTATCGAGTTCTCGAGGCTCAACGGGGTCAGGTGCTACATCGAGAAGTATCCCCTCAAGGACGCGGCGAAGGCCATGGAGGCGATGCTGGCAGGCAAGCTGAGGTTCCGAGGCGTTCTGACTATGACTTGAGAAGGGCGGAGGCCTGACGAGAATCAGTAGTTCGTCATGCTGTGTTAGTAGAAAAAATAATAAATAGGAAATGCGTATGGAAGAGAGCGTTGCTCGGTGTCGAGACATGCCTGTCTGCTTGTAGTAGGAAACGGTTTACCACAGCCGCATGTGGTAGCCGTAGAGTCGCTGGCCCCCCGTTATGCCACATGAATAGCGGCTCACTTTAGCATTTCGTTGGGCAAGCACTTTTCTCAGGGGTGGGAATTTTGCAGATTTATACCGATAGTGGTGCGGTGGGGAGCGGGCAGACCAAGGGAGAGGAGAGGACAAAACGTTGCGTAAAGGTGTCTAATATAATTATGGATGGCTTCTGAAGAGGTGCCGTTGAAATTTATCGGCATTTAGTAATGAACAGAAGTAATTTGCATGAAATACTGGCATTTTGTCGGGGTGGGTTGGTTGTGGTGGTCAGGTTGTTGGGGTAACGGATATGTTGTTTGGAAGGCGCATACATGATGGAGATGGCACGTTGATATCGTAGGTTGAGGGTGGCCAGTATGGGAGGCATGGGGAGTCATGGTGGGAAGCGTGTGTTACCTTGCTTCTATCACCTTGGGCTATACTGCGTACCTAGGTTGATGAGACGCGCCAGTATCGAAGGGGAGTGCGTCAAGTCTCTCCCATGGAGAGATCCCGTGACCTACGAAAAGGCGTAATGAACATATATATGGGGGTAGGGAATCAAATTCTCAAGGGATCACAGAAGGCGGTGTCATGGCCATGTCACTCAGGTCAAACTGTGGTCTCGTGGTGGAGTGGGAATGAGCGACACTCGACAAAATCAACAACCGGCCCGACGACAAAGAGATTAGGACACTCGACACCGAGTCCGAACTCTTTTGTTCGAGCTGCGTCGGCACCAATTTTTTTGCTCCTTTTCCCCCCTTTCCCCATTCTTTTTCCGCGCTTCTAGAGATATGGCAGTGCATTCCAAATTATATGATATAAGGAGGAGTATTATGAGAGGGCTAGAATTTGATCTGTGAAGGCAAGGGAATAATACCTTGTTGAAGTCGTGAGTTTTGTCTAATTAGTTTGCGGCCTGTTTGAATTATTTCCACCTGAGCCCTTCTGGTGAGCGTATGTAACCGCTGACAATTGAATAGGAGACCTTTCTGACATAATATGCCCCCTGAATAATTGTTTCGGAGACACAGACTTCTTTTTGCCCCTGCGTCGGGTTAAGTTCATGTTTCGTTTCAGGTCGTGACGTTGACAAGCGGCCGGGTCAACCCGTCTCTTGTCTCTGATGGGGCCGATTTGGCGGCCGTTGAGCTCCGTACCCCTATCGGGTAAATACCACCAGCTTGAACCTTCGCCGTTTAAATCCCCACTGGGCCGGTGTAGTTCGCCTCAAACGCTTGCCATGTCGCATCCAAGGTCAGCCGCCCATCCACCACGAGGAAAACACCAGTACTTTGCTGACATCAACCCTCCTTTGCTTCCCTATTCGAGGAGGGTTGTCTTCCGCGATGAATACTTAAAGGGTATCCATTCCTGCCGTTGTTAGTTTGAGCCAAAGTGTCTTTATCCATTCGCATCATCGTCTTGACTTTTTCCTTTCTTTTTCTTTTCGCATTTAATATTATTGCTTATAACTATTCTTGTCGGCCGGTCCGTCTTTCTACCCATCCATCATGAAGTTCTCCACGGCGCTCGCCTGTCTGGCCACCACTACAGCCACCATCCGCGCCGCTCCCAGCCCACACATGTGCAACACACAGGTCGCCATCGGCGACCTCGTCCCGGAATTCGGCGTCGTCCCCGGCACCGACCGCGACGTCATCCAGACGGGCAGCTGCAGCGGGTTCAACGGGAAGGAGCGGATCCCGATCCCCTGCTCCTGCCCCCCCGGCCGGGACGAGTTCGTCGCCAGGCTGGAAGCCGCTCTGCTGGTGGGGAACGTGTTTGGAGATCCCATATCTTTCAGCAGTGATGCGTCGGACCAGTCTGTCGACACCAACCGGGCGCGTGCTACAGCTTCTGTCATTCTCCTGCAGAGCTTCAACGGGAAGAAGGGTGACGGGTGCCCTGTCGCTGCTGCGCCGAACTTGATGACGATGCAGGTCACTGGCGTTAGGAGCGATAAAATATTCGTGGGATGATTAGACAGTGACGATTCATTGTGTTTCGTTCCGAAGGTATTAGACTGTGTTCTTAAGCCTGGCGCAACTCTCGCTGATATAATTATTTGAGGGGATAAAAGTAATTCTGCCTCCATCTCGATTTAGGACATGGCATGGAAACACTGACGTGATCATGAGACTTGGAAATTCTGACCCATACCTCTTCTTTGCTTTTGGTTTGGGCTCGAAGCTATTTACAGGAGATGATATTGGGGTTTCAAAGGGGACGAAAGGGTTGGCTTCAAAATATGAATAATTCGACTTGGCACTGCGTATCTCATTGTTGTGATTCTGGTCTTATCCTAATGACTCTCTCTTGTCTCTGGTTTAAAAATTGAACACCAACTAGATATTTCCAACAACTCAAACCCATGATTCTAGGAGATCAGTGAATCCGGTTCCGTGCTGAAATCCCCTTACTGGTAGCCTCTACCCCGTCATGAACCGTCATCTCTTCTCAGCAAAAACTTCACCTTGACCCCCGTCAACATCGCCATGAAGTAGACCGGCATCTCCTCCTCAGGCGGCACCCTAACCTCGACGTCGAACTCACGCACCAGCGCAGCCACGACCTTGTACACAATCATCTCCGCGAGGTGCCTCCCAGGACACCGCCTCGCGCCGCCACCCCACGTCAGATTGTACCGCTCCATGGCCCTCGCGTCCCCGCCGGGCCGCAGCCACCGATCCGGGTTGAACTCCCCGGCGTCGGCCCCGAAGATGTCGGCGTTGCGGTGCAGCGACGCAGGGTTGCATCCCACCGTCGTCCCCGGCGGGAAGTGGTGTCCGTGCGCGCGCATCCCCGTGGTACCGGCGGGAACCCGCCGCGGCAGGGACATGCCAATCACGGGGTACAGGCGCTGCGCCTCCTTGATGGTCGCCTGGGTGAAGGGCAGGCGGACGACGGCGGTGTAGCTCATCGGGTCGGCGGTGGAGTCGGTGGAGGCGCGTACCTCGTGCGCGACGCGCCTCTGGGTGGAGGGGTGGGAGCCGATCATGGCCATGGCGGAGGTCAGTGCTGAGCACATGGTCTCGTGGCCAGCGCCGAAGTTGGTGACGGCTAGCCGGCGGAGGTATGTTTCGGTGAACTCGGGCTTGGTCTTGTGCAGCTGGATCAGGTCTGCTAGGAGATCCTTGCGCTTGTCAAGGGCGGGGTTTGGTCTCAGGGCGGCGGCGATCCTCCGCGAGGACTTCTGGTATACCCCCTAAAATTTTTGAGCATCAGCAACAGGAACAGCACGGCTGTGACGCAGGTAAATGGGCGCATCTTAACTGTGAAAAACGGCTTGAAGTTCTTGGGCGTCTTGTATGTCACACCCCAGACGCTTGAAAAGACTCTGCCGAAGGACTTTGAGAGTATCGTCGCTGTGGCAGCGATGGGGAAGAGGCCAAGGACACTCCTCCTTTTCCACCCAAGATAGCCCTGAGTGCTCGTGCCACCATCAGACTTGTTCCTTAGGAAGCCTGGAGACCACGAAAGGACGACTGCGCCAAGACATTCGACAGCGATGATATGCATCCACTCCTTCAAGTCGACCTCTTGGCCCTGCAGGGACTTTATCTGGGCGACGGCCCTTTCTACAACGTCGTCAATAGCAGCTTCAAACTTCTTCAAATTTGAGGTCTGATACACTGGACCGATGAGTCGTCTTTGGAGCCGGTACCGCGCCATGTCTCGCTCGGAGAGGAAATCCAGGGTGTCGGGGAAGTGGAGGCGTAGTAACCAGTCGACCTTGGGGTGTTGGAGTGCTGTAGCCACTGAGAATAAGGGTCAGGTTTTGATGTTGTCGCCTGGAAACCGTGTTCCAAATTCCACTTACGATAGAAGTCAGATTTCTCATAGCCGCTGCCAGCACCTGTGCATGTCGTTAAATCTGCGCCCGGCTCTATCAGAACGGTGATTCGTGGGCTCACTGTAGATGTTCTTGAACCCTTCTGCGGAATCGAACCAGACCTCGTTAGGGCCAACTCGAACGACTGGCCCGTATTTCTTATGGAGGGACTTGGCCAGCACAAACACACGACCGTTTCGGACATGGTAGGCATACCAGATGGTGGATACGGCGGCGAGTATTGGCCCCGGAACACGGGATAGCGGGTGAAGGTAAATCCTGTATATCGCGACTGTGGCCAGCAGAAGAAAAGAGAGTAGGGAAGTGGATGCAGCGATATGCAGAATATATAATAATAAACTGCATGCCCCGAGAAGCATTGGATGGTACAGCCTCAATCAGGCAGCACAGCCCGAATGAGACAGCTGGTGATATTGTTGGAGGTGCTTGATCCGAAATGCTTCGTTTTCCATCTGGGTTTGTCAAACGGGTCGTTCGGCATCATAAGAGTCTAGCACAAGTTTGCGGTTCTTCCTGCATGCGGACCATCTAAAAGGGTACGTGGTATGAACTTGCGAAGTTCAAAGTCCCGATTTTGGCACTTCCCTGGAGAAGATTTTGCGGGGGATATAGAGTTGCAGTTCACTTGGCGGCACCTGCAAACACCTGCTCCTTTGTCTTGCAGCTGCCAAGACAAGCTTAATCCAACCTCTGCGGCAAAACTTGCCATAGTCTACGTCTGAACGTAAGGCCCTTCTCCTCGGATTATTACGACTGGGCCTGGGTTAATATGAAAACTCTGATGTTTAAGATTGCTTTGCTTCTTTCGAACTCTCCAGCTACTGCACGTGAGTGACGCAGACGCAAACTTACCTCGCTGCGCCAGATATCCACATGGCTGCCTCCCTGCCGGTATACCTATGGCATGATTCAGCTATGCTGACCGTGGACATTCGTCGAGGAGCGGGGAGAAACCCCCCTGGAGCCACTCCGAACTATCCCGGAGTTCTAGCCAGGTTGAGCAAATCGGATCATACCCTTTACAATGACAATGTGCGAGCGATAAAACAGCCGAGAGGGAAACCCTATCGGCGGGCTTCGATAATTCCACCAAGAGGTGCTGACGGACTGCCTAAATCCCCTTAGTCTTTCTCAACCTCAGGACCTCATGCTTCGTGACAAACACCCGATCCATTACATCGTCCCTGTCGTCGCCGTCGCCTCCACACGGACCGACGCCGTCCATGGCGTCGACCAAGTCCCTGACCTTGGCGCCCTGCCACTCCCCATTGCTGTCGGTCCAGAAGACGCGCTTGATGCCCACCGAGTGCATGTAAGCCACGCACCTGTAGCACGGCCTGGACTCGATTGCTCGTGGGAGACCGGCCGCCTCGGCGGCCCCCTCGGCCGTCGACGGAGTGGCCGTGGGCAAGTTGAAGCGCAGCTCGTCGTGCAGCGAGCCCGTCGACGGGGAGTTGATAGGACCCTCGCTGCCGTCTCCGGGTGGGGGGCTTGGACCAGCCGCGCCCAGTGCCGTGTTCGGCGGCGTCGGCAGCCGCCGCTGGTTGCCACATGCCTTGGGACGGTCTGGCCAGTTGTTGAGCCGGGCCACGTAGACGTCTGCGCCGACTAGCCGGGAATCCTTCATGCGCTCTCGAGCCTCATGTGATGGACGAGGAGTCTGCCGAGTGTGGATGAGAACACCGGCCTTCGCCAACGGCCCGAAACCCCCTGAATTCCCTGAATTCCCTGGATTCCCTGGATTCCACATTGTTTTCGTCTTTGACGGCGTTAGTTTGTCACTGCTCTGCTGGTACGGGGATGTATATGCCCTGCCAGATGGTCGGGCGATATTCGTTTGGATATGTCTCCAGTTTGTATCTTACCTCGGTCCCATTGTGATCATCCTTTAGTTGCTGCCATGCCGGGTCCTCCTTCTTAAGCTGTTGTTGCGGCTGTTGGTGCTTAAACTTGTTGTCCTTGTCGTTGACCGGCTCCTTCTTGTGATGATGATGATGATTGCCATGCATCTTCCGAAGCAGCGAAGCATCGACATGGGCCGGCTTCAAAATGCGACTCTTGACCCTAAACCGCGCAGGGGCGTTGTTGAAGGTGCTGCCCTTGGCTCTCGAGGCAGATCCGCTCGACGTAGGACCTGATGGTGTGGTTTCGCCGAAGTCGGTTGCGTTTCGAACAAGCTGATAGTTTAAAATACGTTTTGACGCTGGAAGCCAGGCCGGAACGCGTGAGAGCAGAATTGATAGCCATCATCTCCGAGTGCATGGTGAGGGAGGTGTTGGCATGGTGACCAGCGCCCCTGTCACTGGCATCGGCGTCGAAGCGAGGCGGCGACGACGAGGTCAAGCGGGCTTTCAGCTTGGACTTTCGCTTGGGCTTCAGTCCAGAAGGTCCTGGACCTCCGAGTGGATACGGACTGGCGGGAAGACGGCCCGTCTTGAGGGCACCGCCATCAAAGCCGGAGCGATAGTCGTTGAAGCCCTTACCGATGATCTTTCCACCCTTGACGACGATGCAACCGTGACGGCAACGGAGAGGAGACAGAGAGGCCTGCTCGAGGCACTGGTGGAGGTAGTAATCGGTCTTCATTTTGACGTTTGGAGGCGGATACAGTTGATGAATGGATTTGTAACTTGTTCGATGGCTTCTATGTTGTGTGTACTTACGTTCTGACTCTCTGAGGAGAGTTAGGTTGCGAACAGTTCACTTGTCTCCACAGAAGGCACGGACCACACCTCGAGCTACGCAGTATGTACAGCTCATGCTGAAGCTTCAAAGCTAAGGCACGTGATTAGCCGACATTGCTGATACCAGACAACGTGATATTCGCATTAGGATGGAGAAAAGGAGGAACCTACCTAATTAAGTCGACGAATGCTTGCTTCGTATACAATTAGGGATCTAGTTGTGCTAGTGTTTCTAGGTAGATTACATGGCATTGGTCGAGCTTGTTGAGTTCTCTTTCCTTGGCCCTCTTATTGGGGCACAATGTCACCTGACCTACACGAAACCACTTGGATGTTCGTCCGCAGCTGCCCTGCATTGTGGCTCAGCAGATTCAACGACGTTACAACCTATTTTTGGCTTACTCAGGCCCAATCACCCAAGGAGTTCATTGCATAGCTCATCCGCATTTGCTCAGTAGTATCATTTCCTCTCTGGTGCTACCTTGTCTGTTCGGGGGCAGTGCAGTGCAGGCGTGCGGGGTTGGTGCCCGAGGCCCAAACTTGAAGACTCGATATCCCATCACCCACCGCTTCCATCAAGCAACGGCTCTTGCTCCTGCCCGCACATGCTCTCTGAGACTCATACACCCTCACAGACGTGAAAATGGACGGGTTCTCGACAGCATCGGTCACGTCAAGTTGTGAAGCCATCTCGCGTCGGGCTCTCTCCACGGTCGTGGAGATCGAGGCCGTCGCGAAGCATGTTCCTGCCGAGGACCCACGACTTCGCCAACTGCTCTTCCTGTCGACCAAACTGCGGCAGTTTGGCCAGCACACTGACCAGCTCCAGCACTGTCTCTCCGCCACTCCGGTCATCTCGGAGACTCTCCAAGGCGTCATCGTGTGCTCGCTGAAGGAATGCGAAGTTGCTTTGGCGGTGGTGGGAAAGCAGGTGAACAGGGTAGGGCCACTGGACGTGCCGCGGCTTGATCTGGGTGCGATCGTGAAGTTCCAGCACTTGTTAATATCGTATTCGCGGCTGTTCATCTTCGTGATGCAACTACTCTCCCTGTCAGTCATGATTCCGGCTTGTCAAGGGGCGCCGGGCCCTGACTTGACTGACATGGTTCCAGGGTCGATGTTGCTTCGCAAGATTCGAAGCTGAATAGCGCTGCCGGACAGCAGCTCGTTGACGATGCAAAGGCGTCATCGGCCGCGACTATCATGAGCGGCGTCGATCTCCTCGGTACCGTCGGTAACTCCACAGCCGGCGAGGGCTCCAATTCCGGCTTCACCGAGGGTACGTCTCCATCTGTCGCTGTTGAGGCCAGTCCTCCGCCCTCTGACGAGCCCCCTGCGGCTCCGGAAAGGTCGAGAAAGTCGGGCTTTGCAAAGGGTCTGTCGTCGCTAACAACCACGCTCAAGGCCATGACATCGAGCATGCGACCGCGGCCTGAGCCCTTCGTCTCGCCGCTCTGCCAGGCCGCCGCGAGGGGGAACGTCCCGCAGGTCAGGGGTCTCCTCGGCCAGGGCGCCAACATTAACGGGCGGAACGAGGACGGGAACACGGCCCTGATCTGTGCCATCACCTCTGGCCAGTCCGAAACAGCTACCTTACTCGTTGAATCCGGAGCCGACGCCACCATCCGGGACTGGTCTAGGAAACGTCGGCCGCCGCTATTCCACGCGCTGGAGGCCGGAGAACTCCGGATAGCCGAGCTCCTCCTCCGGCGCGGAGCCAAGACCGACGAGAGGAACCTAGTCGGCCAACCTTTCTTCGTCGACCTCGCACTCACGGGGCCCCTCGATTCCGTCCGCCTCTGCCTCCAACACGGCGCCGACGCCAACGCCAGGGATCTGACCGGCCGCACCATCATCTGCCAAGCCGCGAGCCGCGGCAACGTCCCACTCGCCCGCCTCCTCCTCGACCACGGCGCCAACCCCAACGACCGCGACGTGGTCGGCAACACCCTCCTCCTAGCCACCATGCGCAACGCCCGCCTCCCCGAGCCGGACCGCGCCGCCCTGATCCGCCTCCTCCTGGAGCGCGGCGCCCGCGCCGACGAGCCCGACACGTGGGGCGTGACGGCGCTCGCGCACGCCGCCGCCGCGGACAACCTCGACCTCCTGACGCTGCTCCTCGACGGCGGCGCGGACCCCGACCGCGCCGTCCACGGCGACTCGCTGCTCGTCAACGCCATCGACCGCCGCCGCTGGGACCAGGTGTGGGCGCTCGTCGAGCACGGGCGCGCCGACCCGTCCAGAGCCGATGCGCGCGGTCGGACGCCGCTCGCCGCCGCTGTGCAGAGCCAGAACCCGGATGTCGTGCAGCTGCTGGTGCAGCGGGGGGCTGCGCCGGGCCCGGCGGGTTAGGATCACGCTGTCGGGGGCGGGGCTGAGGCGGCGCAGGGCGGCAGACTGGCGGACGGGTGGGGTTTTGCTCGGATGCTGAATGCGCTGTTGCGTTGGGCTTGGAGGATGAGGACTGGGCATGGGTTGAGGTTGGTGGGTAGGGCCGAGGCGGAGAGGGTGGGCGAGGGAGCCGAGCGACGTTGAGAATGGGCATGGGCAGCGTGGGGAGGAAGTGACTGTCCATGGAGGACGGCATCGCTTCTCCAGACATGCTACGCATACGGTGTTGCGAGATTCCTGCACAGAAATGGCGTTGTTTTGACTTTCGATAGAACATCGTCAACCCTGATAGGCGGTGACGCTTTTTGAGCGAGCACAAATTATACCATCATCTTACTTCGTTGACGGGATAACACGGTAGCATGCGATGCCCTCTCTCGCTGAGGTAAACACTGCAAAGCGAACCGCAGTCGGCATATGGTAAGAGCATAAGAGTCATTCATTAATGTGTAAAGGCCGAGAGAAAAAAAACCATACAATATACAAGGGAGTCGGCGGCAATAATAGCCAGCCACGCCCGTATCTCTCCGGTATGCGCCCCAATGCCATCCCATCCATGAATCGGGCAAATGAGAAAAAACCGGGTAGAGGAAAGATAAAAACCATGAACATGAAAACCAGACACGCGACAACAGTTGGTAAGAAGAAGCCCATCGGGAACCCCCACCCCTGCATGCAATATGGACAATAGGTAGGATGGCAGAGACACCAACCCAGACTCCATCCGGAACACCGCGGAAAGACCGCCAGACACGGGGAAGCAGAACTCCAGCCATCACAGGTGGGTGACGGGCATATGCAGACGTGGTCCAAAGGAGTAGGGCTGTCTTCACGGAGTATCCCACCATAGACACCTCAGCTCATCTCAACCCGACGGAACAGGCAGGCGGGGCCATCATCTCCAAGCAATACTAGCCCTCTGCTGCGTCCTCGCCGCCATCCCCGCCTCGCCGGCCGCACCCCCCGTCCCCGCCCCGGCACCAGCACCGGCGATGGTGATCCTCCTAACCCTCCCATCAGCACGGTCACTCTGCGGGCTCCCGACATCCATCCTGACGCTCCCGCCGAGGTTCATGCGCCTCGCCTGCCCAGGCGTAAACCCCCTAAAATGGTCCCTCCCCGCCCCCATCGCGGTCCCACCACCCTCCCCCGCCGACGGCGGCGAGCACACCATAGGCGGCGACCGGCGCCTCTCGGCGCTGCCCCTGCGATTATGCCTCGATATCCCGTTCGTCGAGCTCGCCGACGCGGGACCGGAGTAGCTCGCCGACGGCCTGTGGCCGGACCCACCACCGCTGCCGGACGAGGACCCGACTCCGGCGACGCCTGACGTCGACATTCGCTTTGCGCCCGAGGCGGTGGCCGCCGCCGACACGGAGGAGACGCGGTCGCGGCGCTTGGCCGAGTGGAGCGCCGAGCGCAGCTTGTGGGCGTCGATGGTCGAGGGCGATTCCGAGTCCGAGGAGGACGATGCCGACGCCGACGCCGATGGGGACCGCCTCGAGGGCGCCTTATTTTCGTCGGCTGCCGTAAGGGAGGTGGTCGGCTTCGGGCTCCTGTTGCTCCTCGGCGGTGGCGACAGGGTGTTAGCGGCTGTGCTCACCGGGATGGAGCGGAGTGGGCTTGGGCGCTCTTCGTCTGACGAGGGGGAGAGGCTGAGGGTCAATGTTGGCGGGATTGGTGATCCGTTGGAAGTTGTTGTCGGCTGTGGTCCTTTGGATTTGGAGAGGAAACCGGCCTGGAACCGGTTATTTGGTTTCCCTGCAGAAAGACTCGTCATGTCGGGAAGAGTAAGGGATGGGCTCGAGTCAGACTGGGAGTCGGCGTTGTTCAGATATGAATACGATAGCAGCGGAGGGACCGGCGGGGTCTCCTTCTCTTCCGAGCTGCCCTCAGGCGTCGATCCAAACTTCTGCGGCGTCTTCTCGAAATCCGCCAGGGTGCCTTCCTCCGTCTCGTCGTCGCGCCATCGCACCACGCGCCTCGACGGCGACTTCTTCTTTACGGGGGTGAACGACACGCCTTTTCGACCCACGGCCACCTTCCTCCTCCGCGGGGAGGCTTTCATCGGGGACATTACAGCCTCCTGCTGTGCGGTTGACATGGCTCCGAATGCAGGGGAAGCGACCGGTCTCGCGTTGAAGCTGGCCATCTTCTTGCGCTTCGGCGTTCCTCTCTTTGACGGCGGGAACATCTCAGCGGGCGGCATGGAGCCATCCGGCTTGATAACCTGGCCGGCAGCAGTGTAGCCGACCTGGAGAAGGCGGTTGATAAGGGACTTGGCGTGGGCGATGGCCTCCTCCTCGCTCATGTTGAGAGTCTCCGAGAGCGATGCCAAGAGGTCGAACTGCGCGGTAAGTAGAACCTGGACTGTGCCTGTATCACCGGCCTTGTCGAGTTCCAATACCTCGCGGTACGCGTCGCGCATAAAGTTGGACTTGAGCACCTCGGCCTCTCGAAGCAGGACGTCCTGGTCTCCACCGTCAGCGGCGTCAACGGCCGACAGTTGCGAGATGCTGTGCTGCAGCGCCGAGTCGATCGCCCGCTCCCAGTTAGATTTCTCCAACCTTTGGTGCATGTGCTGGCGGCTGCTCTCGAGTTCGACCAGGATTCCCTGCGCCGTCTTCCGCATGCTTGCCAGATTGGGCGGCATGGCGTCTACGTCCTCCCGAGCCTCGCAGATAGCGTCAAAGGAACCGATCCAGGCCGAGAGCAATCCGATGCGCCTCTCAATGGCCCTCAACCGCTTCATGGTGGAGACCTTCTCCTGTCGCTCCGGCGCCGAGTTTTCATATGCCGTCCTCAACCGCGCCACCCCTTCGCGGGCGATGCATTCTCTCTTGTCGAGTTGCTTGCGGAACTTGGCAAAGAAGATGTTCTCGGCGTCCTTCTGCTGAGCCTTGAGCTCGTTGATGAGTGCGATCTGCTCGTCGATCTTGACCAGGAAGTCCTTGACGTGTCGGTTGACGTTAAACACGTTCCTAGTCACCTTGGTCTGGATGTTCTTGGCTCGGTTCGCGTATCGCAGTGTGTTTTGTGTCTCGTCGAAGTGGGCGCTGGAGGGACTGACACAGACAATCATGACGGTCTTGCAGTTCCCACCAAGGGAGAATTTCAGCAGCCGCGTGAGCTTGCTGTTGCGGTAAGGCACGTGGTTCTTCTTCCGTACATCACAGAGGGCGTTGATGCAGCTGCCCAACGCGAGGAGAGACTTGTTGATGTTCGCTCCCTCCAGCAGCCTCTCGCCCCGGTTCTTTGTCGCGCTCGCCCTTTCGCTGCCGGCCAAGTCGATGATGCTCAGCGTGGCCATCGTATGGGGTTCGTTGATGTCGGCGTTGCGATCCTTCTGGGCGACGTTGATCTGCAGAACGGCGTGCGATCTCGAGGACACAGCATTGGCCTCGGTTGGCGACACTGTCCGGTACTCGTTGCCCAGAACAATCATGTCCATAACCTCCTGCACGCCCTTGGGGTGGTGGCTCGTCAATCCCGCCACCGAGACTCCTTGATTGGAATCCTCCCGGAGCATCAGGCCCTGCTTGCTACCCCCGGGAACCAGCAGGTCTCGGATCGTCTCGTTGTAGATCTCTAGGTACGACAGTGTGATTTCGGTGACCTTGTCATCGCTCCTCTCATTTATCTTCTCGAACAACTCCTGCATCGTGAGGAATATGATGCCCGGTTGTTGTGCCGTGCCGGTAATCGTGTGTGTTTTGCCACACCCTGTGGCGCCGTACGCAAAGACCGTGGCATTGTAACCGTCGAGAACGCTATCCAGCAGATTCTTCGTTGTTCCTTCGTACACGTCCGTCTGTGATGCGTTGTCGTCGAAGATGCGGTCGAAGGCAAATACCTGGTCCTTGACCTTCTTCCCCATTGGCACGACGGATCTCGAAAACTTCTGGATGGGGTTATCTTCGGGAGGGTCGAAAACACTTGTCGAGGTCAGCAATCGTTGCACTGCCAGTCGGGTGGGGGACCAGAGTCAAGCCTACAGGCACCTATCGTCCACCACCTTGATCACTGATCGTATACCTCGCTGGTTGAGTTTGGGTGTCGGCGCCGCCGCGAGAGAGCCATCGCCGAGGAAGACTGTGCCATCATCGGTTTTCACTCTGTATCCAGTCAGCGACATATTCCCCTTCCTCCTCCATTCCCACTGAGGGCAGCTCGGCAGGTGGTTTGGCTCACAGTTGGGCTGCTTCTCTGATCGTGAATGGTCGCACTCGGACTGTGAGGCAGAGAAACGTCAGTTATGGGATCTGACACGACATGGCAGGAATCGAGTTGCTAAAAATCGTACCGGCAACGGTGATAGAAGAGGCTCCCCGGTCGGCGGACATCATCGTTGCCCGTCCACAAGGTCCTGCCACACGGCGTAAGCAGAAACAATGGTAAACAAAATGGCAAATATCGTGTCAAGGTTGCTTCCGGGAAGGGAGGTCGAAAAGCTTCTGTCTTGGAGGGACAAGGTGAACTCGAGAAAGAAAATGAATGACGTTGTTTCCGTTTTCCCCAGTCTCGGTCTGGGCAACTCTTGGTGGTTTTGGCTCTACACGCATAGGTAATTGGGCAGTTTTCAATGTTTTGGTCGTGGTTGCCGTCTCCGGAGCGACGAGCCCCACATTAACCCCTGGTGGCGGGACTAAGCAATTTTGGCGCTGCATAGGTGGGTCCAACGAAGGGCTGTTTCACCACCAACGGAATGGAAGTCAAAACAAACAAAAACAAGGCGGCTTGGCGAGGATGCTTGGAAGCCAACTCCCGTCACCAGGCAATATCGAAATTCACAGGCAAACGGGGCACAACACTCGTCATAATTATGTATGTATTTGAAGGTAAATACAAGGTAACAATAAATTAAATTAGACGTCAGAATAAACTGCTTTTCCGCTGGGAATCCTGACCCTTCCACGTCAAGTCAACCTCAAGCAAACATCATCATCACAGCACCCAACACAACGGCAACCGCACCGGCACCCAACACACCGCCGCCACCAACCATTCCAGCGGCGCTGGTCTTCACCGTGATCCTGGTCAGGTTGCCATTGCCCGCGCCCCCGACAACATCAACAGCGTTGATGTAGCTAGTCTGGTTGTACTCGCCCTGCTCGTCCCTCGAGACGAGGAAGCTCTCCGGCGGGCCGAGGTAGCTGGGCCTGACGCCGCCGAGATCAACAATGACCTTCTGCACGACGATGCTGGGCAGCAGGCACCACACGCGCAGCGTGTACGCGCCCTCGGCCTCGACGCTGAACGGCGTCGTCGTGTAGTTGCCCTGGTGGCCCCACACGGCGTCGCCGACGGCGTAGCCCCAGCCGGCCGGCATGCCCGTGCCGACGGTGTCGCCGACGGGCCGCACCAGCTTCGGCTCCGGCTGCGCGGACCCGGACGGGAACAGCGCGATGGCGTACTCGAGCGGGTTGCCATCGCCGAGGTAGTTGTGCGAGGGGGAGATGTACAGCGTCACGTTGGCCGCGGTGGTGTTGGTGAAGAGGTACATGTTGTACTCGAGCGCGGGCGCTGTCGACACGCTGAGCTTGTCCGTGTCCTGCGGCCAGAGACCCACGCCGCCCGACGTGCGGCCGTACTGCTCGAACGTGTGGTAGGTCACGGCGTCCGAGTTTGCGCCGCGCTTGGAGATGCTGGTGCTGGAGTTGCCGCTGCCGCTGGAGTTGGACGACGAGCCCGACGCCGCGACGATGGCCTGGTAGTGTGGGCCCTCGATGGAGACGTGCCCGTCGGACTCAACGTAGCCCTTGGTGAAGTTGGAGGGGAGGCCGCGGTTCACGACGGGGACCTGAACCAACGGCTCCGGGAAGCCGTACTTGTCGAAGGATCGGCACGGGGTGGTGATGTTGATGTTGACGACGGTCGAGTTAGGTGCCTTTGGTGCATTGTCCCAATCGATGGAGATGAAGACGCGCGAGTCGCTGCCGTTGTCGCCGCCGACGGTGCCGTTGTACTGGGAAAGCTTCACCCAAGGGGCCCAGGGGGAGGCGGTCCAGGTGCACGAGTTGGTGCCCCGGGAGAAGACATCGAACCAGCGGGTCACGGGGCCATACGGGTCCATGGGTGGCACGGCGAGGGTGGCACCGCTGTTGGCGTGCCACTTGTCATCGCCCTGGACCGTCGCGTTGGAGCCCTCCACACCAACGCCGACGTGGCCGGAGAGGGCGGCAAAGGCTGTCTGGACGTACGACATGGCGGGCAGGGTGTTTCGCATAGGCTGTTGCCAGTATCCGTCATATCCCAGGTGGGTTTCTGCAGCAGACAGTCAGTCAGCGAAGCTCTCAGCGTGGACACGAGCAGGGGGTCAAGTGCTAGCAGAACATTACTTACGGTCCATCATGTGGTTCCATTTGCCGTCAAGCATGTCGTTCCACCTCAGGGTAAGGTTAACGTCGGCTTCGGAAGCTGCCAGCACATAGTTGATCATGTCGTTGGCCGAGTTCCTCTTCTGGCCAGCGTACAACAAGTTCTTGGCCGCGCCGATGTAGACCTTGTGGATGATCTCGCCAGCCAGGATGGGGTGCAGGACCATCTGGAAGAAGGCCGGCTGGGCATCCTTGTCGAGGCCGCTGTATATGGCCTGAGCGGCCTCGGCAAGCGTGGCCCATTGCTCCAGGGTTGCGTCCGCCTCGTTGTAGTTGAGGACCGAGTAGGTCTGAGGCTCGACCATCTCGAACTTGCGACGGCTCGCATACATGCTGAACTTTGAGACCACGTCCGAGATGTTAGCCGACAGGTCCTTGCCAAACTCCCTCGCGGCCCATGCCTCCGTCCACTCGCCGGTGCTGTCGACGTTCCACTTCTTGGCGTCGTACGCCATGTCGAACCAGTGGCTGATGGGGATCTCGAGCGGCTTGAGGTCGCCGACGTTGACGATCCAAATCCTGTCAGCGCCGCGGGAGTAGGCAAGGTGCATCTGTCAACCCGTGTTAGTTTTGTTTCCTATTTTTCTTGTTTTCACGCCCAAAAGGTGTGGCGGCTTACCTGCTCGGCCGTCTTTGAAAGCTGGACGTTGTTCAGCCACTTGTAGTTGCGCGGATCACCGACGTAGTCAAAGTGGTAGTAGACACCTGCACCGCCAGCCCTCGAGGTCTCGTTCTGGAGAGGCAGCCTCCTGACGTTGCCCCAGTTGTCGTCAGCCCAGAGCAGGGTGATGTCCTCGGGCACCTGCAGGCCCTGGAAGGTGTAGGTCATGACCTCCTTGTACAGGCACCACATCTGGGGCACGGTGGAGATGTTGGTGTCGAGCCCTTCGCTGATGATGGTCTGCTGGTTCTTGACTAGCTCCTCGAGCATGGTCACGATCTTGTCGACGCCGAGGCCCTCAATGGCAGTGTCACCAGAGCCACGCATGCCCATTGTCCACAGGCTGTTCCGGGCATAGGGCTTGGCCCTCTGGACGCCGTAGCGGAAGTACTCGTCGATGGTCTCGTTGTTCAGGTTGTACGCCCAGGGGCCCTCGTAGAAGTGGCCAAACTCGTTCTGGGCACGCATGAGCGGCTCCGTGTGGGAGCTGCCCATAACGATCTCGAAGGCGTCGGCGAGGGGCTGGTTGGCCGGGTCATCGACCTCGAACATGGTGCCCCAGATGGCGGGCCACAGGTAGTTAGCCCGTAGACGCAGCAGGAGCTCGAACACGAGGCCGTAGAACTGGGGTCCGTAGCCGGCGCCATACGGCGTGTCTGCCCAATGCGAGCTGTGTTGTCGTCCGTCAGCAATCATTGCTCGGCCAAGGGAGTGTAAAACATGTAAAACATAGAAATTGAAATGGAAAGGGAACCATACGCGACCCAGTTCGTCAGAGCCGGCTGCTCGTCGTTGAAGAAGAGGCCTCGGTACTTGACACTCGGGGATTCCTGGACCTTCTTGTCCGAAAGGACGTAGATGTTCTTGTTCTGCTTGGCGGGGACATCGGCCCAGAAGTACCACGGGCTAACACCGATCTGCTCGCTGACATCGTAGATGCCATAGATGGTGCCTCGCGGGTCGCTGCCGGCGATGACCAGGGCCTGAGCGGTCCCGTCGACGGGGTTCTTCACAAGCTGGCTGACGAAGGCCTCCCACTTGCCCTCGATGGCGGACACGTCGAGGGCTTTCGACTCAATCAGCCTATCGATCACCCTCGAATGACCGATAGTGCCGACGATGATAACAGTGTCGGCCGGAGACGGGTCCGCGTACGACGGGCCGGGGAAGGACGAGGTTCCCGTGGTCTCGTACTATTGCATGTGAGAACTAGGTTTTTTGGGGTATTTTTTTAATGGGAGAGGGAAAGTAGTCGGCACTCACAAAGGTGTTGTTCATGTTATTGATCGGGTTGTACACGTATGAAGCAGGGGCCGAGCCCTTGTCACCATTGCTGAGCGTGTAATTGGTGCCCGTGACGCGACCGAAGTCGAGGGCGAGGTCGCCGGCGGCGCGGACCACGCCCCAGTAGTCATTGCTGGAGACGCGGATCTGCCCGGCCGAGACTGCTCCACCGGCGATCTGGAAGCTGCCGTCGGACTCGGAGAAGCCGATGATGGGCTTCTGGCCGAGGCCGCTCACGAGTGAGGCGGCGCTCGACAGAGCCAGCAGCGTGGCTGCCCTGACGTTTGAGAAATGCATCTTGATGAACCTCTCTCGGGCGGTACAGCTCGACTGGAACTCGAGGGGGACGGCGCCAGAACTGCAGCTTGACAATATATATCCAGAGCTCCGGATGTGCAATCAGCACACCATGGACCCGCTTCGCCGCTACCTTGCCGGGGTAGCGGAGGGGAAATATAGATTCCCCCAATCCAAGGGTCTGCGGCAAAATAGATTGACCAGGAAACGAGCCATCGAGGCGAGGTGGTATTTGGCTACCCAGGATGGGGATAGCCAGATGCTCCATGCCCTGCCCCCTTTGAACCTTGGAGTCTTGGACCCGTCATCCGGAGATGGGGATGGACGGCAGAAAATTAGACTCTTCAATATGGACCAGCAAGCACATGGAATCATGGATGGAGGGGTTCACGGGTCATGGATCATGGATCATGGATCGTGGATCATGAATGTGGACCGCAGATCGCAGCCGACTTCGCGGGTAAATTCGATGGCCAGGGTCTAGCAGTAGTGTAGAGCCGGGAAAAGAACGAGACCGTTGTCACGTTGGGCTGCTCCCGGAGGTCCTGCCGATTGGGGCCATGGTGGTGAACACTTCGTTCCCCGCAGTCTCGGTGTGGAGAGGCCCTGTCCTCCGCATCACATCAACAATGTGTGCCACGGGAATGAGCACTATCTCGTCCTCCCCTCTGCTCTTTTCCAAATCCGACCAAGCAAACTCATCTCGAATAACGCATGGCACCGTCTCAGACAAGCAGCAATATATCCCAGGGCTTCATCTTGGCGCCGGGAGGATATTGAGGCGACTCGGGGACGCAAAGTAATTGCAACAGGGGGCTTTAATAATAGGGCATTCGCTTTGGGGACGCGGGAATGACGCTCCCCATGTCTCCAAAAGAGGCATGGACTCTCCTTGGAGAGGTGGGGGAAGACAAGAGCAATGCATTTAGCCGCCAACTGCCAACTGCTGCCACCCCTGTCTGCCAAGACTGCAGCAATCTGTACCTACAGGAAGGGGGAGCACAGTAGCACACCTGCAGCACCACTTTGGCGTGTTTGGGTGGTAACCGGCAACCGAGAACAACCGTTGCAAGGACGCGCCACTCCGGCCCGACGGTTGATGGACTTACCCCAAGAAGCCAAGGAGCTATGGCCCCTGAGAATGAACGAACCTAGGAATAACTAGGCAGGTCCCAAGAGCGTGAGAATCTTGTGGTAGGCAGTACGCAGTAAACAACAAGTCTGCTTCTTGACAAGCTACTGGGGGTGGTTAGAGGGCAATTTCCCCCCTCCCGCAGCAGCACGGCTATCGTCGACTGAGGGGGACGAATTTAGTCCGGACTTTGAAGGGAAACAAACCAGTAGCCCCTTGATCAAACTCACAGCTTCCCAACCACCCTTCCCTGCGCCCTCTTGTCCTCCTCCACCTCCCTCCTCTCCGCCTCTCTCTCCTCCTCAAGCACCTCCTCCCTCGACCGCACCTCCACCTCCCTCGGCCCCTCCGGCCCAAACCGCACCAGCACAACCCTCTCCCAGTCCCCACCCCTCCCGGACCCCTTCAGCTCCGGCCCGGGCCCATCCACCCCGAGCACACTCCTCCCATCCGCCCGCCTCATAAACATCAACCTGGGGCTCATCACCTTGTCGGCCCACCCGATCCGCCCCGTCGGGTGTTCTCCCCCCGGCTCCCTCGCCAGGAAAGCCCGCAGCGCGTCCCGCTGCCCCTCGTAGTGCCGGCGCCGCAGCCCCTCGTCCTGCGCCGCCGCACCACCGGGAGGCCCGGTGAGGAACCGAGCAAGCAAAGTAAGCAAGTACATCTGCGGCGGGAACAAGATAATCTCCCCAGCCCTCGCCCTGGCCAACCACCCCTCCACGCTATCAAACGCCGCAGCCGTGTGCTCGACACCCCCATCATGCGTCGGCTTGGGGATCACGACCGCGCCCCCAGGCGCAACCGGCGCGCCCACCACCTCGGCCGAGCACTCCTCCTCCTCCGGGCACTCCGTCGGCAGCATGTACAGGTACATCTGCGTCGTGAACCGCCGCGGCGCCATGTTGGCCGGCGTCACCCACCGCGTGAACGGCACCAGCCCGCCCACGTCCGCGACCCCTCCCGCGCCCGCGAGCCAGTCGACGAAGCGCACCGAGCCCGCGTGCACGGCGCGCCTGCCGGCCTCGCGGACGGGCTCGGGCAGGTCCAGGAGCAGCTGGTCTCCTCCTTCCCCAGAGGTGGTGGTGGTGGATGGGGTGGCCCGCCGCCGCCGCCGCCGTGCGAGCAGGATCCCGCTCTCCTCAAAGGTCTCGCGGATGGCGCCCAGGCGGTAGGCCTCGCCGTCGCGGTGCCGGGCCGGGGAGTCCGGGCCCGGGATGGGCCCTTCGTGGAAGGCCGAGAGGTTGCCTCCCGGGAAGACGTGCGCTGACGCGAAGGACGAGGAGGTCCGTACGCGGTGGAGAAGCAGGAGCTGGTTTGTGGGGGAGAGGAGGATGATGCTGATGCCCCGGTTTTTTTGGGGTTTTTTGATCAGCCCCCGCAAATTTGTTTTTGGGTCATGTTCATGGTAGGTAAGGTAGGGTTATCGTCGAGGAGATAGATGACTTTGAGTCTGCGAAAGGAAAAGAAAAGAAAAAAAAGGTCCACATTCTCATTCCTCACCTCGAGCTGGGCCTCGGCGCAGATGGCGGCGGCCTCTCCTTGGACCCTCCTCCGGCTCCGGGCCGCGGGGCCGACGACGTTGACCCGTGCCTCATCGTTGGCATCGAAAACGGACGATGCCGGGGGGGCTTGGCCCGCCGTAGTGATGCTTGGCTCTGGATCGTATCCTTGGCTGACGAATGCGCCTGGCCAAGGAAGTGAGAGCGCGCAACTGTGTATGTACAAGTGGTGATGAGGCGCGCTGGCACGATGCGCCAAGGCCGGACCTCAGCTGCAAGATTGTTTAACGGGTGGGGCAATTGAACCAGGGCAAAGGGCATGGCTTTGCGACTTATCGTGCCAGGAGCAAGCCCTTCGTTGTCTTAAAATGCGGCGATGAGCGTTTGATGAAGGAGAAACGAGCCACGCGGAGGGGCACTAATAGAGGGGAAGAGGACCCATCGAGCCGAGGTTCTCCAGGAAGAGCAATCCCGGCCACTGGCGCTGTTGAATGTGATGATGATCGACGACGACACTTTTATTTTATTTTATAAACGTATGAGCTGTATATACAAATTCGGTCTCATCCCATCGTTCAGACATAGAAATTCGTTACTACATAGGTACCTCCAAGGTAGGAAGAAAGTAGGCCGTAATACAGTGGGTAGCCTCACAAGTATGGCCTTGGGACTCATGTTTAAAACCCCCTCCCGCAAGCAAAACACCAAATACCTAATAATACATTCCCATCCAACACCCTCCTCCTCTCAGAAGCGCTTCCTCTCCTGCCCATTGAGGTTGAATCTCCACAAACAACAAACGCTCTTGCTCTCGCACCACTTCTTGACCTCCCCAGGCGCCACCTCACTGTCGTACCCGACCCGGTCGAGCTGGCCCGAGTTGAGCCACGCCGCGAGGTCCTCGAGCACCACCGGGTCGTACATGAGCATCTTCTCGTGCCACGACGGGTCGCGCGCGTCCACCGACCGCGGCGCCGTCGTCACCGCCTTGGTGATGAACTCAAAGAGGTTCGCCTCCCGGCTGGTGGGGCTGGCCGTCAGCGAGAGATCGGTGCTGCCCTCGTCTATAGACACGTCGGCCGGCAGGGGCGACGAGAAGGTTTTCTCCGGCTCGGGGGAGGCCGAGCGGGATGAGTTGAATACAGACGCGTCCTCGGACTCCGAGTCGGCGATCTCGATGAAGGATCGGGCCACCGCTTTCGGGCGGCTTATTGTCGATGCCTTTGGAAGTTGCGGCGATTCTCGAGGCTGAGGAACAGCTATTTTCGATGCTGCGGCCTTTGTCTTGGTCACCTTTGGCTGCGTGGCTGTTTTCGAATCCTTTCTCGGTCTGCCACGTGGTCGTTTTGCTGGTGATGCCGGAGTGGAGGTCGATGCCATCGCCGTCGAAGGCGCTGTGCTAGCACCTGTCTCTTTCCTCGGTCGTCCTCGTGGTCGAGTGGCCGATGGAGCTGAAGCTGCCGGCGCCGCCTTAATCTGCGTTGTCGAAGAAGTGGACAGGGCTGCTGTAGGCACGTGAGACCCTTGCGCCGCCTTGTTCTTGCTCGCCCAGCACTGGTCCAGCAGTGCTATCATTGCCGTCCTTCTCTTGACAACTTTAAACCCATATCCCCGAAGTGCCGTCGCCAGTTGCCCATCTGTGTACAGCTCGTATTTAGGCCGTGGGGCCTCTCCTCCTTCTCCGTGTGAACTGGTCGTCGATGTTTCCTGTATCAGCTCCATGAGCTGATTCTGTTCCTGGTTGCTTGCTGGCGGTTCGTCACCGAGGTCCATCGTGTTGAGGACTGAATTCGCTGCGGGATATAGAGGAAGTTTGGCTGAAGCAAGTGGCACCGATGCCTTGAGAGGAACAATCTGCTCTAGCGTTGACAAGAGGCGAGGTTTTGTATTAGTACACCGGGCAGAGTTACCAAGATCCAGTGGTTTGACTTCAGGTGCCGCAGGCTCCGCTTGACCTTTCTTGGTGTCTTGTTTAGGTGCTGAATCGGCCACAAGAGTGTTAATTACAGCCGGGTTTGTAAGATCTTTGAGAATGGCAGGCGAATCCACGAGGTCGATCACCTCGATGCTGAGAAGATCCCCCTTGGTATCCCTCGCGCCAGCGGCCCACAGGCGATTTCCAGAAGGCCTGTCAAATTTTTCACTTCTAAGTGGAGTCGCGAAGACATCATCATCGTTCTCCTGGTTGGATATTCGCATTGCCTCCTGCAAGTCTCGTAGGAGGCCAGGGTCTTGCTCTGTTGCCAACTGGCTCGATGTGCCAAAGACAAAATCCTGGTTGGACACTTGTCGCATGGCAGAGGCTGGCGAGAGCAGTCTCTGTCGAGGGGGCTCTACTTTCTTCGCCGTCTTCGGCTTCGCTCTCTTCTTTGGGATTTTCCCCTTCCCTGCCACCGTCTTGCCAGTCCCCCCTGTCTGCCCACCATCATCCGCGTCGAGATATCGTAGCAAAGAATCACCGGGTGGCGGCTTCGCATCGGCGGCTTCATCTTGATCTTGGGGCACTCTGTAAGCTGCGGTGGCCAGCTCGGTGATGGTACGAGGTTTTTTCTTCGGCGCCTTGGACCTGACCGGGGATGTCTCTGGCGTCTTTGCTTCGCTTGTCGTGAGCAGGTCAAGCTGTTTTCGCTTCCGTAAAACGTCGACCGCGCCAGCAACATCACTGGAGACCCTGGCCAGCACCTCGTCCTGTTTGCAGCCATACGTGTCACGTAGGGTTTTAAAGACTGCATCTGACGACACAACTGCTGACTTTCCACTGTGCAGGGAAGGCGAAGTAACTTCTTTCACAGGGGACGAATCGAGTTGCAGTTTTGCCGACCCTGTGTCTTGCGTCGGTGTCCAATCAGTCCTCCTCTTGAGGGCCGGCTCGAGTTCGATCGTGTCCTCGATTTCTATCTGCTCGGCGGGGGGCGTGTTGGTCCGGAAGTGCCTGCTGACTACCTCTGATTTCCTCCCAGATTTCCCTTTTACGGTAGGCTTGGTAACCTTGCCCTTGGGCATCTTTGTTTGGCCATCCTTTGTGTCCTTTGTGTCCTTCGCCGACTTGGTCTTCTTCCGCGTTTTTTCCTTCGCCAAAGTGGCGGGGTCGTCGAGGGGTAAAGCCTCCACAATCTCCATTGCTTTCTGCTCAGGAATCTTCGTTGCTTCTTTTTCGACTGCTCTTGTTGGGCGACTGAGGGATGCCTTCTCCTTAGGGGGCACGTCCCGCGAGAAGTTGATGGGCGACGTCGCCACAGGCTTCCTCGTTGTCTTTCTTGCAGGTGGTTTCACCTCTTTCTCAAAATCTACCTCTATAATATCCTCGTCATTGTCGAGGGACCGCCAGAGGCTGGCTGCGGTGGTGAAGGTCTTCGGGGCATCGTCGGGGATCGGGGCAGCTCGGCTTCCGCTTCGCAAAGGCGGCCTCCTCGTGGTCTTCGGGATCAGCTCGCTGATAGAGGGGAACTCCGGGGAGGACGAGAGGACGATGAGCGAGTCCGCTTGTGCTCTGACGGGGGAGGAGAACAAAAGTCCTCCGGATGCCATTTCATAGGGAGGATGGAGAGATCGGACAACGCGCAATGCGCATCGAAATCTTGCAGGGCTCGACAGCTTCGGGGTCTGAAAAAATTGTAACTAGGCAAAAGAGTCGGCAAAAGCAGCAAGAGAGGATTTTCACGGCAACATAATCCTCGACGTACGATTTGTTACTATATATACAACGCCCTCCAGGGTTTCCAAATCAAAACATTGCAGCTGGGCGTGGGGGAGCCAATCGCGGCGCATCGCGAAATCTGCGCGAACATCAGCTGACAAGTCACATGATATTGGCTCGCATCCAATTTGCAAACTCCTACTCCTACTCGCTACCTGCCGAAGGTCCCCTTCTAAAGACACTGCCTACAGTACCTACCTACTGTATACGCAAGCCATTTGCATTCTGATTGCCACACCTATGCCCGGCCACATCAGACCGACATTTTGGAAGGGGCCTTCTGGTTACGACATCTGAGGGATGATCGCTTTCCAGAAGCAGGTCCCGGTGGGTTGGTACCGTAGGTCTGCCCATGCACAGAGTGACACGGTTGGGGGGGCATTCATAATGCGTTTGCCTCCTGCCACGCTCCCGTTCGCGTGAATACACCGGCTGGCAAAGTCTCCTCGGATCCACCCTTGAGTGACCCCCACATCCGGGGATTCTGGAGCTACTTCGATAGTTTCCGTGCCGTATATTGATGAAGGTCTCGAAAAAGCCGTGACGCAAAAGCCTCTCGTCATGGTACAGATACGGGCCTCACATCCCTCTATGGATACATTTGGGGCAGACAACCAGCGGTTCTGGCACCAATGTCGAGGGCGTTTGTAGACAAGTGGGTGCTGAGAAGTCTCTGCCCCAATCTCCAAAGTTGTCTTCGCAGTTGTCTCGCATCCTTTCCCTCCTATTTCTTTCCCGTCTCCTCAACACTTGGAGCGGGTCTTCAGATGCTCAGTTCAGTCGGGCTGGAAATGTGCTGCAAGTCGTACCGGTTTGCCATCGATCTACTAGGCCTTAGTGTCTTTCCTTCCTTTCCTTCCTTTCCTTCCTTTCCTTCCTATAATACTATGGACGCTGCACTCGTGATAATTTCTGGAGTGTGGCAGGTCAACCCTGGATGATATGAAGTGGGTTCCTATCATCTCGGCTGAGTACCTAGGTACCCTCTCGAGTTGGTGAGCACACTTGGGTTCCCTCTTGGGAAGGAATGATGGAGTCTATCCTGCTCAATCAAACAGGTACCTACCGCATCCAGTCATGTCAATGAAGTGCAGCAGGGACCATATCCTCAGGCTCCTTCCTTTCATCTCTAGTTCTACTTCTGTGTTTCGTGTCCTCGAGGCTTTTCTCCTTGACATCCGCCTCGACCGCCTGTCTTCCATCCTTTCGATGACCACACCCACCACCCACCTAGTTTGTTGACAATTATGGATCAACCTCGCAGTGCCCTCCAGGCCGTAAAACGAGATCCAGATGTGAAGCCGTTCATCAAACTGGAGAAGATAAAGAGCGAACACGACACCAAGATCGATCTCTCGTCCATCCCCGTGGCGTTTCCCGCAGAAGCCAAAAACGAACTTGCTGGGGTACCATTCTTGCAACCCACTTTACCCATCTGACCTATACCAATCGCTAACGCCATGGATATCAAGAAGTTCTCCCCGGGAGGCCCCCCGAAGACGCGACTTTACCCAGGTCGCCGCGGGTACATCACCAATGTCTCGAAGAGGGGTTTCTCGGTTTCTGCGCTCTATCACCGAAAGAGCAACAAGCTCCATATCACCGCTCGTGCGAAGTCAGGCTACGACGATTCCGCGCTCACCAGTTGGGACTCGACGTCCTTGGAGCTGGAACTCTTCAGAAAACTGCGTTCTGCCCGGGTCCCTTTTGCCGTGGAACCCATCGAGGCCCATGGCTTCATCAAGAGGGGTTTTGTCAACTTCAATTCCACGGTGAGCACCTTTACTGTGATTTCTCTCCTTTCTTGGCTGGGCATGACTGACCGAATCGAAGAATACAGTCAACCCCGTTAAATTTGGCATTAAGCCAGCGAGGTTCATCGTCCCCGTGAGACCAATCAAGGACCCGGGTGCCCTCCCAGTCCCGGGAGCTGCCGACAATCGAGGCCACGGCGAACAGGAACCGCTCAGCTTACAGCCCACAGCTGGCCTCCAAGTCGATTCAGACATGGCATGCCCCACGAAGACCGATCCAGCTCAGAACCCGTCCACTGATCAGTCCGAGTTTGGCGAATCGATCGCTCTAGACATGTCTTCTCCTGCTCTTGTCGTGCCCACGGCAGAACACAATGTGGGCCAGCACTGAAATGCCGAGTCCGTGGTGATGGTCCATGTACACCCGCTTTGACCAAGTGGCCAGTTGTTTGGTGTTGAAGGGTGTTGGACGCATGTCGGTAAAATTCAGCAGTCTGACTTTCGGAGATGGCCATCGCTTCACAGATTTAAATTAGTCGCTCAAGTAAGAGCTGTTTTGTCTTGGTAACGTACAGTACAGCACTATCGCATATCTCGCGGACAACGACCAACGTCGCCATCCCGTAGCCCCTGATGTTCTTATCCTAATTTGTTCTGTTGGGCCAACACCAGCAATTGACACAATCTCTCAACTCTCTTCATCTCCAACCCACGTGAGCCCATTATGCTTGCGGAGGGCTCTGATCAGGGTATGGTTGTTTTTGGAACAGGGGGGAGGGATGTCGTGGCTGGTCATCACAGGAACTCAAGTAAAAACAAACCGAACAACACATGCCAGGGTGAGTAGATTGATTTGAGTCAGTTGATAATCATGTCAATGAATGAGGGTCTTGGTCGAATTATAGTACTGAAATAGACGATCGCCTCCCTAACTTCGAGGATCCTCAGATAATGATGAAAGGAATGAACCGAGTCAAGAAGATTCCCGCCAGACCCCTTTTCATGGGAACCACTGCACCTCTGGCCTATTCTCAACTGGGTAGCTAATTATGCTTGCGCCCAGCGTCGAGGTTGAGGGCTTCGGCCCCTGGCGCCAAGTTGGTGACCAGACTGTGCTTCAACTTCCAGGTTCCGTCATCAACCACGAATACGTCGTCACACCTCTCGAAGATCCGGAAGGACTTTTTGACGTCGTGGGGGGCACTGAGGTCCCATCGAGAGTAGACGATGCTGGCAGTGTGTTAGCTTTTTAGTCAGTGCAGGAAAGAGCCAGGGAAGAATGTAATGTACTAGGTGGTGACATTGGCCTGGGTTGCGTCCCTGTTCAACTTGATGACGGCGTTGGAGACGTGGTGTCCGACCCTGGCGTTCCCAAATGCAGCTTTGCTGTTTTGGATGAGCTGCTCCAGACCCACGGAGAGCCCACCATAGTCGGGACCCAGGGGACGGCTGTCATAGACGACGTCCTTGGTCACAGAGTCGCCGAGGTGAGCCCAATCCTTGGTGTCCAGGGTCAGGGCTAGGATAGACTCCCTCTGGTGGATGGCTTCGTAGACGTCCGGCTGGATATCCCTGTCTGGTCCGCCGGGGCCGCCATGGCTAGCAGATGGTGACGCAAGGGAAAAGGAGAGGAAGAAGGTGGCGAGAGCCGTAGAGACACGCATGATGATGGTTAATGAGTTTCCGAAGGGCGGTAGAATTCGAAGACTTGAATTGCATGCGGGTTTGAGCTAGCTAGAGTGACCATCTTTAGCGGTATTTGCCTCATGTCTTATATATCGAGCAAGATGCTCTCCTTCTCCGATGACCACCTGCATAGGAGCAAACATCCTGTTGCACCTGCCTGAGTCTCTGTAACCCCGAAAGTGAGACATTTGTTCGGGGCTACGGTGTACTCCATACTTTGCCCCAATACGAACGCCAATGGCGTTTTTCAGCCATCTGCCCTTCAATTCCGAGCACAGTTTTCGTGAAAATGCTCAGGGGTTTCCTCCACAAACGCCACAATCGGGTCCGAAGCCTGCCCGTATCCGTCCACTGGGCAATGAGGGCGGGGGGAGATTCCCGTCTCTGCGCGGAATCGCGGGGGGGTTTGGGAAGTGTGGCGCCGCTGCGATGGAAAAGATCGCTCGAGGGAGGTCCGGGTAATCCGTGATGAGAGCCCTTGCCAGCTCGTCCGACCGGAGCGTCACATCGTTGCGCCGACGAAGGTGATGTCGCCACGCCTGACGGACCAAGCCAGTGGCGCCGGGTACGGGACGAAGGGCTCACCACTCGCTTGCGGCTGTCTGCGCGAGGCGTCCAATTTTGAATCGGAGGCTTGCCAAGATGCAACTGCCGGGCGAGTATTGAGTTGTACCAAGTTGGGCTCGGGCATATCGACCCAGTCCCCGTGCTTTGCTTCCCACTCAAGATTTGCCATGTTATTCCGAAATACCCTCGCTGGGAAGTCTAGTCCATCAACAACCCCACCCAGGCGCTCTTTTTTCTTCTTTTTTTCTTTTCGGCTCTCTTGCTAGGGAGTCTGTTGCACAGATCTCCCTGCACGAGGCTCAGCAAGCAAGTCACACAACAGCTTGTAGCCTTTCCTCCGATGCCCTCGTAATGTTCATATCAATGCCCAATCACTTGTATAGCTTAAGTGCATCTCTATGATAAATTAAAACTCCAACCATTGTGTGGTACTGAGGAATGGCGAGCATCCCCCCTGGCCTCTCCACTACTTCGACGCATATATTTCCCCACCACTCGTCACCAGAGGTTCAAACATTTATCGCTCCTTCCCCAATTCCTCCTTAGGAGACCGGGAGTTTGCAACAAGGAGGTCAACTGACGCTGGGCCGGTGTGCCGCTGTGCCACCCGCCATTCACGAACTTCCATGTCATCCGAACCTGCTCCCCACCTACCCCAATCCCACCGGTCCGTTCCATCTGTTCGTACCTGCATCAGTACCTATAGGTAGGTACCTAGGTAGTTAGGTAGCTAGCGTGTGGCTGCTTCTGTCTGACGTATTTCATATTTTGTAGAGGGAGACTTATCGTGGCTCCAAGAGCACAGCCTAGGTCTGGGTGAAAAAGGTTGCGATGATTATGCCCAAGTTGGTTCGAATATAAAACAAGAGAGTGGAAAGCACGAGTACCGGCTGGCGATAGTTCCGTCCTTTCAGCTTCCCTTTGTCCCCCGTAGGTGCAAGTACATCCTCCACCCCCTTTTTGCCTTCTACCCCTGATGAAGGAGTACCTCCAAATCGTGTTGACAACACAATTAGATAACTGATCTAGAACCTGATAACGCCTCGCTACACATTCTAATGGGAAGCATAATAGGGATCCCGTTGCATCTTGGTTTCTAGGATACAAGTGACCATCCTCATTGATATTGTTGAGCTTTCTCTGAAGTAATTACTGGAAAAGCGGCGACAAAAAAATAAAATAAACGAGGCCGTGTCTGTAGTGCTGCCCATCCCCTCACGCCCGTGGGCTAATCTCTCTCTCTCTCTCTCTCTCTCTCTGGGTGTGTGTGTTTGTGTGTGCGTGCATGCCTCTGTCCTCGAGAAGTGGGACAAGGCGAGCACTGGGATTAGAAAACTGTCGTTGTCCGTTTCTCAACCGAATTATGTTGTTCTCGGCGGCAGTGAAGCGGTGGTTAATATCAGCGAATTGTTCCTCCTGGTTTTGCCGGTTTTGCTGGACACTTTGTTGGATTTGCTGGACAACGGCAAGAAGTTCTTCGTGGTTTTGTTGGAGTTGCTCGGTTTGTTGGACAGGGTCAAGATTTCTTAGGCGTGGAATTTCAGTGATCAAAGTATTGAATCCAGTCGAAATACTGTTGCACGCCGTAGAAATATTGTCGAAATTGGGAGGGGGATGTTCTCTGTCATAACTGTTGGATTATATTGTGTTGTATTGTTCGCGCCCCACGATAAAGTGCTATCCTTCTACTTGTGTTTTACTCTGCGTAGACAAACGAAGACAAATAGAGAAGATCATAGCATAAATATCTGAGGTGTCTCCGCGGGTAGGGGCATTTGGCTATTGAGGCAGGGGCAACTAGGTACTCGGGCAGGGGCATTCAGCTATTCAGGCAAGGGCATTTGGCTAGCCGTCTCTGTTGCTGTTGCCGTCGTAGTCGCTTGATCCGTGGCTGGCAGCTGGTCTCTTCCATGCTCCAACTCTCTAAAGATTTTTGGCAGCCCGGAACCCCTGCCCAGCACAGACTGCCTGAATAGCCAAATGCCCCTGCCTGGATAGCTGAATGCCACTGCCTTGAAAGCTGAACGCTCCTACATAAATACCTAACTGCCTGCCTGGAATGCTGAATCCCCCTGCCCGAATACCTAACCACCCCTGCCCGAATAACCAAATGCCCCTGCCCGCAGAGAGCTCTCAAATATCTGGACTCCCTCGCTAGACAGTTCTGTCACTTGTGATTCTGCATTCCTTTCCCGTTGCAGTCTTCCACACCAGTGCCCTCTCAGAGCTCCAGCTCTGTATGAGCGGCAAAATAGCTCAAACTCCAAGCGATCAGCAGCCCTAGGTCCCTCCCTAATGTCCCCATCATGTCTGATCCCTCGGGGAAGTCATGCTCAAAGATAGGCTCCCCATTTCCAGCAACACAGAAAATTGAAGCAATCCTAAGAACTGGCCGTTATAAAAGCTGGATGCACCACGTGATGGATCACGTGGTCACCCATTTCGTGATGCTACAAGCCTGAGGTTGACAAGTCTATCGCCAAGCCTGCTGCTCCAAAGCCTGCTGCCAATACCCCCATTCCTGCCACCTATGGCAGAAGATTGTCGACAGCTGCCACGCAGACCAAGGCCACATTCGAAGCCTATACTGTCCAAGGCTACGCTAGCGCCCCAGGGGGAGAAGCGGAAGGTAGCCAAGGAACAAGAGGCTGTCTCCAAGCGACACAAGGACAATAACAGTGGCCCCCTCACTGCCGGCGCTAGTGCCGCCATCGCTGAGAATGCGAATGCCAACACCGTCGCCGGCAGCCACCCTGTCGAGACCGCCGACCCTGTCGAGACCGCCGACCCTGTTATGAGTTAAGTAGATTTGACAAGAGAGTATAGACTTGACACAACTCATCTGGCCATCCTGTCAAGCCACCTCTTGGCTTCTAGCACTTACAAAGTAGGTAGTGTGTTGTTGGTTTGCAGAAGAGCAGAGGAATCACCCCGAAGGCGATCCAGGGACGGCAACCATATGAAGCAATAGATGGTGACCGAGTAACCAAAATCAAAACGGCATGAAGCCTCAAGTCTACCCGATTCCAAAAGGTATCACTCCCCGCCGAAGCACCCAGTCACAGTAGTCATACACATAATACACGACAACCGCCAATTCTCCCACCCAACGAGATGGCACATGCCATCCTTCCTTCCTTCATTCCCTCCCTCCCAGCTCAAAGAGAGTAAACAAATGCCCTCACCTCCTCTGCTCCGGCCCTGCAAACTTGACACTCTTCCTCCTCTCCCTCTCGCCCCCCGTCCTCCCCCCCGGACTAGAGCTAAGTATCCCCCCGCCCGCCTCCCTCCCCGCGCTCCCACCCGTAAGCATCTCACGCGCCCCATCCACCGCCCGACTCTGCACCGCCTCGAACGCGTCCCCGCGAACGTGATCCGCCGGTGGCACGGACCCGGACCCCCCGCCGCCGCCCCGCCACTCCGCACCGGGGGAACCACCACCACCACCACCACCGCCACCACCACCGCCCCCGACCACTACCCCCGGCCCGACGAGAGTCTTGGCCAGACCACCACCTCCCCCCGCGCGGACCGCCTCGCGGACCGCCCGGCTGAGGTCCTCCGCCCTGGCGGCTGAGGTAGTCTCGGTCTCCCCGAGGCAGGCGTGGCCGCACCCGTCCAGCGGGCAGCAGCCGTCGCCGGAGTCGGGGGCCAGCTCGGGGGGGAAGTGGCTGTTGTTATCGTGGTCTTGGTCGCCGTCCGACGATGACGACGACGAGGGCGCGTGCCACGCCTGCAGGCAGGTCGAGTGGCCGCCGTGGCCGCAGCCGGGGCAGTACCACCACGTCGACAGGGCGGGTGGTGATCCGGCATCGGCATCGTCATCGGCATCGTCGCCGTCGCAGTCGCCGCCCGGCATCGGCGTCGCGTCCCGGTGCCCGCACACGGCGCAGGGCCCCATGACGGCGCTGCAGCGCTCGCAGCGCCAGACGGACGACCCGGACGACGACGTCGACTCGCGCGGCTTGCGGCAGGCCGGGCAGAATAGGCCGGCCTGGACGCCTTGCTGGGCGGGCGCGAAGATAGCGCGGTAGTCCTCCCCCCAGCCGTGCAGGGCGCCGCCGGGCCAGCCGCGCAGGCAGAGCTTGCGGAGGAGGGCGGCCTCGACGAAGAGGCGCATGCTCATCAGGCGCGAGTGGTGCTGCCGGAGGATGGCGGCTGCTTGGAAGGAGTCGATCACCCCCTCGGGCACGAGGGGTTTCAGGAGGAGGATGATGGCCGAGGCGTTGAGGGCGGAGGAGCGGACCTCGAATTCGAGGGCGCGGGAGAGGAGAGTGTAGGGGTTCAAGGGGGGGGAACGGTTTGTGGAGAAGGTCGTGTCTAAGTCGATGGGGTGGGGATATGGGGGATCGTCTGGCCAGTAGAGATAATCGGTCTCGACCATGTACAGAGACTCGTTCTCTGGGAATGGGTCCGCCGGCTCGGGCCAATATGGCCGTGTTTCCGGCGACCCCAAGCTGAACGCTGTGTCTGTCTGGGTGGGAAAATCGTCCTGGCGTGAGGTCAGGCTTCCCGAGGTGGTCTGCGTAATCATGTGGTGTTCATCGGTGAAACTAGTAAGGCCCGTTTCGGTCCGCTCGAGTGGCTGGCGGAGCTGTAAGGGACGGCTACGTGCCGGAGATTCCTCCATCTGCTTTCCTCGAATGCGGCTCGCATACTCTCCATCAACAACGCTACTAGCCCCCGAATGTTCAGCAACTTCTCGTGTCCCTGACGTTTTCGACGGGGCCCCGTTTGAAGATTCGGCCGGGCCACTGGTTCCTCCGCTGTCATCCGACACGGAGAACGCGTGGCTGAAGCTCGCATCCGAATCATGCCGCAGGGCGGGTGCCCTGCCGGTGCTCGGGGATCCTGGCTCCACGTAGTCGAGCACCAGCGGCTCCTCCTTCCTTTTGGGCACCGGCATATCAATGGCTCTTGTCAGCGCCTCTGTATCGTAAAAGTCGTATCCTTCTGTGGCTGCCTGTGAGTCCTGGGTGCTCTCGCTGTCGAAGCTGGCGGTGGACAGCGGCATCGAGCCGAGGCGCTGGCGCCCATCCGTATGCTCCTGGAGTGATGGCGGCAATGCGAAGCTCTCGGGCTCCGGAATTGGCTCGACGTTAAGCAGGTGGGCATGTGGGTGCCCGTGGTGGTTCTCCATGCTAGACCCGTTTTCCCGAACGGGCTGCGCCAACGGGGTAGGAACATTTGACGTGCTCTCAATCTCCTCGGAGAGGATAGACCTCACATGGTGGTGACCTTGCTTCGACAAGCTGCTCGGCGAATGGACTTTGCGCGGGACCTCCTCGGGCTCGGATGGTCCCACCGGGACTTGGATGCTTGGCTTGTCGACTTCTGCGCGCGGCTCGCTCTTCTTGGATGGCTTCCTAAGGCGGCGCATCCTGAACTCGTGGTGGTACTGTGCCCGCCGTCTCAGGAGGAGATCCATGCCGTAAGCCAGAATGCGCCATGTCTGAGCCAGCCGGAACTGGCTGACACCCTCGGCGGCCTTCGCGTAGTGCTCCAAGATGGAGGCGACCCGCTCAGCCATGGGCCTACCGCCGTCGGAATATGGCAGTTCTCGGTTCAGGGTCTCGAGATAGTTGACTGACAAGTATTCGTAAACCTCCACGTTGGCAGCGGCGGGAACATGCCCGACGGCCAAGGCCTGCTGCGACCGAAATATCCCGGTTATGTTGATCGCCTGGTCGAGAGGCAGAGGGTGTTCGTCCATGCCCGACGCAGAGGGAGGGGTGCTGCTAAGCGCCTGTGCTGATCGCGTGCTCAGCCGCCTCCTTTGGACGCCACCCCGACGTCTCGGGCCAAGGAAATTGCCCACGACTTCGTCCTCCGAATCGCTCCTGCTGACGCTAAGCATGGGTGTATTAGGGCTGGAACTGAGAGAGGATGTCGGCAACACGTCTGGGTGAACCACGTGGAGTCTTGGTCGGTGAGGTTGAGCCCTCTCATCGATGAACATGAGCACGTCGCCCTTGGCAGAGAAGGCCATGGTCGACACGGTCTGGCGGTCGATCACCTTGGGAGCAAAGGCAACGTCGCATTGGTTGAACAGGCCGTCCTGGCCGGCCGTCCAGAGGAGGTCTTGGTCATGCCACAACATGGCGCTGGGCAGGCTGTCAAATCGCTGGATCTCCTTGTACGGCATCGTCGGCCGCGCGAGGTCCCAGATGTGCACGGAGTTGATACCGTGCCGCTTCTGGCTACTGTCGTCGTACGAGACGGCGACCTGTGCGGCGCGCTTCCCCTGTGCGGTTGCGGACCACTGCCCGGGCCTCCACACAACCACGGACGCTGGTGCTGGAGTGATGATGGTCCATTTCGCCTTCTGTCTCTTGTCGGCGTTCTTGGACAGGTCCCAGACATGGCATCTGTTATCCCCCCCGGCGCTCATGAGGTGCTCGCCATCGGGATGCCAAGCGATCGAGGAGCAGCCCTTGTCGTGGGCTTTGATCTTCAGAATGGGAGCCAAGTGCTTTCTGATGTCCCATTTCAACACCACGCCCTGGTCCGTCGAACAAGCAAAGTAGAAGCCGTCCTTGGGGGACCATTTCACCTGGCGCACGCTGTCGGCGTTGCACTTGAACGGGTGGACGGAGCGGAACGTGAGGCCTCCCTTTGTCTGTACGGGTACCCGGATGTCGAAGCAGCGGGCGATGCCGTCCTGGCTTCCCGAGAGCAACAGCGTCCCTCGATGCGGGTTGACGTCCAAGGCGTTGACCTGCCGGGTATCTTCGCGTACCTGCACAAACTCGAGACCCATACCCCCCGCAGCAACGGATCCGGCCCGCGATAGGTCGTATTGGAAGATCTTGCCATTGGTGCACGCCGTGAAGATGGTCGCATTCCCACGATTGCTCTGCCCGGCAGCCCACTTCGCGTCCCTGATGGATAGCTGGTCGGATGTCGACGATCCAGACGCGTTCTTGCTCGCCGGATGGACGGTTATCAGGGAGCGCAAGTCAAGCCCCTCTCGCACGTTGAGGCCATCGAGCTTGACCGTCTTCAAGATGTGCGGCCCCGCGAGAAGGGCCGAGTTGCCGTCGGGCGACTTGTCGATACATTTGATGGGTGAGCCGGCAGCATAGACGGCATTCTGCGATGCGCTCGGCCGGTAGGCTTGGGCGGTTATTGGGGAGCTCGTAACGCCGGCGCCGGGGTCATGAGAGGGTTCGACGATTGGCCTCCCAAGGAACTTGCGCATCCTGGCCTGGCTTCCGATGTTGTACATGGCCGCGGTGTCATGCGCCAGCGGGCCATGGGCGCATTATCATAGTAGATTAGGTATTATTGGATTCCCGTAGTTGGTTCCATTAATTGGTGCTGTTCGCAGGTGCTCAGCCTGGAAGCTCTTGATCGCTGCCGTCGCTCCCGTCGTTGCCACCGCGATGCGACGGGCTCAGGCGGTTCTGATTCTGCCCCTCTTCCCCGCCCCAATAGCTTCCTTCCTCACCGGCCGCTCACCGAGGATGCTACAGGGAGTGCTGAGGCTGACATCACGTGCGGGCATTCTCACCGTAAAATACCGACCGTACAGTACAGTGCCTCCGTAGCTTTTTGCAGGCGGCTAGGTTCTTGATATTCCAACTTACTGCCTGGGCAACCTCACAACAGCGAATATACCGACACAAGAATACCCGACCCGCCCTCCATAGGATGGATCCAGGACGGCAGGCAATGATTGAGGGCTGGAAACCCCCCAGCCAGAACCCCTCCGGCCAGAGAGACATCACTTCACCAAGGCGAGATCCCCAGACCCGAATCACGAAGCGACCGCGCCCGAATTCTTCCCGTCCCACGGGCGTTACCAACAACCCTGGCAAGTATGTCTCTCAGGACGAGCAGTCGCGCCAGTTTGTCGCCGACGAAGACAAGTTCGTCCTGAAGCAGTCGAAGAAAAAAGCCGACATCCGTGTCCGGGAAGGGAGAGCGAAGTCGATCGATTATCTCGCCTTTAATTTGCGCTTCATCGATTCCGACCGAGACGTGTTTGACGACGACGATGTGGACGCTGAGCTCCCTGTTCCGGCACCCGAAGCCGTGCTGGAAGGGTTGAACGAGGCGCAACTGAAAGAGCTGGACGAGGACATGGCATCATACCTGGCCCTGGAGACGGGTAGCGCGAATAGGGAATACTGGAAGGCTTTGCTGGCTATCTGTGCCGATCGCCGCCAGAAGCTGGCTCCCCGAGGACCGGAGGGGAGGGCGGTAAACTCGGTCGCCTCGGATATCGACAAGATCCTGAGCCCGAAGACATATGAACAGCTGGAGGCACTGGAGAAGCAGATCAAAACAAAGCTGGAGTCCAACGAACCCATCGATACCGACTACTGGGAGGAGCTGCTGAGGAGTCTCCGTGTTTGGAAAGCGAAAGCCAAGCTACAGAAGGTCTACAAGTCGATAAATGCGGCGCGCATCGAGCTTCTGAAGGAGCGGAACCCGGAACTCGCCGAGAAGCTGCAAGCAATGGGAACACTGCCACAAGCCGTGGTGGCTACGGCGAAAGCAGCGCCGAAAGCGCCAGTCGGCACCGCCACCAGCCTCGCGCCTGGGAAGGCAATGGCAGCATCGTCGGCCGACGCATCACGTCCGCCGCCAGGCACAGCTCGATTTGCCGAGACCAGCACGGAGGATTTCTCCCAGGCGACCAAGGCTCTGTACGATCGGGAAGTGGCGCGTGGAATCAGCGAGAACGAGGAGATATTCATGGATGAGGCGGTGGTCCCGGCTGGAATCAAGCCTCTGTGGGCGGAAAAGTATCGACCGCGGAAGCCGCGATATTTCAACCGAGTGCAGATGGGATACGAGTGGAATAAGTACAACCAGACGCATTACGACCACGACAACCCGCCTCCCAAGGTCGTGCAAGGGTACAAGTTCAACATGTTTTACCCGGACCTCATCGACAAGACGAAGGCGCCGACTTACAAGATCATCCGCGAGCATGGGCGGCGACGGGGCGAGTCATTTGCCCCGGCCGGCGAGGAGGACACATGCCTGATTCGCTTCATTGCTGGGCCGCCGTACGAAGATGTCGCCTTCAGGATCGTTGACCGCGAATGGGACTACAGCGCGAAGAAAGAGCGTGGCTTCAAGAGCAGCTTCGACAAGGTATGTGCCTACCGTTCCACCCCGCCTTTTCCCAACACCTCACACACACACACTTGCCACCCTATTCCTCCTTTGGGACTGGCCTCTTCTACATGCGTTAGAGTGCATCGTAGGGCTCCCCCCCCAGATCCCTGGCGCCACCGCATCCGCCGCATTTTGCTTTTGTTGCTTCTTCCTCGACGAACTACCCTTGACCTGGTCGATGCTGATCTCCCACACCAAACAGGGTATCCTCCAACTACACTTTCAGTTCAAGAAGGTAAGCTTCTCTCACCCAGCGCTACCCGGTCTCCAACCATGCAGGGCAGTACTGACAGGTCCCTCTCAGATCTATTATAGGAAGTAATCAGGTTTCATCGAGGCCGCCCCTGCTGTGTTGGGAGTGCAAGCGCATGGCGCCTGGAGGTTGGAGGTTGGTTAACGACACGGCGAATTGGGAACAGGACAGAAAGGTCAGTCATGTACTGTTGTGTATTCGGTACTCGTATGGTCGATTGTATGGAACCTCTTAATGAAACGACTCAGGGATTCCTGCTGCCCTCTGCCACCCTCACCTCACCATGACCGTGGCCTGTGGCCCGTGGCCAGCTAATCGGCCGAATCTCCAGCCCACGTAATCCATACCTCCATACCTTGTAACACCATTTGCGGGGAGCTGCCTCGCCGGTTTTTTATGCCTTTTCAGGTTTTTTTTTAAAAAAAAAATTATTCTCCCTCTCGTTCCTTTTCTTTTATCTTACCTCCTTTCCTTCTTTTTTCCGCGCTGCCCTACCAGATCCAGCCAAGTGCCAGTTCCAAGTTGGGCCACATTCATCTATATTCGTCGTCACATTCTGAGCCCTTGGCGACATCTTGATGCATGGTATGTATGTATGTATTGTGCAACGCCAGAATCGCTTCGGTTTCGACGTCCCCCGAGCCGAGAGTGTATTCTCCTAGCTGCCAACGTCTGCGTAGGTACGCACATACAATGAAATGCACGTGGCAGCGGACTTCGCTCATATCCGTTGGATGTGGGCGGTGTGTTGGTCATGAGAACAGCTTGAAGTTGGTTGGGCCGTCTGCCCTCCCTCGCGCACCCATACACCCCCTCCCTCCCCTCCCCTACCCTCCCCTCCCCTCCGCCTTACCCCTCTCGCCCAACGGCAGCAACAACCCTACAGCTACAGGTACGAAGTGTTTCGGAGTGGAGACGAATCTTCAGATGGTCTTCTAGAACACGATGTGCCCTGCATGAGGCATAGTAGAGGTGACTTGCCGCCGCAGCACGGGTGTAACTGGGGCTTCGCACAGGCTCCTAGTCAGGATCGTCGACCCTCTCCCCACACAGCAAACTCATTGGCTACTGCTTGGCGACAATCCAGTCTACTACCTGCACGTCCCCGAGAAAAGAGGCCAGCCTCAATGACCCTTAAATCCCTGCCCTTTGCGCCTCTTCTCTTACCGGCTCCCGTATGGGACGACTGGGAGAGTCGCTGAGCAGTCTCTCTTGCTCGATTATTATTGGACGTAACTGTGCTAGATGGACTGGATCCCCAATGTATTCTGCCGCGACGCACTGACATTGACCTATGCGTGCATTGGTGCACCTGATATTGACAGCACATGTCAAGCTGGGGCTCGTTGGAGTGGCAGATGCGAAGGCGAGGGCGATGGCGATGTGGGCGACCTGAGGCCTGAACTTCTTGACAATCACATTGTCCCGTTTAGCAATCATGGCCATTGCAGAATGGCGGACTCACTGGCTCGCTGCTTTGCCTTAGCTTACCTGACCTGTCTTCCCGTCGCCGCGGCTGCCGTCTTGTCGTCTTTGGATCTGTCATATTTCCCATCCACGCAACCTGGGAGCGGCCGGCCCAGGTGGTGTTCACGGCTCCTCCTATCCCACCCCCTCCTCGGTTCCACGGACGGCATGGCGGCGACGAGCCTAGCATCTACCTACCATCTACCTCCTGGCAACGGCCGTGAAGAGCCCGTCTTCCCAGGCTCTACTCCTCTCAAACCATGGGCTCGACCTGCAAGTACAAACCACCACCCCTCCCAACCCCCTGCTCACCTCCAGGTTCGTTTGCACCATCTACTTTTGATGGAGGCAGCGAGGTAGCAAAACACATCGTACCCGCTACATGGTACGTAGCATACATAATACACAAGCAACAGCCAGTGCACCCACAATGCCTCCCACGTATGTACATTACATACATACATACATACATACATAGGTAGCCCACATTTACCTGATACACACACAAATACGCAATCCTTCGTACTCACCCTGCCCTTTGCCTCGAGAAGACGAGACTGGTATGTGTGTGTTGGCAGTCTTTCCATCCTGCATCTGATCAGATCTGAATTGTGAGCGCCCATCCGCCTGCCTGCCCTCCACCGCCACGATCACCAGCACCCCCTGTCTCCTCTAGCCCTCTTCTGCCCGTCTGAACTACCCCTGGCATTCGGGCCTGGCGGGGCAAGGCTGGCGCACATCTCCTCGGCTCCGAAAAGGTGATCTATCTGATGTAGTTACCGGGTCCGGGGACCAATATCGAAGATCTACAGCCACTTCCTTGCCCAGATATCGTTCCCGACCCTGGCCTTACTACACCTTGCTGTACCCTGCCCTGGTCAACGGCTTCCAGAGCTTCGATCTCAAGTGCTACTTGAGGCCAAGGCCAACACACGATTCTTCTGTCTCCCAGGCATAATAGATATTGTCCTCCGCTCGCTCTCTCCCTCACCCACTCACACTTCCACACACACACACACACACTCTCTCTCTCTCTCTACCCTACCCCGCCCCTGTTGTCATCGCCCCTCGACTGGTCGACCGGCCATCTGATCCAACCTGAGTCGCATCCACAACAACATAAACCACGGCAACAGGTTGTTCAGTAGTCGTTGTTTCAAGTCAGTCTCCGGCTGCTTAGCAATCTCCCGTCCAGTCCAGTTTGCTGGGCGAAGCTTGAACATCGTGCCCGCCATGGAATGCGACGGGCTGCCCCGTTTTGTCGATACATTGTACGGGCGAAAGATGCCCTGCACGACACAATCACTCCCAATAAGGGGAGCTTATTCAGGCCTGGAGACCTCTGTGACTCCATCTCCACCACAAGTGCTTCAAATCAGAGGCTCTCCCCCCATCGCAGACCAGCCAAACCAGCCATCCTATCATATGCACAAGCATCAACAGGACAACCTTGCCACTCCACTGGAGGCGCTAGGCGCTTGCAGACTACATCACCAACACCAGTCTCCTCCACAGCCACCTGAAAGATCGTCCACCTGGGACTCTTCCAGCTGGGCTGGTGAACGGAATCACCCGCAGGCTTACACATCACATGATACTCTCCCCGGCCTACAATTATCATCCTCGGCGCCTACAGGCAGCTCCTACACTCAGACCTGGAAATCCCTCCAGCAGCAGCAGCAGCCGCTCCCACAGGTATCGTGGAGGACAACTGTCTCCCCCCAGCAAAGCCAATACTACAGACAGGGCATCGCCCAAAACCAAGCCCTCGAGCTCACACAGCAACCATCCCCCTCCCCACTAGACAGCAGCAGTAGCTGCTACAGCCACTCCACCATGTCACCCACGTGGTCCATCTCGTCCGCCCCCGACCACTTCCGCGGCAGCTTCGACTTCCCCAGCGGCGCGGCCGCCCAGATCAGCTTCCCCTGCCAGCAGCCCCCCGGGCCACAGCAGCAGTACCCGCACCACCAGTACCCGGGTGGCGGGATAGCGGGCGGAGCGCCCACCAACACGATGGTCAGTTTTCCGAGCTCGGGGCCCCAGCCTACTACGACGGGGGTGTCATCGGACTACGACGAGAGCCCCCTGATGGGGCTGGCATCGGCGACGACGACGTCTCCGTCCGGGGGGCGACATCCCACCGGTGACGACCAAAACAAGAACAACAACAACAACAACAACAACACCACCGTCGTTGGTGACAGCAGCAGCGCCGGCTGCACAGGCAGGAACGCGGCGACGACGACGGGCGGCAAGGAGGAGCCGGAGCCGTACGCGCGGCTGATCCACCGGGCGTTCATGAGCTGCCCGGGGCGGCCGATGACGCTGCAGGAGATCTACCAGTGGTTCCGCGAGAACACGGACAAGGACAAGTCCGAGAGCAAGGGGTGGCAGAATAGCATCCGCCACAATCTGAGCATGAACGCCGTAAGTACTGTACAACAACTACTCTGTCTCTTTTTCCTTTTGTGCCCTATCTCTAGCACGGGTTTATCTAACGCCCCCCATTTACCAGGCCTTCACCAAACCAGAACGTCTATCCAACGGCGCCCCCGGGCCCAAGGATGACAACGACGAGGACGGCGGCGGTGGCGGCGGCGGCGGCGAGGAGTCGTCCCCACGCGCGGGCGCCGGCAAGAAGTCGACAGAGTGGATCCTCGAGCAGTGGGCCGCGCGCGACGGTGTCCAGAGCACGACGCGTTACCGCAACTCGCCGCGCCGCGGCGGTGCCGGCAAGGCCTCGTCCGCTGGGTCCCGGCCCAAGAAGAAGGGGCCGGCTAAGAGGGGCGTGGCTGGGACCGCCGCTGCCGCGCAGGCGGCTGAGTGGGAGGCCGACGTCCAGCAGCAGCAGGGACGGCGCCGGCAACGGCAGGCCCAGAAGCAGGCTCTGTTGCAGAGGCAGGAGCTGCAGGGACAGTACATCCCCGTGGCTCCGGCGATGGAACACCACCAGCAGCAGGACCAGTACCAACACCAGTACCACGGCCTACCCATGCCCCTGACCCTCCCCATGCATATCCACAACCGCCACCACAACGACCACCACCACCAGCAGCAACTCAGCACCTTCCTCCCCAGCACCTACGGCGGCAAAACCCCGGACTTTCCGGGCTACAGCCCCCCTCCCTCCTCCTCGGCGGCGGCGACCATGTCTCTCTTCAACACGCCGCCGCCGCCGCCACCGCCACCGCCGTCATCGTCGGCGGGGTCGGTGGTGCCGGCGACGGTCAAGAGCGAGGCCGAGGAGGCGGACGAGGCCATGACGCCCGCCGAGTCCGGGTTCGCGTTCCGCGAGCCGGGCGTCCTGCTGCCCGAGCTGCAGCAGGTCGGCGGCGGGGACGTGGTCGCCGTCTACGGGGGGGCGGGGCGGGTGGTGGATGTGTCGCAGTATGGGCTGGGGAGCGTGGCGGGTGTCTACGAGGAGGGGCTTTTCCAGGGGTGTGTGTGGGATCCGGAGGCGTCTTACGATCAGTGCTGAAGGGGGGCTGTACCGGGGAATCTCTTGCGGGCGGGTTCTAGGCTCTTCTCTGGCTGGCCTTGCGGGGTCAACTGATGGGAGTGAGCTTCCAGCTCGCCTCTATTGGATCCAAGCCCTGGGCTGCCTCTTTACCCCAGAGGAAGAGGGAAAGCAAGGGGACAGCACCGCTCGGATATTGACGGGGAAGGGGAGATCACCCACACCGACATATCCCCTCCCCCCTCCCTCTCTGCCTCTTCCCTCACCAAGAACAAAGTGGAAAAGGTAAACGAGCCAGACTGACCGCAGGCGAGAAAGAGGGTTGGCGGTTGCTTCGGCAGGGACGGGGGGTTTCGTTTCCTGCCCGAAAGAGGAAGAGGCCCAAGAGAAAGGTTGAGCGGGGCATACATACATCTCCACGGAGGAATGTGCACAAGGTTACGGTACCTACAAGGTGTCTGAGGAGGAGGACGACGAGGACGAGGAAGAAGACAAGGTCAAGGACAGGGACGGGGGTTCGAGGAGGAAAATGAGTAAATTAATATTTCTAATGAAAATTCTCTTGGGAAGAAATAAAGAAGACGCATCGCAACCCGTATCCCTACTAGTCGTCTGCAGGTAACTGCAGTAAGGCAAGGCCTCTTCCAATGCGTTCCAGGGTCGCGTCTTGGCGACCACCAGCAATGGGTGCGTCTTGCCGAAACGAGAAGGGGGAGCTGAGCAAAAGTGCGTGTGTACCAATGTACTGTACATACAATAGCTTACCTAGGTAGGTAGGTATTCGGCTTCACGTTGGGACGGCTTCCCCTATCATCCCAACCCCCCAGCCGCCAACCGAATCGGAAGCGAGCCCTTGCCGATCACTGGTCTTGGACCCTTGAAACTAGCGTACAACTTAAAGGTTATTATCTGCGGGGTGAGCTTCGGGGGGTTTAGAGGGGGCAGGGGGCATAGCCTGACAGGGACATGGGGTGCTCCTTGGGCGTTTCTTTCCCCTCTTTCAGCTCTCCCGTGGGCGCCGAGGTGGGGGGGAGGAAGGGTGGTTGGTGTCGGGGGATCGGGGTCGGGACCGGGGTTGATTCCCAGGGGGGAGGCGGGGAGTGGCGCCTGCGGGCGTCGTTACTCGTCTCGTGGCTTGCACCCCTACCTGGCTATGGCTTGACTATTTTGTGCTTGGCGCGCCGTGCAACCTGAGGGGAAGGGAATGGGGAATGTAATGCGAGCCCCGCCTGAGCCGGCACTGGATGTTCTGTTCTATGTACGGATATGGAGCCTACCTACTAATTCAACTGCGATACCGAGCGGCTGCACCGGCTAGGGTACCACTAAAACCTTCTTCATCGTGCATCCCCCTCCTTTCTAGAAGATCAATATTGCATTTGACCGATACTGTGGGGTGTTGCATTGGAGATGCGCTTCCAAGATTCCGTCGCGATTGGCTTGCATGGCTTGCTTCGGTTGCAGACGAGCAGTCATCGGACATGCCGAGCTGAACAAATCTAAGATATGCCCGATTAGATCTCAGATTGGCATTCTGTCGTGACTGAAGGAAATGCGCGGTTTTCTTTCCTTTTTCCCTTCTTTTTTTCAGTCTTACTTGCCCATGAAACACAAGAGTCCTGCAGCACGAACGGGATAATTAGGTCTTTGCTCTTGTCTCTTTTCCTCCCATTGGAATATGATATTTACATCTGCTGATCTTGGCGTAGGTGGACTGTCATATGAACGGCGCCCAGCCTCTGATAGGCGGGAGTAGATTAGCGAGAGACAGAAATAGAGGTCGTGCGCTGAGGAGGTTCAAAGAGTAGCCGTATGTAGCAACTGCATAGGGATGCAGAGTACCTAGGTAGGTAGGTTGCCTAGGCCCTGTGTGGCGTTCGTCGAATCTGGAAACTGTCCGTCAGGGGGGGGGGGGTACCACTTGTGGATCTCATTGTACCTAGGTTGCCCTTGTTGTAGGATTCAAGGCAGGCCGCTCCTGTCATTGGGTTCCCTTCCCTCGGTAGCGAGTGTTGGTTGTCCAGTCCAGTGACTCAAGGGTTACTTAATAATAAGCCTAATACAACCCCCAGGAGCCAGGTTGGACCTGGGGCACCGCTCTCTTAGGATCCGTTATTATGACATGGGAGGGCTGTCCAGGGTTGATGCCTTTTTGGGAAACCAACTCCACTGCAGTCACAAGTCGGGTCTGGGATGCTGCCACCATCCACGGCATATCATATCTAGGTAGACATGTATCTGCCTGGTACACAATACATGCAAAGAACTTGCACTATGACAAATTCCAGCACGCCACGCCAGCGGCTGTTCCATTGCAGACAGAGCCTTGCACTGTATATTAGCTTCCAGGTTCATAGACTTGCTGCTGTGTGACCTGTCATCTAATATCAGACTACAAGAGAGTGTGCATGGAAGGTAGTGGACCGGGGAAAAGAAGGGAAAAACAGAAGAGATCTACAACCACAGGGCTAGGAGCCATGTAGCCTGGCTATCATATTATTTCATCTTACGGCCGGTCAATGCATTGTTGGTTGAATCTTGCAGGGGGTGTGCAGCAAGAATGGTGTAATGAGGGAATCACCATTAGCTAATTACAAGTTACAAGCAAAGTTGAGAGTTATTCTGGGCAACCCAAGGCACCTCGTGGGTCGGCCCGATGTACCACGGCGGCTTGTCACTCGATTCATGGATTCAAAGTAACAGGTCAACATGAAACTTGAAAAGCGTCGACAAGCATCTGTATCAAAAAATCTGGATGCTGGAACAACAAACAGAGCTTCAACGACCTGTTTCTGCAGACGGACTTGGACCAACACGGTGCCTCTTACGCGAGTTTGAGCTGCAAGGCATCGGCATGCCTCCCTTTCGGTCATTTCCCAACATTCCGTATCCTTTTTCCACTTTCTCTTTGTGTGACAGCTCACTAGGTACGCAATAAACCCCTGGTCTTGTGCAAATCACTCCTCTCCTGTAGCAGCGGGCAACGTAAGGCTGGCTCCCTCTTTCCCCCCCACATACCATCCCCCCCGCGCCCCCTGGCTGCAGAGCTGCAGTTGCACGCGGAAAACGACTCATTCTCACAACTCAGATTTCCTTCACCTTGCTTGTTTGTTTCATGAGTCTGGGTCCCGCCAACCTGGTTTCTGGCACTCGCTTCATTTTCTGGTCCCGGGAGATCCATTGCATATGATATCGAGATGAATCTAGTATCGGGATCAAATCTCACATTGAGATCAGGCTGGGCTCTGGATCTCGGTACCCGCGACCTGTACAACCAACCATGTGATGTCACGATTGGACTTCTGTATGAAGAGCAGCATAGGTAATGATATATTCTCAGGGGCTTTGCTTCCAGATGTGATGATCTCCGCCAAAACTGATTGAAAAGCAAACAGTCTCCCTGTAATACAAATGAGACGGTTTGGGTGGATTGCTCAATGAGGAAACCTAACAATAGCATTATGACCATTCCATGCCGATCCGCCGCCGGCTCACCTGCTTTAAGCCTCTTCAATCGCGGCCCGCACAGGACTGATCGGCCCGTCCGCCCATCAAACCGGTAGATCGGCAGATCGGCAAGAGACAGCAACGACGAGAAAAAAGAAATACGGATCCGTAATGAGACGAGGCTCCCATCCCAAGGAGAGGTAAAACAGATCCGTCAAGGTGCAGCAGCCCGGCATGCAGGCTTCCCATCCCATCTCCGTCTCACACGTCATCAGCCGCACCCAGCCAGCGTGGCGGTTGATCATTCCTCTATAAGGGCGGCCCAGCCGGACAATGACGAACGGGCAGGTTCCGCGGCCCTATGCACCTCCCCAGCTATGACGCTTCTCCGGGGTGATATCTGATCTGTCAACATGTCGACACCAATGGGACGGTGTCCAACGCAGAGGGAGGCAAGCGGAGAAGCGTTTGCTTGACCGACAGTTCGATGGCGTCCATCGGACACAGCTGAGGCAAATTCCTCCACTTTTCCGGGCGCAAACTCAGAACTCGAGGCCTGGCGAGATCGATCTAGATCCGCTGGCATGGCATGATGGTGATCTGATATCGGCAAGGCCATGTGAGTGGACAAAGAGACAATCAACAACCCCCTTGGCTACAGGCTTGTTTGTTTTGGTTCCCGTACCGGCCCGTGGCTGGCGTCGTGGACACTAGTCTAGCGCCGTGAAGGTTTGCCGATGCTAGTGAAGCCATGCGGGCGTGTATTGGTCCAGAGCGGAAGGATAGGGGCAGCTCTCCACACACTGGCTTCACGGGGTTGTTGCGACCACGGATCTCAGGGTCCCTTCTTTTCCGGCGGTGGAGGGCTGTGCCCCTTTCAGGATGGGACTCTGATGAGCTTCGTCCAGCAAACGATGCCCGAAGGTACTCCTAAGGTATCTGTACTGTATGTATGTACGTACAAGAGCCATTGTGACTGTCCAAATTCAAAATCCTCTGTACTGAAGTTTCGACTCCTTTAGTTACAGCATCCCAAACTCAGAGTGGGAACCGAATGGCTGGGCCCAACCTACACTCACGCTCATCTGCTGGATGGCGTGAGTACATACGACAACTGTGCCTCCTCGATCTTGACGGATACGGCATGTGAAGTCTGGAGCGTGGAACTCTAACTACCTAGGTAGGCAATAACTGCTGTTTTTTATAACTAGGTAGCCAATGTAGATCATCAGGTGTATCCTTCAACCATCCAAGCCAAGTTCCCATCTGTCCCCATTCGGCGTCGTTATTGTCGTCCCTTTCGGCCGTAGAACGACCGCACTGGCTCTCCATATGGATGAATTCGTATCCCATGGCGGTGCACTGTTCACATGCCGGCCAGTTGGATGGACGCGTATGCAACGGCCGTTGTGTTTCGTCTAGCGAAACCATGTGCGACGCGGTGGGCGACAAGATCGCCCTTTTGCGGCGTAATTCTTTTCCTTTCCCCATTTCTGGTCGCGGTGTCATGCCCCTATTGTGACTCTAACCTATCCTTGTCTCCCCGTCCTAGCCAGAAAAAAAAAAGGGGCGCAGAAGTAGATAAACCGCGTGACAGCCCCGCGAACCGATGTTCGCCGGCAACCCCTTTTCCCAAAAGGTGTGACACGCTCAGCGGCAGCCAGCAGACCTTTCTCGGCGAGACACACGCACGCGGCTAATATTCTAAAACTTGCCCGACCTGACCGGGTCTGAGCTACATCACCGTGCGATGCGAGATCAGGCCGCTTCGCCGCAACGGGCAGAACATCCCTCACTCACTTGCCAAATCCGGCCACGTCGTGTGGAACGGGGGCAGGGGGTTCAAAGCGAAAAAGAGGGAAAAGGGTCACGAACACGGACGGCTGGGTGGGACATGTTTCGCAGCAGGGATATCGGGGTCATGATGTGCCCCCTCCCTTCTCAGCAAAGGCGGCGGAACCCAGATTATCGGTTCACCCGTTCTAACCCCCTCCCAAAGGACTGTTTACCCTCTTAGTGGCATCTATGGGTTTATTCTCCGCGGCCCGAAGACGGACGGGGCTCAGTCACTACCCCTTTCCCGCTGCCAACGCTCATATCCGCTGCGGAGCGCCTCTTCCCTTTCCCTGCCGGGGGCACGATGTGGGGATGGCCGTGCGGATTTGGTTTCGCGGGTTGTTACTCCTCAATTGGGGGAGGAGAGAGGGGGAGAGCAGGCGGGACAAGCACTGAGCAAAGGATACTGTAGTAATGAAGAGGAAAAACAGGAGGGGAGAGGAAGATTGAAACAGAGAATAGAGAAAAGGAAAAGGAAGGTGAATGTACAAAGAAAGGGAGGAAAGACGTCCGGTAAATCCGATTACTCCTGAGATCCTCACACGTGGTCAGAGTCCTAGACGTCTATCCCGGCAAGCCAACCTTCCATAGACCGCTAGCCTAGATAAATGAATGCCCGCGCCTGCAATATCTTGCCTCTGTACATAGCCAAATAACATCAAGCAGGCCTACTGCCCGGTGTGCAATGGGAGTGTGCTAGACATGAAATCTGCATACACACAGAGTAATTACCACCCTCAGAACTTCCGCTTCTTCCTCGCCGGCCCGGCCCCAGCCCTCTTCTGCAGCTCGCCCTGTAATTCCGCCCTCTTCCTATCCGCCCGCTCCCGCGACGTCTCCCGCGGCCGCTCCTCTTCCTCCTCCTCCTTCGCCGCCGTCGCCACCGGCGTCCCTCCCCTCCCGCGCTTCTCTGCTTCCTTCTCTCCATCCCCGTCCGCAGCAGCAGCACCACCACCCCTCCGCCCAATAACCCCCAGCCGGCCCCTGGTCCTCGGCGTCGTCACCGCCGCCGCGGTGTCGCCGTCGCCGTCTTTCTCCTCCTCCCGTCCCTTAGCTGCCGGCGCCGATGATGGCCCTGCCTGGGCTCTGGCGCCGGCCCCGCCGATACGGCCCAGCGCGCCTCGCCGCGGCGGGGTCTTTGGCGGCGGCGGCGGCGGCGGCGGCGGCGAGTTCTCGTCGTCGTCGACGTCCGACGCGGTGGCGGAGCCGTCGTCGTCGTCATCGTCGTCGTCCTGGCGGACCGGTTGCGCCGGCGGCGGTGGTGGCGGGGACGGGGTCCTGGTTTTGGGGGCCGGCTTCATCCGCTTGCCGATTGCGCCGAGGCGGGACGCGGATGGCTTGGCGTCTGTGGCGTGGCGGGTGCGCTGCTGCGATGGTGGTTCGGGCATGCTGTCGGGGATCTTGGCTCCATCTCCGTCTTCGCCGTCCGAGGTCTCGTCGTCGTCGTCGTCAGCTGCGCTGGGTGGTGCCTGGGGCCGCCGGGTGGATTTGTCGCGCTTCCTGGTGGTGAGGCCTGGAGGGGTGGCCTGGACCTGGAAGTCGTCGTCGTCGTCGTCGTCATCATCGTCAGTGTCGGCCTTGCGTCTGGTCCGCACAAGCGGCGGTGGCGATTCTGTCTTCTTGGAGGTCTTCTCCTTCCCGCGCTCCACCAGGGCGATGTGCTTGCCCTTGCCAAGCTTCACCCACCAGTCGTTGAGGGCGGGCGAATCGTCAATGTCCAGGTCGGCCCCGCACGCCAGCCCTCCGTCCCCGCCAAATACGTCGTCGAGCAGTACAGGGATGTCGGCTGGCCCGGCCTCGGTCTTGGCTGCCACGGCCCGCTTCCGGAAATCGGCTTCCCTGAAGGGTGCGAGACCCTTCACCCGCTCCTCAGCGATCGCCCTCGTCACCTTGCGCCGGCCCGAGAGGGAGGTGAAGGTGTGCTCGAGCCCCGTTCCCACGGCCTCTAGCTTGTCGACCAGCTTGGTTATCACGCTGTCCTTGTCTCGCAAGGCGGCGACCAGCTCGGTCATCTCCCGTGTCCGGGCGTGGTGTGCTTGGATCAGGGGTAGCACGAGATCCGTGGCGATAGCCGATTGAGTGGACTTCTTGAGGTGCATGGGCCATTTGAGGGGGCGCAGACCTCCCGGTAGGATGACGGTGATGTGGATGACGAGACCGTCGTCGCCCGCGTCGCCGCTCCCGCCTCTAGAGAGCGCCATGCTGGTGTCGCCATGCTCCGGAGAAGTGGGGTCAAACGCTGCCCGAAGAAGATCAAGGAGCTTCCGTATCTGATCCGGCCCGTCGGTCGGATCGATGCTGGTGTCTTCCTTCAGGCCTCTCATGATGATCGGCTTCTTCTCAAGGCTCTCGGTCCACAAGTTGGCGAGATCCGTGATGCGGACCGAGTATGACTGGGGTGTAAAATCGGTGCAGACCAGCAGGCTTGGAATACCTGGGACTGCCAGTGGCAGTGGTCTCCATGACCGTGGACCAGGCATGGTGGCGACTGGTGTTGCGAACGGGGAACTCTTAGCCGGGCTCTGTTTCCCGTCGCCTCCGGATCCGGGATGGAGTAAGACTGATGCGGGTAACTTTTCTTGTTGGCTTTCCCAATCGAGCTATGAGACCACCTAGAGAAATTATTGTCCGTCCGAACTTCCACAAAGAGCCTCAGATGTCGTTAAGGTAATCGGCCCGGCGGCGTCTCCTCGCTCGCCAATTCCTCGAATCAGAGACGAATGCCAGATGAGCCGGGAACGCTGTTGGATCGGCCAAGAGAGTGCAAGGCTGCCACGACATCAAAGTTGGAAGGTCGCACAGGTGTAGCCACGACCATGTGGGAGATGCAGCCTGCACGGCCTCCCGATCAGGAGCTGCGACGAGCTTTTCCGGCCGGTCGCAGGAGTGTCAGTCCTCGTGCGCCGCTAGGCGCTGGACTGTGGTACCCAGGGACATAGACTGCAGTAGCGACGTTGGACAGCCCAGGCAAAGCCGCCGGACAGGAAGCGAGACGTTTTTCTGTTGGAGTCCCGATTAGGCAGCGAGGTTGCAGAATAACGAGGCCGACGCCTTGCGTGCCTCGATAATAATGCCGATAGATGGCCGTACACCCGGTACAACACGACAAGTATTATGGTACGCTCACGGTTTAGATGTGAGTCGGCGCGGCTGATTCCGTGGTGTCAACGCGATTGTCGCGATGTCATGACAGCTGCCTGCAAGGCTCAGGCTTCAGCTTCGAGGGGACAGGTCACGTGATTCACCCGCACCCTTCAGGGGTTCATGGGCTACACCTAGGTGAGCTCGGTGTGCATCAACTGGCTTTGCTCAAAAAAATGTTTCTTGCCTGATGGAGAGGGCGAACCTAGTCAAACAGTATCGAGTTCTTAGAACTGATTTCCTCGTCCAAGTATGTACAACTACGATATTATATTCGGTAGTCATGAGTTGAGAAGTTCCCACCATGTATAGCCTCTCCAAAGGTGCCAGTTAAGAAAAGGGGACCGGTGTGAGCCATGGGACACACGAATTTGAGCCCAACAAGTCTCTAGATTTCAACCCATATGTACCTTTTGGGTTCTTAACCTTATCCATCTGTATATCTTACAACATCTATCAGAACTCGGACAACAGTGGCATAATGCCCAAGGCCTCGGCCATCGTATCTCGATCGCCAGGTCTACCGGCTGTCGATTCTTGGGGCCGATCATGGAACATCTACAGACCAGCTACCTGAATCGGTATCCAGTCCATGGCCGAAGCGCATCGATCCGTAGGCGGTTGGTAGCCCGTCCAGAAGCTCCTTGGATACCCTTCGTGATATATGGGTGATGGTCTAACTCTCTCGGAGATCCTCGTGTATTCAGGGATGGGTTTCTGGATTGGTTGGCGGTATGGAGGCTCACGTCTGTGAACGAACCTCAACAGTTGGGGTCGAGCACAAGCAGTGCAGCCCATTCATGAAGCCCTCTGGTACCAAGCCTTGGCACGCGCGGGACTCTTAGCCGTGGCCGCCTCCTCGGTCCATTCCTTCTCTTCCCTCCTCAGCTCCCTCTTGACATACCAGAAGGTGAAGATGGTCCACACGCCGGCCCACCCGAATGGGGCGGACCAGCCGATCGTGTATGCGGCATTGGCGTTGATGGTGAAGATGAGTATAGTACAGACGACCGCCATGGCCTCGGCGCCGACAGCCCAGAAGATGCCGAGCCGCCGTAGCATGGCGCGGAAGATGTGGCTGGACTCGTAGCGCCGGTTGAGCGCCTCGCGGAAGGGCGTGCCCCCGGAGCCGTCGACGGCGACTACGTCCTCGATCAGGGTGTAGATGCCCGGCCGCAGCTGCGCCCCCTTCGGTATGGATGACATCCGGGCCGGGGCCGGGACTTGGAAGTAGCGGAGGGTGTCGACGAGGAGGAGCTCGGTGCCGAAGACGAACAGCATCGAGGTCAGGGGCATCGAGAGTAGGCGGATCGGCGGGTTCCTCGGGACGGTGCCACTAGATAAAAAACAAGTTTGTTAAACCGGCTGCTCGATGAAAACTGGGTGAAATACGTAGCAAGATCTGGCAGGAACAAACTTACACGATCAGCTCGATCATAACGATGATCCAGGCCAGCGAGAAGTTCCAGTGGAACCAATCGAGATACCAGCGATGGGCACCAATGACGCGGCACGTGCTGCCTTTCTTGAACAGCCGCCGAAACCGCACAAAGTACTCGACAATGCTGGCGCCCCCTATGGCGGCGGTGACGATGGAGAAGACGGCGTTGGCGGACAGCTTCTCCCTGATCTCGGTGGGCGTGTTCGTCCCTGGGCCGACGCCATACCAGAGCCCGAAGTATAGTCCGATGGGCATGAAGACCGAGTCGATGATGATGACGGTCCAGAAGATCAGGATTGTCAGCTTCCGCGTCCGCAGCGTGTAGTTCAGTGATGGTGGCTCCGGCGTGAAGCCCGGCCTTCCGGCGATGGCGGTGGCGCGTCCGGGAACGCCGGTCTCGGTGCCGCCGCTGCCGCCGCTGCTGGCCTCGGCCTTCTCCAGGTCGGACAGCTCTGCGAGCGTGGGTCGGACTGGCGATCGGCCGCGGGCCAGCGACAGGCTCCTCCCCCTGACCATGGTCAGGCTGGGCCGGCCGAATGGGCCGTCGTACCTCCTGTCGAACTCGGCACTGAGCTTCCCCGGCTTTCGTCCCGCGATCGGAGTACTCCTCCGCTTCATGTTGGGCGGTTTGGTGGGCGACGCTGGCGCCGTGTGCACTGGCTCAGGCATGCTGCATATCCGGCTGCATCCGGGATTATCGCCTGTCGGTGCAGTTGACATTTCCATGGCGGGTGAAGTTGTTGGTTGAGCGTCGTGTCGGCCGGCGATGCTCTGGTCTGGATCACCTTGTTCCGTTTCGATCCGGCCTTCCATTTTGATCTACCATGTAGGTGAGGATCCCCAGTGGTTTTGTTTGTTGTAAATGCAGTCGCTGCGTGATTCTCTTTGGGGTGTAAGATTGGTAGTAAAACCTCTTGGGAACTTCAGAAATGGGAGGGAAAAGTTTAAAGGGATGGTGTCTTTCTTCAATGCCTGTTTGGGGTGATCTCTGGGGATGCCAACTAGTAGTACAAGCGCAGAAAAGTAGCACCTGGCAGCGATATCCTGACTGAATCGTGATCTTTGATTAATGGCATCATCATTGGACGGACAATCCGGTGTTGGGATTTGGCATGACGTCAGAGTCTCGAGACCGTCGCAAGCAGTGCCCCCGGACCCCAGTGGACCCGGGTGATTTACAGGGATGCATCGCCCGTTGCAGGCCCCACCTAGCACCCCCTAGTCGTCAGCCCAGACCCTCTCCACTTTCCAGGGGCGGCGACCGCCGTCATTGAAGCTAAATTTAGTCACTTATTCCTTGCTGGGTCGGGAGAAACATGTGTTGCATGTCGAACTGCCAGTACTCTAGCCTCACTTATCCGGCCATCTTCACAGCCACGTTATTAACTCACTTGGTGAATCACACGCGCTGGATGCCATTCAAAATGGTGTGAACCAGTCGCTAGCTTCCCAGATTCCTTCTCTTGAGATCGAACATGTGGTCCCCCGAGGTATATCTACGCCTGCGGCCTCTTGAGATGATGGCGGCAAGACTGTGCCCCGAGAGGACTTGCAATATGAACGACGCGTAAGTGGCCGCGTTCGAGTCCTCCAGGGTCGGCAAGACGAGCTCCCGCGCCACCCGGAGAGAGCGGCGGGTCGAAGAAATGGACGTGGATGCCGAAGGAGGTGCAGATGAGGCGGTTGTCAGGGGAGACGCTGGAAATACGCGTGGATGTCAGTGTGCCAAAGAGGGAGAAGTTGAGTTGCCTCTTTGATCTCTATGGTTATGAACTTGAAGTTGTGGTTTTATATTCTGTGCTCGATTGGTTACAGACTGAGAATTGTTGGTTCTGTGGCATTTGTCGTCTGGTTTCTGAGCATTGCGAATACCAAGCAACTAACTCTGTAATCAATAACAATACACGTTTATTTTGTCCTATATACCTATATCAGCGTGCCAGGGTAGGTGCCTATGAATGTGTGTGATTGTCGTGGATCGGCGGGGAATTGTTCATCAGATTTGTTGACATCATTGGATCATCATCAACTCGAATGGTAGATCACTACTTTGCAAATCCGAACAACGACTCGACTAACTTTTCATTTACACGACACCAGCAGAAACATCACGCCGAATTGACTGCTTCTCTAGTCCAACGGGAACGACTTCTTCCCAAACCATGGCGCTCCCATACTCCAACGTGCCCCTATCTATGGCCTCCTGCTCCATCGGCCTCCCCCGACACAGCCTACACCAGAAAATCGAAGCCCTCTCCCAAGCCGGCTTCGGCAGCATCGAGCTGTCCTTCCCGGACCTCCAGACCTTCGCCAGCTCGCATTTCGGCCGCGACATCGCTGCCGACGACTACGACTCCCTGTGCCTCGCCGCCGCCCAGGCCCGCCACCTCTGCGACCGCCACGGCCTCGACATCGCCGTCCTCCAGCCCTTCTCCAACTTCGAGGGCTGGCCCCGCGGCAGCCCCCGCCGCGACGAGGCCCTCGCCCGCGCCCGCGGCTGGGTCCGCATCATGGACGCCGCCGACGCGGGGATCCTGCAGGTCGGCTCGACGGACTCGGTCGGCATCGACGGGTCGGTGGGGACCCTCGCAGCCGACCTCGCCGAGCTGGCAGACATGCTCGCGCCGGCGGGCCGCAGGCTGGCGTACGAGAACTGGTGCTGGGCGACGCGGGCGCCGGCATGGAGGGACGTGTGGGAGATTGTGCGGGAGGCCGACAGGCCGAATATCGGGCTTTGCCTCGACACGTTCCAGTCCGCGGGCGGGGAGTGGGGGGATCCGACGACCGAGTCTGGGAGGATCGAGACGGGCGGCGTCACCGAGGCGGAGCTGGATCTGAGCTATCGGATCAGCCTGCAGGAGCTGGCCAGGACGGTGCCGGCGGACAAGATCTACTTCCTCCAGGTCAGCGATGCGTACTACGTGTCCCCGCCCATGAAGGACGAGCCGGATGAGTCTGGCCTGCGGCCCCGCGGGAGGTGGAGCCATGATTATAGGCCGCTGCCGTATGATGGAGGTTACCTCCCCATTGTCCCGTTCGTCGAAGCAGTCTTGGCGACCGGTTTTCGGGGTTTGTTCAGCATAGAGGTCTTTGACGGCCGGTTCGAGCAGAAGTATGGGGATAATCTATTTTGGTTCGCGAGGAAGGCAAAAGAGACTCATCAGAGGCTGCTCCGAGAGGTTAACGAGAAGAGAGTTTTGACTGGTTTGGAATAGTGGTGAGAGCGAATTGCATGGCTATCAGGGCGTTTATTTGCAACGCAGAGCACCTATTTGAAATCCAGGATACTGGAAGGTTTATCTTGTATGTACACATCAACTTGTAGCTTGGGCTTTTACGGATAATGGCTTGCAATTTTTGAGACATTTCTCACAATAGTTTTAAACTCAGTTCAAATGTGATTGATTGGCAGTGGGGGAATTATTGGTGTACAAATCCATCTAACAGTTCAGCAACTAATCAGGGCTCTCTCATCTGCCTTCTGTAGGCGTCCCAGTCGATCACAGTCGACACTCTGCGGATCTTCCCGTCTTCCAGCCAGTAGAATGCATGTTCCGCAAAGTTTACCGCCTTCCCATTCGGCTCGACGCCAGCATAGTCCTTGACGGGTGTTCCGCTGAACTCGATTCTGACCGCAAGTTGCTGCCTCTCTTTATCCACCACCAGATGACGAACCTTGAACACCAGACCTGATATCGCCGAGAAGCTGTCCTCCATCAACATCCGATACTCGACCAGTGCCAGTTGGCGACCGCACCAGGTCACATGAGGTTGGCAGTACTTGTGTAGCTCGGTAGCCATCGTCTGGTTATTGATACAGCGGATGTAGGAGGTGTACATCTGAGCCAAGTCGACGTTTGCGCTGTCGGAAACGCGTGGACCGGTTTCAGACGATGGTTCAATGTGAGATAGGCCCTCGCGAACCACGTCCATGTCCGTTATGGATTTGATATCTGTGATCCTGCCATCCTCGAACTTGCAGATGACGTGCTCGGGAAATTCGATGGGTTGCCCAGCCGGATCTCCGTCTTCTAGAGCCCGCGTGGGGGTGGCCCTGACGATGAGTCTGGCCCCCAGCTGGCCTGATTCGTCGTCCTGGACCAGGACGTCGATGGTCTTCTTAGGCTGGAAGATTGAAGCCGAGCCTTCTAACGAAGAAATGTAGTCTTCCAAGGTGACGCGGTGATCCATGTAGCAAAGATGCGAGTCGAAAAAGCGAGCAATTTGAGCCCACTGCCCCTGATTGACTGCATCAATGAAGCTGCGAAAGATTGTCCCGATGTTGGCCATTTCTTCGACTCTGTGATGCGCACTTGCGGGGAGTGTAGACAGCTCGGGCTACCGGTTTTACGGATTGATGTGTCGATTCTCAACGGTTACATACGTAATACTTGTACTCGGGCGCACGCGTCATTGCATACCTTCGCGAGCCAATTTGGGAATGGATTTACACGCACAGTAGGCCGCCCACCTATCAACCCCTTTTCCACCCCTGATCTCAGATTCTCACTCCTTTTTCCTAACAAAAAATAAATAAAAGGGATCCCAAAAACAAGAGAGAGTGAGAGGAAATTCAAGATTCAAGACGCGAAAATTAATACGCCAAACCCTCAAACATTCTATTCCTCGTCTCTGCTGCTAGGTTGCTGTTCTGTTCTCGATCACCACAAAGTGCGACTTTGGAGCTCTTCGTCTTCCCAGTCCCTCACCGATGATAGTTGGATCAAGTTTAAGGCCTGTTGTGTCCATTATACGGGACTTTGAAAATATAAAAATTGCGACTTGTATTCGGAATGGCAGAGTAGAATTCCACATCAGTGTGCTATCCCCAATGCCGTTGGTTAGGAAACACTGCTAAGGCATTGCTGTAGTTAGGTACTCGCTCTGGCCTATTTGGAACTCTCCAAAGGTTTCCTAAAATTGCAACATTGATAGGATAGCGGCAGTACTGGTATCAGCGCCACGCACTTGTAAACTTTAGATGATTGATAGTTTTTGACTCTCTCCTCAGTTATCAAGGCTCCGAGTGGCAGGCAACTAATCTAGTCTGAAGGTTAAAAAGCATAAGGTTGAAAACCATGGAAGCGTATAGAAATGCAGAATGACATACAGCAAAGGTCTCTTCTAGCCTCACTTCTTTGTCCACTCTACCCTTCCCGACTTGTTCAACTTAGTGGGAAGCCTCAGCAATAATTAGGTAAGTACTCACGATGTCGGTGTTTGTCACTGGTACAGTCAGCAGGTCAACAAGTACGTACCTGATTCTAGAATGGACATGGAAGGTCTACCAAGCCAGATGTCTCCCTCTCTCAGTGAGGCCGGGACAAGGGTCTCATGCATTGTGCTAACACTCCATGCGTCACTCCCAGCACCATGCATCATTCTAAGAGCACGTTGTTCCTGGAAATCCACATCAAATAAGCAATGGCACTACTTGCTCAAACACAGTTTACACCAATATTCCCCCCCCCCCCCCCGCAGCCACAATCCCCCATCCCCCTATTAAACTCTCTCTCTCCAGGCAGCCTACCAGTCAAGCCACTTGCTCAGTTTCTAGATTCCCCTCCCTCCCAAGCAACCACAATGGGTAGCTTCATGGAGGACTGCCAAGCGCTGATCGACGAGCTCTACCCGCTGGTCTTCGTGGCCGGGTCCGAGCACATCCTCATCGAGGCGAACCCGCGGAAGATTCTCCAAGACGACGGCGCGCGGCCGGTCGCGCTGTACGCCCAGAGCCTCAGCGGCCAATCCGTCTACGTCAACATGCGACTGCCGGGGATTAAGCGGGTTCTAAGTCTGCTTGCAAAGGATGGAGTCGGGCAGTCCGTCGACCACAAGGGAGTGCGGTATCAGTTTGTCATGAGTACGAAACCCTGGTGCGGCGTGCCACCTTTGGGTTCAAGAGGCGTTGACGTTGTACACCCCCATAGATTCCACCACCGCGACGACGAGTCTTATATCCAGCCTGGGTTGAAAACAACATCGACTAGTTCCGACCTGTGCGAATACTAGAGTCGGGGATTCTCCCGGGGGGGGGGGTGAGGGGTTAACAAACCTTTAGGGGGTGGAAATGTTGTGAACTGGAGGTGGGAGCGGTCAACGTTGTACACAACGTATTTTACAACGGAACACGGAAAAGGGGGGAGGAGGGTCGCAGAATAGCCCGGAGCCACGCCGGCCCAGAGACGGAACTACGATCTGGAAGGACCCAGGCGTTACTGAGGCAAGAATGTACATACAACAGGGTAATGCCTGCTCCAAATCACCACCGGAGTCTCGTCATGGTCTTTTTCACACATCACTCACATATGGCGGAGACGAATAGACTATATATGAGGTCCTGTGAACCGTATCTGACACGGGAAATGCTGCCTTGTCCCAGTGTGGCGCCATTCAATTCCTTCCCCGACCTCTCAATCAAACTTTCTACAGACTGGAAGCTTTGAACTTGCACACCGCCCAAACCCCCTCTCGTCTTCAGTCTCGAGATGGCCGCGGCCGAGGGCTACTACTCTTCCCATCGATCCCCCGTCGAGGTCCACACTTGAATCAAGGGGTAAGGAGTGCCTGATCCCAAATGGGGAACAAAGCTGGCGGGTAAGGGCAAGGGAGGGAGAGAAAGGGGCAAAGAGGCAGATGGATTTACGCCAAGGAGACCCGAAGCTGCCAGGCGTTGTACCCCAAGGTCAAATCACGCGAAATCCACCCGAAGGATGTCAAGAACGAGTCTTAATACAATAAGGTGCTGTTGCATTAAAACTGAGTAGCGATCAATCACACAATCGTAATACATAAAGGCACAGACACGGGCCTGGAACCGAACCAACGCCTTGTACGCCGTACAGCAAAAGTCCCATAAGGAGCGGCTGCCTCCAGAGATCCACGCATGCTTTGCTATGGGTCCTAGGCCACGGCGATAGCATTGGGACCACAGGATAGCCGCATGCTGGCCGTCGGCGGCTTGAAGTCCTCCCTCTCATCCTCATCGGTCCAGCCCCGAGAGGGTCCCCAGCAGATCCTCTTCCCGCGCGTAACAGTGACGTCGAAAAGTCCCCTCATCATGGCACCAGTCTTCTTAACGCTGGTCCAGGCATCGAAATGGACGCGGTCGAGCCTCGGTAGTTTGTCGAGGACGCCGCCTAGAAGTTTGCAGGAGAAGTCTTCGTAGAAGCCATCGGCCCTGCGGAATCCGTTAAAAACGCCATCGCTCGGATCGCATTCAACGAAGACTGTGAGTTTCTGGACCTTCTTGCAGTCAGCCAGACCCAGAGCGGGGTTGACGACCCAGCCCCGCGGAGGCTTACTCCAGCCAGGGCCCAGGCGCAACTCGAGGGAGGTGATGAGGCCCCTCTGCTTAGGAGTTAGACGGGCCAGGAGCGGCTTCTTGGTCTTGAAGAAACGGCCCGGGGACGTGGGGAACACGCGAAAGGCGCGGGTGCTGTAGAAGGTGTCCGAGGCTTCGCTGTAGATGGCTCGACAAACACGGAGGATTGCCAGCTTCTTATGAATGCGCTTGTAGTTATCCTGGTCGAGGTCAACTACTTCGCCAGCCTCTGCGAAATGGTAGCGATAGATCTTAACCCGAAGCTCCGATGGCAGATTCATGAATCGGAATGGTTTGGGGGTCCTCGCTTTCCCAGTCTTTGGGTGTTTGGTCCCGGCAGGCAAATCCTGGAGGGTCAATGCGCTGATGGGAATCTGAGCGACGTCGTCGACATCGTCCTCTGGATCCCATTCTGCCTCAGAGGCATAAGTGGAAGGGTAGGCCGAACTAAGGGGGGTCGAAAAGCCCGAATGGGGAGTCGAAAGGCCTGAATGGATCGGGGTCGGGAGGGCAGACGCGCCACTGGCACGAGACGTCTTGCTGGTCGTTCGGCGGGCCATTGTGTGCCAATTGTTTGACCAACTTGATAGTTCCTAGGTATGCCTGGAGAAGGGCCCAAGTTAGAAAGATGGGACATGATCGAAGAGCAGTTTACACACGTGTCGCGTGATCCGGATCTGGCACGAACCTCGAGTACTCCTCCCAAATACAGAAAACCTAAATCTACTGCAACCCGCGGCTCAAGTTGGAATACTACTCTAATGAGTGTTTGTAGGGATTAATAGCGAATGGCGGATCACGAATTGAATGGACGACAGGCTCGGATTGACGAGAAGACAGAACTCTGAGGGTGGTCCCATCGTGAGTGCTGGCAGCTTCAACGACAGGAACCACCCTTAGAATGCAGCACTTGCAACGGCCATGTTGGAGGTTTGGGCAGAGATTGGTGAGCAGTACATGTGAGATAATCGAAATGCTTTAAAGAATGCCCAAAGTCGAGAAGGGTGGAGAGTATTGAAGGGTGAAGAAGACGAGGATGGAGTGGGGGGAGGGGAGTTGGAATTGAGGGGAAAGGAAAGGCCGGCGGCGGAGTGCCATCCTGTCAGTCAGTCATCAGCAGGAGGGGCACGTGAGCCTAAACAGCCTGAGTTGCGGATCCACCCCCCTGCATGATTCCGGGCCAATGACGAAATGTTTGGAACCATCCAGCAGCGTTGGTCCGTGCACCGCGGACGAGGAACTGGAAAATTGGAGCATCCGAGCTTTTGCTATCAAATTTTGGTGACGAAAGTCAGGCAAGGAATTCTTCTCGTGTCGAGTGAGTGGGCTCTGTCGCATCTGGGGAAACCAAGGAAACCTCCGACAAGCTCACCAAGAAAGATCGAGCCAAGTCCTCCGATTGGGACTTATTTACTAGCATCATGCTGCTCCGAGCCGTTGCACGCTCGGCGCAAAGTGCGCGGGCTGTTTCTCTCACAAGATCAGCTGCACTATCCCGAAGGACCTTGCCGGCGACATGGAGTCGAGGCATGGCTAGTGACGACAAGTCACGATCATCCCGTTTTGCAAGACCACAGAATCCCACTCCCGAGAAGGCATCATCACATCCCTCGGCTGCGCCATCGTCTCCACAACAAGCTCCTGAGACTGGCACGGCCACGACGAAAGCTGGAGATAACGCTACCCCTGCCGAGACGCCTGATGATTCACCCGAGCAGCAACCAGACCTATCCAAGCTCCCAGATCTCACCCAGGGTATCCCCTCAACACTGGAATACGAGACCACCGGCGCGAGCAACCGATCCGCCTTGGCTGAGCTCGAGGGGGAGGAAGCATCGACATCGGGTGCCGGTGGCAGAGGGAAGGGGGAGTTGCCTGCTTCGGCATACATCTCTTCATCTGAGCGGAGGCGCCAAAGGCTCGCAAACTACATGTTTGCCACCATAGGGCTGTCTATTGTCGGTGGCACGGTTTACCTCGGGAGGGACTGGGACGAGGATGATCTGAAGAGACATCCCAACTCGCCCAATGGCTGGGGGCTGGGCCTCTGGTGGAACCGAGTCTCGACCCGACTCGGCGAGACTATGAGCTACTATCAGGAACCTGCCTTTGAGAAGCTGCTCCCCGATCCCGACCCTAGCTTCGAGAGACCGTACACGCTGTGTATCAGTTTAGAGGATATGCTTGTGCACAACGAATGGTCTCGCGAGCACGGCTGGCGTGTGGCGAAGCGACCCGGTGTCGACTACTTCCTGCGCTACCTCAGTCAGTATTACGAGCTGGTCCTCTTTACGACAGTTCCTTTTGCCATCGGAGAGCCGCTGGTGCGCAAGCTCGATCCCTTCCGCTTCATCATGTGGCCACTCTATCGTGAGGCCACCAAGTACAAGGACGGCGAGATCATCAAGGTAGGGACCGTTCTACGCCGTGGCATGATTGTCCAATTTCCCGCTAACCTCGCCGTTCACAGGATCTCTCCTACCTGAACCGTGACCTCTCCAAGGTCATCATTATTGACAGCAACGCGAAGCACGTTCGCGACCACCCCGAGAACGCCATCGTACTACCCCCGTGGAAGGGCGAATCCCAGGATAAGGAACTCGTAGGCCTTATTCCCTTCCTCGAGTACATCTACACGATGCAGTACGGCGACGTACGCAAGGTCATCAAGTCCTTCGACGGCAAGCACATCCCCACCGAGTTCGCCCGCAGGGAAGCCATCGCGCGGGCCGAGTTCAACAAGCAGCTCGAGGCACAGCGGGGCAAGGGTCCGGCCAAGGGCACCGGCGGCGGCCTTGGCATGCTTGGCAGCCTGCTCGGGTTGAAGCCCAGCAACATGAGCCTGATGGTGGCTCCCGAGGGCGAGGAGAACCCCACCGAGGCCTTTGCCAAGGGCAAGATGCTGCAGGACCTCGCGCGGGAACGGGGCCAGCGAAACTACGAGCTTCTGGAGAAGGAGATCCGCGAGAACGGGGAGAAGTGGCTGAAGGAGGAGGCCGAGATGCAGGAGAAGGCGCAGAAGGAGGCCATGAAGAGCATGCAGTCCTCTTTCACCGGCTGGTTCGGCCTGCGGCAACCAGAGAAGGGCGACGAAGCCAACCCGCCGCCAGCCGAGAAGAAGGACTGATCGCTCCATTTGCCCAGCCTTTCGGTATGTATCAATACTTGTTGACCCCTTTTTCCCCTTTCTTCTTCATCTCTAGAAATGGCCGGCACAGTCTTGGGCTGCGGTGTCTCATGTCTTTGAAATCTCCTCTTCGGTCGTGGAATTCCTTGCATCTGGGGGCATACGGGACGGTCATCGGGCTGTATAAAAAAGCTTCTATACATAATGTCTCAGATTGGCGGATACTCCTAGGGGCCATGTAGAATAGACGGTTGGGGTTGGAATCGCACCATGTCTTTTTTGTTGCCGTACGCGGTCTCCTCTGGCTCCGTGCTCCTTCCTGTGATATTAAGGCTTCGAGGATGGCTCTACCCGTGGCTTCACACGGCCAACTCGCGAGCACAGTTGAGGCTGGATACTTCTGACTCGATGCAATGCCAGGACCAGGCCCGGCCCGGGGACAAGGTTCTGCCTCACCATCGCCAGCGTTTTCTCGCCAATGGCCTTCACAGTTAAAACTCGTGTGCCTCTCGTTAGCGTTCCACACAGGAAACATCGCCCGGGACCAGGGCGGCTGGCTGTGACATCGCTCGGGCGGCGGGATATATCGCCTAGATAGTCTCGGTTCCTGTTGCCGTCGGCCTCTTCCGCTGTGATCCAATCGCGGAGTACAGCGGGAGAGAGCCTCGTCCTCGTCTCGATTATCCCTTCCGGGTTGATAGTAGTGTCGCGTACCTCCTGTGCCACGACGACACCTTGCCGAGAACCAGCTGCGCCGCCGAATAAAACCAAGGAGCAGGGGCCGAGAAGCGACAGTTGCAGCCAGATAGTACGGAGGAGGATCCATCTATATAAACTCGGCGACTCACATTCCATTGCTGCTCACTGACCGATCCACAGACAAGGCAAGGCAAGGCAAGACAAGACAAGACACCCCCATTCCAACACTCCCAAGTAAACATCTCCAAAAACCCACCCCAACCGACACACCCCGATACTCCTCCACACAACACCACCGTCTCACCATCAACAATGCACCTCCTCCGTGTCGCCCTCGCCGTCGCGTTAGCCGCGCTCGCCATGGCGGCACCGACCCATCGTGAAAGGAAGCCCGCCATCGCCTCGCGGGGCACTCTACCCCCCGGTTGCCCGGACTACTGCGACTGCTCCAAGTACAAGGACGATCCGGAGGGGTAAGTTATCGCGCCGGACATTTGCATTCTGCTTTCGCCTTTCCCTGTTGCGCATCCTGGAGACGAGCAGAGAGAGAGAGAAAGAGGTGGAGTTGGTTGGTTGACTTTGGCTTGTTGCGTTTAGGCTCTTCCAGTGTTCTACGAATCCGACGTGCGAGTACCTCGATTGCCATTGAACGCGCAGGGGTTTGGATCGGGGCAGATAGAATGGTGGTTTGGATGCTCGCGAAGGATGGAGGGAGTTAGATGGATCTGGGACGGGGCTTGGGGTTTGGGATTTTGGGATTTGGGATTTGGGATTTGGCTGAGCGACATACACATACAACTTCTATTCTTGTCTAGTAATATTTCAGGTTCTTGGGTTTGAAATTCCAGAGCTCTTCGGTGTAATTCAGCGGTAACCTACAGCCGTTCACCTCTGCCGACCTGCTCCTACTTGTTGAATGTTGGTTTCCAAGCTTATATATACTGTCAGTGTTGATGAAACAGGGAAGGAAATAATCTAGTAGACCAACATGACCACAACGGGGTATTCACACAAATATTAGGACACAGCAGGCACCCGAGCCTTCTTCTCCTCTCCATTCATCACCACCTTCGTCCCCTTGTTCAAACCTTGGTCCCTGGCAGCCTTCAGGTCTACCAACACGCGCTTCTCGACGTCGACTCCCACGGCAGAGAGCACGGCAATGACCCCGTAGGCCAGCGCGGCAACAACGACGACGAGGTCGAGGATGTGCACAATCCACCACAAGTGCTGCGTGCCGAGCAGGCACGTCGCGTACTCGAACCTCCACTGCCACGTCTCGCGGTCGAACCAGACGCTGAGCAGGCCCGCGTTCCCGCCAAAGTCGCCCATCATGCTCCGCACCGTGATCTCCCTGATGCCCGGGTGCCCCTCTCTGCCGACGATGCCTCCGTCGCCGGCGGCGGCGCGCCACGCCCGCGCCTCCCACGCCCGCTCGCTCGACGACTGGTTGACGAAGTGCCACGTGTCGCACCCCTCGTGGTCGTGCCCGTTGAGGATCACGCCGGGCCGGCCCCGGCCGCCCGCCGGCGCGCCCGGGTTGCCGCTCATGCCGTAGATGCCCTCGAGGAAGCCGCGGCTGGCATCGGCGCTGAGCTGGTTCTGCTCGCGCAGCGTGCCGTCGTGGTCGTGGAAGGCGAAGTGCGGCTCGTCGGCGCACACGCCCGCCGGCTTGTGCAGCGGGACGTGCGTCAGCACGACGGTGAAGTGGCCCGTGTACTCGACCGCCGACGCCGTGTTGATGATGGCGTTGACGAACCGGTACGTCGCGTCCTGGAGCTCGCTCGAGAGAGCCGGCGTGTCGAGGTTCATGTCGTTGAGGACCACGACGCGCAGCTCGGGCGTCAGCCGGTGCGAGTCCGCGTCCGCGCCTGTCGTCCCCGCTGCTGTCGTCGCGGTCGACGCGTTGTCGTTGTCGCCGGCGGCGGCGACAAGGGGAAGCTCAAACCGCAGCTCGTAGTTCGCCTTGCCAAAGGCCCGCTCGAACCGCCCGAGCCGCTCCTCGTTGATGTCACCCGCGTACCCGATGTCATGGTTCCCGGCCACATTGACGATGCGCCTCTCCCACGCCGCCGCCTCGTCGTCGTCGTCGCCGCCGCCGAGGAGGCCGGCCAGGTCGTAGTCGTCGGCCGGGGCGCGCGCGACGTCGTCGGGCACGCGCTCGCCGCCGCGGAAGACGCGCGCCCAGAAGCGCTCGCTCCGGCGGTCGAACTCGGCGTCGTCGAGCCACTGGCTGCCGACCAGGTCGCCGAGGACCGAGACGTGGGTCGGGCGCGCCCACCAGCGCACCGTGCGGTAGATGTGGGCGAGGTAGAAGTCGTTGCCGAACAGGTCGATGCGCTTGCGGATCGACTCGAGCGTGTTGGGGATGTCCTCGAGGTAGAAATCGACGCTGTCGTGCAGGCTCTGGCGCACCCGCTCGCGCAGGCTCCGGTGGTCGGATTGGAAGGTCAGGTGCGAGAAAAGGGTCCAGAGGTGTGGGAACGACTGGCCGCGCGCGTTGGGGATGGAGGTGTCGCCCTCGAGTTGGGGATCGCCGAGGGCAAGGAGACGGAATGGCGCAAGCGGCCTGTTCCCGTTGCTCTTGGCATTGTCATGGCCGCCGCGCAAGGGAGCGGGTACCGCAAAGGGCGAATGCAATGCCGCCGTCTCGAGGAAGGCGCCCAGACCTGTGTCGACCCCGTCGGCGAGCGGAAGGGGGAAAGCGCACGTCTGGAAGATGGGATAGAGGTAGAGGTAGACGGTGAGCGCTACCGACAGCGGAGCCAGGATTCGCAGGCCATTGCGAAGAATCGCGACGGGGGAAATTTGGGTCATGTAGATGGCCGCATGAGGCGAGATCGCTCTCCTCCTGTAACCTATGCCTTGTGGAAGAATCGCTGCTCGTCGGAGGGGGAGAATTGTTGTTGATGGCAGATAAAATTTCCCGAAGGCGGCAGCACGGACAGGGGTTCGCCACGCTACATCGGACCCCTTAAAGCCCCCTGAAACTGCGACTTTCGGATATTTATCGCTTTGTCATTCTTCCTCTGCACACATAATTTCTATGCAACGCCGAAGAATATATTTTCACCTACCCGGGTGTTTTTGTGTCGGAAATCTAGAGGTTCTAATTCTGAACCACCAAGCATGCTTCGACGGAAAAGGGCGTCATAGTAGCCCCATTTATTTAACATATTCGGCTTCTGCGGAGTTGATCTTGATGCAATACCTCTATCGGTTTTATCTTGATATACTTCCATCTATTGGATAGTTGATGGGTCAACCATGGCCCCTGTTCAACTGCATACATCCCGTAGTGGTGTCTCTGGACTGCAGATAGAGAGGTGGGTAGGTAGGCATGATACTCGCAGCAACGGTCCTTTACCCTATGGGTGACCTGACAACCTCCAAAAGAAGACTCTAGCCCTATTAACAGGGGAAGGGTCTCTTCCAAACTTCCATCCCTGGCTCGTCGCTGAGCATGATGAGGTTGTGTTGAGCAGCTGGGCCAGAACCAGCCGGCTGTAGCCTGCATGGGAGTATTAAGGTCGTAGGATGTGAGCCTGTGGTTTCGTGGCCCGCACTTCCCAGAAGCCCTTGGTGTCGAAACCAAGATATCGTAGCAACAGGAAAGAGGAACCACTCCAAAGGAACACTCATCCCTATGCCCCATCATAGTCGTCCTCCAACTGAGGCCACTCCACCTCGAACTTCACGTTCTCATCCGTCTCGTCCGCATCTTGCAAGGCGAAAGCCACCACACAGCTCTCCTTCAGCCCCTTTTCCACAGGGGTGTCCTTCTCCAAGATCCCAAGGTTCCGCCAGCCCTGCGAGGGGTCACTCTGGTTTTTCATAAGCGCATAGGAGATGCGGACGCTCTCGTTGGAGTCGGGGATCGGTGTGGTCTTTGGCGGCACCTTTGAGGTAGTCAAGCCATCTGGGTATCGCTCCCGAATAGTGTCTAGGAGCTCCTCGGTGATCTTGGAGAATGGGGCAAGGGGGTCGATGATCATGAAGATGGTGTGGATGCCATGCTTGAGACGGATGGTGATGTCCACATCGTCGGGCTGCCCTCGGGCGTTTCTTGCCTGGAGAAAGCCAATGTTAGGAAGTATACCTAGTCAAGTCTCGAAATATGAAGGGTTGGGCAAGGGTATAGGATGTCTGATGAGCTGCTTGTCAAATCCGACGCGTCTTGGCCAACGCGTCTTGCATGAGTTTGGATGGGGGCGGGCTAAGGATTGGGAAGGCAGGTTGTACCATTTTGTTTTGCAACTTTGTTTCCGGTAAGAGAATGACTCGCTAGGCTGCGCTGCTGTGCAGTATTGTCAAGCTTAGTTCACTTGTTGCTGGTATTGTGCGCCGAGGAGTTGGCAGGAAATCCCGATGTTCGAAGTGGGATGGACAAGGTGGGGCAGAGGATCTGAGATTCACAGGGTGGGTGGCCGCTGCCTGGGAGCTTGGGCCACTCTCAAGGGGAGGAAAACTTGCACCCCTAAATTGACATCTCCAGCTGGAGCAGTTTCACGCAAGCAGCAAGCAGTTTCCAGTATTGCCATTGCCAATTGCCCAACGTTGGTTTGCCCAAAATGACAACCGAACCATCGATTAAAGAATCCTCTCGCCCAAGTCAAGCCCAAATCGATGAATTGCGCCGGAACTCGCGCCTCGCGATCCCGGCTCCTCTGCGGATTCCCCTAGCCTCGACCCTGTCATTCGTGATCGGGCTGGGCCTAGGGACGACCCAGGGCAGCAAGATGACTGGTCTTCGATTCCGCGCCGAGCACGCCCACAAGCTTCCCACCACGACAACTGGCTGGTTCCTCTACCACAAGAGCAAGAACTACCATGTGGCATTTGGCGGCCTGCGAGAAGGTCTGCGGATGGGAACCAAGATCTGCTTCTGGACTACAACAATGTTCAGTATCGAGCACATGTTCGATACTTACCGGGGCCAAACGGATCTCGTCAATACCGTCCTCGCCTGCGTCTCTGTAGCCGGCGGCTTCAGCCTATGGAGTGCGTAGACATGGTCGCTATCAACATATCCTTACCTCGAGCTGCGTAACTAACCTTTGTTCTCCCTAGATCGGTTCTCCCTGCCAATGGCGGCCCGAACTACGAAGACTGCGCTGGTCGTGGGACTTGTTTATGGGGGCCTACAAGATCTAGCGGGCGCTGCCAGGGGCCGGCCTATCGGATATGTCGAATTCGTCAAGCGACGGTTGGGAGGCCAGAAAGACGAAGGGACGGAATCTGCATGAAAGGGGGTTATGCTCCTCCCAACTCACCGCAACACCCCCCCCCCCCTCAATTTCCCAACTGCTGCTCCATCAACCTAGGCTTCATGGGCCCCCTCTTCTTGGAAAGGGACAGCTGAGCCGAGAGCGTGAGGTGCCAGGTGCGGATCAGGATCGCCCTTTTTCGAAGGTTCTCCGACTGCGGATGGTGGTTGAGAGCAGGGTCCAGACATTCGCGCACGCCACCTGCCTTCTCACCGAGGGACATCGACGAGATCGGCCAGGCACAATGTGCATTGCGAAGTTTCCTTGGCGTCTGGTCCTCCCATTACGTCAGCGCCGACTTGAGCCGCATTAGGTCATGCTATCAGATGTCAGGCCCGTTAAGCCGCCATGGAGCTCCAATGGCAGCAGGATACCCCCACGAATCCTTATGCCCTCGTCCCACTGCAAGCCGAGCAGATAGGGGAATTGCCGGCCGCTTGATCGATGCCCCCACATTCTTCCGCAAATCCCTTTATCTGCGCTGGCGGCTGAGTTTGATAACGGAGGTCAAGCTGCCAATCTGGGCTGTGGTGAGCGGCTAACGCCGGCTGTCACAACCCCACGTGATTCACTGCTGGAGCAGCCTCGAACTTGACGGGAACCTGAGAAGGTTGATGTGATTGTGGGCAGCTGCGACCCTCGGAGGCGCCCATTGAAGTCCATCTCAAGAGTGAATCCTGGCTAGTAGGTACTTGTACCTAAGGTAGATTCGCTCTCCATTACAATACAATATCCTGCCCTCCCACCTTCATCTGCCCTCCTCCATCCGTCGACATCGTAACCTGGTGATAATCGTCATAGATACTGACAACCATGCCTCTGGCATGCAGAATACCCGCCACCGGGCGAGTCTTCTATAGGACCATTGGAATACGACCAACTGCAGCTGGGACGCTCCTGCCTCATTTCTCACCCGAGGGATTTGCTCCCCAACCTCGGCCGGGACAGATCCAGACCAACCATGTACATCTCAGGATGGCATCAACCGGATCAAGACGGGGCATTCACGCGTCCTCGGGGAAGTCATCGCCACCCGATAGCCTCAGCATTGGTTCTCTACCCGACGCCTTGTCAGCATCCGCGGAGCTGCCGCCATCAGATATGAAACGGCCAGGCCCATTGGCCATGCTGCCTCTGACCACCATCATCCGCTCACTTGTTACCACAACAATCTCATCCTCGCCGCTATTACTACCTCCCTCACTGGCCATAATGACAGTATTGGCCCACACCACAAATCCATTCCTCAATCCGGACCGAAACCCCGCGCTCAAGTTCATCCTCAAGAAAACCTTCTACGCCCAGTTCTGTGCTGGCGAGCAGGCCGCCGAGGTCCACCACACCATTGACTCGCTCAAGAATATTGGCTTTAGCGGCGTCATCCTCGGTTATGCGAAGGAAGTCGTCCTCTCCGAGGACCAAACCAAGAACCTGGCATCGTGCGGTCAAGGAGCTGCCGCGGAAGAGTGTATCCGGGCCGAGATAAGCTCTTGGGCCAGGGGCACTATGGAGACAGTTCTTCTGGTTGCCCCAGGGGACTTTGTTGCTCTGAAATTCACTGGTGCCGGCCGCCAGGCACTCTTCGACCTCGCTCATCGCCATCCGCCCACGGAAGCACTCGCCGATGCCATAGACAGCGTCTGCCGCCTCGCCGCTGCTCGAGGTGTCCGTCTCCTGTTCGACGCGGAACAGCAGGCCGTCCAGGCCGGCATCGATGACTGGACGCTCGAATACATGCGCAAGTACAACACGGGCGGCAAGGCTGTCGTCTACGGCACCTACCAGGCCTATCTCAAGGCGACTCCCACCACGCTGGCACACCATCTCGCCGCCGCGCTCGAAGAGGGCTTCGCACTTGGCGTGAAGCTCGTCCGCGGCGCCTACCTTGGATCGGACCCACGACACGTCATCCACGACACCAAGGCCGACACGGATGCCGCCTACGACGGTATCACCGAGGCGCTGCTGAGGCGACGATGGGTGTGGCCATTCGCGGAGCCCACCAACAACGCCGGTGCCGTGGTCCTGTTCCCGGACGTCAGCCTGGTCCTGGCGTCGCACAATCGTACGTCGGTCCGCAAGGCGTGCGACATCCTCCGCGGCGGCCGCTGCGAGCCCGGCACCGAGGTCTCGTTTGCGCAGCTGCAGGGCATGGCGGACGAGGTAAGCTGCGAGCTGGTTTCCGGGTCCAAGGCGCCTGCCGACGTCGCTGCCGGCGACGGTGCCGAGGCTGCTCTCAGGCGGGACCAGGACCTCAAGGCCTACAAGTATCTCGTGTGGGGATCGACCGGGGAGTGCATGAAGTATCTACTGCGCCGGGCGCATGAGAACCGCGAGGCTGTGCAGAGGACCAGGAGCGGGAGAGATGCGATGCGTGTGGAGCTTTGGAGACGCGTGAAGAGCGTTTTCGGTATAGGCGCCTGAAAAGAGGTTGTCGAGGGAGGTGGAGCTGAGGACGGAGGAATGATACCATTGGCGAGCCCTGGTTATAGAGAGGTCTGATGATTTGAATAGACTCTAGACAGGGAGAGGGCGGCATGACTGACGACAAGATATACCTAATGAAGCCGGAGGCTACTAGCACCATGACGAGACACCAGAACTGCAACTGCATTTCCCTATAATAATTCTATGCCAAGTAAATCGCCCCCTCTCCAGGTTCCATGCCCTTCATAAACGCCAAACAATATGCCAAAACGCCACATTAAACTCCCTCCCTCCCCCCTGAGAAACTAGACATCACAACCCCCTCAATGCCATCGCCCCCAAGACAAGCGCCTCCGCCTCCCGCACCCGCCTGTCGTCGTCTTCGTCGTTATCGTTGCCCCCACCGGGCCGACCCTCCAGCGCCGGCGCCCCGTTCAGGCGGTAGTACTTGCGCACGCGCGCCCAGTCGGTGCAGGGGCGGATCTCGGCGTCGGAAAGCGGGACCGGGCGGCCGGCTACGTGCGTGGATAGGTGGGCGGCGACTGTGGAGGCGTCCCCGGGGGCGGGCGATGAGGAGGAGGAGGAGGAGCACACTTTTATGGCGATGAGGTTGCGGGTTGTGGGGGTTATGCCGTAGCGGCGGTAGGCTTCGGCGATCTGGATGGATGGAGGGGGGTTGGTTAGTTGAGACGAAGGGATGGTGGGGGGGAGAGGTGGTGGGGTGCGGGTCGCGTACGTTGTTTGAGGCGCTCAGCGAGCAGACGATTTCGGAGTGGACGTTTGGGGTCTTGAGGGTGCCGTCGAGGAGGACGGTTAGGGCCTTGTAGGTGGCGGCGAGGACGTGGGAGCGGGAGATGATCTGTCTCGGGCCGGGCATTGGGACCAGGGTCAGCGGGCGTGGGGATATTCGGGGAGATAGGTGTGCGGGCAGGGGCAGACTCACGGAGGATGCGTCGATGAAGGCGTACTCGAAATCGCTGTTTCGCGCGAGCAGCTGCGACTGCAGGAAGTCGGCATTGGTCACATCCCTGAAGAAGGCGGCGTAAACCGTGTGCGTCGCGGGCACGTGCTCGAGGTGGATGGTCTCGATGGCCATTGTGTCTCGTTTCCTTTGCCTGCTGGGAGGGGGAAGGCTGAGAGTGAGTCAGGAAGCAAAATCGATTTTGCTTCCGTTTTTTCTGCGATGCTGCAACGAGGGGTAGCTCCAGTGTCTGTCCGGTTTCGTGGCGGGGTGATTGATTGAAGATTGGAATGTGGGGCCGTCCCGCAGCACCCCCCTTGGAGACCGTTGGGCATGCTGCATTGTGTGGTTATTGGTACGGATTAGTGAAGCTGCATTCCACCTGCCTACTCCGCAGGATAGGTAATAGAGTCGACGTCAGCTAGACCATTCTATCATGCTGGGCAATATCGAGATCAGATGAGGAGATTCGAGGTCAAGCACACAGAAACAAATCGGCTGCTGGAAGCTTAAAGACAATGACAAACAATGAACAGTCTGCCACCGTCTGGCATCACGCAAATTCATCGAGGCAAGGACCACCGTTTCCCATCTCCCGTTTCCCTTTCAGCAAGCGCCCCTGGTGATCGAATGGCCGAGAGGGAGATCCTCAGATTAAATGCTTGCTTCAGACGCATATCTTTTTAACCAAGGGGAAGCTTGACCAACCGCCTGCCAGATGATGATGTGCGTCCATGCTTCCCAGCACGGCATTGCCATGACTCCCTCCTATAGGGTTACGGAACTCCAGGTCACCTATCTTACCCACTGTGATATCACTCCGTATCATTCTACACAGACAATGGGGGGAAACGATGGACGTGTCATTCTGGCGTGTTGCTACCACTTCACAGCTGGCAAGTGATAAAAAGACAATGATGACCCAACTAACAATAAGGTTTGGTTGGGGAGATGGTGGATGGGCAAGGGTGCCAAATAACATGAGCAGGGGGCTGCAAGTACTGGCTACAATGTGCCCGGGCCTCTGTTACTTGCCAGCCTCAAATATGCTCGAGTCCTGGCACTGGTACCTAACTAACAACTCCATTGGAAGAAGAGAACAATTATTTTCCCGACTGCAGGGTATCTGTACATACTTACTACCGGGGTAGGTACCTAGGTATGTACGATTGGTTATTTTAAGGATGCCCAGATATTCAACGTTCACGAGGACATTTCCCAACTTCTGTCTGCCCCCTTTCCATTCGCTACTGTGTTCGTACGGTTTACACGCATGGATATTTACCGATGCGAGTATCCTCCCAAGTTGCATTGACAAGCCCGAATGGCTGTCGCCAAGCACCACTAATTTCCAGGCGGCCCTTCCATGACGGGGCCACCCCAAGTTCTAACGGCAAACCCCGTGATCCCGACTGACCTCCCTCGAGCTGCCACCGCATCACATCACATTTTCCAGCGACCGCGTCGCCAACACGACTTGACACTCCAAAGGCCGCCGGCGTCAGCCCGGCACAGACAGCAATAAGAGCATCGGCCATATTACTGTCACAATGCCTCCCGGTCGACCTCCCAAGCGCCTCAGCGATGCTGAGGAGAGCTTGTCCGAGGGCACTTCGGCTCTCCAAAAAGTCAAGCTGCCTCGGCTTGAGCGTGGGCCCGAGGACTTCTCCAGCGTCGTCAAGAGCAAACTTTCAACGTACACACGGACGGGCCAAGCATGCGACCGATGCAAGGTGCGTATTGTTTCCCTATCGGTCTTTTACTGCCCTGTGTCCACGATGCTGACCCATTCCACCTTTTTCCAGGTTCGAAAGATCCGATGCGATGCGCTACCCGAAGGCTGCTCCCACTGCATAAGCCAGAGCCTCGAATGCTATGTCACTGATCGAGTCACGGGCCACACCCAGCGCCGGGGCTATATGCAACAGCTAGAGCGCGAGAAGAGCGACATGCTGACGCACATCCGCGACCTGGAGAAGTTGCTGGATACAAATGGGATCGAGGTGCGCCCGTGGCAGTGGTCTCCATTCGGTACAGCATACGGCCCCGGCGTCACATACGACAGCCTTGGAAACCCGGTTCAAGACCCGACATGCAAAGACCAGTGGACGCAGATGGGATCCGTCTGGTTCAAGGACGGCCAGAGGAAGAAGACCCAGAAAGACCCGAGCCACAGCTCGAGATATTTGCTGCTAGAAAACCGCCCAACCAAGAGCTACCTTGGCGTCACATCAGATAATGCACCTCTGAGCTCCATCAAGGGAACGACCCTGTCCGTCCTGGGCACGACCATCGACATCATGTCCTTCGACGCGCCGGACATGGACGAACCTCCGCCCGGCACTCCGATCGGCTCTCCGCTGTACAATAAGTCTGTCATGGCCTTCCTGCAATCCACACTAAACGTCAACCCTCCTCCCGAAAACGTCGAGCTCCCTTCACGACAAGATGCCTTCACCTACTCGGAATGGTACTTCCTAATGGTGCATCCCTTCGTACCGATACTACACAAACCAACATTCTTGAACCTCGTGAGCAGCTACCTCCCCTCGCAGTCAACTAACGGGCTGACCAGCTCGCTCCCCACTACGGTTCAAAGCTAACTGATACTCCAGTTAACCCAAATCTATGCTGATCCCCCCGGAAAGCCGACCATCCCCGAGATGGTCATGGTTCACATGGTCTTCGCGACCATCTACTTCCAGTACGGGATCCGAAATCGAGAAGAACCCGAGAAGCAGACCCAGTTAAACGATCTGTCGAACAAACATTATCATTGGTGTCTGAGCAAGTTCTTTGATATCGTCACATCTCAGACAGTGTCGGCTGTGCAGGCTCTGACCATGATCGCCGTCCACACTCGGAGTTTCCCCAAGCCTGGCTGTTCTTCTATGGTCGCCAACCACGCTCTCACCAAAGCTATCGAACTCAATCTACACCGGGCCGTCCAGATTCCCGGCGGAGGAACGAACATAGACAACGAGGTCCGCAAGAGAGTCTGGTGGAGTGCGCTTGGCCTGGTTGTGACCCTCAATGGCCGTCTTGGCAGACCAATGCCCATCACGTTAGAGGAGTTCGACGTCGAGTTCCCCTTGGTAATCCCAGACGAGTATCTCTCCGAGGAGGGCGTCATCGACTCGTCCAAGATCGGTCAGAGCAGTACCATGGTCGGTATGGTGGGCTTCAGGGTCGTCCCCCTCTACCTGGAGTTGTATTCGAACATCTACAGCGTCCGGCGCGATCCGAGGAAGTACGTCAAGGTCGTCCGCAGGCTTGAGGAAGGCATACGGTCGGTCCAGGACAACTTGCCGGACGAGTTGAAGATCGAAAAGTGTAAACAGGGGAGTCAGGTGTTTGCGCTATACACGCAGGCCTTCTGTCTGGAATTCTGGCTCTGCCTGAGACACCCGTCCGTCTGCATCACGGATGATCCCAAGTTCTGTGCAGAGAACACAAGAGTCTGTGAGGAGACCGCCAGGAAGCTGCTCAAGGTGGTGGGCGAGCTACTCAGAGTCAAATCTCTCGACACGACGTGGTACCAATTATCGGTCTATATTGCCGCGATATTCACGACCTTGGCAGCACATTGGGAAAGGAGATACGAGACGACACCATATGAAATTGCCACGCTGAGGGAGGAGATGAGGACGTGGATGAGCATCGTGTACGAGATTGGTCGTCTCCTCGGTAGGCTACTTTTCCCCTTTCCCCTTTTGCCATTGCCGCGATATATGCATGCTCATACTAACAACTTGTCAGGTACCGGTGCTCGGCTAAGTAACGAGGTCAGCGCCGTCATTGACCGGACTATTGCCTGGATCGAGCAGGACATGGTCCGCAAGGATAGTAACACGCCCAACCAACATGCAGCGCCGTACATGCGGCAGCAACCCCAATCCCCATTCCAACAAACCAGCCACATAAAATCCCAGCCCAACGATGCTGTTTTAGCTAACGGCAACGGCAACGGTACATCCAACGAACAGCGAAACAGCAACGACAACAGCAACAGCGCGTACTACGACTCCAGGCTGACGGCACCGACCGCTGCGGCAGCCTACCCGTCCTCCCTCTCATACGCCGACCAATCCACTCCCGCCGGCCACGGACAGAGCAGTAGCGGGCTCGCAGGGCCTGGCTCGTACGACCATGCCGACAGCGCATCGTACCTCTACGCGGCCTCGGCGGCAGCGGTCGACCAGACCGCCGCGGTCACGGCAGCGCAGAACCCGTCGATATCGTTCGCCTCCGAGGTGTCCCAGGCGACGGCGGGGGTCTCATCCAGCGGCCAGGCCGGCTCCGGCAACTGGAGGACGCAGCAGCAGCAGCAGCCCCAGGTGGCGGCGGCGGCTGCGGCGCTCATGGGACAACAGCAGCAGCAGCAGCAGCAGCCGGGCAACAACCCGTGGCACGACTGGACGGCCGCCATCGCGGACAGCCAGACGGATCGGTACAGCGCCAACGCGCTGCTCAACCTCGGTGCCGGGCGGGCCGGCGACGTGGGCGGCATCGGCGGGGCGGTGAATATGGGCGACGGCTCGGATATGAGCATGGGCGGCGTGGGGGTTGGTATTCCCGGTGCTTCGGTGCCTCAGACTGGCCAGTGGCCGTTGCTGTTGTTCAATGATGGACCGCCGGCGGCGAGTGGTCCTTGAGTGTGCGATTGGTGTTGCCGTTCTCGGTGCCTCCTCGCTTGCCAGGTTGAGGCGTGGACTCGGGTACCTGCCAATGGTACGGCATCGGGGACTGCAGTGGCTGGCATGGGCTTAAGTCTGCCTGGCGGTGGAAGATTATGGGGCGTCGATTTATTGTTTGTTTACATTGTACTTCTACGTTCTTCGCTTCTGGAAGTTTCAAGGACAGGGGCCTCTTCGAAACGACGCGGCGCCGGTCATATCAAAGGGAGGATCGTCAAAAAGAGGTGGGGGAGGGGGGCGCAGAGGGAGTCGAGGAAACCGGGAAACTTATTTTGGGGGCTTCTACTTTCCATCTCTCGCTACCCCTTTTTCAAGCCGGAGGTGGTGGGTACCCTGGGAAGGCCCTTTGCATAACAGTTGGCGTTTTTGCGGTGATTTACGGGGGGCGATACTTGTAGGTTTATAGGTAGCATTCTTCGACACCTGGCATATATTTAATGGGGAGCTGCGACTTGAAGCTTGTCGACTCTACTTGGAGCTGCCTTTGAACCTGGAGGTTGTGTTGTTGGAGTGATGTCAGGGTTGAGCAGTCGATGAAGTTAATCCAGGTTAGACTTGTCGGTGTCGAAACGTCTGCGTCATCAAATGCTGCTGTCGGTCGCCGAGTCGATCGGAAATCCCGACTGACAACGGCCGACATTAGGGCCACCCATGAAGGAAGAGGGGGAAATAACACAAAAAAAGTAAAGAAAAAGGAGGTGGCGACCAGCTAGCCTGAAACCCCCCGACGACAACCGAGAGGCAAATAATCTTCAGTGCAGAGAAACGTGTCATCGGACAATAGGAGTTGAGTGTTATTTCGGAGTGTACCACGGCAAATAAAATGACCACACCATCTCTGATCCGTGATTGGTGGCGGCGAGCCCAACTGTGCGCAGTACCGAGTGGAGAATGGGGGTTTGGGTTGGCGCCGGATATGTTCCGGCAAGTCCGGACTGCCGGGTAGTAACCGGTATCTCCCCGGAACCGGGGAGATACGCGGGTCTCATCTCTAACATGTGGACATCGAGGTTGATAGTGGCAGACTTTATTATCTTAGTTAAACTGGTTGAGAGCATAGAGCTCTGGTATGCTAGAGTGCCTTGCTTCCTCAAATAATGCGTATATACCCGACTGTTGGTGTCAAAGAGAAAGAGCCAAGCCACAAACACCAGGTCTCCTCTGATCCAGCATCGTCAGCCGCCGCCATGCCCTCAGCAACCATTGTCCCTGTGGCCCCTGTGGTCGAAGCTGATAGCAAACTGACCATAACTGGCATCACACCGACACCAGAGCGGCTAACAAATGGACAATCCAAAGGGCGTCAACTGGATGCGAAGCTACTGGGTCTAAATCCCAATCTGATCACGTCATACCCGACACACTCGCTTGACTTCCTCAAGAAGCTCAGGGATCAAGGCGACAAGCAGAATGGTTTACGGCAGCAGACGCGTCCCATACCCCAGGCAAAGCTGCGAATGGATATTGTGGTCGTCGGCGCAGGACTTGGCGGTCTCGCAGCGGCCATTGCTCTAGCTCTGAGAGGCCACTCCGTCACGGTGCTAGAGCAAGCACCTGCTCTCGAAGAGGTACGTGACAAATGCCCCACCATGGTACGAAAGAGGAAGACTCAGAAAACTTACTCGGCATTGCATCAAGGTCGGCGCCGGCATACAAATCCCTTCCAACACCAGCCGTCTGCTCTGGCGGTGGGGCGTCTTCGAGCACTTGGATGAACTCGCGGTGAAGCCCAACTGCATCAACTTCCGTCGCTGGGAGAACGGCGCGGTCATCGGACATACGAAGCTCGAGCCTGATTTCCAGCAGAACTATGGTGCGCCTTACTATGTCGCCCACCGTGCTCACCTCCACCGGGCACTTTCGGAGCGGGCGGCTAGCCTAGGAGTCGCGGTGCGGCTCAACAGCCGCGTAACCAAATATAATGCCGAGAGCGCCTCAGTGACGTTGTCTGATGGAACGGTGGTTAGGGGCGACCTCGTGGTTGCTGCTGATGGTATGTTTTGTTTTGGACAATCAAGACTGGCATAGTTGCTCGAAGAGTAGTGACCAAATTAACGTTTATCCCATACAGGAATCAAGTCGCTTGCACGAGATACTTTGCACCCCAACACGGCGGCTCAGCCGTCGTTCACCGGTTTTGCAGCCTACCGCGCCACTGTCGATGTGGAGAAGATGAAGGCCGACCCGTCTCTGCTCTGGCTCCTGGAGAAGCCATCTCTCAATGTCTGGTAGGTTTATCTGAAAGGACATAAATCTGCCATATGATATTTGGGTAAGATGAGATACTGACATGCGTGGTAGGATCGGGGAGAACAGGCACGTCATGACCTACACCATGGCAGGGGGGAAGTCATTCAACATGGTTCTGTCGCATATTGACCATTCCGACCCGGCAACGTGGAAATCAGAGGGCGTCTTGGAGGACATCAAGCGAGAATTTTCCGGATGGGACAGCCAGTAAGCACCAATGCCTCTCAGCAACTGTTCCACCGTTCGCTTAGCTCACATTGTCCCAGGTTGATGAGCATCATCTCCCTCATCGACGCCTCCCTGAAATGGCCGCTCCGCAGCGGCCCGTGTCTCGACAACTGGGTCGACCGGTCGTCCCGCCTCGTGATCCTGGGCGACGCCGCACACGCCATGGTGCCGTACATGTCCCAAGGCGCGGCCATGGCGATGGAGGACAGCGGCGCCCTCGCGTACGTGCTGTCGCAGATCTCGTCGCTCGGGGAGCTCCCTTTCGCCCTCCGCACCTTCCAGGACGAGCGCATCAGGCGCAGCGGGGAGATGCGCGAGGCGAGCTTGGTCAATGGCCTGATCTGGCACTTCCCGGACGGGCCCGAGCAGGTGGCCCGGGATGAGGCGATGCGGGCTGAGGTCGACGGTGTGCCCTTTGTGAGGAGCGCAAACCAATGGAGTGACCCTGTGACGCAGTCTTGGACATATGGATATGATGCCGAGGAGGCGATGGGACGGCGGTGGGATGAAGAGATCAGCAAGCTTATCGTACAGCGTTGTCAAGAGTAAGGGTCATTTAGAGGCCTTGTGGTCTGTGAGTAATGCGTCTTGTTGGCTATGTATATTGCTAGCGGTGGCTTGTCCTTGCAAACTTTGGTCATAACTTGAATAAATATTCCCGTTTCGCACGTCATATGCCCAAAATCCCGTGAGACATATTGGAAAGGAGAGCAGGTCCTGCCACTATTAATATGTAGGAAAAGTAAACCCACCAACCCACCAACCGAGATGTAGCCCATTATTAGTTGGTTGATTAGTGAGAAGAAAAGCAAGAGCACCGGGCAAAGAGGGTGAAGAGGATTCTGGATTTGAAGAGGTCGGAGAGGATAAACTGGGGGGAAGAATGGAGCAAGAGGCTAAGTCTGGATATGGGAAAAAGAAAAGGGCATAATATGTATAACCCTGAGACTCCAGGATTTCTTACCCTGCCCAGGCCCCTTTCCATCTTGTGAGATCATTCGATTGAACTATCTGGGGGAGAGGAACCGCAGTGTTGATAGATGTACTAGCTTGATACTTCATTCATGACAGTTCATCGTTGCACTCGATATAGTATCATTCATGTACCTGCATATGTCTAGAACTATTAAAAACCACGGGGGAAAACCGATCCATGCACTACCGCCCCCACTGATACACAATCTCGCTATGCGTCAGGAGGAACCCACTCGTTGTCTCGAAGGTGCCCATGTACATGAAGCGGCATGTTTAGAAAATCAAGATCGGTCAGATCCATAAATTCGCTCATATCCATGACCCCCGGCGTTGTTTGGCTTTGGGCTAAGACACTTAGCAATTCTGTTGTTGCCTGCCCATCGCCAGGACCGCTATGGCGTGTCTTATCCTGGGGTTCACCTGCGCCAGCGAATTGGGGTGATGTACTATAAACTGTGTATCTATAGTGTTAGCTTCAGACGCAAATCAACAGCAGATATATCGAAGGGGCAAGACAGGGGGGTGAAACATCCTTACACAATGAATCTAATCTGGAGGCAAGGGCCGAAATGTACTTGGCACACTTCTCCGTCATGCGATTTCCCCTGTCAAGCAGCAGCAGAGACTCAATGGCCTGCTGAAGCTGCGCTCGTTGAACTTGAATGTCGCCCTCGGGGAATGGCATGCTCCGAGATTCTGCGTCATGGCGGATCAGGAGGCCAGAATAGATCACAAGGGCGGCGTTAAAGGCTAGTGCATTCGAGATTAGTTCGCGTTCCTAATTATCGGTGAGCCACGAGATGTCAGGAACATACTGTAGTAGAGAGAGAACCACCAGGCGCCGAGGTGTCGCTGTGAGTCCCCAGAGCGAATGATATGAGCCATCAGCTCGACGATGTGAACTGCCGACTGGATACATGTGCGCAGGCTGTTTGACCCGACTTGCCGCAAGCTGCTGGTATGCACGGGCTGAGACGCGTGATCGCCCACCGCTTCCAGGAACCTGTGCAGGACAGGGCGGTGGGCGAGCACGCGCAAGTTCAGGTATCTCAACGTCAGGATCACCCGAAAGCGTGATATTTCGGGATTCTCCTGGCCGCTCTGGACGGCCATGTCTGCAGGCTGGACCAGGGTGACGGATGGGGGTAAGGACATCTGCCACTGCAAGAATTTCTGTTCAATGCGAAGGAGGTGAGAGGCAATGTCGAAGACGTTCTGTGGCGAGTCGCAGCCTAGGTTACCACCGTAGAGACTGTCCAGGACGGTCCACATTATTTTGTAAAGGTCGCTGTGAGACCCATGAGCTGTTGAACTCTGGGGCGGAGGACCGTGGATGGGACACTCACATTGTCGAGTTATAGAAGGCTAAGCTGTCATCGCCGGACACATCACCTCCTGGCACGTCGGTGTCAAAGTTCGCAGAACTGATGAAAGAGAGACAGCGAGGCATATCTAGCTTGACGTAACTTTCAGGGATTGCAGAAGGCCGTCCTAGAGTCATGCTCAACGACCTGGACACAAGAGTTAGAGAGCACTGAACGAAGAGTTTTTTTTGGGGGGGGGTGGGGGGGGAAGGGGGAAGGGGGCCAACATACCGGTCCAAAACCACGCAGCCATACCATGTACGGGTACGAATCTCGCGTTCCAGGGGTGGGTATTGGCTAAGAGCATCTCTCGAATGTAGACCCAGTTGATAGGCGGCTTTGACGGCCAGTCCGTGTACGTTCCACGTTTGGATTGACCTTTCAGTTCCTTGCAAGTATTGGCTCATCAGCAAGAGGAACTGGACTGCAAGTGTTTGTATGTTAGGATATAAGACATCAGTGTGTTAATACTGGGGGCGGAAAACTTTCCAATCTCAAGACTCGCCGCACATCTGATCTGCTTCTCGCAGAGGGCCAGGGCACGCAAGAAGAAGACCTCGGACTCGTCTGCCCGCTGCTGGCCCGTCAAGTGGCTGCTATCAGATGCGCTGGTTGCCATGGCAAGGACCATGTTCAGCAGCCCGAGCCATGATCGTCTGACCTTCCGGAAATCGGTTGTCGTGAGATCGTGGTAAGTCGCGAGGAACGTCTCTCGGTGGATGTAGGGGAAGAGCATGCCGGTATTAGAAAAGAACTCGTTAATGAGCCTCAGGGTCTCGTCGGCGGCGGGGAGGGAGAATATGGACTGGGGGTTGCCGTTATTCTTTGAGCCGCCCCGTGGCACTCGGAGCGGGGACGGCGGCCGCGATGCGTGAAGCATGTGGTTGTGCGAGACGGCAACGTCAGGCGATGCCAGCGAGAGTGCTTGGGTCCGCTTCAGCACCGTTGTCGTGGCTCGAACTATATGACGAGTAAATGCTATGTTTGACGACGGGCCTAAGCAGTGTTATTAATAATTGATAGCATTTGAGGATGCGTTTGGGCTTGGGGAGGGAGGTATGGGGACTGGGTCCAACGTACCGAAGTAGCCAGCGTCTTCCTCTTGTGAGAAGATGATGGACCCAATTCCATCCGTAGCATCTTGAAAGTCTGCGCCTGTGCGCGAGTCATCTTCTTCGACGAAACAGTCTGGTATCTCCCTCTCTGGTACCCGTTCAGGGTCTGGCCCCCGAGTCCCAAGCCGATCGTCGCGCTCAATCCGGTCTACCCTGCCGCCAAGTTTTCGCAGAAGCTGCTCAACAGTAGTCAACCGCTCTTCGACGGACAAAAGGTGCCTATTAGAGCTTGTAAGAACAAGCGTCATGGGGATTTAAGCACCATCGAACCCACCCTCTTGAAGCAACGCTGTTCAGCGGGCCCGACTGCGGTGGGTAGGTGCACTCAGAGCCATGATCTTTGCATGTGGTGCAAACGGGTCTGTATCCGTCGCACTAGATCAACAACGACATGAATGTCAGCAGCAACTCAGGATGGGCGCAAGACGGGCGAGCTGTCAGCTCTCCATAGGATGACGACACAGTCGAAAGACATTGATAGATCACCAGATAGATGATGTGGGACGGAGAGTGAAGAGTGGAGAGAGGCTCCCCAATCCACCAGAGTCCCGGCTGCATGAGCACGAATCGACCTACCCTCGACTTCCGGTACCTGCATGGAGTGCATGCCGTAGCGATCCTCCGCCTCTTTGCCTGCCGCGGTGTTCCGCCGTTCCCTCCGGCATTCCCTTCGGTGCTGGCGCTGATTGTCGTTGATGGTGCCGGGGCCGCCTCATGGTGCGGGGGGGTGTGATCCGGGCGGGTAGACATGCCTCGTCGGATGGATCCGGGAATTCGATGTTTCAACGACAGGCCTCGAATGTGTAATTCTGTGTCTTTCTTGCAATGGCGGATGACGCGGAACTTGTGCGGAGTAGACGGGATCGCGAACATTTGCTAGTTCATACTGGACAAGTGGCGGAACTGTGGAGGCCATTCCTATCTCCGCTATCTCCCCGAACATCCGCCACACAAATCGGGTAATGATTTGTGGCGGGTGTGAGCCATGAACACCCTGGAAGTCCATCCCAGAGGGGTCATAAAGGCCAACTGGTGGCAGATCAAGTTGTCTTAGAAATGGCATACGGTCTGAGACGCTGCATTCACATCACAACATCACAACATCACAACATCACGCCCAGCTGATTTCCAACAGTATAACCTAGTACAAAGATGAGCATCACAGTTACAGAAGCACCTGCCTCTACCCAGGATGCCACCGCGAAGCTTCTTCAAGCCGCCGAGGAGCAGCACACCAAGCCTTTATGGGCCCAAATGACCCGGCTGAACCCTCCGCTGCCGAATCCTCAGTGTGTCCCGCACGTTTGGGAGTTCGACAAGATCCGCCCTGAACTACTCAAGGCAGGAGAACTTATTACGGAGAAGCAGGCTGAGAGGAGGGTGCTCATGCTGGTGAATCCTGCGCGAGGTATGGAGACAGACAAGTAGGTCGAAGAAAGACAATACTGATGCGAACAAACAGATGCCCCTTACACCACCGACACCATTTATGGCGGTCTTCAGCTGGTAATGCCCAACGAGACAGCACCCGCCCACAGACACACCGCCTTTGCCTGCCGGTTCATCATTGAGGGTACTGGTGGCTTCACGGCTGTTCACGGCCGCCGCGTACGCATGCAGCGTGGCGATGTCATCCTAACACCCACTTGGAACTGGCATGACCATGGCAAAGACGGGTCAGGGCCCATGATATGGCTCGACGGCCTGGATCTCCCCAACTTCGTCCACTTCCCCGTTCACTTCGTCGAGCACTTTGCGCAGCCTCGTTACCCAGCCGAGGACGTCGACTCGAACAATTCACCCATCGTCTTCCCCTGGGCCAAGATGAAGGCTGACCTGGATGCCAAAGAGGGCGGTGTGGCTACCATCCCCTACCTCAGGCCGAATGGGGCTGAAAGTATGTGGCACTTCGGTGATGACTTCCAATCCGCGTTCTGTCGCTAACCACTAACCACCCCCCAATAGTCAGCTTGATCCTTGGTGTCAGCGCCACCAGGATTGCAGCCGGCTTTGCATCTGAGCCGATCCAGGAAACTGCGTCTTCCATGTTTCACGTCATTGAGGGATCAGGATATTCCATGATTGGCGGCAAGAAGTTTGCCTGGAAGAAGGGCGACACTTTCTGTGTCCCTGCATGGCACAAATACTCTCACCACGCCGATGGCACGGAGACGACCTATCTATATCGCTGCCATGACATGCCAATGCTCAAGTCATTGGGCTTTTATAGGGTCAATGGTGTGGATGTGGAGACTTTGGTGTCTGAGTAGACAGCACACGTGCTTGCACTTGCCAGTAAACTTGTCATAGGGTAATCTACCAGTACCTATATTGTTGTCCACAGCTTGGGATGATGACGTGAATATTCAGACTGCAACAGCTATGTCGAAGGAGGACAGCTCTAGCCTCCATCTGCTCATTCCAGTCATGCTTTCCAACTGCAGATACCTCTCTCCGTATTCATCGCCCGGGTGCGTCTTGGTCTGCACCAAGATTCGCACAGGGTCATCTTCCATGATTGCCCTTTCTCCGCTTGACAGAATATTTGGAGGCGATGGAAGTTTGACCAAGTCGGTAAGCGCTTTTTATTGCACAAGTGGTGAATGCCAACACGGTGTCACATTCACTGACAGCGACAAAGTTTGGGCACTTAATCGTGTCCTGTCCACCAGGTCTTGCTCCAGAACACCATCGCAAAACACCTGCTTGGGATCACAGGCCGGCATCATGTTATAACCTTTGCCACTGTGGTTCAAATTTACATGCTAATTATGTCATGTCTAAACTCATGCAAAGGAAACCACATTTCGGAGGGTTCCAATCTTGTCAATCACCACCTCCATCACCGTCCCGGGGACTAAATATCTCGGGGGTTTCAATCCTGCACCAACACCTAGAGCTGTGTCAGTTAAAAAGAAAAAGGAAGGCCCATATTACTGGAAACCACATCGGAAAGGGACTACTTACCTCCAGGTGTGCCAGTCATAATGACTGAACCTTTCTTCAGTGTCGTTCCCGTTGACAAGTGCGAGACAATATACGCGCAGTCGAACAGCAGGTCAGAGACCATCTCCTGCTGGCGCACTTCTCCATCAATGATTGTTTTCAACTCGAGCTCCTTCGGATCCCCAATCAAACCAGACCGGACGAGACAAGGCCCCAAGGGTGCGAACGTGTCGAAACCCTTGGAGAAACCCCACTGAGGGACGCCTCCTGCGAGTTTAGGGTCTCTTTGAAGCTTGCGTGACGAAATGTCGTTACCGCAGGTGTACGCGGCGACGAACTCGAGCGCCTTGTCCAGAGGAACGTCCTTGGCATCCTTGCCGATGACGAGGCACAGCTCGCCCTCGTAGTCTGCCTGGTCGTCCTGGGCAACCTTGGGGATCACAACGTCGGCGTCGTGGTCCTGGATGCAGGTATTGGGCTTGAAGAAGATGAAGGGGAAAGGAGGGGGAGTGCGGCCGGCCTCCTTGACTGTCGAGCCACTGTCAGCCTAATACTTTGCGCGGCATCTTCGTTCCCTCAAAGGAGATCCGAAGTGTTGCTGGGTCGGGCCGGGCTGGGCCGGGGCTCCCTACTGTGTTTTGCATAGTTGAGACCAACACATCGCAATATTCCCACGTCGTCCTGCGCCAGAGGCCCGAGAAGCCGCTTCACCGTGACAACTTCGTCGGTGACCTTGGTCTTGCCCGTCTCATCGTAGATGTCTTCGCCGGAAATGACCCTGGCCTTGAGTTTTGTGTCCTCGGTTACCGTCCCCAGATCGAAGTTCGCCGAGGGAATAATAGGCTCTCCGCGGAGTACGCGGCCGTCTGTCGCTATGAAGCGGATGAGGCGGTCCCAGACAACCATGATAATGAGCTAAAGGGGTTGGTCAAGTGGATTTCAGTGAACGGTTAGATAGGACTTGCGAGGTCTTGTACACTTAAAAACTCAAGGTTAGATGCTAGGATTTCTTGTCATTTATTTTATTTTATTTATTTTTACCCCTTCCGGCTCCTAGGCAGGGATTTGTTCCTCCGTCGGCACGAGTAGCGGACCACGGGGAGATAGGGTCGGGTTCCGAGAATTTCTCGAGCTTGCTTCTCCGCATCTCCGCACCTCCGCACCGGACTAACAACGAACACCCCCGGCATTGACAATTTAATTGTGGGGTAAAAAGAGAACTCCAAATACCCTCGTAATTGTTACCACTTATATTGTTGGTACCCGGACTGCATAAGATAGGGGTGGGCGGGACCGAGCTGATCAGAAGGGGGGAGAATAGGCTTTCGTTAATCCAGGCCAAACATCGATGAATTTCGATGTGTGTCAATATCCATGGTGAGGATTCTCATGTCCTCCGCCCCCCCCCCGTGCGCAAGCCATTCGAGCTGCCCAGCACCTAAAGCCCGTGCTGCTCGAGCTGGGCGGCAAGAACTTTTACTGTGATACTAGACGACGTGGACCTTAACAAGGCAGTCGACGAGATTCATCTGGTGGGCTGGTTTTCCTAACAGACACCTCGACCTCGTTTCTCGCAACGTCGAGAAGCAGTTCCGCTCCGAGTTGCACAGAGAGTCAAAGAGAGCTAGTTATTAGGTAGATTACCAAGTTAATTTAGTATTTGTATTTTACAGACCGCCCCAAGTTGGTTGGAAATTTCAGGTGTTCCTAACCCTACTGTGTATAGTTCCTTGTTTTACCTAGCTACACTACAGTAGCATCAAGCAGTATCTCCAGCTTCCAGGCCTCCCCGCACTTTCTGCAGGCAAGTCCCGCCATGTGGGACTCCTCCACGCGCTAAAATGATTCCCATTGCGATTCGTGCCCGCAAAATCCCCGCATCGCCATAACTAGCCGACAGGAAGTACTTCCCCGATCAACTTTCCATTCACACTGGATGTCGAAATCTGTAATCTAACAACTGCCTCGGGCAGAGGAAGAGAGGAGCTCCTGCTATAATACCACCTCCATAGTACGCTATCGAGTGTTCAAACCACAATCCTGCCGCGTCATGTCATCCGCCTCCCCGAGGAATACTGGAGCTCCGGAATCTGCTGCGTGGTCCGAGCAGGCTCCATCTGTTGCAGGTCCTGACCAACAAACCGGACGGGAAGAGTCAGCATCTAAACGACGCCGTATCGCTATTGCGTGCACCTCATGCCGCCACCGCAAATCCAGGGCAAGTAGCCCATATCCTCAAAGTGATCCAATGGATAGGCTGAGACTAACGTCGTTCCAGTGCGACGGGACTCGGCCATCGTGTCGCTTCTGCGCTGAACTAGGCATTCAGTGTGTCTACAAACAGCCCGCAAGGAGTAGCCAAGCAAAGTCAGTTACCTGTTCCCCATGTCCGGGCGTCGCTGGAGCCCATGTGCTTATCACGACATGGCATCACGCCTGAGCAGACCACCAAATGGGTACGACGAGCGTCTAAAGGCTATTGAATCTACCCTCCAACAACTGGTGCAGCACCAGGAGCAAAACTCCCAAGCGCGGCTATCATCTGGACCCCGCAGCATGGGCACAGCAACACAAGACTCTCCTTCCGAGGAATTCACCTTGCTCGACGACGGCGAAGTGCAGGTTCACAACATGACGGATGACACTGTAGACGGCCTCGCAGCCGTCAATAACGGTCAAGTTGATGCGCGCTTCTTTGGTAAGCTTCTCTCTAATTAACCTCTGTCTACCCCAGCAACAGTGAGCAACAGTGTCCCTGCAGACTCCAGCCTCCATTGACCGCCCAATTCAGGCCCATCTTCCAACATCTCGTTCCTGCAGTCCATTTCACGAGCCACCTCCGCTGTCATGGACACTGTCGGATTTCCCCAGCGATCCAACCGGGCTGGGACACAAGAGCCTGTGTCCCGTCTGCAATCACCTGATGCTTCAACCGCGACTTTGGCCCAATTCGACGCAGCCTCCATGAGCGCTTTGGTGCTTCCCCCCGAGTGCCGAGCTGTGCACTTGATGAAACTTTACTTCTCCGACACTGGGACTATGTTTCCCTTCATCAGCGAAAGAAAAGTCCTGGCATCATATTACGCCTTCAAACGCAAGCAATTCTCTGGCGTAAGCAGATCCTGGCTAACCCTCTTCAATGCCATCTTTGCCTTCGCGACATATATTAGCGCAAAGCCCGAACAGGCAGTCCCGAAGAACGCTGCCGAATCCGATATTTTCTTCGGCCGGGCCCTGACGCTGTGCAACAATAACAGTCAACAGTCAAGTGATATTGAAACAGGTGGGCAGCTGGCCTAACCCTCTATACGACGGCGCCACCTACAAGCTAACTAGGATTTAAGTGCAATATCTTCTCCTGCTAAGCCAGTACTGCCAAGGCACTCAACGCCCTGAAGAAACGTGGACTCTACATGGCCTTGCAGTGCTGGCAGCAATACGACTCGGTCTACACTCAGCCTCAAGGATGAATCAATTTCAAGGCTCAGAAAGAGAAGTCCGAAAGCGACTCTGGTTTGGCTGCTTCATCATGGATAGGTGAGTAGTGCCTACATACATAATTACCTGTAGCTGCAACAGGGCTAATCGCACGGCACCAGAACTCTCAGCATGACACTGGGACGGCCACCTATGATTCAAGACGAACAAATAAATCTTGAACTTCCGCTCGATGCTGGCTTAGATACGCCTTCTCAGGATAACGGCCATGTCGGCGACTACAACGAGGCTGGCCAACCAAACACTGCATCCTTCTTCATTGCGACAATGTGGGTACACCCCGGGCCTGAAGAACTCCAAGTTGGCAAAGTTTAGAGCACTGACATGACATGACGGATATTAAAGAACCCTATACAAAATCCTGGGCTCGGTTGTTGCCAAATTATATGGACAGAACCTGGACGAAGAAATCACTCAACAGACGTCCGTCCTGATGCAGGATATCCTAATAATCGAGGAGAAGCTGTGCGGTTGGAAGAGAAGTCTACCGGAGAAGCTGCTGCTACGCCCTTGGGAGAATCAAGAGGCGAGCAAATGGTCTTGCCCGCCGTATCACCCGATATTTGCCCGCCTCAGTGTGGTCGCCCAGCTGCGATACCTCAACGTAAGGATCCTGCTCCACCGTCCAATCCTCAACCGTCTTCTTCAAAGGGGGCAACTCCCTCTTGGGCCAGATTCAGTCGAAAATACATCAGACTTTGCCGACGAGATGTCCAAGTCAAGCGTCACCACCTGCCAGGACTCTGCAATGGAGATCATTGACATCGTTCACCGAGTGAGCAGGTCGACGACTCTTCTCGGTGCTTGGTGGTTTTCTATCTATTATAGTGAGTCTCCCTAAAACCTGAGTAGACCAAGGCAGTCCTAAATCTTTTCACAGCATTCAATGCAGCCCTTGTCATCTATAGCTGTCTTCTTCTACTGCTAGTTCCTCAGAACACGTCTTCTGCCACAACGACCCACAACCGAGAAGACCTCGACCTTGTTTCTGAGTTGGCCAATAAACTACGGCTGGCAATTGAAGCAACGGAACGGATTGGCAATGGTGCACAGACCGCCAAACGAGTTCTGAGGATACTGGCGAAGCTCGTCAGAACCTGTACAATCATAATAGGTAAGTTCGATGATAGCCGACATTCCCCATTCCATGGCAAAGTCTGATCGTGACACAGGCCAGTCTGACCTTGAAAACGGCGCTCTGGTCTCGGCTGCGCTTTCCGGGAGAACTACGACCAACCCTACGGGAGCAGAAACCCCCGCTGGAGAGGTTGAAGGTTTGATCTTCGAGGCGTCGTTCAATGGAGACGTCCCCATTCCACCAGCATCACGTAACATATTTGACCCCTTGGAGGACATGTCTCAGCCCTGGACATCTGCAGACCTTGAAGGCTTTGGTGACCTGAGCGGATTTGATCCGTGGTTAGTCAGTTTGATGACTGTTTGAAAGAGCCAGCAATCGGTCAAGACAGATGGAGGGACCGCAGCACAAGACAGGTGCCTGCAGTTGCATGAAAACGCCTGGAACTCCATCGCACCCAACCCAAAGTTTCAACTGCCAGTTCCGCCGAATATGGAGCAGCAAGACCGAAACCAGTTCCCGACTGTATGATAGGGTGTATTATAGACCATGGGGCTTTACGGCAGTGATGAAAGGGGAGTCGAGACACAACTAGCTGAAGAAGATCCGGAATCAATAGAGTCACTTCTCGCGCCCACCTGCCTAATTACCTAACAGTTATCTCACTACGGCCTTTTTCGCGTCTACTCTTCATTCCCCTTGGTGTTGAGCGATGGAGAAAATAGCCTTGATTTAATATCATCTAATTTGATCTTCAGCGCTTCCGGATTCTCACCTCACACTCACTAGCCTTGTTAAAAAACCCTTCCTTGATTATCGTGGGGTTGTCATTCAGTCTCTCAACGTCAAAATGCTTAAACACCAAGACCACAGCTTTCAGAATCTCCATCCAAGCAAAGCTGAAGTGGCCAGTCAGCTCCATGTCAGACGTTCTAGGGTGGTGTAATTATGCACTTACTTCCTTCCGATGCAGGCGCGAGGCCCAGTGGAAAATGGGAAGAAGCAGTCGAGGAGTTTGTCAGCCTCTGGTTCGAGCCACCTGTCCGGTCTAAATTCTGTCGGTGATTTGAATAGGTTCGGATCCATCATGACGCCACATGTTGGTACGCTGACGACCGTCTTGCATCGCAGTTAGCAAGCAGTTAAATACAGCTTGTGTCATTCGGGGCTTACTTACCATTTCGGGGATGAATTTCCCAGCCAAGACCCTTCCTCCTTTAGGGGTTACGCGTTCCAAGCCGGTTGCGCTTGTCGGCCGGAAGCGCATTACTTCTCGCAGGACAGCAACCAAGAACGGGAGTCTGGAGACCTCCTTATCAGCAGGAACCCAGGAAGCGTCTTTCTCGCCGGGATATGCTGCATCAATCTCTTGCTGGAGTCTTGTTTGCAATGCCCGATCGCGAGAGACAATGTCAATGAAATTCGTCATGGTGCTGCTCGTAGTGTCGCTCCCGCCCACGATGAAGCTGATGGATTCCGCAACAATTTCCTCCTCCTGGATTGGCTCTTTAGTTCCGCTGTCCGTGGCGGCAAAGAGGAAACTCAAGAGGTCCTTGCGCTCCTGGGTAGACTCTTCCTTGCGATGGCGATATGCCTCGCGTCCAATCTTCTCAAGGTTAGCCGTAGCTCTCAACCCAGAACTCCAGAAGGAATCCAAGTAGTTGTATTTCATGTAGGGTCTCATCCAAGGAGGAATGGTTCCGAGAGCATTGAGGACCTCTCCACGGACATCGATTGTCGAAATGAGGTTATACGGATCGTTGCCCTTCTCGACAAAACCAAACGATCTTCCAAAGGCGAAGCTTCCGATCACATCAAAAGCCAGATAATTTGCTGCCAGACGTTAACCATCAGCCTAGCTAGCTAAACGAGAGAAGACGGTTCCGAGGATGGGGAGACTTACTCCACGTAGAAAAGTCGATGCGTGCCTCTGACCCTGCCCTTGACTCGTCGAGCATTCCGAGCAGCCGCTGCTTCCACCTCACCAATTCCACGTCCATATGAGGCTCGAAATCAGACAAGGCACGTGCGGAGAAGGCCGGATTCATATATTTCCTCTTTCTCGCATGCGTTGCGACATCCCGGGCGGTAAAGACAACCGGTGTCACCTGCATGAAGGCGTCGTAGAATTCGCTCTTCGTGAAGCCTGTCTTGTGGCCATAAATTTCGGCAACAGCCGCCGAATTGTTGATGGAAATGTGGTTGGGGGCAATTCGAACAAAGTCTCCGTATTTCTTGTGTTGCTCCATGACGGCCTGCGAACGCCGCGTGTTGCGGCATTGCCAAGCAAGCCAAAATGAGGACAGCTTAGCCCAAATAGGCCCAGGAAAGTGGCGGATTTTGGAGAAGAGGAGCAATGCTGCCTCGGTCAAGCCCTTTAAAAAAACGTTGTCAGTCACTGATCGAGCGAGAAACTTCGTCCGACACTGGAGGAGGCACGCACGGCGAGGAATAGAAGCAGCACCACGACTTGGACAGACGAGGATGACAGCGAGGGCTGCGTCCAGGCTGCATGATCAGTTAAGATGCCCATTTCTTTCTCGGTATCAAGAGGTAGAGTCCTCTGCGAATCTCAAGCTGCCGGTGACAAAGAGTCTGCAGTCGTGAAGATTCAAGTCGAGATGAATTTAGAAATGATGGCTGCCTTTTCAACTGGTCCCAACTCCAAAAGCTCAGTACACAGGTGAAATGGCACTGTCTCCCCTTGGCAGTCCAGGCCGAGGCCCTCGGGGAAGCCGGCAGCCTGCAGCCTCGAAATAGGGCGAGCAAATCATATGTGCGAGATTCCCAAGCAATCGCTGGTGGGGGAGGGATTCGGGGATCGCGGAACGGGGAGCGGGGATAGGCGTCCCGTTGACTTCCGGAACTTCCGTGGTTAGAGCACTGACCCGACCCGACCCGGCCCACCCCAACCCACCCTTCCCTCTCCCGCCAGCCCCAGCCCCATGGCCAGCTTCACGGCGCCTTTCCTAATACAGATTACACAACTTGGCACCATGGGTTTCCTGCAAACTATGTATACTGAGCTTGATCTTATCCTGCTGGAAGTCAAAGATCCCTTCTGCTTGCATCACCAAAAATGGAGGCGAAAGAAGCACCCACACCAGTCCACAGCGAACATGTCGACAGTCCAGCTCCTGTTGATCCGGCCTTGGAGGCATCGGTCCGCAGAAAGCTTGACTGGCGCATCATGCCCATTTTGACTTTGACCTACCTCTTTGCGTTCATTGACAGGTAATTACAGACGGTCCGGATCCCACATCGCGACTTGTGGTGTGCTAACTCGGTCATCAAGATCCAATGCCGGCAACGCGCGAGTCCTTGGTAATATCTTCCCTTTCCATTCCGAGTCTCTCAAATTGCCACCTGCTTACAAGGCTGTAGGCATGGGTGCTGACTTGAAGCTTGACGGTTATCGCTTCAATACTGGCTTGAGTTGCTTCTACGTCCCCTACATCCTCTTCGAGGTGTAAGTACACCATGGTGCCTTGGCTGAAGGGGGAGAGAAGAAAAGAACTAATAGTTCCACAGCCCCGCGAACATCATGTGCAAGCTCGTTGGGCCAAAGATTTGGAGTTTGTTATCCCGCACCCTCGATCCAACCCACGCTAACCAGGACGATAGTCCCTTTTTTGACAGTATGCTTTGGCATTATTGCCATGTGCATGTCAACAATACAGTCTTATCATGGATTTCTTGCGGCCAGAGCCTGCCTCGGAATGGCTGAAGCGGGTAAATAAATGCACGATACAATATATGAGCGCAAACGTGCCTAACACCGTCTCAGGTATCATGCCAGGCATCACTTACACGCTCTCTTGCTTGTAAGTTTGATCATCTCGCGCAGAAGAGAATATCCTAGATTCTAACTCTATCCAGCTACCGAAGACATGAACTCATGACTCGAGTCGGCCTTTACGCGAGTGTAGCATCTTTGAGGTAAGAAGACTTCAAGTGATGGAAAGCAGTTTGGGACGCTTACCGATGGTTTTCAGTGGCGCATTTGGAGGCCTACTTGCCACAGGTTTCACCAAGATCCCCCAATGGGGCATAATTCACACCTGGCGCAACATATTCTTCTTTGAAGGACTCATCTCCGTCATCATCGGCGTCGTGGCATTCCTGATCCTCCCTTCCTCTCCTGCCACGGCGTCGTTCCTCACTCCGGAAGAGAAGGTCGCCGCTTCGAGACGCATAACCGACGACATGAAGACACAGAATCTCGAACGCTTCGACATGCGATACGTCAAGCGTGCCGTCTTCAGCTGGAACACTGTCTTTCTTTCAATTGCATCGCTGTGCAGCCTCCTCACCATGAACTCCATGGCCCTATTTATCCCATCCATTCTAAACTCCATGGGCTACAGTGGCATCGATAGTCAGCTCCTCTCAGTGCCCCCCTACGCTTGGGCGACCATTGTCTGTGTTACCGTCACCATCATGTCAGACCGCACACGAAAGAGAGGCGCGTGGATTCTCGGAGTCATGCCCTTCACAGCGTTGGGATTTATCATCCTGCTCGTGCCCACCCACGTCGGGGTGCACTACTTTGCCCTGTTCCTCTGCCTCACTGGTGCCTTTACCGCGTCTCCAATGCTCGTTGCCTGGTGTGTCGACAACAGCGCAGGGCACATGACACGGGCGATCGCTGCTGGGACCGTTGTGGGCTTCGGAAACATTGGTGGACTCATCGCCGCATGGACTTACCTGCTACCGGATGCACCGAGGTATATCAAAGGGCACGCTTTGAATCTTGGTTTCGCGGGACTCTGTTTGATTATCGTTGGTGCCGCCATGTTCAATCTGCACCGGGAGAACAAGCTGAAGCGGTCCGGGCAGCGGGATTATCTTGTGGAGGGGAAGGCGGAACAGGAGACACAGGATTTGGGACACACTCACCCCGAGTTTTATTACACTGTGTAAGGGCCTGGAAGCTGGAGCCTTCGAGGCCAAAGTATCCTTCTAGCTACCGGAGTAGACAGTATAATAGAAGCATCATCTTTCAAGGCTTGCTAAGAGACAGTACAGTGGAAGCATTATCGCCTATTCTTAATAATATAAAAAGCTGCAAGCATTAAGCTTTCCAGTAGTAATAGGGCTACCGTATCGCGAAAGCAGAGAGAAGAGTAAAAAGAAGATTAAGATAAAAAAGGAGGTGGCGGCTACATGGCTGGAATCCTCCCGACGACAACCGGGAGGCGAATGATCTTCAGCGCAGAGAAACGTGACATTGGACAACCAGAGGAGTCGGAGTCGGGGGTGTAAGCACGTAAAGGCTGACCACGCCCTCTCTGATCCGTGGTTGGTGGTGGCGAACCCCTAGGATTCAGGAGGAAAAGAACCCCTCTCTCGCCTCTCTCCTTTCTGGGGGAGATCGTCATTGGAGAAGCGAGCGAAAGTGCCAAAAATACACGCAACCCAACAGGGGGGACACCTTTTTACCTGCCTACCTCGTCAAGCGACAAATCACCCGAGCGTAATCAATCAATCTAGCCACTGATAGCCGCTTATCTGGAGGCAGTTTGGACTTTGGGATCCGGATGATAGAGGTGGAGTTGAATCTTCGTCTTTCCATTCTGAGATAATGGGTTGTTCAGTGCGCTGCTGATTCCTCCAAATCTCTTGCATCGAAGGATACGTGACGGAATGCATCCCATTCGAGTGATAAGATGGCACGAGATTTACGAGACCCGACTTTTTGGGACGTTGTGTTCTTGGGTTGCTTGGCAAGCATTGGCAAAAGCTCGGCCGTGATTTGCTATTTGTTCCCGTCATGATAAGCCACTTGCCAAGTCGGGTTTGCATCGGCAGGGCTGTGAGCCGCATCAGGAGAGATAGCGATGAACACCTCCCCCTTCAAGAAAGGTAGATAGATAGATAGATAGTCTCCCCAAAACGCCGGAAGAATGCGGCAGCCGTCTCAGGGGCAAGTAGAAGTCACTTAGGTAGTTACGGATACCTACACGGAGCTACGCTATAGCATAGATGTTAAACGAGCAATCGGGAGGAAGCCGCGCCCCTTCTGGTCAATGCAGGTAGGCATGACATGGAGCTTTTCCGCACCACCACCCACCCGGTTCGCGACGGGCCATTGCGGCGTCCGTGGTTGGTAAGCCCCAACCCCAGACCCGACCCCAGATCAGACGATGGGGAAATGGGGGATCGGGGAACGGGAACCACGCGTGGCTGCGGGTGGACTGTTGGACCCGACCCAAGACCGGGGATGGCGAGACAAGATGGAGATGGTTGGGGAAAGATGGGGTCGTATCTTACCTACCTCCCATAATGGGTAACGGGGTGGTGCAAGGGAGACTCGGGCGGCGGGAAGGCAAACCTATTCGAGATCAGGTGTGGGCGGTACGAGACGCATGTTGGGGGAATCTTGGGAGCGCGATGTGGGCACCGGTCTAGGCAAAGTACAGAAGCTGCTGAGTAGGACACACATTTAAGGGGTGGTGGCGAGCAAATAGCTTCAGAGGCTGATAATCCGCGTTGGGCAGGTGGTTCTGCGGAAGGTTCCGAGTTTGGGTCTTCGGAAAGTCGGAGCGCAAGCAGGCAGCGGCAGCAGCTTCCCACAAGCTCGAACCATGAAGCCAAGAGTTTCCCCTACCTGACCTCGGCCTGTTTTCCGCTGACTGATTGCTTGTAGGTTCAATCCCGGGGTTTTGTGAGAAAGGAGCTGTTGGGGATGGTAATTCGGACAGTAAGCGGCTCCAGTGCCAAGGCGCGCCGGCGCCAGCCACCTGCCTGTTTGAACCAAGATCCAGCTGAGGCTGCACGCATTAGTGGCAGCCGGGGATTGGGAATTGGGGACTCAGTAACAGCTGTCGCGTGGTTGGTTCGGGGTGCGTGCGGTGGGCTGGCTAGCGCCGCGACGGCTAAGAGATTTAGGGCAGGAGGGAAGCCGCAACGGCGCTGGCGGCAAAAAGATATTTGGACACTAGCAGGAGGAAGGCCGCTAGCCAACGTTGGCTTGGATACGAACGAGGACCTAGTTTCGACTTGCAGTTCTAGATGCTCAATGAAAGCAGCGAGGAAGTGGGGTGGCGGGGGGGAGATATGGTAACACAAATGATAAATCAGGGAAAATGGAAATGGAATGGACTCCGATTGCGATTGCGAGTGTCCAGTGTTCGTTGGCGGAAGGGGAATGGAACAAAAGATTGGCAGGTACCTATGTACACTTTTCCCCGCAGAAGTGCCGGTTTAAACGAAACCAACCATGCATCACCCGCCGCCGCCCGCAACCAGGGCTCAGTGCTCATTGCCCGAAAGTTTCGACGGTTCAACTCAAACCTTGAACACAAATTACACAGCTTCAATAGTGCATCAAGCAACACGCGAGTCAGAAAACAGAACTCGCTATTGGTCTGGATTGGCCTGGATTGCCCCTATACACCATTGAGCAGTAGTAGAGTAGATTGCAAGTCGCGTTAGCAGCGAAGCTAAATTGAAACCTTCAAGACAGGTCGGGTCCTCGGCTGGGCGCACGGCGACCCCACGTTGATTGGGGCTTAATCCGACCTGCCTAATACGGACGACTTGCTTGATCCAGCGAATCAGCTCGCAAGGTGGGGCGCGGATGCATGTCCTGGCCCCGGCAGGGATCGTCCTCTGGGGTTTTTTTTGCCTGCTGCATGGTGCGGGCTCGACAATCCCGGCACACGTTTCATTTTCCTCCCTCACGTATCTCTGGCGGGAGAGCACTGCATGTACCGCCCAAGTACACATGCGGCCAGAGCCATGCGTGCCCGCAACTCCAAGTGGCGAGATAAGCTTCGGGGCGCAACAGCCAAGGTACAACCCCCGGCGGGAAGCTGCCCGCCGCGCTAGGTCAGGAACCAGCCATGGTACCTGCCCTTTGCTGACCATCGTTTGGTGGGGAGGGGCAACCCACGAGACCCATGAGCTGGTTAGCATGGCCGGATACTTGGCCGATACCTCCCCTTAAAGGCCTAAATGAATTTACCTTGGGAGAGTGATCATCCCTCTTGCTTGAGAAGTTTAAATAACCTGCCCCGTACCGCTTCGTTTGGGGTTTCCCGTCTTTTCTCTTCTCATCCTCATCTCCATCCTCATCACACCTTCACGTGGTGTGGTGTTTCTTCCTATCCCGTGTCCCGTCCCAGCACACACGGCAGAGACAGCAGCAGAGAGAGCCATCATGTCGTCAGAGAAGACCGAGGTCCACGCTGACCCGGGCACCAACATGCGGCCCTTCGCCGAGTCCAACCCGCCGATGGAGAACACGGAGGACGTCAAGGACGACATCAAGGTCGAGGTTGACGAGGCGGAGGAAGAGCTAGATCTCTACCGCCCGCTTCCCATGGACCCCAACATCCCCTACGAGGGCAACCCTCTCACCATCCGAGCAGTCGTCGTTGGCTGCATCCTCGGCGCTCTGGTCAACGCATCCAATCTCTATCTCGGTGAGTAGTGGTGCCTGCTGAAAACTTTCCGCTTTCCCCTTCCCCCATCTTTCCGCCCCTCCCGCTGACCGTGATACTTGTTGGGGAAAAGGTCTCAAGACTGGTTTCACCTTCTCGGCGAGCATGTTCGGTGCCATTTTCGGTTATGGCATCTTGAGGGTCATGTCCAAGGCCGAGCGCGTCCCCATCATCGGTGGTCTCTTTGGACCCCAGGAGAACTCGATCGTTCAGGCTGCGGCCACTGGTGCCGGTGGCATCGCTGGTATCTTCGTGGCCGGTATTCCCGCGCTCTACCAACTTAACGTGATGCACCCCGATGGCCCGGCCAGGTCTCCCAGGGACGACATCGGTGCCATCTTCACCATCACCCTTGTCTGCTCGTTCCTGGGCCTGTTCTTCGTCACCCCGCTGCGCAAGTTCTTCATCATCCACGTCGCTCGCGAGCTGAAGCTCATGTTCCCGACGCCGACTGCCACCGCGCTGACCATCCGGTCCATGCATGCTGGCGCTGCCGGCAGTATCGAGGCCATGAAGAAGCTCAAGGGCCTCGGCCTCGCCTTCGTCTCGGCCTTCATCCACCGCATTGCGTCGTACTACGCCGTCGGGATCCTGTACGACTGGCACGTCTTCACCTGGATCCACATCTGGAGCGGCTACACCAGCTGGGCGCTGAACATCGAGTCGTGGGGTTGGTACTTCGAGTGGACACCGGCCTTCATCGGATCTGGTATCCTCATCGGTCTGAACCCTGCCATCTCCATGTTCATCGGCGGCGTGCTCGCCTGGGGTCTGATCGGCCCCCTGCTTGTCCACTATGGCGTATGCATTGGAATCCAACTGGCCCCCGACGACCCCAAGTGGGACTCGATGTACTCGTTCGCCTCGCTCAAGGATCTCGGCAAGGGGCCCCCGTCCCCTCGGTACTGGCTGCTCTGGCCCGGTGTCATGGTCATGGTGTGCTGCTCCATGGCCGAGCTGGTCATCCAGTACAAGGTTATCGGCGTCGGAATCAAGGCCCTCTGGAACCACGGATGTGCCAGCATCAACAGCATGCTCATCGGGCGCGGCAAGTCCAGCGCCTTCTTTGCCAAGCACGGAGCCGAGCGCCAGAAGGCTGAGGACGTGATCGAGGACCCCTCGACCCCCGACGAGCAGGTCAAGCATTGGATGTGGACCCTCGGCCTCTTGGTCACCATCGTCGCCGCCATTCTCATCTTCCACTTCCAGTGGGAGATGCACCCGGGCCTGACCATCCTCGCCGTCATCCTCGCCATCCTCTTCTCCTTCCTGGCCATCCAGATTGGCGCCGTCACCGACAACACCCCGCTCACCGCCGCCTCCAAGGCCTCCCAGCTCGTCTTCGGCGCCGCCACCAGCAGCTCCGGCTTCTCGGTCGCGCACGCCCAGAAGCTCAACTTGGTTGCTGGTGGCCTCGCCTCGGGTGGTGCCGATGTCGCCACCTCTCTGACCAGCGATTTCCGAACCGGCTTCCTCCTAGGCACACCTCCCATCAAGCAGTGGATTGCCCAGGCCTTTGGCACCTTCATCGCTGTCTGGCTAGCCCCCGGCCTCTTCGTCCTCTTCACCAGCGCCTACCCTTGCATCTACGACTCCAGCTACACCAAGTGCGCCTTCGCCATCCCGTCCGTGTCCGCCTGGGCCGCCGTCGCCAGGGCCGTGACCGACCCCACTGTCAGCATCCCCAAGACATCGGGTATCTTCGCCATCGTCATGGGCATCTTCTCCGTCGCCCAAGTCGTCTTCCGCCACTACTACCTCGTGGGTTCCCGCGAGAAGTACAGGGCCTATCTCCCCAACTGGGGCGCCATCGCCCTCTCGTGGGTTATCCCCGCCCCCGTCTTTGCCAACGCCGCCCTCCTCGGCGCCATCATCGCTGCCATCTGGCGCAAGTATAAGGCCGAATCCTGGGATATTTACGGCTATGCTGTCGCTGCCGGTAAGTTTAACCCTCCCCCCCACCTCTCAACATACTTCACACACAAGGCTTTCTTGCTGACATGAAGTCCCCAGGTCTTATCGCTGGCGAGGGTCTCGGCGGCGTCGTTGGCGCTGTTCTCACGCTGGCTGGTGTGGATGGGTCTGTCAAGGGCACCCAGATCGCCTGCCCGATGCTGGAGTGCTAAATAACAGTGCTTTTGTTTCCGAATCGCAAAGAGTCGTTTTGGTGCCTGTTATAATCTAGGCGCGGAGGAAAACTTCGCGTGTAGTCTTGGTGTTTTTCTCTTTCTCAAGCATTGCATGATACCTCTAATAATGAGTATTCTTTCTCAACTCTCGTTTTGCCCTTCAGGCAAGCCGGTGACAGTGACATGTATCATGATGCTTGAAGTGACACCAGTGATAAACATGAAGTAATTATCTGGGTAAAATAAGGGGATTGTGTTGCTCTCGGTCTGGTCCCAGCCGACCTTGACTTGGTAAATTTTTTTTTTTCGAGATCGAGTCGAGTTGTTGCTGAGTCAGTTTGGGCGATATTGTTCCCAAGTGACACGAGTCAAGCTTGGGTTTGTTCTTTCTTCAACTTGGGACCAGACCACAGCCCCTGTCCCCAATCATTCTGAGCTTCGCTTAGCACATGGGGATATTAGTGGGGACGTCTGTCAGTTGAGAGACGGTGCGCGTCCTCTCAGAATGGTTGGGAACATGGGTCTGTGGTCTAGTCCCGAGTTGAAGAACCTGATATATTCTTCGGTTGATCCCTAGATACGATGATGAAGGAAATACAGCAATATATATGGGGTGTATGATATATATATAGCCACCTAGGTCCTTCCCTATCTCAATTACCACCACCTTCTCCACAGGCGTGCTTCGCCCGTTGCCTTCAAAACAAGCCGTCGACGTGCAAACAAGAAACCGCGAAGGGGATCCTCTCCCCAGAGATTATCATGCCACCTGCTGCACATGCGACTGCTGCTTCTCCTCGACCCGGATCTCGGAGGCGCCGGCCTCGTCCTTGTTGTTCTCGGTGCCTTCGACCGTCTTTGGCGGCAGTTCGGTGATGCCGAACATCTTGTCCATGGCCTCGAGGGAGACGCCTGGTGAAAGAAGAAAAAGGAGTCAGCTTTTTCTCTTTTTCCCTGTGCGAAAGGGAGATGACAAGGGGGGGGAGGGATGGGGGTCAAGTTACTCACCCTTGGTCTCGGGGATGAAGAACCACACGAAGAGGAACATGCTGAAACAGAAGCTGCCGAAGATGAGGTAGGTACTGTAGAGGGAAAGTCAAAGTCAGCCCCCATGGGTATCGTTTTGTCTTTACTGGGGGGTTTTTTTTTTGGGCACACTCACCCGTATCCATTGCTGCCGACGGTGATGAGCATGGTGGGCACGGCGCGGGCGACGACAAAGTTGAACAGCCACTGCGTCGCGGCGGCGAGGGAAACGTTGAGGGAGCGCAGCCGCGCCGACGGGATCTCGCTGGCGTAGATCCAGCAGGCAGGTCCCCAGCCGAACTGGAAAAAGCTGTTTGGGGGGTAGGGATGTCAGCAAAATGAGACGAGGCAGAAGCAGGAAGGGAGTGAGTGGGTTGCTGGATGGGAGATCACGTGATGGATGATCACGGGTATTCCAATGCAGTAGTCAGAGGGCTAACGAAGGGGAGTCGGGCTTCGTTCGGGGCAGACTTACGCGGCGAACAGGAAGATACAGATCAGAGCGACGTAGCCGGCCGGGGGCACGGTGTCGCCGGCCTTAGGCGGGGCGATGCGGACGTACAGGCCGATGTAGAACATGGCGAGGCCCTGGGCGATGGAGGTCCAGAGGAGAGAGCGGCGCCGGCCGAGCGAGTCGGCCATGAAGAGCAGGAAGCAGATGCACGAGGTGACCTTGACAATGCCGTAGATGCCCGTGCTGAAGAGCGACGTCGACATGCCCGTGATGCCGAGGTTCTTGAAGATGGTGGGCGCGTACGTGTTGATGGCGTTGGTCCCCGTCATTTGCTGGCAGATCATGAGCACGACCGAGATGATGGCCCGACGGCGGTTGCCGGGAATCAACCACATCTCCCGCTGCAGGTTCCAGAAGGTGGCGTCGCCGACGAGCCGGCGCTCGTGTTCCAGTTGATCGACGATCTCCTTAAACTCCTCCTCGATGTAAGGGTGAGTCTGCGGCAGATTGCGGGTCTTGGAGAGGATGAGCTTGGCCTCCTCCCAGCGGTCCTGTCGGGCCAGCCAGCGCGGCGACTCGTTGCATAGGAGCATGCAGCCCCCGAGAAGGACGGCCGGCAGCGCTTGGATGGCCAGCGGGAAGACGTACATCAGCTTGCCTTTGAAGTGGATGCTTGCCGAGAAGTTGATCCAGAAGGCGATCATGCCGCCCGTGACGATGAAGAGCTGGTAGAGGCCCGTGAGGAGACCGCGGATGGCTCGCGGCGAGTTCTCTGAAACGTAGATCGGGTTGATGGTGCTAGCGGCGCCGACGCCGGTTCCGGCGACGAAGCGGCCGATGTACATGGGAGCGAGGTTCCCCGACGCCGCGCTCTGCAGGATGACGCCGACGAGGATGACCATGGAGATGCCGATGAGGCACCACTTGCGCCCGAACCTGTCGGTTAGCGGGGACGCCGCGAGGGCGCCAACGAAACACCCGGCCTGTAGTGTGGATACGATGTTGGCCGCTAGGCTGGCGGACGCCGGTGACTTGAGGTCGCCCAACTTGTAATCCCTGTGAGAAGAAGGAAGAACATCAATATCAATCATTCATTTTGTCCGCTGAGGCAAATAGGAAGGGGAAAAGAAAAGACAGGAAATTGGCTCATACGCGATAAAAGGGTCCAACACGATGACTCCCCCAATGACTGCCGAGTCCCAGCCAAACGACATGGCACCGAAACAGGCCTTTTCAGACGCGCGCGTAATGTTAGTCAAATCGCCAATTGAACAGGCGGGGAAACCATCAACTCACCGAACAGGCCAGGAGGTAAACGCGCCAGCCATAGATCTCGGGAGGATCCTGGGCCATGGCCTCATTCCTCACGATCTTCTGCAACATTCGCGCTGAGAACCCCATCTTGGCTGATTTTCCGGGGGCGATATTGGGTCGAGTCTCACGGTGGGCTCCGTAGAATGGAGAAGAGAAGAGAAAATGACCGCAATCCGGAGAGCAAAGGGCCCCGTTTTCTCTTAAGAGAGCTTCCCCCTCCTGCCCCGGCCGTTGAGACCGGGGCCGTCCTTTGGGGTAGCATAGTGGGGTTGAGTTGACAGGGCGGCCCAAGACTCCCTGCCGACGGCTCTTTGGTGGCAATATCCGCACGCAGATTGGGGTTGCAATCGGTTTAATCCTGGCAGAATTCCCCACCAACCAAAGGAGATGGACGCGAGGATCAACAGACCGAAAGAACTGTTGCCAAGCCTCCGGGTGAGTGAGGCTAAATACCCCCTCGTCCACCCCCCTCCTTGACCGTCACTTTACCCCAAGGCTCTACTTGCGTGGTACGGTAGGACTCCGCATTCTTTGGAGGGGGGTGTTCTCCATGACGGAATCCGATTGGTCCGCCATCGCACAGTCACCGCTACATGCGTACGCAGATATGGTGTTGGCAGAACCCACAGTCACGGTTCTGGGCCCGGATCCCTCCCACCGGGCGTTTGTACTCAATGGCAACGCCTTCCAGCAAGATGCCATCACTTCCTTCGCTGGCTGGCAATACGCAGCCTTCTACAGCTACCTCTCTCCGGATGCCCCGACCGAGCCGCTATACGTCCACTTGGCCCGGAGGAAGCTGCCTCTTGGGGCGTGGCAGGTTCTGGTCTTTGATGACTACAAGCAGATTGTAGACGATGGCCATAACACGGTCCAGATCGGTGTCTGCCCGGGGGATGGCACCATCCACCTGTCTTATGACCACCATTGTGACACGTGAGTCTCACCACATGTGCCTGTGCCGCAGAGGCAAACGGGGGAGAAGAAAGCCAGCAGTCTGAGACCAAGACTGGGTAGCCTTCGGTATCGATACTCGGCAGCCAAGGGGCTTGCCAAGCACCCCGAGCGCTTCGAGTGGAAGCCCGACCTCTTCACGCCGACGCTCGACCACCTGCCCGGCCTGCCCAGCACGCACGAGCACTTCGGCTACGTGACGTACCCCCGCTTCGGTCCCATGGGGGACGATCTGTTCTGCTCCTTCCGCGACGGCAAGGCCGGGCTGGGAGACGACCACCTGTACCTGTACAGCGCCGCCGCGGGCCGCTTCCGCTACGTCGGTGCGCACCTGACGGGCGTCCGGAGCAACCCGTACGTGCACGGCATGGACTGGCGCGACGGCCGCCTCCACGTCACGTGGGTGTACCGCGGCTTCGTGGCGTACGACGGGTGGGACGACCCGCTGGACACGAAGCACAAGCGGCAGGCGGGACCGAACGGCGCCGAGAACAACCACGACATTTGCTACGCGTACAGCGATGACAAGGGGTCGAGCTGGCGGAACGGCCGGGGCGAGGTCGTCGCGTCGCTGGAGGCGGGCGGGACTGTGAGGAATGATTGCGAGGGCATCGTCGCGGTCGAGATACCCAAGGGCCGCGGGCTGACGAACCAGGAATCCCAGGCCGTCGACCCCGAAGGCGGCGTGCACGTCCTGAACCGGGATGACTTGGATGGCGAACTCGTCTGGAAGCACTACTATCGATCACCGGAAGGTAAGTCGAGAGGATACGACACCCCCTGGCCCCGTTGCATCAGAGGGGCGTATGTTTATAATCCATTCCACCCAAGGTCAATGGTCACAACGGCCCATCGGGTCCGTCAAGCCCACCAAGCGCGGCCGGCTGGCCATCAGCCGCGACGGCGATCTCTTCGCCGTGCTTCCGGATCCGTCGACTGCGGAGATGTACATCGTGAGAGCGACGAAAGCGAGCAATTACTCGGTGCAGGAAGAAGTCTGGGTCGGGAGGGGCCTGTCGGGGGAGCCCTTGGTCGACGTCCAGAGGCTGGAGCATGACAATGTCTTGTCGTTGTTCGTGAGGGCCGACGTTGAGGGTGCGGCTGAGAAGAAGAACGTGGTGGTTATGGACTTTGCACTGTGAGCTTCCGAGCCGCATCGGTTGTTGTTCCTCGAGATCAATGGATCCAGGGCCCGTCGGCGAGAGTCTTCCGCGTTGGCGTCGCTAAATCCAATCATTCGTTTAAAGAATGCATCGTCCTCCGAGCAGCCCTCACCAGAAACACCATTTGAAAGGAAGGTCCACATATCTACCCCTCCTCACGAAGCTGCAAATTTTGACGAGACTGGTTGAGCACAGACCATCTATGTCCATTTTTCTCGGTACCTAGCACGTGCTTAGGTATGAACATTTGCAATGCGTTCTTTTAAGTCCCCAGACCTCCACCAATAATGCAGAAACGTGCCAAAGTTGGCGGATAGCCGGACAGGCGTTGCCGGCATCAAAAAGCAGGCCGACTGCTATGCGACATGCCTCGAGTCACGTCAGTCACGTCTCATCGCGGTCGGTACGGTGGATATTGTGTGCAGAAAGATTGTCTGTCTTATTTCCATCAAAACTCTCTCAAGTCTGGTAAAAAAGCATCTATAAAACATGTACCCCGAAACCCCGTTTCCCCAACATAAATGAAACTCGTGCAACATCAAATCCCTCCCTCCAGACTGGCTGGCTGGCTGGCTTAAAGGACGCTCATAGCCACGGCGCCGGCGACCAGCGCCAGCGCGGCAGGGACCTTGGCACCGGCGCTGCCGGCGCTGCGCTCAGCAGACTGCTTGGTGGCGACCTTGGCGGCGGAGCTGTCCTTGGCGACGACCTTCACCTTGGCGGCCTGGCTCGTGCCGGCCTGGACGGTCTTGCCCGAGGGGTACTCGATGTTGTAGACGGCATCGGCGGGGTCGGTCAGGGGGTCGGTCAGGCCGAGGGTGTGCGGGCACGAGGGCTGGTTGCTCGTGGCCAGGTCGAGGGTGCAGGTCTCATCGTAGCCAAGGGTGCAGATGGAGTCGAGGATGTTGTACAGGACATAGTTCTGCGCGACCCAGCTGGAGGGCTGGGCGAGACAGCTGCTGATGAAGTTCATGCTGTTGGACGCGCTGAAGGGCAGCTTCTGGCCGTCTGTCTTGATGAGGTTGGCGCACTCGGACGCGTCGACGTCCTCGTAGTCCATGGTTACCCCGCCGCCTGTGATGGGGTTGGTCGTGGCCGAGTCACCCGTCTGCAGGTAGTTCCAGGCATCGTAGCTGATGTCGTGGGCCCCTTGCGACTCGTCAATGCGCAGCAGGTTGACTGACCGGCCCCCGTACGTCAGCTTGACGCAGATGTTGTTGCAGTCGACGGAGCCGGGCCAGTAGGCAACACGGTTGGTGTCGATCTTGCAGCCCAGAACCCCGACGGAGGAGGAATAGCTGTCGTGGGGGGTGATGGAGAGACCCTCCGCGGCGGCGCCAGCCGCGGCTACGAGGAGCGAGATGGTGGTGTAACCGTACATGGTGATTTAGTGAATGGAATGATCGAACTGCGTCAGACAGTTAAGGAATTTTGGCAAGAGATTGGAACAGAGGTTGTCAAGAAATGACGAATATGCTCTGAAGTCGCAGTGAAGGGAAGAGTGGCCTGCCACACGACTTTGATACAAGAGAGTGTATGTTTTGATGGGAAAAACAGATTGATGATTGTCTAAACGAGCATCATCTCAATCAGGCGCGACAAGACAGCCCTTTTTATACCTGGGGAAAAGCCTCGTGGGGCGACTGCGAACTACGGCTTCGATTACGACTACATCGGCTTGAGAGCATACCCTACACACCAACAAGATGGCAAGATCGGGGACCCAGACCAACATCTATGTACTACAGCTGACAAAATCATTCCAGAACACTGAGAGATTTTGTTCTGATTTTTTTCTCTCATTCTTCTAGAGCCCCCCACAAGGCTGTGAAGTTGTCCGATCCGATCCAATTGCAAGTCGACAACGTTGAAGCAGAGTTCTCCTGATTGGATATGCCGACCACGCTAGCGATTCGGGCCAGGGGTAAACTACGCTCCCCTGATGTCAACTCCCGTGGAAATCGGAAACTTGTGCCTGGGCTTGACTCGCGTCCAGGGACCGGATGACACCCATTGGCGAGTTGGCCGGGAAGAAAAGCGGGCGGGTGGGGTGCCATGTTGGGCCGTTTACCGTCAGGTCGGGTACCCGGCTTGGCTTGTCGATCCCCCCGATCTTCCCCCTTCTTCCCCCTTCTTCCTCCTTGGCCGGTTCCGGGGCCACACCCGGCGAACACACGCCCCCGCTTTTTTGGAGTAGGACGGCGCCGGTGAGAGGCCCGTTCATATACCAAAAGAGTGGGGTAGGCCACGAGTAACGAAGGCCTAGAACGTTCCAGGCGCAAAGAAGTAACTCGAGGGAGCAGCTTCCGAGGCGTGTTCAGCCGGGTTACGTAAGGAGTCTCCCGCCGGTTGTCGGAGGCGCGGCGCTGTCAATGAACCGGAAGACGGAAGTCATTTGTCCGAATTCAGTCCCGCCGTGGGGCCTCGCACGGTACAGACAAGACCGGCAACGGGTGATGGAGACGGAGATGAAGAGTTTGCAAGCCACTGGCGTAAGCATGGACGCCACATTTCAGGGGGACGGGAGTTGGTTCGGCGTTGACTGCCAGCCGATTTGGAGGAAGAGAAAAATATGTTGAACCGATTACTAAGACAGATAGAGAGGATGCGGCGTACCTAGAGAAAAGGGACAAAAACAAGGGGCGCTGTTTGGGAATGCCGATGTTGGCTGTTGGCTGTTGGCTGTTTGCTGTTGGTGGAAGGAGAGACCCCCTCGGATTGGTCGAGGTAAGAGGTAACGCGTGCAAGAACACTCAGCTGGTTTACTGATTCTCCGACGCCTAACACGTTGGCTGCTCAGGCGGAGAGTTGGCATGCTTCCGCGTTGGCTCGTGGCATCGCACCACCTCCTTCTTGTAGCCAAGGCATACATGCTTCCAATCGTTTTTCTTGCTGAATTTGGCAATGGATTGCCCGTGAAAGTGGCCGGCAGCTGCTGGTTTATCTTGGTGAGCTTGATAACCACCTACCTGTCTGGGCAGGTGGTGGTGCTGAAATGGCAGGTGACTTTCAAGGATGCACCTCTTTGCAAACCCGGATACGGATTGCACCATGCACGAAGGGCATATCTGTGGCTGGTGACCGTTGTTCACGAGATTTGGGGATCAAGCCTCGGCGAAGAAGGGTGGGTGACTGCGTGTCTCGCTTACCGCGCAGAACAAGAGTGCTGATCCGACGCACCCCATTGGTCGATTTCAGCACTGAACCCCCTGAAGATCTTGATGAAGGATGAAGGACGCAGATCTGCGCCGGCAATAGCGGGGTCCTGATGGCGATCGCGTTGTGCAGTTGGCCGCCACCAATGAGATCTGAAACTTTAGAGTCAACTGGACAAACCAATACCGGCGCTGCCCACCCCTTTGAAGCATGGAACCCTTTTTCCACCTGCCATTGCGATGTGATTCCTCCGAGAAAACGCTCCATACTGCGCTCCATACTGGCCTGGTTAGGCTAGGGAAGCACTGGAAGGTGCCATTGCCGGACTTGCATGTTTGGCCTGCCAGCTCACAAGGGCGCACACAGCCTTCCAAGTGGCCATGTCGACGAAATGAGACGTCCACAACTCCCCTGCCCAAGACACAGATGATCAGTCCAGATGGCTACTACGTTGGTGGATCGTGAAGACGTGCTGTTGAAGACCTTGGCACATAACTTGGCACATAACTTGGCACATAAATACCAAGACAAGAGCCGCCTTGGAGGTCATCCTTGGCCTGCACCGCTGCCACCTCCCATCACCATCCGCGCCCCGTACCTGCCAAGTCCAGCCCAGCCAAGCCTTCAAGCATCCCGCCCCCCCAATCCACCTGCCCCTCCTAGACTCTCCTTTTGCTGTGTGAGCTGTGCCCCCACGCGATACCTACCATGGCGCCACTCTCCAACGCACTCCTCGCCGCGACTCTCGCCGCCGGCGGCCTTGCGTCTGCGGTCCCTCCCCGGGTCGGGATCCCGGTGCCGCCCATTGGCAGTAGTGGAGCCTTCTCCGTTGGCCAGGTGCACAACTCGCGCCATGTGAGGCACGGCCCCATTGCTCTGGCCAAGGCGTACCGCAAGTATGGCATCTCTATTTCCGACGAGCTGGCCTCCGCTGTGGCCAGCATCGTCCAGAAACGCTCGACGGGCAGCGAGACGACCGCCCCCGTGGAGTACGACGTCGAGTACCTCACGCCCGTCTCCATCGGAAGCCCCGCCCAGGTCCTGAATCTCGACTTCGACTCCGGATCCAGCGACCTGTGGGTGTTCAGCTCCGAGACGCCCCGCGGCTCGGTGAACGGACAGTCCATCTACAACCCGTCCAGGAGCAACACCTCCAAGAAGCTGACCGGCGCGACCTGGTCCATCTCGTACGGTGACGGCAGCGGTTCCAGCGGCGACGTCTACCTGGACACGGTCACCGTCGGGGGCCTCACGGTGAAGAGCCAGGCGGTCGAGCTGGCGCGGCAGGTCTCGTCGTCCTTCACGGCGGACAGCGACAACGACGGCCTACTAGGCCTCGCCTTCAGCAGCATCAACACCGTCTCCCCGACTCCCCAGAAGACCTTCTTCGACACCGCCCTGCCGTCCTTGGACGCCCCGGTCTGGACCGCGGATCTGAAGCATGATGGCCGTGAGTATTGCCCAATCCACCTTTCTCTTATACATCTGAACACATTCCCCGACTGACACCGACTCGTAGCGGGCAAGTACAACTTCGGCTACATCGACAAGACGGCCTACACCGGCGCGCTGTCGTACACCCCCGTAGACAGCAGCGACGGCTTCTGGATGTTCACGGCGTCGGGCTACGGCGTGGGCAGCAACGTCTCGTCGTCGACGTCGATCCGCGGCATCGCCGACACGGGCACGACCCTGCTGCTGCTCCCCACCGCCGTCGTGCGCGCCTACTACGCCGGCGTCCGCGGCGCCAAGAACGACCGCACCCAGGGCGGCTACGTGTTCCCCTGCTCCGCCGCGCTGCCCGACTTCACCTACGGCGTCGGCTCCGGTGGTGGCCAGGTCACCGTCCCCGGCGAGTTCGTCAACTTCGCCCCGCTCGATGACGGCAGCAACCAGTGCTTCGGCGGCATCCAGGACGACGGCGGTATTGGGTTCGCCATCTTCGGAGATGTCGCCCTCAAGGCTGCCTTTGTTGTCTTCGACTCGGGCAAGAAGCAGCTCGGCTGGGCGGCGAAGAAGCTCGCCTGAGCGGAGATTTTAAGCCGCCGCCTGTGGATGAAGAAGGGGGAGCTGAGCCGAGGGGGGGCTGGTAGAGGTCTAAACAAGACGACGCCTGACGTGTCCTGCACCACCCCGGCGCTGGGCGCGGGGGCGTGGATTGTTGGGAAGGACCCACTAAATACCCAAACCCGTCTTCCATCGTCGACGCGTTTTTGTTCCTACTTTTACCCACAACTACCAGTAGGACAGACTACTAGCTGAAAACTAGTCACTGGGAGCACTCAGAAGAGACCATCGCAGTTGTCTACGCAGTAGGCTTTATTCCATCAGCTATTTAGCTTCCAAAATGTGATGCAATGGTGTGGCTGCATATGTGGTCGACCATGACGTCATGCTCTCGATTGACTTATCACATGTCAAATCATTGTGAGAATTAACTTTCACGGCCAGGAGTTACACCTACTTTCCTCCAACCTCCCTTCTCACTCCTCTGAGAAGTTATTTTGTTTAAGAGCCATTCCATATTACCCCTGTCCACGAGAAAACCTACCCTGTAATTAATTACTCTAATTAATACCATGAATACCATGACTCTCAAAGAGTCTCCAGCAACCAGTTTTATATAGCCATATCTTCAATCGAATTGGCCCCGTCGACCCCAGACGGCCCGCCAGGCCCAGACGGCCCGTCAACCCCAGATGGCCGACGCCATTCTCTTCTGCCTCGTCGTGCCTCGCGTATGCGCCAGAATATGGAGCCCTGTGGCGAACGAGTTGAGCATTAGAAACCTCGCAAGTCGCACAGCAGTACCATGCCTGAAAAAGGACAGCAACGACCGGGATACTTACGTCGTACACCTGCCTCAGGTCTTCTTTGTAGACCCTCCCCCTTTGCTGGACTAGCAGCCAGGTCGTCACCCACTCCAAAATGGACGCACCCCACTGGCGGAAGTATGTCTATCAGCAAGTGTACCACGGGGAAGCAAGGTGTGCGGGAAGGACATCCACCGTGGGTGGATACTTACTCCGAAAGGGTCCGCGACGAGGCGGTTCCCATGGATCATGCTGAACAGCTCCATGAACGTCAACGACCCCCCGCCCTCCTTATCCCACTTTGAGAACAGGTCCTCGAATTTCTGGGGCACGAATCGGCCCTCGGTATCGTAAACTCCGCTGTCCGAGCCATGCTGTGGCAGTGTCAGTCAGTCAAGCTCTCTCAGTCTGCCCGGTCGGGCAGGAGGGGGAGAAAGAAAACTGCCCTTACCTTGGCCTTGTGGATGCCGCCGACGTAGACGCGGAAGAGCGGGTCGGGCACGAACGAATACGCCAGGCGGGTGGGATACGAGAAGTTGAAGTTGATGATGGCCATGGCGAGCAGGGAGAACAGGATGTTGAAGCCCAAGTCTCGGAAGCCGACGTACGTGTCCCAGGGGTAGATCTGGCCGTCGCCGTCCCGGTCCCAAAAGAGGACGTGCTGCTGCAGAACAGTCTTGTCCCCGGGGCAGAAATCGGTTAGTTGCACGTACATATATGGGCTGGGCAGGAGATTAAAAATAAAGGGGGGAGGGGGGGGGGGCAGAGGGGAGGGGGGCAGAGCTCGTCTCGCACTCACATAGTCGTGGAACTTCCGGGCGTGGTCAACGCTTCCGTGCGGCTCCTGGGTCGAGATGGCAAGGTTGGCGCGAGGGACCGAGGGCTTGTCGATATGTTGGTCGGCGTCGACGGCGACAGGGCGTTTGCGGGTTGCCGGGCACTTCTGGACGGACATGGCGTCGCTGAAGCCGTTTTCTTTCCCACGACGGCGTTGGGGCGCGGGGCCAGTAGGCATGGTGTTTTCTTTCTCTCTCGCAAGGAACTACAACTCGGTTGCTTCTCCTTGAGCTTCAACGTCGAGGACTAGGTAGGTATAAGGGATGAGTCGTCGTGGAATCGGAAAAATGGTACGCCTCGGCTTTAATAGTTTGGCTTGGTTCCTGGGCTCCCGCTCCTGTTGGGATAAACCTTGACTTTGGAAGACGTCTGGCATGTGAGGAACAGTTTGTTGGGGTGCCGTTGATGTGAAAGCTGGTAATTGCAGGCTGATAGATAGATGATGACATCAGAGCTGGGTAGACTGGATGACGACTCACTAGACCTGTGATCTAGGTGGTTTAACTAAGGGGAGAGGGGTCTTTCATGCAGCTTCTCATGCACCCCTCTCAATCCTTCGTATAGCCAGAGCGTCTATCCAAATGTGAGCCTCTTGCTGAGGCCTCATGCTTGATAATCCCGGTAGGTGTGTAATTGGAAGAACCAGAGAAGCCTCCTGGCGAAGTTGAATTCCTATCTTTCTGTAGCTCACTGAAGACGAGGACTCCACGCCCCAAATCCCCTCGTAGATCTATAACCGGCGTGGTAGATTGAGTAATTATCTAACCATAACAGCTACAATACCGTATGAAGCACAGCAAGCAGACTTTCGAGATGCATGTAGCACCAGGCATGACTACCCACTTCACATGCGCAAGTCTTACGAGGAGGTAGAGTTGAGGTGTGTTCAAGAGGGTCGATAGAGAAAGGCTCAGAGCTTAAGCACTTCAATGCATCAACTACCGAGCCAATCCAGCGGCAAGAACCTTGTTAACCCTGGAATGACTTATAGAAGAGGATTCAAGGGTGGCTCGTGAACCTCCTCGTGAAATCTCTGCTCCGGTATTGATCGTGTGGCTTACCATTTGGATAGCAAGGTTAGAATATGATCTACCAGGCTTGAAAAGGTAGCAGAAGGAGTGTAGCTGAAAGGGTCAACATATAGTTACTGGGTATTGGGATAACCCCCTATTTCCCCTGCCATCCCCCTGGCATTCCCCTGAAAATTACTCGACGAAAGAGACTGTTTGTGCCACGAGGACATCGATATCCCCGAGATATTGGGATGAACTTTCCCTAACACGAAAGCGTGTAGCTTTTCTACCGAGGGGTCAACGTCGACATCTGAAGATCAAGAAGGCTTATCAAGCAGTCTCGTCATAATTACCGTACAGCCTATCTACACACCACAGGTCAACCCTGGCTATCTGTATCTAGGTCGTAAATACCTGACTGAACGCGCTTTGGGGGGAAGCCCGACGACGTCTACTACTTACTACTAGTAGAGATCCAAGACTCTGTTGATGGTGGCGCTCTGTTATCATTGGTGGGCTGACGGCTATTCCTCGTCGAAGATGTAATTAATCACTTCATGAAACTGCCACTCACTTGCGACATGCCTTTCTTCAGGACTGGGATGCCTATATTTTTCTCCTGCATTTGTCGTTCGAGTTCTACATACCCAGGTGGGTAGTGCCAATCTCGCTACACTACCTTCTGTCAGTCTCGATTCTGGGAACAGCAGGCCTGAGGACAAGTGGCTGGTCCTCCCGCCAGCTCAAACCTTGTTCGCCATCACGGAGCATACACATATCTACGGCAGGTTGAAGTCTGCTTCAAATCTATTCTGGCGAGCGAGATCCGGTCCTCGAAGTATAGCCCGTCATCAGCTAGATCCGATAACAAGGCATCATGGGCGCCCTGTTCGTGTGTATCACCATCTGGCCGCTTACAGTCTAGCTCAAGAATGCTTGTCTATCCCGTTGTTGTCGCGCCGTGGGGGGACCATATACGGCGGGCATGCTGGCGGCACGTTTGCCGGTGAGCGAGATGCTCCTCCGGGGAGGATGGGGAGGTATCGGGAGGTATCTGGGGATGGCGATATCGACGAGAGTTAGTTAGTGACCATGCAGATGCAACTTGCAAGATCAATAAATGGATGGCCAAGACACTGGGTCAGAGGCAATTGGCGTATGCTTCTCTGCTTCCTGCCTCTTGTTTTCGCGGCCGACGAGACCGGCACCTTGATGTCGCCTCCACGACTATCAACCGATTACTGCACCTACGTAGTAATTACCAATTGGTTGGGCTCGAGATAAATTAAAAGCAGGACCGGAAAGAGAGAACAAGATCTCGGTACCACACTATGCGATCATTGATGCCAGGAACACGGACGACGCATGAGCTGTTCATCTATAATCTAATTATAATTAGCCGTCGACATATCTCGACCTCGCGGACGGTGCTTTCAGTGACATTGACTCGGAGCTCCCCCACCCCTCCCCACTTCCCCCTGCCCCTCAGCACTTGCCAATTCGGCAACAGCAGCCGAGATCCAGGCTCACATTCGAGCAGGAAATACTAGTAAACTCCAATAGTGGACGGGATTGATTGAAGCTTTGATCGCATCACCGGCGGGGCGGGTCCTCACACCATTGAATTGACCAATTCGCGCGCCGATGCGTTCATTTGAGCAAGTTTTCCGAACTGCACGGCCGACCACCCCTCGCCGGCCCCACTTTTTAGTGTCACCCTTCAGGGATCCGAGCATGCAATTGATCCAGAGCTTGGGGAGTCGAGGACCCTGCCATTGGGCCTATTGGCCCATTGGTCCAATTGTCGAGGCTGTTCCCGACGCGGCGGGAAGGAGCCCTGGAAACGGGACATCAATAACTGCAGTAGCGCCCTTTCGCTCGACCCTTTTGTTTTCTTTGACGGGTCTCGGTTGGGGGCTGATGGGCTTATTAGGTAGGTAAAGGTACGAACTGGTACGTGAAGGCCAAGAGTTCCCCCCAACGTTGGCTGGGCGCTTTAACCGGCACCTTAAAAACTTGCTCAAATTGAACCCAGCTGCCCTGTCCTGCTTTTATTGGCACCCCAGGCAGGTTGTGGGCAAGGGAGGGGGCTGAAAAGCTTCCTGCGGGATGGGAGACTAATAAAGTATATATAAGTGAATGGCGAATGATCTCCCGCTCTCCTGTTGACTTCCTCACTCTTGATCCTCGCGGTTCTGTTGTTTGTAATAATTAAAGCTTGTTTCCTGATACCCCACGTGATACCCACCTCAAATACCCAAAAAGCCGCCACCATGAAGACCATCGCCCTTCTTGCTGCCGCCCAGCTGGCCTCTGCCCATTTCGGCATCGAATACCCAGAATGGCGCGCAAACACACTGTCGGAGGATAACCCGCAGTACTCGCAATGGACCTACCCTTGTAAGTCCCCCTTTCCTCCCCCACCTCCCGCGCAGGATTCCCCCCCAAAGCAAAACCCAGTCCTGACATGCCACAGGCGCGGGCGTGGACGCCGACGCGGGCAACCGCACCGACTGGCCCCTGCAGGGCGGCACCCTCAAGCTTGACCTGCACCACCCGTGGACCTACGTGTTCGTGAACCTCGGCCTGGGCGACAACGTGACCAACTTCAACTACACCCTGACCCCCGAGTTCTGGAACACGACTGGCAAGGGCACTCTCTGCGTTCCCGACCTGCCCCTCCCGGCCGACCTCTCCGTCGAGGACGGCAGCAAGGCCAGCATCCAGGTCGTGACCCTTGGAGAGAGCGGGAACGCCCTGTACAACGTGAGTTATCCCGTGATCCCCATCCCCATCACCCTCGCCTTCACCCCCCACTCCAGGGGAGGGCGTGGAAGAGAGGTCGGGGAATCTGCGGAAGAGAGAGGGGGCACCGGCTGATTTCGTATTGAAAACAAACTAGTGCGCCGACATCACCTTCCGAAAGAGCGCAAAGGCGCTCGTTTGCACGGCCGATGAGAACGTCACCTACGTCGCCGTCAAGGAGCAGAACGGCGACGGCAGCAGCTCGGGCAACGGCACCGGGTCGAACTCGGGCGGGTCGAACTCGACCGGCGGTGCTGGGGACAAGAGCGCCGGGACCGTCGCCGGCGTCAACACCGTTGCCCTGGTCTCGGCCGTGGGCCTGGCCCTCGCGTTTGGGTTTGGCATGAGCATGTAAGCCGTGCGGGCTGTGAAGTGGGGTGGAGTTTTTGTGTGCTTTGGTGTTTAATTTTATTTCTTGGTGGATTTTGGCCTCCCGGGCCCAAGTTCCTTAACCTGTACATATTAATTACCACCCTATATTGGGACGATGAGATGAAGCGAGATGTCAGGATGCAGTAATACCAAGAGCTCTGAGCTGAATATCCTCCATCCTCCACAGATTTTGAGGTGAAATGCAAATGGTGACGGGTATATACGAGAGAAAGAAAGAAAAACTTGGAACTACGCCACTCACCATCCAGTTCCGATGCACGCTCTCCAGTCACCATCCAACACCGTCCCATGTATTGAACAAACACACACGCTTCCAACGGGTTATCTTCGGAAGCAGGTCGCGTGATAAAACATAAAGCTTGGTCGTATTCGTTTCCGTCGGAGTTCATTTATCTCTCCGTCAGCTGCTTCGAGAACAGCTCCTCCGAGAACAGCTCCTTCACCACCTGCCGCATCGTGATCCGCTGGTTCGGCTGCGCCGCCAGCATGCCGGCGACGAGCTCCTCGAGCCTGTCGCGTCTGTCCAGCTTGTCCCTGGCCTCGTGGACCTCGCCCAGCCACTGCTGCATCTGCGAGACCGCCGACGGGTACGGCTCTCCCGCCCGCCCGGCCCCGTGCGCGTCGTGATGGTGATGCCGGCGGTGGTGATGGTGATGGTATGCCGGCGGCCTGTTTAGGTCCGCGATCATCCAGTAGAGCCGGCGCGGGTGCTGGGCCCGGCCCCGGGACTCCGGGAAGGGGATCTTGCGCAGCACGTACAGCATCGTGACGCCCAGGGCCCAGACGTCGCTCGGCGCGCCGCGCAGCTTGCGCCCGACGAACTCCGGGGGCACGTAGTAGGGAGTACCGCCCGTGGTGGCTGAGGAGCCAGCCGGGGTCGACAGGCCAAAGTCGCACAGCACGGCGCCCCGCTCGCGGCTGTACAGGATGTTGGCGGGCTTGATGTCGTTGTGTACCAGATTACGCCCGTGGATGTAGTGGAGGGCGCCGGCAATGTCGCGCAGCACCCGCACCGCGTCGGCCTGGTCGCCCCGGAAGAGGTCCGTTCCGTCGTCGCGCCATACCCCCTTGGCCGACAGATCCCGCGCCTCAATGTGCTCCATGTACAGCGACAGGTAGCGCGCGTCCCCGCCGTACAGCCGCACGATGCTGTCGTGCTGCAGGTCGTCGTGCGACTGGAACTCGCGCAGCCAGATGTCCGCCTGCCGGATCACGTTGCGCTCGTTGTCCTGCGGCTTGGCCACCACGCCGCCGCCGCCGCCTGCTGCCAACGGCGTCCGCGTCTTGAGCACCTTCACCGTGATGATGCCGTCCGACACGCTGGAGTGGTCGGCCTTGAACACGCTTGACAGCGCCGTCGACGCGATGGGCTCGCGCTTCGTGATCTGGTACTGGTCCAGCTCGCAGCCGCCGGGGATGTCGGCGGACTCATCCCGGCGCATGTCGAGGAGAGCGTGCCCGTTGGACGGGACAATATCCTTGCCCTTGTCGGCGGTGGGGAGGGGGAATATAAGAGGATCCGCCTGCGGGCGCAGGAACATGATCACCCCGTCGTCGTTCTTGCCCGTCGCGGCCGCCGCCCGCAGCTTCCTCTCAGGGCCCGTAGGATCGTCGTCGTCGGCCGTAAATGACCTCTTGCCCGACGAGTTCACCATCTCGCTCAGCGACGGGCCCTCGGAAGATGACCCGGACGGGAGCTTCAACATGGCCGGCCGCTTCTCGATAATCCGGAAGTCCAGGACCTCCGTCTCGTTAACTCTGATTCGCCAAGTGCCCGGGACAAGGGCCTTGGTGGTTCCAGGATTGACGGTGTACTCCATGCCGGGGCTTGCCGCGGGTTGATACGACACCCTGGAGAGGGAAATGGGGACATCTGAACGGTTGAGCAGGATCTGGTTGTCGCTAGCCGGGTCGTAGTACAGCTCGCACCACAGCGGTGGCCTCGGAAGATCGCCGTCCAGCCGCTCCCCAGGTATCCTGACCGAGAACTTGATGTCCCGCGAGGTCTGGGTGACTGCCAAGACTTTGTGTTGGGGCTGGTCCTGTTCAGCGATCTCGGCCCGCAGCGCGAGCCATTGGCAGTTATCCTGATTGCCGGGACTGACCGACCGGCCCCTGGTCAGTGGCCGGACCAAGATCCGAATGCCTTTATCCGGCGGCACAACGAGGTGGTCCAGTGGGACCGAGCTGCCAACCGAGGGGTTGATCTCCTCCCCCCGGATGCTCTGCAGCCGCGCATCGATCTCGGATTGTGAGAACGGCTCCGTCTTCTGCTCCGAGTATTCCTCAGAGATGATGGGCCGTAGGTCACCCATCACCGCGGCGGGATGTGGTCGGTGTGGTGGTGACGATGCGGTTGGTTGCTCCGCAGGAATGTGTGACGGCAATAACAGGCACACAAATGGTGGGATTACACAAGATGGTAAATCGGGCCAGGCTGCAAGGAACCACTACTTGAACGAATGAAGCTTGAGGCAGCCGAAAATGGAGTATGGGATGGCGCATAAAAGTGAAGAAAATGCGTTGGATGATGGCGCTGGGGGTGGGGGATGGGTGGCTGCCACTCAAGCTGGCAAAAGCCGCTATGCTATGCAGAGGAAACAGGGTTTCCCACAGGGGCAAAGGGAATAAAAAAAGAATGCCTTGTGTTCAATGCCTGCTTGCCATGGTTGGTGGGTGTAATGACCGTCATTCAACGGGGGAAAAATTGCAGATGAGCCTAGACGGAGAGGACGAGGGTGTTGATGAGCCCTGCTGACGGGGTCTCAGCCTCAAGTGAGGATTTGCGGAGAGTCATCGAAGCAGTCAGAAGGGAACGGTCCGGCGGGTGCCTAGCTCGAAGAAGTTCCCCCGCGCAGGCCTTGGGGTCGTCTGTTAGCGCCCTACTTGTCCAGATCCTTGTCTCGACCTCGAGGCGGGATAACGCGGAGGTTTTGCAGGCCGGGAAACAATGGCCATAGACGCCCTGAATCGTTCACGGGAGAGCTACAGGAACAATAAGAACAAGCTTCGTCGCGGCTAGTGTGGTCAAATGGTGAGTTTGGGACGCTGGGCATGAGCTTATTTGATCCTTGAAGCCGCCACTTTGTTAGCACATGGGCAAATTGCAAGACTATCATCAGCTGGTGGACACGGATTTGGCAGCCTGGTTGAAGTACCTCCGTACCCCGCAAGCATGGAACGGACGGGAATTGCCAGCTGCCAGCCTCGGATTATCCACACAAGTGGTGGAAAGAAAAACTGGTGCATACGTTACACTACATACTAACAATTTTCTTGGCAAAGGCAACTTAATAATGTTAGTGGGTGGGGTAACACATGCACTGGTTCTTCTTTCCACCGCTTGCCCACACCACCAAGGTGCTTTCCAACTGCTTCGCCCCACCTGGATTAGAGCCGACCGTATTTGGCTAGGGGGTGGCCAGTAAGCAGTCATCAGGCAGTGGCTGACAAAACCCTCCTGTTGCTCTGGCAGTGCTATTAGAAACACACCACGCTCGTGTTTGTGCACCCCCATCCACCTTTACACAAAAACATCACGTCACAAGGCTCGGGTCAGGTGTCACTTCCGCGACAACACAGCGAGACGGGAAGGAGAGGGAGAGGGAGAGGGAAAGAGAGAGAACCTACATATTCTGTCAGCAACTATAGATTCCTAACCTTTAAACTTGTGCGGACTATTATCAAGAAATTGCTTGACAAGAAAAGAATATGATAAGAGTGCCAAATGGCCGGAAATCTGCTTGACATGGAAGGAGAAGATCAAAATGGCGGTCGAAAATTTTGATGCTCACACTCCTCCTCCCCTTGGCCGGGATGTTGATTTTGATGATGCAGGCTGGCAACCACGCATTCCGCTGAAAGTGGCAATGCAGGATATTATTGGTTCGCAGTGCTGACGCCACTGCAGTCCATTGGCCAGAAGCACAAGCAAAGGGGGGCCTCCGGCATCCCTCGTGTTCCACAATTCGCGCTAGCCCATAATTTGACCCACCTTGAGAGCAACCATTGGCTGTTCATTGCTTTACTAGCGTAGTTTGTCAGGCCGGAAGCGGACTTTCATTTGGGTGCCAAGGACACTGGGCGTCCCGCAATTTTTCAGTATGGAGCCAGGCCCCCGAACACCCGAACACCAGATCACCCATCCTCCCGGCCCAGTCCTGAAACCCGCTTCACCACGCCATCATCATCGAGATATCGCCAACCCTACAGAACACTCAATCGCCCGCAGAACCACTTTGGACTCTACAGACCCAGGCAATACAGGCGAAATGTACACCAGCGAAAGGTTCGTTTAGACAGATGGCTCTCTACGCCCGCGCAAGCACCACAATCGGCAAGCGATTTCAGTAAATGGTTCACGATTCTCGGTCTCCTGTCACCTATTGATACCCCCATTTCTTATCCACTAATTCGACTACACAATCACTAAATCACCAACCCTCTTCCCCCCCGACGGCGGACGATGGACGATCCAGGATGGACTTGGCCATATTGGAAGTTCGGATTGAAGAAGGATGACCTCTTCACCAAGCTGCACGACCAGTACAACACTTTCCCGTCCTCGATCCAGGACCCCGAGGCCTTCCACCACGACGTCTTCGAGATCTCAACCGAGGCGAGCACCGCGGACCAGTTCCATCGTCTTCTTGCCAACCGCAAGCAGCAGCGTCTCTGCGAACTGAACAACTCTCTCGAATCTGCCTCGCTCGAAATCATCGCCAACCCGACTCTCGTCGGCACCGAGCAGTGGCAATACGCTCTCCAGCTCTTCCGCACGAAGTCGTTGGACTCTCTCGTCCGCTACTTTGCCTCGTATCTCCCCCACGACCATCCATGGCACTCTCCCGACGGCAGTACCTCGTCCGGTTCGGAGTTCGACAGCGTCGACTCCATCACCGACTCACACTCGCACGGCTCCTTCTTCGACGCTGATGACGAGAGAGCTGCGGTTGTACACGAACCCTTTCCCATCTCGACGTGTATCGAGGGTCACCTACCACCGTCCCCTCGCTCCATGACGATGTGTTCGGATGGGTCTGTCGACGTTGTTCATCACACCTACACTCTGGATAACATGACTCCAGCACGGAGTCTCTCCTTCTCAGAGTCCGAGTCGGAGCACTTTGCTCTTCAGGATTCCCGATCCCATCTTCACGATGACGATGCCTCACAATCTTCCGACCCCGGGTCGCCCATCACGACCATATCGGAGATGTCAGACATGGCACACTTCGAGATGCTGGAGAAGGAGGATGGTGTCGATGCCAACGAAGACGAGCCGACCGAGGCTCCTCAACCCCCAGAGGAGGAGATACAGGAGTCGGATGATATGGAGACGCCGACCCCAAAGCCCGAAGCCCGAGCGACATCCTTCTTGGATGCGAAGCCATCACTACCTCACCGACGACACCGAAGCTTCTCACCGTCGTGTCCACACCCCCTCTCACGAGTACACACGCATCTACCACACCACGACAACCGAAAAGCACAACGCACACCGAGGCTTCGCAGGAGGGATTGCAGTCCAGGTCAGGAGAGGAGTCGTCGCCCTGGAGAAGCAGCGACTCGCGTACGGAAACCGTTGCCAGACCCGATCAGGTCGAGGCCCAGAGGACGGAGAAGGGCAGACTGCTAACGATCGTGGTTCCTTGGTGTTTTGGTGTTGGTGGTTTGGTCTTACCTATACCCTTGTACATATGTTGCCCACAGTTGTGAATACCTCTCTGTCTGCACTTGATGGCTCTCCACATCTCCCTTCTTGGTCAGGCAATGGGTGTGATCGCGTGAGGCCATTGCCAGTGCAATGGCCATTCTTGGTGGTGTTGCTAATCTCGCTCGCTGTAGTGCTGCTCCCTGCCTAACTCTCTCCCGTGAGGCTATTCCCATCCTCGCCCTCTATTGACCCACGACGCCGTTATCCCCGCCTCTCGAGAACTCGTTGCATTCATTACTTCCTGCTCCTGCTCCCCTCACTCTTATGCTAACTCGTACTGTCAGGATGTAATCTTAATGTTTAATCTGGTTGTGTTGTAGGATCTTGAAGCTATTCGCCTGGCCCGCCCTGTCAAAACATTCCTCCCCCCCTCGTCGTCCTCCCCTACCATCCAAACTGACACTGGCGCCGCAGCAGATAAACACATCTACAATTCATACACCGAGCAGCAATCGTCGAACCTCGTCTCTTCCTGTTGGATATATTTCCTCGCACACTTCCAATCTGTTTCGTGGATGTTTGGGGGTGCCTGGTGTCGGCTTACTTCCCCATCCCCTCGCCGGCTTCAGCCGTGGCGTTTTCCCCCCTCAAGACCCCCGCCCCCGCCCCCGCCCCACTCTGGTGTCGCTACCTACATTCATACATGCTCCCCACTTCCCGCCCCGTTCTGCTGCTAACTTCAAGTGCTATTGTCGAGCCTCGCATGTGGAGCAGACAGATACCCAGGTAGGTTGAAGCCGGGCGACGGGCGTGACCAGGCTTGGCCGAATCACACAAAGGCGGGCGAGAGGTTCCTCGATGTATAATAAAATTCTCAGTATCCTGTAATAGCAAATGATCCAATGCTTTTAGTATCTTGGCGATTAATCTTTCTGGAAAGGGTATCAAGGCTATCCCATATTCTGTAAACCTTACTTATACCCAACATGCTTGTCTCCCGTGACCACCTATCCATGATGAACACACAAAATCAAACAGTACAGGATCAGCCCCTCTGTCCTCTCCCCGGGTCTAAATGCACCAAAAAGGTATTGTACGTAGATGGTCGTAAAACATGCGTTGGGGGATTCCAATATTCCCCTTCGTGAAGATCCGGCAGTAGATGGTCATGTCATATAGGTAGGTATGCGTCCCCATCAACGCAGACCCCCAAACCCCTTCTCCACAATGAACCTGACCGGCTTCCTGCGACGGCTGCTCATCCCCCTCGGCGGAATGACGGGTCTCATCACCGGGCCCGGCCCCAACGGCTTGACGCTCATCCCCTTCGTGCGCACCATCGCCTTCCCGGAGTCGGGTCTGTTGTTGCCGCCACGTCCACCGCCGCCGCCGACACCGCCGGGCCCGATCATGCCTCCCCGCGCCTCGGGCCCGGGGCTGCTGCTGCTATTGTCGGATAATACGGCGCCGCGGCGGCGCTCGTCGAACCCCCACCTCGCGACCCCCCCGCCGGCCAGCCAGCCGGCGAGGTTCTTGCACTGGCTGACGTCGAGCCACTCGAGGCGGCCGCAGCCCTCGAGCACGTTCTCGACGCCGACGCCCGTGACGCGCACGCAGCCCCGGACGCTGAGGCCGCGCAGCTCGTTGAGGTGCAGGGCGGCGCAGCCGAGGCTCGCGTCGCCGACGGCGCTGCCGCAGAAGGCGAGGCGCAGCTCGCGCAGCAGCGGGAGGCCCAGGGCGACGACCTCGGTGGCCGTGTCGGAGAGCGCGCAGCAGAAGGACAGGTCCAGGTGCGTCAGGTTCTTGGCGGCGCTGACGAGCGCCACGATGCTGTTGTCCGACAGGTACGTGCAGTCGGCGAGCCGGAGGTGCGTCAGCGTCGTGAAGCGGTGCGGCGCCCACGACTGGAAACCGGCGTCCGTGATGGATGTGCACCGTGTCAGGGATAGCCGCTCCAGCCGGGACGACGCGTGCACCGCGAGGTGCGCCATCGACCGGTCCGTGATGTGCTTGCAGTACGAGAGATTGAGCCGCCGGAGGGACGGGCAGCCGATGACGGTGCCCGGCGCCGGCGGAGGGGGGACGGGGGGTGGGGTTGACGGGGTTGCTGCGGATTGGCCCTCCGGCTGCTGCTGCTGCTGCTGCTGTTGTTGTCCTGCCTTCTGCCGCTGGGATCCCCGCTGCGAGCGGGACCTGGCGCTGGAGCTGGCGATGATCACATTCCTCATTATCATGGCCTCCCGCGCGGGCGGCGAGGGCGCCTCCGGGACGACCCAGCCGACCACCCTCGCGAGCAGGTTGTCGCCGACCTTGCGGCAGTTGCTCCAGTCCACCTCCTCGAGCCCCTTTGCGTTCTCGCACATCTCCAGTATCTGGCTCGCCGACACGTCCCAGACGCTACGCATCTTCCAGCACTTGACGCTGCGGCCGCACCGCCGCCAGAGCGCCTGGAAGCCCTCGTCGGTGATGTGGAAGCAGTTGCTAACGTCAATCTCGACGGCCCGCGACCCGATAAACGGCGCCAGCACGTGCGCGAGCGTGAAGTCCGACACCCTGCGGTTGAAGGAGCTCAGGTCGACGTGCGTGCAGAGCCTGGGGCTCTCGGTCAGGAGGCGCCGCCAGTGGGTAGACACCGCTCGGAGCCGGAGCATCTCGAATATGTCCAGCTGTTGGAACATGGCTATGAGGATGTCGTCGGGGAGGGAGGTCACCTTCTGCTGCTTCTCCCCGGCGGAGCTACATGGCCGCCGGGCCAGTGTCCTGGCACGTTTCGACGGGATTGGAGCGTCTTCCGGTGGGGTCGCCGATGATGTCGACACTGGGGGAAAGAGCTTTATCGGCCTGCTGCTGCTGGTGTCCAGGGTATGCGTTCTGATGCCATTAACGGGAGACGTTGGTGATGTCACGTCGGGCTGCTGCTGCTGCGGCGGCGGCGTCGGTGGGGCGAGCGAATTGCGACGACGGTTGCGAAGGTTCTCCATGTCGACGCTCAAGTAGGGGTCAGGGTCCGAAGGCTGGCGAGTCTGCGCCTCGTCCTTGGTCGGCGATGCTGGTTTTGAGGGGGTAGTAAATGTGACTTGGGGCAATGTTGTTTGCTCGGGAGTGCGCGGCTCATTATCGTCTTCGTCAGACCCCGCCGCCCGTGGCTCTGCTGCGTCCGGCATCTCCACGTCTTCTTCGTCCGACTTGAGATACCTCTTCCTCGCCGTCTCTTCGACCTGGAGTTTGATCCCAGGCGGGCACCGGCTCCACAGCTCGTCCAACGCATCGCCGCCGATCATGAGACACTCCACCGTCGTGATTGATCGCACCGTCGCAGTCCGCCCGTCAGACAGCCCCAGGCTTGCAACCTCCCCAAAGTATTGCCCCTGCTTCAAGCGCGGGCGGACATACGACGGTCTCGTCAACTTCTTGGGACCCAGCCCGTTTGATATCTCGTGGATCACCTCGGCCTCGCCCCGGACAATGAAGAAGATGTCGTTCCCGGGGCTGCCCTGCCGGACGATGTCGGTGAAGGGCGTGTATGATTTCGGCTGCGCGCTCAGGCCGAGAAAGTGGAGGATGTCCGGGGGCAACGTCGAGAACAGCGGAAGCTCCTTGAGCGTCCTGCGCACGCTGACATAACCGCTGCCCAGGGCGCTGCCCCCCACCGCCAGGTCTTCGATCACGCCAGGGCTTGGCGACTTGCGCTTCTTGGTGTTCACCACCGTCCCTTCCTTGATGGCGCCAACCTCCCCCGTGCTCACCTCGCCGGGAGCCGGTTCCCTCGCCAGCTTGGAGGCGCCGCTGTCGCTCTGGACTCTGGCGCCGTTGCCGTTTTCGTTGCGCTTCTTCTGCAGGATGGTCAACCTCTCCTCGGCCTCCTGCCGAATAGCCTTCTCCATATCCGGGAACTTGGGGAGCTCGGCCTGGAGGTCCTCCTTCTTGAGCACGACGAGCAGGCATTTCGTCCTCGCGATGATGGTGGCGGTCCTGGGGACGTTCATGAGCACGCCGATCTCGCCGAAGAATGCGCCGGGCTTCAGCTCGGCGTAGACGGCCTCGCCGTCGCGGCTGGTGACGGCGACGACGCCGCGGACCAGCCAGTACATTGCTTTTGCTTCGTCTCCCTCGGTCAGGATGTGGTCGTGGGCGGAGTGAACCTGGGGTCTTAAGTGGGCGCCAATGGCGGCGAGGAAGTCGTCTGGCGCAGAGATAAAGAGGGGGAAGGAACGGATGCGGTCCACGAGGTCTAGCGGCATGTCCGGAATGGTCGAAGCCGTCAGTGGGGATGGGCGCATGGGCCGCGTCGGGTTCGTCTCGACATTGAATGACCTGATCAAGGACGAGGCGGAATCCGGGACACTGTACTGCTGTTGCTGCTGCTGCCCCTGTTGCTGCTGCCCCTGTTGCTGCCCCTGTTGCTGCTGCTGCTGCTGCTGCTGCTGCTGCTGCTGCTGCTGGGCGCCCTGGGATCCACTGCCGGCAGCGCCATGGTGGGCGAGGGCCCTGGGCGGGGCTCCGTTCCGCCGCATCTTTGCCTGTCTAGAGTACGACGGAAGGGAAGCCTCCCCGCGGATCGACCGATCGCGGTTTGGTACCTTGTGCCTGGCGCGCTAGTTGGAAAAGGTTTCCCCAAGTGTTCCAACCTATCCAAGCTCGCCCAGATATTATTACCCCTAACGGAATGACGTGGGTCGTTTGTTCCGCCTTGTCCTTCCCGTATATTTGTGGAGGGGAGCGGCCGGATGGAGATTAGGCGGGGCCGGCTGTGGGACGGTTCATGCTATAGCCAGGTCAGGCGCGACGGGCTCCCCACGCAGGAAAGCGAGGGCACAGCAAAATATTGGGGAAGCTGTCTTTATGCGCCGTTGTCTCGGCTCGTTGGTGGTCGTGTGAGGTGAGGGGGTGGGGGAGGGCTTGGAAATGGAAGAATCGGTCGTCGATCTGGGATGCCGGAAGACTTGAAGCGGAGTTGGAATTGGAGAACAAGGGAAACGTAACGTGTGTGCGGCCGGCCGGAGAGGCGGTCAGAGGTCAGAGGTCAGAGGTCAGAGGTCAGGATGACGGTGTCTCGTAGATTGATTATCGATTATTGGAGTTCGGGCTTCCCGTCTAGCAACGTTCTCGACGGCTGCTAAGTTTCGGGAGGATGACACATGGTGTTCGATTCGATTGTGCGAAGCACTTGATTCGGGGCCGACGAGCGCTGCTCACAGAAACTTGGTCACCCGTCAATGCCTTCTCTGGTAGTGCTGGCCTGCAGACGAACAGATGGAGCTGACAGGCTGGCAGGCTAGCAGTGTGGGGAGTCGGGGGAGTCAGGGGAGAGGTTGAAACATACCTACGAGACAGCGCACCGCGAGGAAGGACGGATTTGGAGATGCCAGCCAGAAGGTGGGGGCTGCGAATAATAGCTCGGCTCAGCTGCCAACTGCCGGCAAGCCGGAAGGAAGGGCGTCTGTCTGGGGATGAAAGCGGCGGGAGCGAGGTTTGACGAAGCGCGCGTGACAGAGGCCGGAAAAACAGTTGATGTGCGCGTTCGGGCTGAGGAGGGGTCGGCCCAGCTCTGACTTCGGATGACGTGGGGTTCTGTTTTGTCGGGTCTCTTCTCTTCACTCTCTCTCTCTCTGTGTGTGTGTCTCTTGAGTGCCGTCTTGAGTCAAAATCCAACCTGCAGCTGGCAAGGTGTGGCTGCTGTGGCGGCAGGGCCTGGCTGATCACGTCAGTGGCCAAAAAGCTCTGGTGCAAAATGATAAAACAAGGGAGGTAGTATTGCACGGTAATCGCGCGACACAGCGGGTGGAGGGTGCAAGATGACCGGTCGATATGTTGCCAGTTTGTCTGAACACCTCTTCAGGGTTGGTGAGATGGAAAATAGTTGAAGGAAAGGTTGTGTTGTGTCATTGACAGTCACAGCTATCTGATGCTTCTCCCCCAATTCCATCCCAAAGCTCAAAAGTAGCTCCATCGAAGCGTGGAACTATCCGTACTTCGGGCCCCGGCGCTTTGACCAGGCGGGGATAGTGACTGGACCGTGCTTCACCCCTTGTGTCTGTGCGTCTTGCTCATGTTTGTTTCGTCCTGGATGTTTGCTTCGTCCTGGTTCCAGATCCAAAGATCAGTCCCAAATCGGTCGAGATGCAGGAGGCCTTTTCCTTCCTTTTCCTTCCTTCTCAACCACTCAACCGCGCGTTCTCCAGTCTTCTCTCGACGGGACGGAGACCCCTGGATGTATGCAGGTACGTACCCTGACGCTGGAGTCGCCACTGACGTAGAGGATACCCCACTGTACCATTTCCCGCACAACGGTGAGGCTCGGCTCATGTCACAACGCCCAAGTCTGCATTGAATGTCTTGATAGTAAGCTAATTGCAATGAGCAGAAAGTGGACAGGAACAGCACCACGAAAGAGTTGTTTCTCCAGAAATGTCTTCTGCACTACTCCCATGTACCTAATTTCGAGTGGGTAATTTTTTCGGATTTCCCATGTCACCCTCTCAGCCTAGAAGCCAAAGTCTCTGAGAACAGCTATACCCATACCGCAGTATAAATTATCCCCTCTCTCTCTCACACAGCCTCTCCCCTCTTTCCCCTCCGGTCTTTTTCGTTAACATCCTGGCATTTTTCTACCCGTGGGCGATGGCCGGACCAGGAGTGACCGACCCCGGAAAGGTAGCCCCAAGGGCATCGACCCAGAGGACCAGATCCAGGCCGCCATACAGGACTGTCAGCCTGAGAGCACGTCTCTCCAAGACATCTTTGCTGCCTCATTTTGGCAGGATGCTCGGACTCTGGCAAAAACTTCATCCGGGACCTCAGGACTCTGTCTCACTCTCTAGCAACCCGGCCTCGGCTCATTTTCCTCTTCCTCTCACTTGTCTCTTTCTTCGTCCAATCCTGTTGCCTTGTTGCTCACGGCACTACGCTTGTCAACATCTGGTTCCACCTACCCTGCTTCGTCCCTGAAAATATCCCATCGCTATCTATGGCGTGCGCCGATGGTTTCTGCAAGGTGGTGCGATACCTCAGCCGCGAAGAGAAGCGCAAAGAGTACGACCATGATATGGAAAATGCTCGCGAGCCTTGGCAAGATCTCCGTAATGACATGATCCGCATCGGACACCAATACTCCGACCATACTACTGGCATCACGAATATCGGGGAGAGCCTGCACGATGCCTGGGACGAGCTTATTCATGCCGCAAAGATCATCCCATCTGCCAGCTCCGAGCATGATCCCTGACTTTTGGACGGAATAATCCAGGGGACTTGCAGCTACCGAAAGGGGAAGCTTTGCCACGCTGAGCGCAAAACCCTGTGCTTCTGGGGTATGTGCTGGGGATTTGGCCCGTTGTGCATTATGGCTCTTCAAGGAAGCACTCGAGACGGAGAGATGTCCGCCTGACTCTTCCTCCGAAAGTACCTCGAGGCATCTTCCAGTTCCATTGGCTGACCTCCTCCCTGCATTGCATGTCTTGAATGGCTGACCCACGGCAACTTCAAGCTTGCTCAGCCCCATGACACTTCACAATCGTAATGTGATGCAAAATGTACAGGACCCAATACCAAGACTTGCCTGCCAGTCAACGCCGGGACGGGTTTTGAGTGGGGCCAGAAATCCGGAACGAGGGTCCGAGTGTGCAGGTAATAACGGCTCTGATAATATCAAGTTTTCGAGCCAACGAACCAACACATTAATTTAAGCATACACACAACTGCTGGCCTGGACACTTTATAGCCCACTTAATAGTAATCCCAGCATCTGTAAATATTTTTGACCGTGGTAGTGCTTCGCTACTCCATTGTGCCAAACATGGGCCCCCACAGTTTTGCCCGCATTGTTAACTGGCTTGGCTACGAGCAGTCAAGGCTTGACTCAAGTAGTCTTGGCTGCCCACTGTGCCTCAGGCGAAAGTCTCCATTGCTGTTATTATTTAGACAGCAAGTCCAATAGTCGTCCACACTGCCTGGGTAGGCCATGATCATCGAGATACAAAGCCCGTATTATTATAAGCTGACAAGATGGTTGACTTCCAGGGACTGGTTCACCGCACAATGAGCAAGTTTGCTCCGAGTACGAGACCCTCGTATTTCCATGCTGCATATCACCTGTATGTCCAGACCTTTACGTTTGCTGGCCGAATCAGTTGACTAACGCGGATCATTAGGACAGCTCGTCCTGGTATTGCTCGAGTTCCTAACTCTGGGAGCGTATGTGATCCAATTGGACTCTGAGTCCAATCCATGAGGGCGAGGATGGCCTTGCGTATGTCAGCCAACACTCTTACAGGCACATGGGTAGACGTTAGACAATCTCCAGGAGTCGATAGCCTGGGGAGATCTTGGGGAACCAACAACGGGCTGGACTTGGAGATGGGCGGAGAGGTTTTGTCCATGGGGCGATTGGGGAGAGATAAAGAAGAGATTGTAAAGACAGCTCTGTAGCTATATTTATCATGTCTCATTGGTTGTGGGTCCACGGCTGTAACCGCCTCGGCATTTTCGCTTACATCCGAAAACTGCGCTCCGACACGGATGTACCGGACATTGCCTTCCTCCTTGGGGAAAATCATCTTCCCGCTGGCCCCTCTGCGCCTTGCATTATATCTGCAACTGGATGTTCCCATCTTACCGAGTTCACGCCTAGTGATACGGCCGACGGACTTCAGCACCCTCGTCATGGAGCGAGAACCCCGCCGACGGCGAAGACCAGCCTTGTCGTGCCTTGGAATGCCGGCGCCGCAAGATCAAGTGTGACCGAAACGACCCTTGCGCACATTGTGTCTCTGCCAAGACCCAATGTACCTACAAGGTCTACAGCAATGAGCCCGCCATCCGGCAGCGGCCCCAGCAGGGCAGCTCACGGGGCGAGTCGACGTCAACCCCGTCGGCTTACGCATCCTCGCCTGTAGCTCAGGCCCAACAACAGACCAACACAAATAGACCAGTCATAGAGTATAGTAACCACCCATCCGGGACCCGGGTCGCAGCAGCAGCAGCAGCAGCAGAAGGAGGAGGAGGACGACAGAATGATACTCCGAATACCCTTGGCCGCAACGACAATGACAACAACAACAACAACTGCATCCGGCCGACGAACCGTGTCCAAGGCGCAGGACCAGATCTCCGTGACCTTTTGCAGCGGGTACAGAAGCTCGAGCAGTCTTCAGCATCCAGTCCTACCCAAGGGCTGTCTGAGGCTGGTACTGGTGAGAACATACTCGCGCTCCAGTCCGGGCTTCAGGATGCACAAATAACCCTGAACAAAACGAGGATATTGAGGTGGAGCCACTGGATGGGCGCGGCTGAAGAGGTATGTATTGTACAGTAAAGTTTGCATTTTTTTTATGTATACGTCCGATCACTTTCCACTGATCCCCTCGCAAGTTCGAGCCCATCATTGCCTGCTATACTGAGGCATGCGGCGACGGCAAGGGAGCCTCATTTCAAGCCCCTGAAACCAGAGCCCTGATTGTCCAGATGGGTGAGCTCCTCCAGAAATGCAAAAATATAGCAAGAAGTCTCAAGGTAGGACGGCCTAGCAGAAATCTCATCTCGCGTCCCGAGTTCGGCTTTGCACCTCCCTCCCGCGAGGTGGCGGACGCGATGGTAACCCTTTACTTCCGATCATTTGAGTCGACGCACCGGATACTCCACGAACCTACCTTTTGGGCCGAGTACGAGAGGTATTGGAGCCACCCGGAAAGTGTCAAAACTGACCTGCGTCTCAAGGTCCTTCTTGTCATTGGGATAGGATCAAGTCTACATAAGCATGGACACACGGATGCGGATGCTGGGTTTCGCAATACGGTCCATCAATGGGTATATGCTTCTCAGACGTGGCTCTCCGGGCCGTTGGAAAAAGACCGCCTGGAGATCACCGGGCTACAGATCCACTGCCTGACGATTCTAGCACGCCAGATCTTCTCAATCGGCGGCGACCTGGTGTGGGTGTCAATGGGATCGCTCATCCACAGAGCCATGCAAATAGGCTTCCATCGTGACCCCAAACACCTCCCGGCCATGTCCGTGTTGCAAGCCGAAATCCGCAGGAGGCTGTGGGCCACCATGGGACGCTGCACCGCAACTCCCAGTACAGGGATCTTCTCAAGCAAGCCGTGAAGGAGCTGCTTTTGTTGTCGACGGAGCGGATCCGGCAAGGCGAGACCAATATCAAGAGCCACATGTTCTTGAACATGGTCTTGGCCCAGGCCGAGGCGATGGAAGCGGGCACCCCGTGCGAGCTCAAGATTGCACAGAGCGGAAGGGATAGCCTCGAGTTCTGTCATGATCTGCTGTTGACACGGGCTGGCACTGTCTCTTTGCCGAGTCCCAACAATACGGCCCCTCCCACATCAACAGGTCTTGATGGTGGGCAAGAAGGCTACTATGGGCTGGACTTTGACTTTGACTTTTTCTTGCCAGATGCAGGCTTTTCTTAGTGTACTGAGTGGCATACCTAGATACGTACGTACTGGATACGTACGTACTGGCTTCATTACTGGTCTGTATAGTAATCATAATTTAATAGTTGTCAGCTTGCTTCCCTCCCCGTCCTCTTTCCTCGTCTCCGCCATGACAATTTTCGTAGAGAGAGAGAGAGGAACGAGAAAAGGTGGAGAGGTAGGCTAGAGCTTCCAATAAGTCTCCGGCGTCATGTCTAGAAGTAACCTGGACTTGCGGCAGGTCTCATTTCCGAAGCCCGGGAGGAAACGGGCTTTATAGAGCTGCGTCGGCCATTTAGCGGCCTGCCATATTCTTTCGGCCGAGACGGGAGGCGACGGCCTTGCAATGTCTGGAGATAATCGGTCCCCCTGCGTCAAAATACCGAGCGGACCTTTTAGGGTCGCTACCTATTTAAAAAGTTTCCGTGAACTTTAGTTGTCCTTGTCAACCGAGTGGGATGCTCAGAACTGGTCTTATGCTAAATGAAAGCTCATTCCGTTACCCTCCCACCGCCCTCCTCATCGAAACCCCGAAGCATCTTGTTGTCTGTTTTCGTTACAACCCGAGCGCCCACAACACCAAATAAGCTTACAATGGGACGAATAAAGGTCCTCATCAGCGGTGGAGGTATCGCCGGCAACGCCCTCGCCTTCTGGCTCTCGAAGCTAGGCCACCACGTCACCGTCATCGAGCGGTTCTCTAGTCTGCGAGCCACGGGGCTCCAGATAGATCTCCGAGGCCACGGGATCGAGGCCATGAGGCGCATGGGTCTCGAGCAGGCTTTCCGGTCCAAATCGGTCCCGGAGCAGGGCCTGCAGATAGTCGACAAGTCCGGCAGACGGTGGGCCTACTTCCCGGCGAACAAGTCTGGCAAGGGGCTGCAGGACTTCACCACCGAGTTCGAGATTATGAGAGGGGATCTGTGTCGCCTTATATACGACGCCACCAAGGATCGGGCAAAGTATATCTTTGGAACGTCGATCGAGAGCTTTGAAGAGAGGGATGGCTCTGTGAATGTTCGGTTCGCAGACGGCAAGACGGACCAATTCGACCTCCTGGTCGGTGCCGACGGCCAGGGATCGCGCACCCGCAAGATGATGCTCGGACCCGGCACCGCCGACGCGTTCTACCCGCTCGGCGGCTCCTACATGGGATACTTCACCATTGCTCGGCCGATACAAGAAGGAGAGGGGTACGTCGCCACGTCATACATGGCTACCGAGGGGCGGGCCGTGATCACTCGAAGGCACAGTCCAAACCAGATCCAGGCATATCTCTCCTGCAAGACAGACTCGGAGCGACTCAAGAGTGCTCGCACGGGCGACGTCAGGGCGGAAAAGGAGGCCATGACGGAGATCTTCCAAGGCGCAGGGTGGCAGACAGAGGCGATATTGGAGTCTCTCAAGGACGCCAGCGACTTCTACCTCGAGCACCTAGGCATCGTCAAGCTGGAGTCCTGGTCCCGCGGCCGCGTGACGCTCGTTGGCGACGCCGCTTATTGCCCGTCGGCGATGACGGGGATAGGCACTACCTCCGCCATGGTCGGTGCTTATGTCTTGGCCGGTGAGATCGGGAGACACTGTGGTGGACGCTCTAGTGGAGAGGGTAGTGCCGATGGAGGGGACGGTGCCAAGAACGGTCGCAATCTTGAGACCGCGCTCAAGGCTTACGAACAGAAGTTCCGGCCCTTCATGGACCAAGTACAGAAAGGAATATTGGAGAATAATGGGAGCATGATGCCGACGACGACATTCACTATTGCCCTTGCAAACTGTCTCCTGGGGGTAGCCTCCTTCTTCAGGTTGAATATCATGGGCAAGCTGTTTCTGCGGGAGAATGTAAAGGGATGGGACCTCCCGGAGTATGAAGAGATGCTACGGGACTAAGTCAGTAATGCAGGCTAGTTATGATACCCCTGAGTAGGTGTTTAAAGATGGATTCTCCCCTCAACTTTGTTCAGCAACATATAATTAATTAGACAGTGACCACCTAGCATTACAGCTTGGTGTTTTGGAAGCATCGACTTGTTCCTAGATGCCATAGTTACATTACGCCTCGGTGATGCTATATTATAATATTATTCCCTGCAGAGACTCTGTACCCAACAGACTCTGCTCCAAGGGCCCCAGACCCCGTCAAATCAATAGACACAGTTAATTACCCGTATGCGCCTTCTCCCATGCCGTCACTATAAAGTCCTACATTTGACCTCAACCGTTTCCATCCCTGAGCCCAATGCTTGTCTGACTCAAGCAGATTGTGAAGGGAACCCAGAATGTTCCTCGCCATTAATCGTCTTCCACCAACCCCGGACCCCAGAAGCAACGCCCCGCTGCTGATTCGGAATGCCACCGTCAGGATGATTGGGGGTGGTTGCTCCGGTCCTCTGTCGTCGTCGTCGTCGTCGTTGTCGTAGATCACGTGCCTCACTTCCAGCTCACCCTCCACGTCGGGTCTATATCCCACAGACCCCGTAGTTACAGCTCAGCCCATGCACGGCATGGCAGCACACCGAGCCGCCCGCACAGAAGCACGACTCCGGGGTCCCCTTCTCCTTCCGGAGCGAGGTCCAGAACAGATTCCACGCCGTCTTCTTGTCCGCCGACTCGGAAGCCGAGACCGATGGTGAGGACCCCTTAACGACGAAGGGGGCTTTGAGTCCTGGGGCTGTAGATTCCCGGCTCTTGGTTGGCGCTAGGTCGGGGTTCCCGAGCGGGATCTGGTCGGTCACTGGGGCGGCCAGGGCAAGTGTTGCCGAGGCCGCGAGGAATAATTGGGCGAAGAGGGGTTTCATCTCGGATGTAATTATGTGGCGGATGTTGCAAGAGCGGGACAGAGGACAGTGCCGACTGGATGAATGGTGGAGATCACTGGAAGAAAAGATGTTTCGACAGCCGCAGATTATTGGAGAAGAGATGAGAACCAGCGATAAAAAAGCGAAGGACATGCAGTAGATGCAGTGGATGCAGTGGGCCTTGAAAATCAATCAGTGTACAGACAGTACCCAAGCTTGGATAACGAACGGTGACTGGAATCAGATTCCTCTCGTGAGGGCCCAAACGAAGCGGGCAGCGGTATTTGTATTGCCATCTCCACTGGCCACTGACACAATAAACGGTCTCATCTACCAGGTCCGCCAACGGGCCCAGCAATTTGTTTGGCGGATGGTGGGGTGAAAGGGGGGGAACCAGCGGCTGCAAGGTTTCACTCCCAATGGTGCACGCCAAGGCGGTCTGGATCTGTCCCCATATTAACACGACCCCAGAGCCCCAGTGAGAAGAGACCGGCAAAGTATGGTTGTATCAAGTGACATGTTCTGAGTGGTCGCCGCTTTATGATTAATTTGTTCTGACATTAATTACCGCGACCGACACGACGGGCAACTCGAAAAAAGAAAAATAAGTTACGTCGTGGTGGGTTGAGACGTCAGACTTGCAGACGCCACGATCCCCCGGGCCTCTCAAGGGATGTTACAGCGTAAACTTAGAAACAAAGTTGCGAAAGCAACAGGTGGTCAGGGGCTTCCGCAGGATGACACAGGAGCCAGAAGCCCGGAGCCTGCAGCCTGCCTGTGCGCGTACCTGCCTAATCAAGCAAGCGGGTTTAGCCGCCACTGCGCCTGTGCGGCCAGGGGGTTGCAGTTTTGATGGAAAAGAAAAATCGCACCTAGCTCTAAGACAAAGCCGACGAATTGATCTCGAAGCCGACAATGTCTCGGCCTCAGCAGTCTCAAAGGAAGCCGAGGTAAGCCCGTATTCGTAGGTAGTTGGTACAGTAGAGGAAGGACTGATGAGTCACCTGAAGGCCAACCTTGCAAATCATGTGACATTTCCCCTCCACCGCCACGTGACTGGAGCTGTCTCGAAGCTTCTCTACCGGGTGTAGCTCGGACCAATCGGCTCTTAGGTAATCAAGAGGCAACGTCATTTGCTCCTTGCCCTCCTCACCTTTTCTCTGAGCAACCTGCAATCGCAGCTCTCGTCGGCGCTTCCTTTCCCAGTCTCCTTTGTCGCGTCAAGATCCAAGAACATCGCGATAATGTCGTTCACTATTACCATCCGGCAGGGCCCTGCGCGTATGGCGTCTCGACTGCCGCAACTCGCAAAGTCCGTCCAGCGAGCCTCCAACAGTCCCGCCACCGCAATCCGAGCCTTCCATCAATCATCACCGAAGAACACCTTTTTCACCTCAAGAACGACCTCTCTCGGTTTTCGAGCAAATGCGAAGCCCACGAGTAACCTGGTCTCGAGACTAGCTGGGGCGAGCCGGACATATTACCAAGAGGCCGCACCTCCCCAAGCGGCTAACCAGACATCGCTCCTGCGCAAGTTGCTGGTTGGCGGCGCCATCTTCGGCGGCACCCTCGTGGCAATCAATGTCGTCTTCAACAGGGAGACGAGGGAAGATGGCGGCATGCCGCTGTTCGAGCGCTCATACCTCAACAACACATTCCTGCATACGGGTCTCGGCATCGGCATCATCGCTCTGACCGCCCGACAGATGATCCAGACCGGCTTCGTCTACCGCATCATGGTCACTAACCCATGGGTCGTTGCAATCGGCGGACTGGGCCTCAGCTTTGCTACCATGCTGGGCACAAGAGCCATTGACGCGGACAAGTAAGTTTTGGCCCCGAATCGAGTTATGAAATTGTTAAGGTCGTCGCTAACTCCGCCCTGAAGCTACGTGCCAAAGTATGCGCTCTGGACGGCATTCAATGCCACCCAGGCCGCTTTCGTCGCCCCCCTTCTCGCATTTGCGCCAGGCGCTCTCATCGCGCGCGCCGGCCTCTACACCGTTGCCATGATGGGCGCTATCTCATTCGTCGGGGCCACGGCCAAGCAGGAGAAGTACCTCTACATCGGCGGGCCTCTCCTGGCGGGCGCCGCACTCGTGGCGGTCTCGGGCCTGGCTCCCCTTGTCATCCCGGCCACAGCCATGCGGACCCTCGCGCTCACGGAGAGCATCTGGCTGTACGGTGGCCTGGCCGTCTTTGGCGGCTTCACGCTGTATGACGTCCAGAAGATATTGTATCGCGCCAGACTTGCCGAGCGGGGCATCATCAAGCGGGACCCCGTCAACGAGAGCATCAGCTTGGAGCTGGACTTCCTGAACATCTTCATCCGGATGCTCCAGATCCTGATGATGCAGCAAAATAGGCGGAAGTAAAGAGGGTGTCGGGGGGTTAGAGAACTGGTGCATGTACAGTAATTGCATTTGAAGGGGGGGAGTGGGAGTGGGTTGATCAGTGATCACCGTACGGGTAACAAGGCATGGCGACATCATCGCTCTTCATTCATCGTAAGAGCCACCATAGGAGCTAAGTGAGGATAAAAGGATCCCCTCTCAATGAGAAGACAGTAAAACTAAACTGCATATATTATTGCATCAGCGTAGTGCATTTTCCCTTTGAGGTTCCGTAAGCTGACTTCCTTGCCGCGCCTCCCATGCCTAAACATGTCCAACTACAACTCATCATCACCCATCATACGACTATTTCAAGTCCGGGAACTTCCTCAGAAAATGGCTGGGGCACTCGTACCCCGAGGGGTTCTTGTCGAGATACAGCTGGTGATACTCCTCGGCGTCCCACCACCGGCCGGCGGGCAGGACCTGCGTGACGACCTTGCCGCCCCACCACTGCTCGTTGACCTTCTTGGTCACCTCCCGCGCGACGGCCTCCTGCTCGGCGTCGTGGAAGAAGATGCCGCTGCGGTACTGCGAGCCCCGGTCGGGACCCTGCTGGTCCGCCGTCGTCGGGTCGTGCATCTTGTAGAAGAACTCGAGGAGCTGCTGGTAGGTGATGCGCGTGGGATCGTATACCAGTTGCGTTGCTTCGGCGTCTGGAGGCAAGGGAGGGGGGTTATATTATTAGCCAAGTCGTCCCATCTCTCACCCAGCTTGCAGAAAGAAAAAAAGAAAAAAAACGTACGCCCGGTCTCGCCCGAACACACGGCCCGGTAGGACGGGTTCGCCGAGTCGCCGCCGATGTATCCAACGCGCGCGTCGTACAAGCCCCGGTCCCCAAAGTGCTTCCGGTAGATGTGCTCGACGCCCCAGAAGCAGCCCGCGGCGATGGTGGCCCGCTCGGCGCCGGCGGGGATCGCGGCAGATGCCGAGGCGGCCGCGCTGCCGCCGTCGGCGGAGGAGATGCCGAGACCAGTTGTTCCGGTGAAGGGCCTGGTTAGGCGGGAGAGGAAGGATAGGACCATTGTGGCTTGGGAGGATGGGTTTGTTAGTGGGGTTGATGGAGGGGTCGTCGGTGGTTGAGACTGGTTGATCGAGTTTTGGATGCTCCTTGTCAGATATGGGTTTATGGGTGGCGTTCAATTCAATTGTACATGAAGCGTTCCAGGGTTGACACAGCAGTTTTTGAGTTTTGCTTTTGATCGGCCCCGTACGATTTGCCTCGTCGAAGCTCGTCGAAATTGTGACACCTCTGTAGCGTCGATGATGCATTCCCTCAATACGGATCCCCGCAGCCATGCACATGAGGCATGATTGGTTGATGAGTGAAACCAATCAAGTGGCCTTAGTAATTGCGACGCTTACCTACCCACCTACCTAATACGGATAGATTCAAAATTAACGATCTCCCAAGGACTGGGAAAGGCATCCAAGTCTGAGCCTTACGCTTAGAATCGCGTTTCCCAAGGTGGTATCCCAAGTATCGCGGGACATTTTGTCACTCATTCCGTTCTACGGCTGTGTTGTCGAGATATTCAAGGGCTTTAGGTCACGTTTGCGATCCGATTTCGAAGCAAATGCTAGACTAAACGGTAGCTCCCAACTTCCATGGAAGGCAACTTGAAGGAAGCCAGAAGTGGGGCATCGATTTGATAACCGTCGTCTTCCTTGGGGGAACAACTGCATCCCCTACCTAGCTTATGTTCAAGAACCATCACAACCCAACAGAGATGACAGCTCAGGAGCCAAATGTTCGAGTCGGCGTAGCCGCTGTAATCAGCGATCGAGAGGGCCGGGTTGTGCTCGGTCGGAGAAAGGGAAGTATTGGTGCGGGTGAGTCATGCCGAGGAACCAAAGGGATTCAGCATCTGAATTAATCAAAACCTGACTGGAATCCAACAGGTAAATGGGGGTTTCCAGGCGGCCACCTGGAGTTTGGAGAGACTTATTTCCAATGTGCCGAGAGAGAGGCGCTCGAGGAGACGGGCTTGAAGGTGAAGGCGGTGAAGATGATGGCGGTCACGAACGACGTGTATGAGGAGTGGCAACGCCACTACATCACCATTTTCGTCGAGTGTAAGAGGGAAGATCCGGATCAGCAGCCAGAGGTAGGCCGTCGCATGTGGTCGGGTCTCCTAAGTTGTTGATGCTCACTCTCTGCCCAGAACCTCGAACCGAACAAGTGCGACGAATGGGTCTGGAAGGGGTGGTCGGATATCAAGGCCCTTCAGGGAAGCCCAAGCGGGACCAAGGAGCTGTTCCTTCCCATTGTCAACTTGATTAACGAGAACCCAAACATAGATGCGATGATGAGTAAATAACTCCTAGACTCTGACTTGCTCGAAAACGTCGAACGGGGCGTGTGTCTTGAAAATCCGACATCATTATCAGTGTTGAAAGCAGCTTTCAAGTAGTGAGAGTTTATGGGTCGATTCGGCCAGACTGTCGCGGTTTGTTCTAGGGAAAAGTTTTGGCTGGCGATCATTGTTAGCACCTTCCATGCTCAGAGTGTTGGGTGTTCGAGATGAGGGCTAGGAGAAGTGGCCATGCCTTGTCAACTGGATCTAGTACTTCTTGGCGACAAGACAAGCTCTTGACGGCCCAACTCGTCAAGACACGAAGACTGATTCCGCAAATGGTTGCCGGGCCCCCAATACTAATGCAGAGAGGGCCTGAGGAGGGTTGGATCGAATTCGATGCAGCATCTTGACTCTGCGGCTCACTCGAAGCCGCCCTAATTAGCTATTAGGCCGTCTCCACATAGCGGTGATCGTCTTTATTACATGGTCACACTTAGGGGCAAATAAAGGTATCGAAACCTTGCATTCTGTTCATGCAATGTACTGTACCCAAGAATCTGGGCCTGGGGGCTATGGGCTGACGATCTTAGGCTAGGCACTAATAAAAGAATGCTTGATGGAGGGGGGGGGGGGGTATGTGCGATACAACCAAGTTGGGTTCCATCGTAATAGAAATCCAGAACATCGGGAACAATGATACGACGCACCCCTTCCTCCTTTCGATGCTACCACAGCTGCAGGCAGTAGTGAGCGGCGACGCGGAGAAGTGAAGAAAGGGAATCAAGCCAAGGAGCCAGACCCATTCCCCCTTCAGCTACCTATACTTGGATCGTGACGAAGAATTGAGGGGCCCGGTTTTCGACCGTTGAAACAAACCCGGAAGCTGGGGCAGCTCTACTTACCTACCCAGCTTACTCAGACCACTGGTTGCTTGGGAATCCGAATTGGATGGAATGGATGTTGAAGGTGGGGTCGAGGCCCGGAATAGCGGGAAGGATTGCGAAGAGGCGCAACAAGTTGATACACACGCTGGCACGTGCTCTCGATTACCAACGAGCGCTCGGTGCTGTTGGGGTCGAGGCGCATCTGCGAAGGTTCGTTGGGTCTGCGATCCTGCGATCCTGCGATACCATGCACCTCAAAAGCAATTCGCAGCGCAATGCGGCATATCAGACGGCAGCCTTGGCACATCTATCCGTCTCGGCCATGGGCATCATCAGCCTCATTGAACGACGCAGGTCGAAGCGTGCAAAAATGCAAAACGGCTTCCAACGCCGCTGCAAGGGGCGCATTGGCCAATCTGGGAAAATTCACTGCGACCAATCAGGCGGAGGCAGCCACGGAGATTGTTGGCCCGCACCGTGGATCTTTGGTTCGGACTGTGGTCGGGCACTGGTCCCAGGGAACTGGTACTGGGGTAAACGTCAAATATCAGATATATTGGCTCCCACCAGACCCACCACATGGCCGGGGATGCGCAAAACCGGCCCTTCTCTCGCGTGGTGGTGTGCTCTCCGGATTGGAACCTCTTCCCCCAGTGCTCATGGGCAGAATGCGGCTTAGCATCGTGGCAGTCGATGCCGCTGGACTGATCCCGGGGGGGTTGCAGTGGATCAGAGATTCTAGCTCGGAGCTTTGTGATTTGACCATCAATCAGTCTGACAGTCCTCTGTCGGCGTTGAAGGAACCGCCACGCGAAGGAAGGATCCGCTACGGAGTCGTGTGCTCCAGAATCCCAGAATCCTCGAGCGTTGCCGACTCGCCAATAACCTTGCAAAAAGGGATGACCGAAGCCGCAGAGGCGCGCCAATTCTCCAGGATGTGAGACGATTGGTTCGTCCCCGACTCGGGTTCAGGTTTAGCGCGGAGGGAGCTGCTCCGTGTCTCAATCGGGCATGGCCCTTGACCATTGCCCCCGCGTTGATCTCCACAATCTCCACGGTGCCGCCAAACCTCGAACCACTAATGTGCGTATCCGACCTAGCATTTTTAGCTAGCCCAACAGCTTGCACCTAAGCGACTCCCTATCCTGCTGTTCTAGACTGGAATGTGCTTGTCTGATCCTGTCCGAAATGTGTCTTGTGCGTGTGCCTGGAAGCATGGCCCGCCTTCCCGTGTGTGGTGATATTATTAGCCCCAGCCAACGTACAATCTGGATCTAAGCTTTTACCAATGAAATGAATTCATGTTCATGCATGTTGGCAAGCCCTCTCGCGTCAGACGGTCCGCGGTGGTGCCGGCGGCGAGTTCCCGAAGCAGACCGCTGGAGTGGTTTTGCCCGCATCATCATCCGCGCCGCAATTATTGCTTGTTTGCCGGTTTTGGCACGGCTAGATCCTTATTTTCTCCTTTTATTTTCTTATTGGCTACTGGTGTTGGAAGAGTGCGAGTCTTGTGTTGGCCCGAAAGCGATCTGTATGATTGAGGAAAAGTCTGCGGAGGCGGCTGATCCGGGGTCGACTCCGTATTACGCCTAGCCAACCTGTCCCGTGCCTCAAATCAAAGGGTGGATAGTGCACGTACATGCCTTGGGGATTGGGGACCCCCGACTCGAGAATCCACCCCCGGTAAGAGGACCCGTAGCGTAGCTTCGCTGGTCCCCACTAAATCTGAGATTCCCACGAATTCGAAAATGAGGCCCCGGGCGGGCTCAAGCGGGCGTGCGGTACCACCCCTACACATTGCATCGCATCACATAGATCCACCCGGTGGCGACAGGGGTTGGCCTGCACATGGCGGTACGCTTAAAGTACGTACATGGATGGGGCGACATGGAAGAGCAAAGTAGCGACCCGGGGAAAGCCACCCACCACCAGTGATCCAAAAAATCATATAATCGCAAGCATTCCCCCGTGGTCGAGATATCTTCTCTCTTGCTCATCCCGGCGCATTCCTTTCCTTTCGCTAACCTCCTCCCCCTCCTCTTTTACTCGCAGAGCCTGCCGTCGACCAAGCACATCGCCAGCTAGTCACCATGGGAGAGAAGGATGACATCGTCGATGCCGTCCACCGGGACAATGACTTCGACAATGACCACAAGGCGCGTTTTTCCAATCAGTGCCTTTGGGCTCGCCGGGGGCAGCGACGCATGCTAACCCGCTCAAGCAGAACCTTCAGACGAAGGTGGTCACGGGTCACGAGGCTTTCAACGAGGCCATGATCAAGGACCCCCCTCAGGCCTGGTCGGGCCCCCAGATAATGATCTACCTCTTCTCCATTGTCGGCTTCTTCTGCTCGACAATGAACGGTTATGACGGATCCCTCATCAACAACCTGCTCCAGAACCCCTACTTCAAGGCCGCCTACAACGTCGAGAGCTCGGGCATCTGGGCTGGTATCGTCTCGTCCATGTACCAGATCGGTGGTGTCGTCGCGCTCCCCTTCGTTGGCCCTGCAATTGACGGCTATGGCCGCCGAATCGGCATGTTCATTGGTGCCACCATCATCATCGTCGGTACCATCATCCAGGGCACATCTCACAGCGCCGGCCAGTTCATGGGCGGTCGTTTCCTTCTCGGTTTCGGCGTCTCCATCGCCGCCGCTGCAGGCCCGATGTACGTCGTTGAGCTGAATCACCCGTAAGTTGACCCTGTTTTCTCTCTCTCTCTCTCTTCTCTACCTGCCTCTGGCTTCTTTCCACCTTCGCGCGCACACCATCGCATCCTGCAGCACCATGAACTGAAACTGACATGACGACCAGCGCCTTCCGTGGTGTCGTGGGTGCCATGTACAACACTCTGTGGTTCAGCGGTGCCATCATCGCGTCCGGGGCTGCCCGTGGCGCTCTCGACATGCACAGCGATGCGTCGTGGCGGTTGATCACCTGGCTCCAGGCCCTCTTCTCCGGCCTCATCGTCATCCTCTGCTTGTGGCTCCCCGAGTCGCCGCGTTGGCTCTATGTCAACAACAAGAAGGACAAGGCCCGCGACATTCTCACCAAGTACCACGGCAATGGCAACCCCGAGTCCCCCTGGGTCACTCTGCAGCTGCGCGAGTACGAGGAGCTCCTCGATATGGATGGTGCCGATAAGAGATGGTGGGACTACCGGGCACTGTTCCGCTCTCGCGGCGCTGTCTACCGTCTCGGATGCAACATGGCCGTGACCATCTTCGGTCAGTGGGCCGGCAACGCTGTGCTCTCCTACTTCCTCGCTGCCGTGCTCGAGACCTGCGGCTACACCACCCCCGTCGCTCAGGCCAACATCACCCTCATCAACTCGTGCCAGCAGTTCGCCTGCGCCATCTTCGGCGCCTTCCTCGTCGACAAAGTCGGCCGTCGCCCCCTGCTTCTCTTCTCCTTCACCGGCTGCTGCGTCGTCTGGCTCGGCATGACCATTGCTGCGGCCGAGTTCGCCAAGTCCGGCGGTGGCCTCCACCCCGACGGCACCGTCACCCAGGGCTCCAACACCAACGCATCCAAGGCGTCCCTGGCCATGATCTTCATCTTCGGCTCCATCTACTCCATTGGCATCACGCCCCTGCAGGCCCTCTACCCCGTCGAGGTCCTCTCGTTCGAGATGCGCGCCAAGGGCATGGCCTTCTCGTCCCTCGCCGTCAACGCCGCCGGTTTGCTCAACCAGTTCGCCTGGCCCGTCGCCATGCGCAACATCGGTTGGAAGACGTACATCATCTTCACTGTCCAGGACTGCGTCCAGGCCGCCGTCATCTACATGCTCATTCCCGAGACCAAGGGCCGCACTGTATGTCATTCCCCAAACTTACCCCAATGTCCCATTCCCAACCACCAAACATCGCAGGGTTTTGAGGCTAACTTTGTTCTTCTACAGCTCGAGGAACTCGACGAGATCTTCAATGCCAAGAGCCCCGTCAAGGCATCGCTGGCGCGCAGGACCATTGCCGTCACCGAACGCGGCGATGTCGTCAATGTTACCGACGCTTAAGTTCCCGTCTTGCCTTCCTTTGCTTGCGTTGGCTGAAACAAACCCCCCCCCCCCAAAACATCCATCTTCATACAATAATGCCCGTCTGCTCGCTGCTCAGGCTTGCATGTCGGCGGTGCTTGGGGGCAATTCACCATCTACAACACAGCATGTGAAGGGGGTTTATTGAGTTTGTAGTAGTTTGTGGCAGGACAGACTTCGCCGAAGCCTGTTGTTACCTAGTATCCCTTTTAATACCAATGGATATTTATACCCCAATTTGATGCTGCCTTGTGACCTAATCGGATGCTGCCTTTCGTAAGTTGATAAGCCTGACTGTCGTGGCAATGGGCGTGTAGTTGCAGTACAAACCCGGTCGGAAACACGATGAACTATTTGGTGTGAAGACAACACCCTTCGCTGAGAACCTAGGTAAACCTGCGTGGGGGCTAGCTCAAAATCCAAAGTTGGGGCCCTGCGCTTACCTTGGCTTTATTTGACGGCCTGGGCTCAGTATATTCGGAGTTTCGACGTAAGCTCCGACGTAAGCTCTGTCCGAGTTTGAGACTCGGGGATAGGAGTAGCGGATCAACCCCCTTTCTCTCTCTCTCTCTCTCTCTCTCTCTCTCTCTCTCTCTCTCTCTCTCTCTCTCTCTCTCTCAATCTCACTAACTCGCTCTCTCTCTCACAAGATCACGAACAACCAATATATCT